TGGTGGAAAGCCTATTAAGACTGCATTATGGTAATTCAGGTGTATATAGTCTCAATTAACTGATTTCTGGCCCCCTTATAATTTTGGTGGGGATGGCCTGTGCGCCACGAATTCGGGCAATTACTGGTGATCCAGAAGGAGTCCACCACTTAGTGCTAGATGGTATGCAAATCTTTGTTAAGACCTTGACTGGAAAGACTATCACTTTGGAGGTTGAATCTTCGGACACTATCGACAACGTCAAGTCCAAGATTCAGGATAAGGAGGGTATCCCACCCGACCAGCAGAGACTTATTTTTGCTAGTAAGCAACTTGAAGATAGCCGCACCCTATCCGACTACAACATTCAAAAGGAGTCGCTTGGGGAAACAAGCAGCTCGTGAGCAACAAGAGGAGGGTGGACCTTTAGAGGCTCACTAGGATCAAGAAGAAAACGAATCTCGTTCCGATCACTGAGCAAACTCAGCAGGGTGGGCCTCATTTCAATTCCTAAGATGTTTGCGAGTACTCACCGAGTAAGCTAAGTTTTTTATAAAATCTACGATTAAAAAAATAAAATAATTATTATTTAATTTTTCGAAAAGAAAATTTTCTTTAGACGATAATAGTATTGTCTGGGTCGCCTATGTAGGAGATAAAAAAGCTACCCGAACCTATGCTTCTAAAAGTCCTTTCGCTATCACAAACTCTGGTTTTTCAGCCTTCACGTAGTCAATCTGCTCCCTTGTTTGCTCGAAATGAACACTACCATAACGCAATAGACTTCCAAAAGTGCCAAGTTCAATGTCTTTACCTTCATTCTCCTTCTTGTCCCACAGAACGCCTAATGCCTCCGTTTTCGTCAAATTCTTGCCATGGGTAATCTTCTGCATACTCGCTACTGCAAGGTTAGCACTATGCAAAGCCAATATACAGGGGGCAACTTGGCAGGCTCCCAACACGGAGGTCCATAGGAAAGAATAGCAATCTGGAAATAAGGTTACCTTGTGTAAGCATCCTCCAGGTCGCTTTATATGCCATTTGATAGTTCGCGGATGTGGGGTCTGCATCGAGCTTTGTCGCCAATGCATTGAATAGATCCTTCCCAGCGAAACCAAGTGTTGCTTCAGCGCTCCAATCTTCCGTTAGGGAGTCGAATAGGAGTACTTTTTCGGCGTAATATTCCCTGCCGTTAAAGCCATCAGTGGGATCTTCCAGCATGCAGAGACGATCCCAGCTCAGCACCTGACTTATATATCCCATCACCATAGTGGGTGTTTGAGCAAAGTCCCAATGAAAGCCTCGAGCTTGTGAATCTTCGAATTTGACTGCTTTGCCGAATTGAACCAAAGGATTCTCTATGAGATGGTCGCAATTCTTCTGATCTTTCCAGAGGTGGATGAAGAGATCATGCCAACGCTTGATGAAGGGATCTTTTCTTCTGCTTGCAACAAAATGGTTTGCCATGTGGGTTCCAAACATCCAAGGAACTGATATCTCGAATGGTGAAGTGGGGTCTTCCAACTGTCTCCAGCAAATCCTATCAAGATCACGAATGAGGATGATACCAACATCCATCCAGACCCCACCATATTCGTAGAGAGCCACTCCACGAAGGAAGTCAGCGCTGTGAGGTCCTGTATAAGGACCATCCATGGTTCCTTTAACGAAAGTTTCCGGTAGTGCTTCTGCTGAAAACCATTTGAGTGCATTGTTTTGAGATCCTGGGACATTATCGACAACGCGCAACGTCCAAGATGGGCCACATAGACGGACCCAATTGATGATATTACGTTGACACCAGCTTGGCATTGAGCGAGCACCAGAATGCCAGAACGTCCAGATATTCTTCTCGGATTTGACAGGGGTAAAATTAGTCAAGGAGTTGAGAATATCTTCGTAGGTTCGTTGATCCTTGGCTTCGACGAAATGAACTGCATTCTGAAACTCCTTGGGGATCGGAAATTGGGAGGATTCCATGTTGAATGACTTTGTTGATGTTGAACGAAGAACTTTAGGACGCTCATGGTCATTTTTATACTCAAACCCAACAATTCGGGTTCGCTTTGTTTGAGCACAGTGCAGTAGTACGTCGTCAGCACTAGCCAATGATCGGGGAAAGATGTGGAGAACAGGGTATCACTGATCCTGAAGGCGCAACACTTACCGTGTTCGCTGTGAAGAGCCATATCAATATGTTGGCGTGTCAACGATCATTTTGGATTGTTCAATCCTCGATTGTATGAACCAAAGCCAAACTCATGGACGAGATGTCACTAAACTTTTCGAACAATGTGCATTGAACGACCAGCATAAACATGACAAGTGATATATACAACACTTATTCTTGTTGAGATCAAAAACACAATGTTCTTGTTGTCTGGAGAACTTGGTCTTGAATCTAATTTTCTGGAAGGATCCGAATCTCACCTGCGGGGTTCGAATAAGCGGTCAAGACGGCAGAAAGATACACTAGACCAGATTCGTCAATCACCTCTCCAAATTTATTCTCGTGCTAGACACTCACACCGAGCAAGTCCAAGTCGCCCAGCATGCCTACAGAACTGGAAGAAGTGTGTCTATGCTCGAGTGTAACGGAAACGATGGCTAACCGTGTAACAGCTTGTTGAGTTTATCTCTCACGGCAATACACAGATACGGCAGCTTGGTGAGTTGCTTGACGCTGCGGAAGAAGAATAGAATTGACCTTTTGCCACAGCTGTCGAAAATCTTGTGCCATACTCGCTTTCACAGCCTACGGTATTCAAAACGAATCAGTTACTGCCAATAAAGGACTTGAAATTATTAGTACGAGATTACAAAGTATGTCAAGCATCAATCCTCCACTCAACTTTGCGACTTACACACTCCAGCAAATAGCTCGAGATGCGATTACCATTCTCCTAAATCTCTCGACAGACCGCGAGGTTCTGAATCACCTTGCGTCAGATCAAGAATTCATGAATACGCTTCTTGATAGAGTGACAGTATGTCAGTCTTCCCCTCTAATCCTATCCTTCACCTACTGACACTTTCGACCCAGAACCCTTCAGAACCGAACGCAAACCTCATTTCGATGCTCTTGGCGAACCTAGCAAAATATGACGATTTGAAAGAGATAATTTCTCTTGAGCGGCCTGCCCCAAAGGAATTGTCTTCCAATAATCGAGCCATTGACCAGCTTCTCGACCTCTTTGTGAAGGGCGCTGATGGAACCTATAACAAGGAAGCAGACTTCGACTATTTATCCTACCTGTTCGCAGATCTTGCTAAGCATAAGGAAGGACGGAAATACTTTCTCACGAAACAGGAATACGACGGTGTCGTACCGCTCACAAAACTCACAGTTTTCACGGAGCATAAATCGGACATTCGGAGGAAAGGCGTCGCATCTACGATCAAGAATGTAGCATTTGAAGTGGAAGCACATCCATCATTCCTGTCCGAAGACGAAATCAACATTCTCCCATATTTACTGTTACCAATCACAGGGAATGAGGAATACGAGGAGGATGATATGTTAAATATGCTTCCCGACTTACAATTATTGCCTCCGGACAAGACTCGAGACTCGAATCCGACGATCATACAAACACATGTGGAAACACTAATGTTGTTGACAACCACGAGAGAAGGAAGAGATATCATGCGGGATATCAAGGTGTATCCCATCATCCGAGAAACGCATTTGCAGGTTGAGGACGATGATGTGAGGGAGGCGTGTGAGAGATTAGTACAGGTGCTTATGAGGGATGAAGAGGGTGAAGAGAAAGTCGATGCTGGCATGGCAGCTCTGGATAGGAAGCCAAAGAGACGGCTGGAGCCCCCTAAGAATAGTAGTGTTTTGGGTGGCTGGGCAAATCAAGAAGGAGGGGAAGACGACGATGAGGATGATGACGATAAAATAGTTGAAGTATAATTTGTAGCAATTATACTACAAAGTCTGTCCTGGTAATCATACTTCGAACTGCCAGTGGACTTCAACATGCGGAGAATTGCGGCATAAGGTGATGCGACGCCATGGCCATGGCTCTGAATTTCAGGGACAATGACGGTGCCTGAGTGGGTACCTCCCAGGGTGCCATTCAAAACACACTTTTTTTCTAGGCTGTACGGCCCCAAGCGAATTATTTCAGGGTTTGCATTATAGCGCGTTTAGCGAGTTCAGCGCACTCAGCGCAACCAGCGTGTTTCCAGCATCTTAACTCTAAGATCGCTTACGAAGTTAGTGCCTAGCACTTGAAAATGCTAATGAGGTAAGGTCTAGGGCCTTGCTAGGCTACTTAAGCCTCAAATACCCTAGAGCTACAGGGCAAAATACCTGATATCCGGAGAATTGGATTGTCGAAAGAGATGTCTCATCTTATCTTATGCAGTCTCTCCCGGTGGTGCTGTGAGAGCACTGAGGGGCAATAGTAAAATGGGATCACAATGTAGGACATTGACGATGTTGACAAAGGATAAGATCAAGCTGTCGTTTGTCGTCGTCTTCGTATCGAAATCATTATCGTCTGACATCCTCCATCCTCCTTCCAAGAGGAAGTGCAAATAGTACGCCTACAATGCCGTCTCACAATTCCCTCTGAATCGGATGTCCCAAATTATACGGAGCAATAGACACGGCCTTCCATATGAGCCAAAGCATCAATTACACTAGGAAACATGAGGGACAATTCTCAATGAATATCTCACAAAGTGACAAAAAGCTTGCTCGAGATACACGTCTGTCCGAAGTTCTTACCTCCTCCCTTGACTCCGACTTTGCCGTTCAATCTTCGCAGTTTAGGAAGAGGATTGCGATTCAGGTTTCTCTGTAGACCTCAGATCCGGTGTATCTGCAATACGAACAACATATTTCGTAGCTGAGGATTTCCCCTCCCTTAGTGTCTTCAATGCCTTCTCCAAACCCCTTAATCCATTTTCCACGACTTCGAAAGGATGGATCTTGAGCTTCCTTTCCTGCAACCAGCTCCCAATTAACCTCGAGTACGCAAACCCAAAATCCTTTCCACCAGCGCCAATCCCCAACCTATCTTTCTCGCCAAGGGGTTGCAACTCCTTCCAAAGGCTGCCTGCCATCGTCGTAGATTGATGAATACTTTCTAGAATATCTTCTCTATGGCCGCCTAGCACGAAGGTAACGCTCCCTTCCTGTACGTCCATGGCTCGCCAATAGTTCTCATGGCTTCCGTTTTCACTGATAGCGTCGAAGACGTATTTCAGCTTCTTCCCACCTAAGGTATTCTTGACTTCTTCCAGCACCTTCTCCGGTCCTTGCCTATAATCAATAATCACATCCCCTTTACTTTCATCAATCAACGTTTCGACAAATGTCCCTCCTCTTCCTGCAACACAGATCAAGGGGTGTATTCCCATGATCCCGGCTAATTTGATGACGGAAGCACCGACAGCACTGCTCGCTCCATAAACCAACAATGGCTCTCCTTCTTTCTCACCTTTCTTCACAGACTGCTCAACAATTTCCCAAGGGCCAGCTTTGACTCTCAACATCCCGCAGAGGGCAATGACACCAATGTAAGCGGCCATTGGAACAGTACACGCCTCTTCAAAGCTCATTCCATCATCAAGATGAAATGTAGTCCACTCGTAGGCAACGGCGTACTCCGCGTAACTCCCATGAGGAGTCCCCAACTCATGAAGGGCAGCTACACGATCTCCAGGCTTGAAAGAGAGGACTGAGCTGCCAACACTAACGACTGTGCCAGCGATATCGTCCCCGGAGTTGGGACAAGAATGTATTGTCATCAGGGTAGCGGTGGGCAATTTCCAATCTTTGGGGTTGCATGACGTGCAAGCGACTTTTATGAGGACGGAATATGGGTGTATGATGGTTGGGATTGGAACTTCGTGAAGTGAGACGGTGGTCTCGGCTGAGACGTGGGCTTCCTTCATTGTTCCTGTTGGTTGGGTTGCCATTTTTTGAAGTCAATGGTCACTGATGAAGTGGGAATGAAATGGTTGGAAGATGACAATGAATTGACAATAGCAACACTGGAAAACAATAACTTTATATAGAAAGCAATGACGCGCTCAGCACAGCATCATCATCGGCTTGGTGACGGTACACGTTGCCGAGATCTTCGACACTTGCCACAAACGCATGAAGATATTTCAACGACATCTGCACTCGCGGTCTATCCCCAGCTTTCGCTGTCGAACTTTTTGAAAGTCCCAAAATCCCGGGCCAATGAGGGGACTTGAACCGCAGGAGAATAGGACCTGAGCAGACGGAGAAAGGACCCGGAGAGGAATCTAAGTTGGTACTTGCAGGTGCGAGAAGCGGGAATCGCAGAGCAAGTGGTCGAGGTTGTAGATCATTTCTGATGATGGTAAGCGCTGAAGCTAGTTTCCCCTGGCTGAGCTTGTACTGTAGCCGAGTGCGAAGAGCGAAGCAGAGGAGTCGCTTGGGTTATCATCGTGGGAACTTGACCTCCATATCTCAAAAATCTCATATGATTGAAAGTCCACCCGCAACTGGATAGTGCGTTCTGCATCATGATTACAGAATGCAGCATATAAGATTTCTGGCACAGCATATGGAAAGAAGAGAACGGTAATCACGGACGGCACGGAGTTCTCAAAAGAGACCATTGCCATTAATTGATCGATTTAATCATGATTGACGTACAATCGTCACCGGTATGATCACCATGTCCCTTTCGTATCTGTCTAAACACACAGCGGCTGGGGTTCCCCTGGCTTCTTATCATAACCAATTCTCCCCGCAGGCAAAAAGAACAAGGCGACCAAAGCACCTCCTCTAACCTGAGGGTAATGATGCGTGCCAGCTCCAGGACTTGTCCAACCAGCTCCCTGCCACCCTTGCATACCTTTCAACTCTGATCCCTCATCAAGTTGCACAACACAATTGATCTCGCCATAAGGATGCACATGATACTGTCCAGAATACTCTTCTTGGGAGTCCATGTATACTGTCGTGATGCTGAAATACCCGGTCTCTGCACTCGGGAGGAGAACCTTTGAACGGCGGTATTTGGGGCCGTCAAGTTGTGTTGTCGCAACCCATCCTTCTTTGAGGCCGGTGCGAACACAGGCGCACATTGTGTCGTAAAGAGGGTTACCAGGACCGTATTCTTTATTGAGTCTTTCTTCGAGATCTTTCCCTGGCGTGCTTTTGAGATATTTAGCAGCGATATGGATTGCGTGGGATTGGATCAGAGTGGCCTACAGGTTATCTATCTCACTGAAGAACTGCTTGCACGTTGTGACAAGTTTCTGTGCTGTGGGGTAGGCTGCGACGTCGACCTCGGTGTTGGCGGCTGGATCCATGATAATCTGGAGCTTGGGGAGTGCAAGTGAGTAATGAACTTCGATAATGAACTCGATAGTTCACTGAGCATATATTTATTCGAGTGTGTCCTCAACTCGCAAGAAGAGAAGTTTCGTACAGATATAAAACATCTTCAACTCTGCGTTGGGTGACAGGTTGCGGAAGTGGTAAAGCCGGAAGCTGGCACGGCATCTAGACAAAGCTAAATAGCTGCATAGTCGGAAACTAATGCCGTGGTGCATGCCACTTGCACCAATCATCAAGAGCTTATTCGTGATAGCTTTGCTGATCGCACTTCGCATTTCGCATAGCCCTTCGCTTAGCTATGATTGGTGAAAGGGGTAGGGAGGACAGTGGTACTGAAGTCGAGATGCGTACCTAAATAGTAGCTTTTTAGCTCTGTGTCCCATACTTTGAGGTCAGATTGCTCCTCTAGAAAACAAAGACACGATTTGACTGGGTGGCAAAACAACATTATTATGAGAACCTACCTAAGGGAAAACAGTAAGTGCTCTTTGAGGAAAAAATTTGCGTCAACCAACAAAAACAGCAACTTCCTTTACCTCGCCATGTAGACAAAGTAAACGGAGACTAACAAAGATCGCGATGGCAACTAAAGGAAATGAGATAGCAAGTCCATTCGCAATGTATATCGAAGAGAATATCTTGGCGGAGCCGAGAACGTGGTTTCCATCGAGCAGAATAGAGGATCTGTTTCGAACTCACCTGTATCTTTCACCCGACCGTACATACCAGGGGTGGAGATGTAGCTGGCAGACTTATAACCATTTCTGATGGCATCTACGGGCTTTGGTATGTCACGCACGCAAGCTTCTCGGGCAGCGCAGCATGCTGGCTTCTACCAACAAATTTGAGGAAAGCAGTGTTCGCCCTCATTGTGGTTCACAGATATATGGAGCTGAGAATAGTTGAGGAGAAGTAGCAAGCAGTACAATTGATACCAAATGTTCATCGACGCTTGAAACCCGTCGGGTTACCACCACCACCAGCATCATCATCAGCCTCCGAAATTATTTGTCAAGAATTTCGGTATTCAATATTAAAAGGCACACTTGAAATATGAGAGTAGGTTTTGTAATTCGAACCCACTGGTGGTATCACATAACGCCATATCTCGTAGGGCTACAAAGAAAAAAAACTGTGACGAAGTCATCGCTACGCAGAAGAACAGAATTAATCGCCGTGTGCAAGACCAAAGGATTCCAGGTATGCTACCCTTATTATGCTGCGCACAGGCCACTCCCTCCCGGAGTGTCACTGATTAACTTGCCACACGTCGTGACCTGCCACTGGTATAGCGTTAGGATTAATCCACTTGGCGAACTAAGGATAAGTAAATGTGGAATAAGCTTTTATCTTTGGCTGCTTTAGCATTGGTCGCGTCGGTGATCTTCTGCAGGAACGTAAGGACGGTTTCGGAAAGGTGAAGTGGAGGCATTGCTGCGAGTGATTAGAGTCGGGAGCTCGTATGCCGGAGGAAAGACTTACAGATGATGATGTTGTAGTGCCTCATTGAAGGAGTGTTGGAGGTTGAGATTGCTATTGCTATTTGGACGCTGGACCGAGTGTCACATAATTACTTGCGATGGTGGGGTAAAAAAAACGCGGGGTAAAGCGGGCAGCGTCGAGGATAGTCATGCCGCGCTAATCATCTTTCGACAGAATTTGTATCATTCTTGATAACCTCGAAGACATCACATATGCGACTTCGAATACGAATCCTGCCACACCAGTCTCGTATGCAAGAAAATTCAATCTACATACACAACCCGACTAAATTATGTTCCAAGTTGAATGCGAACAAATCAAATCGCTAAGATAACCGCCTTTGCCGAGGATGCGACAAGCTTTCTCTCAAACTCGGCCTTCGTCCGTCCAAACATCACGCACGCCAAAACACTTATCACCACACTTTTATCTGCGATTGCCCAAGTTCATCATGAAGCTGCAATCTACGCGGATCTGTAAGCCTCGCACTCCTCTGCGACTGCAGTCGGATTCACATCAAACAATCCCAGGTACGTTGTAGCACGATAGCTTATCTCGTCGATGACTGCGAGAGTATTGACATAGAATTTAGTACCGCGGAGACAAAGTTCCCGCCTGGAAGCAAAATTGCGCTCTATATCGATACCTCACAGCCTAGAAACCAACTGCAAGCCTCAAACCCTCTTCGAGCAGCTGCCAGCAGACCCCAGGACCTCGCATCCCGTTAGAGACATCTCACATACGCATCTGCCAACATCCGGTCCTATCGAAGTGTCAGCGACGGTACCTCCAAGAACACAATTTCAAGGTTGGTTGTTTTTATTGTTTTGAACAAGCAGCGTGCTAATACATCTATAATATGCTAGAATATTCCTACCCACCACAAACCCAGACTTGAAAACGGAGAGCTGTCGAGGCCGGTGCCGAGAGACCTTTAAAACGTGCCCATCTGACGAAGGAAAACTTGGAAACGTTCGAAAAAATGGGAGGGCGACAAAGGAAATCTGCTGGGAAGAAGTCTACTGGACAATCGTCTACAACCACAACCAACGACAAGGATTTCGGCACAAAACTCCAACAAAATAACATCATTTATACTGCCTTCGACGCACGAGCTGCAGATGATGCCGTCAAAATCAGAGAATTGTTAGATCAACCACGGGCATCCGAGCCACCTAATCAATTAGCCTACAACAGGTATTTGGTACTCACTGAGGATTACGAAAACGAACTTGCAGTAGAGATTTCCGCTTACCCACTCCTTTCAAAACGGACGGCCGAGCGGGAAGTCTCAGGCTACTTCCAAAAACCCATTCCACTCGAGCCACAGCAGCTGTCGGTACCGACTGTTACAGAACCTAGGGAAGATGTTGACTTTAATGCGCGTGCTCATAGGAAGACTCGGGCCCGAATACGCCACGCTGTTGCTGTTGCTGTTGAGGGGCCGAGGGAAGTTGTTGATAACTCCAAGTCGCGAAAGACTTGGAAGCGAAAGTATTAAGGTCTCATATCTCAAATTTCACGTAGTTCTCGTTGGCGCTTGTGGTTGGGGAAATTTTTTCCCGCGCTGGACAAGGACCAAGACTCTGAGAGGAGGAGATATGAGCACCTGCAGAACCGGGGCCAAGGACACCCCAACATCCTCAAATACTTTGGTAGAAGCCCTCCAGAATGCGAGCTATTGCGCAGTGGGCTCTTATTAGAGTACCACCTTCGTGGAACTCATTCGGCTTGTTTTGGTAAGCTGGATGCCATTGGCGTTCCTGAGACAGAGCGACGCTGGTTCGTGATATCCCCCCCCCTTCTCCTTTGAGGAATGGTTCTGATACGCGCGTATTAGCTGGCCCTATCAAGCCGTATCGGCGGTCGACTACATCCATTCCCGGGGCGTTGTGCATGGTGATATCGGGGTTCATAATTTCCTCGTCCATGACGACGGCAGGCTGATCTTATGCGACTTCGCCAGGTCCAGTATGGAAGGCCTCCTCCCCACTATCAGCACCGGTGTTCCATATGCAAATCCGCAGCGTAGCGGAACCCCTATTCCACGGCGGAGGATGATATCTTTGCCCTTGGTACAGTTCTATACGAGCTCGACCGTGGGAAACGGCTCTTCGAGGGTCAGAGCAGCCGGGACATCTATCGACATTTGCGCGACCGGGAGTTTCCTGACTTATCGATGGTAGCGCTGCCGCTGAGATGTATCGTCAAGAAATGTTGGAAACTTCCGGGATACAAAGCTAGGGACGCACTGGCAGAGCTGGGTCTCGTTCGGAGCGCTGGAGAGAGCGGGGAACAAGGGCAATCACTTATTCGACGTCGATGGGGCAGTGTTGCAATACATGAGGTTGAAGGTCGCTCAGTCACTGCACTCTGGCTATCGTGTGCAAAGATCTCGGACAAATCGGATATTGATGGAGCCCTTCGATAGTCCATTTGTTGGAAGCGGCGGTGCAAACCGGGACCTATTTCCTTGCCATGACATGATTAGGTCGGCCAAAGGTCTGGTGGAGTATGTGGGAGAGGCAGTGGAAGAGAGAGACCGTGGGAGAGTATTGGTTCATTAAGCGCTTGACCGATTGGGTATATTCTAGCACGTGACACCGCGAGAATCGGACCGTGGTGCAGGTACATGGGTACATGGGCGAGAACACAAAGTCGGAGCACGTCCGTCTTTGTCGATTAGCATTCACCTTCTCAACAACCCATTTCATTCCAGACATCACTCACACACCACATTTCCATCAAAGACAATGGCTCTGCGTCTTGGGACCACTCTTCGTGGGAGCAAATACTCATTTCGTCTGGTTGAAAAACTTGGCGATAAGACTGTCTTCAGCCCTGTGTTCAAGGCCGAGGTCTTGCCTGGCGTTCAATCTCTTCTCCCAAAAAATCGATGGTACGTCTACAACTCAGTTGTATGTAGGAGTCTGCTAATTCTCGTACCAGGGCTATTGTGAAAAGCGCCGATCTTGAAAATCAGACTCAGGTGGACTGCCTCGTAAAGGAACACAAGTATTACAAGAATCCTTGTGTCGAATCGTCTAAGAACTTTCGAAAGTTGTGTGACATCATCAACGACCCTATAAGTTAGACAGCTCAAAAGCCCTTCTGTCTAGCCTTTGAATGGATGGATACGACTCTGGCGGAGGTTCCTTTCGAGGAACACATGAAAGATCCTGTATTAGTCGCAAATATTGTCAAGGTATGCTTGGAAGCATTTGTCGAGCTAGAAAAAGAGCACCTTGTTTATTCAGGTATGCCATTCACCCATAGAGAGTTCTATCGCCATTCACTAAGCAGAGCAGACTTGAAACCCGCGAATGTTCTTATATCTAGCGTTGACGGGCTGTCTAAAGTCAAAATCGGAGACTTGGGGCTAGGTACGAAGCACACATCGCAGAATTGGGTTACGCTAATTTACTGTAGCGGGACCAGAGGGCGGCAATCCACGCTGGGTTCAGCCCGAAGCATTTCGTGCTCCTAAGGTCTGGACAGGGGTGCGCTGCTTCCATAAAGCCGATGTGTGGTCTATTGCTGCTATGGTTAGTTGCCGGCCTCTCATTCTTACCCAAACTAAAGAAGGAAGATATTACAACGGTTTGATCCCAACATCCTAGGCAATGCCGACAACATCGACAAGACGCTTATTCACCCAATGGCATGGTGCCTAGCGAAGATTATACTCCTCTTCGATCCATCCTGTAGCTCGATTCCTCCTCCTTCTGACGTCGATAAGACCTTACAGGCCTATTTCGAGTTGGCCCAAAACCTTACGACAACACAAGCAGAGGAAGATTCGGACGAATTACTTTTGCAGATTCCTTCATTTGAGGTATGGGCTGATCTAGCTATGGACGCCGGCATCCCGAAGGTAGTCCTAGACGTTATACGCCTTTTGGCCGTTCCTAACCCGACGAACAGACCTTCGGCTCTGCAAGCTCTTCAATCACCCGAATATAAGGCCCTCCAGAAAGCTGCCGCCGCGTATGGAAACTAGGAAGCTCTCTTAAGATCTGGTATCCGATGATTCCAAATGGGCACTTGGGTTCGAGCTGATGCAAAGATGGGAAGCCCTGGAGGACATGTTTACAGAAGCTCTGTGAAAGCAATGCCCAAAAGGGACTGCTCCTATCGTTCGGGTTGTGAGGATTTGTCAAATCCCCCAAACGCCTTGCTATGCCAACCTTGAATATACTGGGTCAGAACCTCCCAGTCATATTGAATCGGGAGGAGATACAGAAGTCAACTGCAATGTTACGCCTAGTTCCTCTGTTTGCCGCAGATTTTTGGGGTTTTCCAGACAAGACAAATTTAATCCTTATTATCAGCTTTCGAAAGATTACAAGCAATGGATTTTGGGTTAGATATTTACTACGAACGTGGGGAGTGAGTCATGTGCAGCTTCGATGTCGCCCATTGTTGCGAACGACATTGACATTCTCCAAACCTCAACCAACCTCAACCTCAACCTCAACCTCCCAACCTCCCATATTTCCTTCTTAGCTCTGACGCATCTAGATCGCCGAATCCTGCATTTCCCCGCTCACTGACAACGTGCCCTCACCCTAGCGATGTCACCGCTAAAGACTCCCGCGAACAAAGATCCGGAGAGAGAAAGGGACTTCCGTTTCCGAACCAACGGCACGGCTTGCGAATGGGGCGAGTCATACCACCCCGGCGGCTTCCACCCGGTTCACTTACAGGATATCTTCAACAATCGGTATCGTGTAATTCGAAAGCTTGGCTATGGCTCCTTCTCTACAGCTTGGCTTGCGATTGACTTACGGTTCGTCGGCTCTTATCTCTCTGTTTGTTGTTTCGGCCTCCTAATATGATTTCTACCGTCTAGTTCTTCTCGCTACGTGGCACTAAAGATTGCTACCGCAAATTCCCAAGAAGCTGTGTCGAGGGAAATCTCGCTGCATCATCGTCTCGCAAAGTCGGCCACGGACGCTACCGATTTCCGATACATAGTTTCTTGACTCTTTCGACCACCACGGGCCGAACGGGACACATTTGTGTCTTGTCTTTGAAGTCATGGGGCCAACTCCTAATTCCGTGATGCGCTTGTCTCCGGAGTGCCAAATAGGTGAGCCCTGGGAACGACGATTGCCGAAACAATGGGCAAAACGTATTCTGCAAGATATCCTCTTGGGATTACACTTTTTAGACGCCAATGGCATTGTTCATGGCGATTTGCATCTAGGCAATATCCTCTTCACCATCACACTCTCGGATATTGAATCCGATCTGCCTAAAACTCTTCAACAACGTCCTAATCAAGCTGTCCCTCTACGACGGCTGGACGGCAAAATCGATCCTTGGGCTCCGAAGTATCTTCTGGAACCAAATTCGCTTTACGACTATATATCGTTTGAACTAGATCCTCTCGTGAAAATTATTGATCTGGGGTCGGGTAAGACTAGTCGATACCTGGCTAACACCTTTACTTAGCCTTCCTAGAAGATAGTCCTCCTCGTACCACTGTGACCCCGGCAGCACTACGAGCTCCCGAGGTAATTCAAAATGGCCGGCTTGGACGCGGCCTCGATATATGGAGCTTTGGGTGTCTTGTTTTCGAGCTCATTATCGGGTATCCGCTGTTCAATATTGAGAGATTGGAAGGAAATCGGTTTGACGAAACGACTAACGACGAGCATCTTATACAAGTCACCGAGATGCTTCAGCCTCTACCCGATGCACTACTCAACAAATGGCGTAGGGCAAGCAGCTACTATGGGCCGAATGGGGAGCGACTGGATATCCAAGATGAAGTGTACAACTCGGATGGAGGGTCAAACGGAGAGCGACTAAAACATCCAAGACGATCGATCCGACGTGGGTGGAGGTGATTGGGATGATGATGAGTCAGATACTGGCAGCTCCACAGAGCAAATCCCAGCCTCTTCGCAGTGTTATGATTCACTTGAAGAGCGGTTTAGGGCCGTAAAGCCTGCCGACATTGGTGAGAGAGAAGAGGAGGAGATTGTGTGGTTAATTCGGCTGGCCTTTGCAACTTGACGCGAAGAGACGCGCTTCGGCGGCCGAGCTTCTTCAGCAAGCGTGGTTCAATGAATGATGTAGCAATACTGCCCTTGTTAGCTTTTGGCAGAATAAGTTATGATTTGTACTCGGACTCCAAAGCACACTACGACTAAGCGCGAATATACCCTTTGCGATCCTGCTAAACCCTCTGGCTAACTCTGTCGCGATGCAACAGCAGATCAGAGCGCCGTAACAGGCTCGAGCTCTGTTACTACCGCATGTCCATTATGTCCTCAGTATGTGTATATTCATCTTTATATGCAACTTCTTACTAATTGAAATCTAGGCGATAAATCAACTCTATGACGAAGATTTGTTAAGAATAGGGATTGTCATTGTGTGGGCTATCGTACTGTGGAAAATTCTGTGGACTCATTTTGTGCAAAGGGTTTCTTGACAGCAATTCGAATTCCAATTCTTTATTTATGCAACCATCTTACCCAATATACACAATACGATAAATTTAAGTACATCTGTTGCTGAATCGACCTGTTCATCCCAGCAGCGCCGAATGATATCTCCGAGTACTAACGCCTCAACACTAGGGAACTTCTCCTCTGCGTAGTTCTTTTCGACTTCTTCGTCCTGCAATCCGTCAAAGGGCATTTTCCAGGCCGCAATTTCGTAAAGAGCACTGCCTAAAGGAAAAAGCTCCTTTTTGATAGATGGCCGAGCCTCCCATGTCCTACCACGTAAAGGCAACTCGTATCGGATCTCCTCTCCAATACCTAACGACTCTCCATCATCGATCATAGAACCTCCAAAATCGCCAATCTTAACAATCCAATCTTGACAGACAAGGATATTGCGGCAGCTCATATCGCCGTGAACAACAGACTTCGAATGTATATATGCCAGTGCGAGTGAGGTCGTTCGATGAGAGCGGGGTGGTCGGGGATTGTTGGTTGCAATCGCGATCCTGGGGTCGAGAGCCGACGGGTATTCTGAGTCACTCGAATCACATTGCAGCCAAAGCGCTAACTAATACTAAAAGAGCGATAACGAGAAGCAACGAACGGCTTTTGATACCTTTGATGAATAGATTGGGCCAAGAGATGCACTTGCCACTCGCTGCAACTGCCCATCTTTATAGGAGGGCTCTTTCCTGCTTAGCCGTAACGCCTGCCCCGTTGTAGGACGAAAAATCCGTTTACCCGTTCTAGGGCGAGGTGAATTCAATGTAGAGGGAGAGCGCACGGTGTCGTTATTCTCTAGTTTGGCAGAATCAACGTTTGCAAACAGTTCTTGCTAAAACGTATTCATGATACCAGGCGGTTGGCGATGATTTGAAGCAACGGGAGAAAGGGACCCAAAAATTCGTCTGGGAGGAGCTTCTCTCGCTTTATGGCTGCTGTTTACGAGCGAGTTCGCTAGAATAGGCGCAAGATCGTCGGCGGCCTCTTCCTTAAAAGGCTTTTCATGCTTTTACGACATTTTAAGCAATATACTCTATTTTCCGCTCCAAATCTCTCGCTTTATTTAAGTGTTTTTAATATTTTTGTACGCTTTTGTGTTGATGTTAGTAGCGTTAGCGCCTTCCGCATTAGCGGATTCGTCTTGGATTCGTTCGCGCTCCTTCGAAATCTAATAAACAAGCTAATGGTATGGACGTGAGGCCTCACGTTCCCGTTCCCGCTCCCGTATAGCTCGTCGCTCTACAGCACCGGAAAGAAAAGGCCTGGACCTCAGCGACAGCCGAACGCCTCTCAAGGGGTGTCCTCCGGTGACCCACCATTGCTATCTGGCCTAGATATTGCTGAACCACTACTTTAGACTGGTAGCATACCTCCACGAAAGAAGCAAACGGCTACAGCCGCCTGTCCCTATCGTAGCCAAAGGCTCAACCGAGATTGCTTCTACAGACTCACTCAAAGGCATAGCCCGATCAAGGCCGAAGCGGAAGGTTCCAGGCAATCCGATATCCATGGTCTCAGCGAAACCCCAGGGAATATCCAAGAGACAGCAGTCAAGTACAACACGGGGAAAGGCAAGAAAGGATGGCAATTAGATGGTAGCGGCAAAGTTACGGTGTTCTCAGCCACAAATCGATTTAGCAAAGGACAAAGTCAATAGCACACCTTAGCAAACACATTTCCAAGTTCAAAAGTCCATAGTGAACGCTCCGGCAGTTCTCCTTCCCTATTCTTCTTCTCCCCGTCCCACCCTTGAGGGAAAAAATTCAAAACAACTATAAAATTATACGAGCCAAGGGTCGCGATCGCTTGCTCAACTCTACTCCTGCCAGACCCACTCAAAACCATTCCAATACTTGTACTGCTGGGCGCCTTCGTCCCATACCCAGTCTGATGCTTGTTGATGAGCTGGTATCTAACCTGCAGAAGACGATGATTCGGCTACTGTAATGGACGGGTCGAGACGGACCGGTGCGTATTTTGGGTTCGAGAATGTCAAGTCTCCAGTTTCAGGATACCCAAAGACTCAGGATTAATTTTCCCTTTCGCTGCTTTCGTTTTAGTCTGCGGACGTGAGCAACGGCTGCTTTAACCTGAGCTGAGGGTGAGCTAACCTGAGCCAAGGGTGAGCAGCCCGAGCAGAGCCTGAGCATGCCTGAGCAGAGCCTGAGCAGAGCCTGAGCATCATGAGCACGCCCTGGGTCAGCCTGCGCGTCATAATGTGGAACACCATTTTGGCCTCTTGTGTGTCCCGGCTACAGTTTCCTTACCGAACTTTGCCCGGAATCCGTTTCTGGTCCCTTACAAGGGTTCCTGCCGCAGCTGACTTTGGAAATTCAGCCTCACAATTTACCGAACAGCACCAATTCAACGTTAGACGAAACACCACCGAAAGAAACGGCGAGGTGGACCTCGGAAGTAGAAATGAGGATGGTGATGACCAAGGCTCTACCCCGCGTAAATTAATTAATATAATTATTAATTATTTATTAAATTGTAATTTATAAAGCCGTATTCTTTTAGTTTAAGGGCTTGGTTCCTAGCCGGTACCATTAACCAATTTTGAATACCTAGCTCGCCTAGGTAGGTGTCATTTTTGTCACATGACCTTCGGTCACGTACTAGATTAGTCAGCTCCTTCGGAGCCTAAAAAGCTTAGCTCCGCTGAGCCTTTCAATCAAGCCTTTTCAACCTCTTAATATCACATAGGTATACACTTTAGTCACGTGGTATCGATTATAGGTTTCCTCTAATTGGCCTGGATTCATAATACAGCCATCAGCCTCGAGCTTTCACCGCAAAAGGCACCCATGATTGAAGTTCTAAATCCTTGTCCTTACGTCGTGCCTGCCACGACTGCCCGCTTCACAACACAACACCACACCATTCTACGATAGCACAGCACAAGACGAGCGCTAGCATGGACACCGACACCGACGGCTCGGACGTCCTACAGATTGTCGTTGACACAAACCACCAGGATAACGGAAACGCAGAGATGGAGATGGAGATGGACCGGAGTTTTACATTACGCGCCCTCCTTGCGGGGCTCTTCCTCGGTGTTCTTGTCAATCTCTCCAATACCTACTATGGACTTCGGATAGGTGCTGGCAGTCAAATGTCCATGGTTTCCGGGCTTTTGGGATTCGTTGGGTTTAAATTGTTCTCGAAACACACTGCAGTACGATTTTCTGCCGCAGAAAATTTTCTGGTCATCAGTGTAGCCACAGCAACAGGGTGCATGCCAATTACGGCTGGCTTCGTTGGTATAATTCCAGCGCTCGAGTATCTGATCGGCGCAGAGGAGAATGGTCCACTTCATTTGCATTGGGAGAGCCTGGTGTTGTGGTCGATGGGACTTTGCTTCTTTGGTCTAATATTCGCTTCACTGCTTCGAGAGCATTTTGTTGTACAGGAGAGGCTACCGTGGCCAGGACCGAAAGCGAATGCCCACCTGATAAACACTCTCCATCGCAGGTCTCCAAGGTCCTCAGCACCTCCTGGTAGCAGCTTGGCTTCGACGGTGTTGGTTGGGCCCAATGGAGATGAGTATTTCGGTCCCTCTGCCGAAGAGCCTTTACTTCCGCGCGAGAATGATTTCGAGTGGAAGCTCAGGATGAACAGTCTGTTCAGAGGGGCTACGGTGTCTGGAATCATTGTAAGCGTATCTTCTGAACTCCTTTCGCTATCTTTTGACATATGCTAACGACGCTATCATTCTTCACAGACTGTCTTCATGTACTTTGTACCGATATTTCATTCCCTCCCGATTCTTGGGCTCCAAGCTGCGAACAAATGGCTCTGGACTCTGGACATTTCCCCTGGATTCTTTGGCCAAGGCATCATCACAGGCCCCACAATTCCCCTCCATATGCTTTTTGGTGCCATTGTTGGGTGGGGAATATTGTCACCATACGCTAAACACAACGGCTGGGCACCTGGCCAAATTGATGACTGGGAAACGGGGTCAAGAGGATGGATAATATGGGTCAGCTTGGCGGCACTGTTGGCAGACGCTTCTGTCAAGCTTGCCTGGTTTCTAGTCCGACCAATCTGGAGGCAATATCTTGCCGGTAGCAATCTGCAAAAGCCACTGAATGCTGTCTCCAAGAATGTTGATCAAAACTCAGAAACTCAATCTCATGGTGGCGAGTTCATTGCTGCTCCATTTGAGATGCAGGACGAGTCGGAGACAGCTCAAGATCATATCACGAGTGGCTCAGGATGGTCTTCAAGCATACACCCTGAGCCATATAGTTAAGCTTACTAATTACCTCCAAGTCCACTCTCACCACGAGTACTTGCACTGGGATTTTTTTGCTCTGTCATCGTCTGCACCTTGGTAATACATTTCATCTTTGGAAATATCATACCGTGGTACTACACAATTCTAGCAATAGCTATCTCGCTTCCAATGGCAATTGTGGGCATACGATCGCTTGCAAAAACGGATTACAACCCAAAAAGCGCTCTAAGTATGTTCTCTTAGCACTAGTTAAATTTTCCTGCTAATTCTCACGTTTATAGTCTCCTAATTAGTCTTTGCTTCCCTAATATCCCGTTCAAATCCAAATAGGATTATTATTAATCTTTTATTAGCAGCTGTAGCCCAAACAAGAGCGAATCAAGCCGGTGAGCTTACTTACGACTTTAAAATCGAGAGTCTTGTTAGCGCTCGATCCGACGCACAAGTCTATAGGCAAATTATTGGGTCAATATTCGGTGCGCTTAATTCATGTGGCATATACAAGCTTTATGCCTCTCAGTATCCTATACTAAGAACTTTTTTTAAAATACTTTCGTCATTTCTTGTATTTAGCACGGCAAGATTAGTAATAGGTCGAGGGCTTCCGGATAGGGTTGCTCTTTTTGCCATTGGGGCTGCATCCCTCTCTATATTAGTTACAATTATTAAGATACGATACTTAACGGAATGGTGGCAGAAGCTGATCTTAAGTGGTGTTTCATTTGCTATTGGTAAGCAAATATTAGGCAAATTTCCCACGCAAAACATGCAACTAAATCTTTATAGGAATTTATAACATGCTTTTGTTCACCTTCGCCCGTGCGGCCGGAGGGGTTTTCTTTTGGGCTTATCAAAGACGTAATAAAAGTCGGGAAAGGAATATAATAGTTCTAGCAAACGAATTAGTACTAAGCGAATCTTTTGCGAGCCTTATTAGCCTTGCTTTAAGCGCTTTGCAAGTTCCTCAGGTTGGGGGAGGGTAATACATCCAAATTATCGCAGGTGGGGTCCAAATTGGAGTCATGCACGGCGGCAAAGGGATATGTGCCAAATTTTGGTGGCTAACGGTGCAAACTGGCTGAAAATGCAGCTTCAGATAATCAATCAAGAAGTTAATATAATATATGCAGGCGGTCTCATTAAGGCAAAGCAGGGTAAATGTACCTACCGTGCTTCTCTCTCATGCTCAAAGTTTATGGCGGTGGGGAGCCTTGCAGCTCCCTTCATGCACCCTGTCTTCCATTCATGCCCAAAACGTAGACCCACTCAAAGGTACGTTCAGGTATCAAGTATATAATAGGAGCACTCATGGCCGAAAATCGTGCTTGATCTGAGTTGACACGTGCAGCCTAAATCGCATCTTCCATTTTTTCGGATACCGACGCCACACATCACAAATGGACGCCCAAAATAAAAGCCTTGTGAATATTTTCTTCACAGGCAATCTCTGTGTGAAGTTCGTTCGCCTGCAATGGGTCGATTACTCGGGCGTGTTACGCACGCGGATCATCACCAAGGGTCGATGCCAACAACTCGCGTCAGGGAGCGACTACTATCAACTCGCTCAAAACTGTATGGTCATCCCTCTCTCTACAGCCCCACGATGTTGGCCGGACGGAATCGAAGAATGGAACTTATGCCCGGATTGGACATCGCTCAGGGTCTGCGGATTTGCTCCAACGCACGCTTCCGTCATGTGCGCCACGGCAAACCGAAACCTCTCTGCCACGGATCATTTTGCAAGGTGTCCCAGGAAGCTTTTATCAAAAGTCCTAGATGCTTTCGACAAACAAGACAAATCCAAGTTGCTTATGGGCTTTGAAATTGAGTTTGTCCTTCTCGACGAGACCTTCAATCTTGCGAAATCTATGGATCAAACAGTTGGCTATTCCATGACTGCGGGTCTCCGAACCGAGAAATTAGTTGTTATGGAGGAGATCGTTGCAGCGTTGGAGGTGTCCGGGATCGAAGTATATCATTTTCACACAGAGATCGTGGATCAGTTCGAAGTTGCACTTTCTCCGATGCCACCGATGCAAGCTATTGACGCCCTTATGATGGCCCAGGAGACGATCCGCACTATCTTTCTTCGCTATGGTCTGAGAGCTACCATGGCGCCAAAACCCGTCTTCAACGGTCCCCAGAGTGGTTGTCATGTTCACGTTTCTCTGAACCCTGGAACCAAAGACAGTTCGGCATCCTTCCTGGCCGGCGTACTTTGTAAGCTGAAGCCTCTCTGTACTTTCGGCCTTGCAAACTATGACAGCTACTACCGAGTTTCTGGTGATTGTGCTGGGGAGTGGGTAGCTTGGGGAACTCATAACAAAGATTTACCTGTCCGTCAAGTCAATCCGAATCGCTGGGAGTTCAGATTCCTGGATGTTACCGCGAACATGTACCTTTCCATCGCAGCAATTCTTGTAGCAGGAATAGCTGGCATGAAGCGACAACAGCCTTTGACCATCAGTGATGTTCAACTTGTCCCATCAGCACTTTCTCATGCTGAAGCGGGACGTCAACTGCAAGCCTATGGAGTTACTGAATCCATGCCATCAAAACTCGAACAGGCCTTGGATGCGGCAAAACATGACGAAGAGTTGCAGGGCTGGGTTGGGACCGAGCTCTTCGAGCAATATGTCAAAGTAAAGGACAAAGAGGTGGAATACTTTTCCAAGATGACGGATGAGGATCGCAAACTAGTATTCGTCAGACATTTCTAGAGTCACAGAGGCAGCACTCTCGTTTCCTATATAAAACATCGTCTTTAGCAAAGGGAGAAATTGGTTCTTGCTAGAGTGTTTTCATTTCCAAACCCAAGTTGCACAATCCACGAGCTCGAATGTATCTGGATTCATGACCCGCCATCGAAAGTCAACACAATTTTAATTCATCTAGAGCAATCTATAGCTTTCTGGCACCTTTCGACCACCTTCTGCGACACGATCTTAACACGACGTCGAAGTGATAGACAAAAAAACAAAACAAGATGATCGGGACCCCTGTGGCAAACCAGGCCCATACACGCACAGTGCCTGTTCCCATCTCCACGAAATTCATGCCCCAAAAAGAGCAGGTAAATGACAAAGGAATGAATATAGTGGCCAGCACGGTAAGCTTCTGCACCCTCATCGCGTTCTGTGTTGAGCGTCTCGATTCCTCCAAAATAGAGCTGTTGGTCAGTGTTGTCATTCCCTGTTCACATTCCCTTGCCAAGTCGTCAGCGCGTTGAAGCAAATATCTAAAATCGGTAAGCAGCCAGGCCGCTGCTTGATCTACCGTGGTAGATGACGGAGCTCGTGGCCAGTCCATAGTATGGCGGTTCTCCAAGCTGTTCACAGTTTCGGCGAGGTTTCGCGCATGGGATGCCAACTGTGTCTTGATGTATTTGAGGTTCAGCAGCGAGAAGGCATTGAAAATTGATACTGACTCTTCAGTGCGTGGTCGGGGTGCTAAGGGCTTGGGTCGATAGAGGGAACAACCTCCTGTGCAGAAACGATCATAATAATATTCGATAAATGCATTGCAAATATCATCTGAAGCAGGGGGGGCCTGCCCCTTCGAGAACACTCAACTTAACCCATTCCTCCGGCGCTTCCTCGTCGTCTTAGATGTCTGAGCAATGCTTTCACCTTGGTACTGCAGTGACATGCAAATCGGAGGGCAGGAAGCCGTCCTGAAAGGGGCTGCCCACCTTAACAAGAGTATCAGGCAGTTAGCGCGGTGACTTTCGTCATGGTTATCCTTTCAACTTCGTCGAATAGCGCACCTGGATCGCCCTCTCACTCCGATGAGGGAGGGCAGTACTGATCTCTTCCCAGAAACAACTATCTCTCCTCATCTGGAGGACCGTTGCATCCTCCTCTGCTATCCATTTGAGGCTGCGACGGTGCGTAATGGATCGGAGCCTTTGCTAGCGCCTCCTTGCTCGGACAGATGCCCAATGCTTCGGGATTGATCGGAAAGAGAAGGTGCAGTTTGAACTCAAGGTTCAACGTTATTCCATCCCCGATCCTGGTGCGTTTGAGGAAGCCTTGGAAGGGCCATTCCTGATACTCAGCAACTGGGGCAGTCCCAGTTGCCGCAGAGGGAGTTGGAGAAGTCCGCGAAACGTAGTGCCGCTCGTTATCGACGGAAGTCCACGAACATCCGTGGTCAGCCTGGGGCTGCGCGTCGTCAACCTTAGGGCTGGTGGTCGAAGGCGCCACGAGGGGGTGAGACGGTCGGAGATGGAGAGGTGCAGTCGTGGCAGCCGCTAAGCGTGGCCTTCGTCGTTTTGCAGGTCATGGGGCCTCGTCGCCTGTATCGCAGGTGTTATGGTTGTAATTGGTGTTTACGGAATGGTGGGCGTCGCTGCTGATCTCTTTTTGCGTGTCCTGACGCCCCCGTTTATCTCTTCGTTCCCGTGCTGCAGGCTCGCCGCCCAGTGCCGGGCCTGGTGGAGCAAAGGAATTGGAGGCTCCGAGAAGTTCGTGAAATATAGCAATGCTCGTTGATCGGAGTCGCTGGGTGCTTGACGGACCTGAGACTATGCTTGGCTCAAGGAAAGGGGGGAAAAGGCTACTTTAAGACACGTTCCGTTAGCGACATGTTCCTCAAATACTTCCAAACTAGGATTCTCTTCAATCAGCTACTTACCTCTAAGCTCAGCGAGCAACATAAAACTGAGTAAGATTCCCAATTAACCTTCAGTGATCTAAGTCGAAAGCTCGTCGACCAGATACTCGAAAACTTTCCTACCTTTGTGGAGCTAGCTATAGCGCATCCGGTGAACTCGCACAACGTCCTATTCTACCTGCAATGCCGAGTCTTTAGAGGAGCGTTCACAGGGCCGTGGTAGCATTAACATCCGCACATCGTCTTCGTTGACCCACGAATCATACCTGTTTGGATGTTCACCCCACACAAACCACATACAGGAGGGCATCCTCTTTCCGTATGGGTTTTAAGGTTGAAGCTCAAAACTGAATGTGGCGAGATCTTGGTCCAACTTCCCATCTGTTGGGCGATCCAATCTTGAATCTTCGTCCACGCAGCCTCGCAAGAGAAAGGATGGTGATTGAAGGAGCGCAATTTCGGTGAGCGTGTTGGGATTGTGGGAAACAGGGGGTTTGAAGATGAGAGGCCTCCTGGCAAATGTTGGATTTTTTGCGATATGCAACAAAACAGGGTATTTCATTCTCCAAAACCAGGATCCTTTTTGACCTCTGTAAAGGGGTTTGTTCTTGGCTCCCGTCCAGCCGATTGGAAGCCGGTAGTAAAGTTAGCCACTGACCGCCACCCTACAAACTCTCCCTGCTGCCGTATCTCTACCCCTCCCGCTTCTTCCATTAGCGCTTCCTCGCTATGTTCCCTCTTCCGAAGTGATTGTACAGCCATCCGAGTCTCCCGCTGCTCCCACTCAAGGCCCTGAGCTAGGGTACCACATCAACAATCATCTCGCAACTCTTCTGGTCGACTACCAGTGGTTTCGCTGCGTTCTCGACTCTGGATCTCGTCCTATGGTGCCTCGGCCGACGAGGACTTGGGGAGATAGGTGTGCGGGCCGATGATGACTCCACTTGTTGCTCTCCCAAAGCCAACCCCAGTTCTTTCTCCAATTCAGCCATGTTCTCATCTGTCCATCCATCATCGCTGCTGTCGGAAGACTTGGGGAGGGAGTGGAGCGCAGACTCCACTGACGTGCTTCCAGTGATACTGCCGACACCTTGCTGGTGGGTCTGATCTTGCAGTGGTTGCCAACGGCTTGTGCGGGAGCAGAAGGCACGCTGTGCTGCTAGTGAGACCCAAGTCCCGGGGCTGTCTCCTCAACATAGCGGCCCTTCTCAACGTCATACCATGGACTAGATGTATCAATGGAGTCTGTCGGTGCTGAGGCGAGTTCTGAGGTTGGAAGGGAGTTATGTAGACTCGCGTCTAGTTCAATACGCCCGGTATCGACTTCACCGGAAGCGCCTTCGGCCTGACCCTCAGCACGTGCCTTATCCAAGTCGTCGTCATAGTCGAGATCTTCGGATGTAGCGCCGTCCGCTCTTCGAGAAATGGAAGATTTCTGTCTGATTCACCGTCATTGTCATCAAGAGCACGCTTATGATCTTGCATGAACAATACCTTGCTCAGGGAAAGTATATGGTGGGGTTGTATGATGGGTAGCATGCTCATGAGGAGCGCCAAACGTTGACTCCCAGGATTTGTATTGTCGTCCCTTTGGCCCTTTGATACCGTATAGAATCGTCGATCGACTGCTATTGAGGTGCAGTATTGTGTGTGTTTGAGTATAACGTCTTGTGGCAGACAGGAGTTAAATGAGTGCTTAATAGATCGGTATGTCTTTGCATACGCTGCAGTTGAAATTTGCGAGGTTCGGTAAGTCGTTCGGTGCGGCTCTTGCGAACAGGGATCCAAATCGGCTCCGAAAGAACCCCTGGCCTTACTACATCATTCAGAACACCTGATCCGCCTCTAAATGCCGGCAGACGCTCTAAGTCATCAAAAAAAAAATTTTTTGGTATTGAGAGCCCAGAACATGACGAGCTTCATCTTCTTCGTCTCCTTCGTCTTCTTCATCCAAGCCACACGGATAATTGACATTGTGATACGTTGAAGTGCTGCTGTGCACTGGCATACATCCATCATGAGCGGGCGGCAGCAACCGACAATGAGACCTCACCACAAAACCCGGACTGGGTGTGTACAGTGTAAGAGTCGGCGCATCAAAGTGAAGATTCCACCACCCATGAAGGTGCTGAAGCTGACATATCGATAGTGTGATGAATTAAAACCGCGATGCTCACGTTGCGTGAGATATGGCGAAGAATGTATTTATCAGGTCTCTGGTGAATCCTCGTCCAAATCATCTAGGTCTACCACTGCTTCCGAGATATCGGGACCAACCAGGCCTACTCGCTCCATCGAGGTGCCCAAAGACGTCAACAACAGTACTTCGGAACTCAATCTTGGAGATCTGGGACTTCTTCATGACTGGACTCTACCCTCGGGTGCCTACACAGGGTTTGCCGATAGCCCTGGGAGCGAGCATCTCTGGCAAGTCGAGGTTCCTCAGATGGCACTGCAACACCCGTTTCTCATGCGGGGGATTCTGGCAGTGTCTGCTTTGCATATAAGTCGGGTGAAGCCTGAAGAGAAGCCACACTATCTGCAGGTGGCCGCGTATCATCAAAATCTTGCTCTACCGTCTTACCGGTATCTTGTTGAAGATCTGAATGCCCGTATGAACAAGGAGAACGCGGGTGCAATCTTGGCATTCGCCCAAATAACAACAGCTTACGCCTTCGCTTCGCCTCATCCCCCAGGCAGCATTCTCTTCGCAGGACTGTGCGCCTCGACTGGGGTTCCCGAATGGGTGTACCTGCTCCGAGGGTGTCGAAAGATTATGACGATCGCAAAAGACTGGATAAGTTCTGGTCCTTTGGTGTTTCAGAACCAGGTTTTAGATGAGCCCATTGACCTCTCTTTGAGTCCTGATGACTACCATCTGGTTGCGTTAGAGCAGCAAATAGACAGCTTGCCTGTATCGAGCCCTGATGACGATGAGGAGATCGAAGTTTTCCGTGAAGCATTGTCTCTTCTCAGAAGAAGCTTCGCCTTGCCGTGGCAGCCTGGTAACACATTAGGTCCCAAGTACTCGTGCTTCATATGGGTCGATCTCGTTCCACAGAGGTACCTGGAGTTGCTGAGCATATTACGACCAGTAGCTTTGGTACTCTTGTCATACCAATGCGTCCTTCTGCACCAGTGTGATCATAATTGGTATATCAAAGGGGCCGCTAAGAGGATCATCGGTGAAGTGTATAACAACATCTTTGGAGGAAATTGGCGTCCCTGGATCGCTTGGCCGATGCAGAGGATATTGAATCAATGATGACGAGATGAGTATGAAGGTGGCAATGTCGGGCAAAAAATGGGAATATATGTTGACGACCGAATACTCTTTGTTTGGTAGACTTGGTTGGCGCCGTACAAATTCACCCGATGTTGCAGAAAGTCAGGAGAATGAGGTCTAGGTCGACTGCCGTGGAAAGATTTTCTCTTTCAGTGTCACGTCTTGGCTCCTCGATTCAGCCTTGACAATGTCCCAGGATCTCAGGGCGAGAACAATGCCAAGATTATGTCTTGGACAATTGATTTGTTGCTACACGAGAGGGATATTAACAGAGTAACAGGGTACAGCCGAGTGTCAACAACAAGTTTGGCGTTGTTTCGGCAAATTTCCAGGTTTCCCTAGATCCATTTGGCTTGAAATATCAATTATATGAATCCGTATCATGGAGGATGGTTTTGCTGCTCCCCGATGAAGACAATCTGCGGATTTTCAGCTTCTGGATGTTGCAGGACGGAAGGGCGTCACGGTCCAACAATGCGGATCACCAGAGAGAGTACAATGATGTCAGGTCACAGCATTGTTGTACCACCTCGCACAATGGAAATCAAGCAATTTCGGAGATAGATCTAATGGAACCATAGCATACCTATATTTGAACAGATCCCGAGTCCTTTCCATCGCTTTCCCTCATTCAACTCTGAACCTTCTCAAGCTCTTTCTTGCTCGAGCACCTCTTTCGAAATGACACCTGAACTTGCAGTGGCTGTCGTTGAAGCACTTTATCTGCTTCAGGCTTTTGTAGCAGCACTTGATGCTTTCCAAATCACACAATTCTTCTACTTCACCGGATATAGAGATGCCCATAAAATTGCGTTCGTCCCATCTGTCATATTCGCTGAGACTCCCACTAACAGCTTGATAGCATCTGGACCGTTGCTCCACTTCTTGGGTTCTTCCTCTTGTTCATCGTCCTTACTCAAATCCGTTGCATTGGACGCAGCCATAAGTTGAACCTCGACTTCGAATGGATCAAAGCTGGGATCGTGACAGCGTTGTGGATTTGGATGGTGGTTGAGAGTGGAGTCAGCAAATGGGGCAGCGATGCCCATATGACTGTGGCTTGTATCTTGTCCATCGTGTTCATTGCGTAAGTGTCCCACAGTTTTATGAGAATATCTTGTTGATCAAATGCAGACTTGCCTTTTATTCGACATTGATCATGGCCATGAGCAAGCACAGAGGACACAGAGATGGACGCGTGGTATTGCCAGAATAGACGATGCAAGCTCTTCGGCCACTTTGCTGCGGCAACCACCGGCTCCGACTACGGAGCTTGCAACAGGTATTTTGAGGAGCAGGTTTCAGCCTTATTTGAGGCCTTGAGGAGGAACGGAGGCAAACTGGAGTACATTCAATCATGATTCCCATTTACTTTATTAATTCATGCGGAGAAAGCAAACACGGATAGCTATGAAATATACAGATAATAGAAGTAGATCTTGCTCCAGTCATCCATTGTGTACGTAACACGGAACCACTCACTCAACTTGGTGAATAATGGACTTCTGCAGCAGCACAACACGAGCTAGGATGTCGGCCTCGAATCCGCAAACCAAGCACCAAGTTGCCGCCGGCAAGATTATATTGAGATCAGAACAAACTTTCCAGCTGCGAAGTACCCCAGTGGAGGTAAAGAATTTGCGAATAGTCTTCTGCTCTTGTTTTGTTTAGGCACTTGCCACCTTATGATTCTTTAACATTTCACAAAAGTTCAGACTAGGATCAAGCACAAAACATTGTCTGTATCTTAGATGAGGTTCGAATCGCGAAAGCCATCATATTATATAGATGCCTCTTTTGCATCTTAGTATACAAAGGACAAGTTCCTAGTCCCAGACCCCTTCGCCCACTCCTTCCGTACAAATGAAATGATTTTAGTTGGCTGTTGCCTCGTTACCCTCACTTGCTGGCTTAGCAGCACCCGAGTCGGACTTCACAATGCTCTCCTCTTTGCTCTCATCAGCCTTGACCTCTTTCTGGGAGGCTGGTTCTCCTTGCGACTCTGGCTCCGGCTTCCCAACAGTTGAAGAGTCAACTCCCTCAACGTCTGGGTGGGGAGGTGCAACGCCTGCAGCCTCTGGAGGTGGGTTGATCTCGTTGCCTTGGGCATCGACCAAACGTGTACGAGTCTCGTAACGGGTCTTGAAGCTGACTTTTCCTTCCAGCTCTTTGACCTGCTCTGGACTCAAAAGGTTGCCATCCTGATCCCTGTATTCGATTTTCTCTTCTCTCGAGAGAACGCTTTGCGCCATGCCAGCGGGTGGCGGCGAAACGAGTGGTGGTGCCTCTGAAATACCAACTCTCTCTTCCTGAACGATTGGCTTTTGCTCGCCGGCAGGGGGTGGTGGAGGTGGGACAGCGGCATTGGTTGGTATCAATGGCGAATCAGTTTTGTGGACATCAGCGTTGGCGTGCATTGATTGAGTAGAGTATTGAGAATACTACCAAGGTTAGTTTTCAATCCTTGCGGCCACGTGTTGGGAGGACTCGATCAGGGATATGAGATGAATTTACCTCGGTAAGGAAAGTATTGCAGTCCCAGTCCCAAGAATCGAATAGCTTGACCTTGTTGCAAGCTGACTGGGTCCATGGATTTCCATATGCTAGAGGGGAGTACAGCATGAAAGCAACAGCACTTAAAGCTACAAAGATCGTAGCGCCCAGACGTCCAAACAAAGGATTCTCACGGAGGCCAATGCCGGGGACACGGGCGGTGACGAAGTCGTAGATGTGACAGAGAGCCATGACAGCAAAATAGAGCGCCGGGAAGTAGTGGTGCAGGAACAATTGACGTTGCATAAGGTAAAAAGGGAAGTAATGCAGAGCCCAGCCAAGAACCATCGTGCCAACTTCGTAGTCAAAGCGCTTGAATACGGTGTTGCTGTAATCATTGCAGCTACGTTGCCAACGGAGGACGGCCAGACCCTTGAAGATTACGTAGACAACAATAGCCAGAGACGATGACCACCAGATGATTGGATTTCCAATGAGGTAGATCTGGCGATTGTCCTTACCCCAGAAGTTGATACCACGCTTGAGAATTGGCCAGGAAGGTGGGCGAGAGTCCCAAGCGTGAGACTCGACAAGGCCGGCATTGGTGTTCCACATGACTTTCTGTAATTCCCAGAACTTGCCAAAGAAGCCTGGGTTCCTATAGTTGACCTTCTCGGCACCCTCACCAAGTTGAGGATGTTCGTTTTGCTCTACGTACCAGACGCTATTGGGAAGCGTTCCGCCCTTAGCACAAGTAACTTCCTGTTGTTCCGATGCCCATTCGGGAAGCTTAACCTTGTGAGAGAAGAGAACGCAGCCAGTCATGACATGAATCAGCTTGAACTTGGTCTGAATAGTGCGGACACGGTGCTTGGCTTCTTCGCCATCTGACATCTTCTTGATAATTTCGACTCTGAAATAATCATTCGCATCACCCTCAAATCCTTCATACCCGTACGCAGAAACCTCATTCTGCCAATCAGCCTCGGTGACTGGAGGGCGGACGTCGTGTGAATGGAGGCGGCGGCTAGTAGGTAGGTGTAACAGCTTGATAGTATCACCGTCTTTAATGTACGTAGGTGGTGTGATAGCATCCCAGGCAAGCGAGCCGTTGTTTGGTTCACCGTTGAGATCCAAGGGCTGTGTCATGTTCTCGAGAAGCCATACATTGTTCTCGTCCTTATGAGGATAAAGAGTGATCTGTTGTTGCTTGCTTCCAGTAGGGTACATAAGATTGTGAGAGTGCAAATATCCTCCTTGAGTGTTGTGGTGACGAATGCTGACTCGACTGCCAAGTGCAACATCGACTGGTACATCCTGCATGGCCTTCGAATTGAGGGTAGCTTGGAACTCGGAGCTCATGAATCCATCTCCATCACCTGGATTTACGAGGCAGAGGAAATGAATACCAAACATGGCCATATAGAATGAAACTGGGATGACAATCAGGCAGAAGATTCTGGCTACTAGGTGTTTGGTGAAGAGACGCTAGATTGATGAGCTAGCTTCTTATCAAGAGGTATGGGATTGCTTACAGGAGTGACGGTCTTAACGTCTCCGAGTAAAATCCATAGTTGTAGGACAGTCAAACCACCAACCCAGGCAATTGTGAACAAACCAACCCACTTAACACTAACGGTAGCTCCCAATCCTAGACCGGTCATGGCAAGCCAGAACCACCAAGTTGGTTGGAAGGCCTTCGAAGGACCTTGCTCGTGTTGGTTTGAAAAAGACACCCAAGCTAGTGCGGTGAAGGCAGTCATGATCATAAGGGGAGAATCGAGGAGAATCAATCGTGCTTGAGTAAGTAGACCATTTTCTGGAAGCCATTAGCATTGGCAGATCCATTTGTCATTTAGACGTCTTACCAAAGATGATGAGACAGGCGCCCATGAAAGCAGTCGTTGTTCTGCATCCAAAAGCTTTCAAGGTCAAAAACATTGTAGGAACCAAAAGAATACCGCAGACGGCTGGGAGCAATCTCATGGCCACGTATGGTACACCGGGCTCGACGTAGTCCTTCCCAATGTCCTTGAAATCAAACTCTCCATCAAATCCTGCTAACCATCCAGCGAGTGTAAGTAATAATTTGGCAAGCGGAGGGTGAACGTCCATGAAGAATTTGCCCTTGATGTACTTCGATGCGAATCCTCCAAAACTGTCCAATGTTAGCTTGCGCCGTGAACCACGAACAATAGCGCCACCTACTGGACCTCATCAAAGACAACACTGCTAGGCTGGTATATTCTGAAAAGTCTGACTACTGCTGCCATGAGCGTAGCTACCAACATGACCTGATAGTCAGATATAGGTAAGAGGAAGATGTCATGATCTTGGACGCCTTCTGAGGTGTAGTCTGTCGGCTTTGTAGACTTGGGCACAACCTTCTCAGATTGGTGACTTCGCACAGGTTCTGGAGTCGCCGCTTTGACAGCGGGTTTGGTTGATTTGGCCATGTTCGCAGAGTCGTTGATTGTCGAAAGAGGGTGAGGCTACCCTGACGTTGGAGCTTTCACAGCTCACGCGTTAATGGAAGTCGGCCAGGCCCTTGAACAATTGTTGCAGTCCTTGAAAGAAAGTAAAGAAGAACTCGCGACGAAGATTAAAAGTGCAGCATTGAAGTTGAAGGACTGCAGACTGGGTTGTCGTGGACGTCCGCGCTGTAGGGGGTGAAAAAAAGTACGTATGGGATCGCGTATCCCTTTTACACATGAAGCCAGATTTCTTAGCTTCAGCCGACGCACCGGGTCCCGGCTGCAGATGAGCTTCTGGTCCAAATTTAGAATTTCACCAACATCAGTACTGTGTGCATCTCCAGGGCTATCTATATATCGTGGACAAATGGAAAATCGGACATTCTACTTCATAGAATGTCCAAAATGTTGAACTGACCTTTGGAGAGCTCCCCAAAATAGAATCATTCCCGCTCAAATTAGTTTAGTGGTAGCAGGGGTCTGACGAGGCTGAGATTCTGGTGCATTGGCTACCAGTAAAAGGAGCGTGAAAGCCGTCAACTGAAAGTTCTATGGCAATTGAGGTAACTGATGCATGTGTAGTGTTAAAAGAAAATTGTGCTAGTCAATGGCACTGTTGAGACAAGCACTTATACTACCTGATTATAAGTTAAGCTCTTCTCAGTTTTTGTAGGTGTCCTAGTGTGATTTGAGCTATCAGCTCTGAATGTCACATAGTCCATAGGGATAGACAGCAAGGAAGCGTTGGGTGATCACTAGCTGGATCAGCGCATAGAGATTGTGTCTCCAATTCATCTTTATCTACAATACACCCCTCTATTCGCTTGCCACGCTCAATCAAACCTCCACCCTCTGTGCTCTTCTAGTATCCATCCTTTCCCCACTTGTTGTACTTCTCGTGTAGTTCCTGGTTCCGGCATTAGCAACTTCTGAACTGTTTGCCGAATACTGCTATAATATCCTTCGATTCCGCAATATGCCTGCAAGACCTCAAGAGTCATACAAGCCTTTCAAATTTAGATATGAGATGGCATTTGGTACCTTTGGCAGATTGACATTGGGAACAATGACACTGTGGAGAGCACTGGGGGCATCCTTAGGAGGGTTCTTTGGGTCACCTCCAGGGTGGTATTCTGAGTAAGAGACGAGATTAGCAATTGCTTCTGTATTGGGTTGATCTCTGGTGGGTTCGGAGGTCCCAGAACAACCTCCGTCCCAACATTAACAAAGGAGAGCCACTGCTAGTGAACCATGTACTGTCCAATTGTAGGTTTAATGGTTTCTTCGACGTACGGTATTTGAAGTGCTCGCGGGCCGAATCACCCTTTGAGCTCTCGGTTTGCCATGGCATACCGCCAGCTGCAACATTGACCTTGGTTTCGGAGGTTGCGGAGGTTGGTTTGCGGCCTGTATCGTGGTCAATTGAATCCAGGGCATCGAGGGAATGGTGGTTCGATGTTACCGAAGTAAAATCCTGCCAGACCAAAGGCTCCTGACATGACAGCGAGAAGAACCTACGAGCATCTCGCAGATTAGCAATTGATCCAGAGCTTCTATAGTAGGTATCCGTGCTCCAGCCAGCGATGCCGGTCGTGGAAAGGAAGAGGAACGACGATCGAGGGACATACGTAGAGTTCAGGATCCCGCTTTGCACCCTTATTCAAGACATGGCTTTCCTTAGCTGCTTGTGCAGCGAGTCTTCCCAGTGTAGGTCTCATCTTGTATGTGTTGTAGGTATGTGAGGGTTGCGGTCGAGTTGTAGTTAAGCTCTTAAGATGGATGGTACGATATTTTGGAGACCTCGTCAAAGCTTGGCTTCAGACCACTGTCACATGACTCTCCCTCCCGCTCTCATGCACCTGGGCAGCTTGCCCGAGTGGAAAGATAGAAGATCTTCCTTCACCAATGATGAGATCCAGGGCAATATGCAGCTTGCTCCAAAGGAGACTGAGAACTATAGTAGCTAGCTAGCTAGCTAGCTATGCACAAGTAATTAATACCCTCCGTGTTTCCCAAACGGAACGTGCATACATACTGACGCAGGAGTCTCCTCCTATTCACGAAACAAGTTCTCTGCATGAACGAACATAAGACCACCACAGGGTAAAATTGAAAGTGTACAGTACTGTACTGACAATTCTTGGTCAGCACCTGTGATGGGGGCGAGTGATAATACATGGCATATACAACAGAAGAAGCTTCCATGAATATTCTCTCTGGCCGCCGCAGGATCCTCAAACACGTCGTCCCTAGGTGAGCCCCCCTCGGTACACGTACCTGCATGATCTCGAAGACTATCACACGGCAAACGGCGTGGAGTGTTTCTGCCATCTTGTGCGATTTATGCGCCTCCAAGTTTCTGGGAGATCTCATTTCCTGCTCCCCTGGTCCGCTGCCAAATCTAGAAGTGACCGTGATCGATACCGCGCTTGGGCCCCTTTCAAAAGACTGGACGACTCCTGGACATTTTCAAGATTCAGAACGCAACTTCAAAACCATTCACCACCACCACCACCACCACCTCCCATTTCATACACTCCTTACCGTCCGATTGATACCCCTTCTTTACTTCACTTCGTCGATCGTAACTTGTTCTTCTACTACTTCTATTACTTGTTCAAGTGCACTACGCTGCGCATAATTTCCGACAGTGACGCGCTAATTCGACACCATACTTCACACGATACTTCACACGCTTCGACCACATTTGCGTGTCATTCAAGTCTGAGGGATGTTATGGGATAGAAGGGACTGAAGGAGGACCCTTCAACGCCGCGATGGCTTCACAAGACAATGCCGCACCTCCATCCAATATCGACGACGCTGAACCGCATGGCGCACAGTCTGAGGCTGGCGATGGAGGAAGCATCTTGTCTTCCAGAATGACGGATATAGCCTCAGATGACGGAGGGGAACAAGTGGCAGACTCAACGACGCGGTCCACCGCCAGAGCACCAGCTCAGAGACGCAGTATACAAACCAATGCCTCGCGACCAAATACTGGAGTTACAGGAGTGTCATCACATCGAGGCGCATGGGCTCAGGCCCCTCCTTCAAGAAGAGGACATGCAGCCCAAAATTCTGCAAGTCGAGTGAGCGCATTCGGCAGTGTGTCTGGTTCGACTGGCAGGCCACAGAGCTCCACAAGTCGAACGCATGTCCCTTCCCTTACATCCCATGCCTTCTTTCGTCCGATGAGCTCCCAACGGCTACAGGCACAGCGTGGAGGATCTCGACCGCCAACCGTGGGGCAAAAGGGCATGAACGAGGATAGTTCGGCGGAGGGTGGCAGCAGTATCAGACAAAGCGTTAACTCAACCCAAACTATGAGGCAGGCAGGGAGCCCTGATCCAGACGGACAGCCTCCACCATCACGAGGTACTGAGATGACAGAGCAGGAGACCATTGAAAGAGTCACTGCCAATACGAGCCCGACTCAAGGCCACCATGCTACTGGTAGTCTCTCCGAGAGTGTACGGCCCTTACAAAAAACTCCTGGAAACTCGAAGGGTCTCAGTTTGAACATTGACAAAAGTTATAAGAATGGAGGCGGTCTTCCAACTCCATCGAAGTCTCCGCGATCCTTTCGTTCAAGCTTCTTACTTCCTACTCGAGGTGATATTGCTCCGAACAGCCCAAACCGAAGTACACAGGGACGGGAAAAGTTATCTTCTGTTGCATCTTCGCCTGGATTGACACCCGTCGAGCCTTCGAAAAGAATTCCAAAACCAAAGCTGGGAAACAATTACGAGTACTTTACTGGAAACACAATCTTCTTTTGGGGAGGTCGATTACAGAATACACGGGATAGGCCGGTCAACATCGCGACTGGCATGCTCGTCGTTATTCCAGCAGCTCTTTTCTTTATCTTTTCAGCGCCATGGATATGGCACAACATTTCTCCAGCAATACCCATTACGTTTGCCTATGTATTTTATATTTGCATGTCCTCCTTCGTCCATGCTACTGTAACTGATCCAGGGGTAAGTTCAACGAAATACGCTGTTACTTTATGTACTGACTGATCTAGATTCTACCACGCAATCTCCACCAAATGCCACCTCCCGACGAAAATGAAGATCCTCTTCGTCTGGCACCTCCGATGAACGACTGGACGATGATCAAATCCGCACAGTCCAAGACTGCCGCTATGGAAGTACCTACAAAGTACTGCAAGACTTGCAACATCTGGCGCCCACCCCGAGGTCATCATTGTCGAATATGCGACAACTGCATTGAAACTCAAGACCACCATTGTGTCTGGCTCAACAATTGCATTGGAAGACGCAATTACCGCTACTTTTTCACATTTGTCTCTTTCACTACCATTCTTGGACTTTACCTCCTCGGCGCAAGTCTGGCCCAAATCCTCGTCTATAGGAGTCAGCAAGACATTTCTTTTGGCGCAGCAATCAACCACTTCCGAGTTCCATTCGCAATGGTCATCTACGGACTCCTTGGCTTCCCGTACCCTGCCGCACTCATGGGTTACCATCTTTTTCTCATGGGCCGTGGCGAAACAACGAGAGAATATCTCAACTCTCATAAATTCCTTAAAAAGGATCGACATCGACCATTCACGCAAGGCAGTATCATCAAGAATTGGGCCGTTGTTCTTTGGAGACCTCGACCACCAACCTACTACAGGTTCAAGGCAAAGTATGAAGAAGGTGATCAAAGGTTTGGCGAGAGAAAAGGAAAGCGCACCGCTCCTCTTACCAAAGAGGCACAAGGTGGTGGCTTGAACATGGAAATGCAAGCTGTTCCTTTGGAGCGTGACTTCCAGGGGCCTTCCGCTTTGAGAGGATCAACACCTGCGAATTGATGCTTCGACACTGCCAGCGTTCTTTGATTTATTTGTGTATTTGTGTGTGTGCATTTTAGCGACTGCTTGTTCTATGATTATAGGTATAAAAAAAAGACGTGTTGGCTGCAAGCCCTTTGGATAGCGTACAATAATTATACTGTGTGGGGGGTAACTTAATGTGTGTTTATGCTTATTGGAAGTAATGAGGCTGGGTGGCATCAGTCTTACTTCTTTGTATCATAAAATGGATTGGCGGGTGGATTCAAAGATAAATAGAGGTTGGAGGGGAGGAGTACCGGTTGCTCAGTTGAGGCTTGAGATGTGTATGATTCAGATGAACTTCAGTCACTGAGGCTGGAGGCAACATTTTACTCTGTAGCTTCAAATACAGCTCCTATTATTCGTGCCAAGTCTCGTGAATCTGAAGCGAGCTGATCAAGTGGTCTCTGAAATTGACCTCGAGCCCAACATTCTTTTTCTGAATATGCAGGATATTGTCTTGGTGAATTCCAACTTTGCTAGGTCTGAATGTTCAATATCAGAGCTTACCCCACCGTTTCTTGTCAACGAAGCTTCACTTCATAACGAACAGTCTACAGTTGACAGTAAACACTGCCGAGAGTCCCTTCAGAAGATGATCGGATCTCAAGGTGACCTCTTATCCCCCTCGAGTTCAGCTTAGAGTCTCAATCTGCCGCTGGACGATAGTCAGGCACCGATTCCGTACACCGAGTTGCGAGAAGACCTAGGCCGAGGTCTATGTATACCTAGGCTTTTGGTTGAGTTCTTCTTTGAGTCTTTCATTGAACTTTCCTGCTGAGATATTCAATGTCAGTCACAGGAGTCACCTCCAACTTGGCTGTTTATTCGGTAAGTCTGGTTCTCTTGAAAGCTGCATATCAGTTTTCGTCCAAGCATGCAGGATGAACGAATATTGAGCATGAGTGGAGGACTACGACACTCTAGGGGGGGAAGCCATTACCAGACCAGAGCTGTCATCAGGATAACAGTTTGAAGATACGAGTCACTATTGCGACACAAGCTACCATCAAGCAGGAGGTATCACTAGGACAACAATACACATAATTACACGTGCTATTGTTGAAATAAAGGGTATAGTCAGCCGAGATTTCTGATTGGGATGAAAATTATTCTCAACATGAGAGAGTCTCAAGGGATAGGAGTTCTCAATAAAACCATCTTCTCGCTCTCAACGAGTTTCCCGTGATGATCACTAAATACAACAAGAAACTCGATCTTGAGTCTCGAGGATCCAATCCCGTCTTGATTGGATGTTAGAACCGACAAGGTACCAGGTCGAGTGCGAGTTCTTTTTCGAGCAGTCGAAAATGCTAGGCCGGAGGTAAGTATAAACATTGTGATTCACTCGATTCATATAGATGTCCGTCTTCTTAATACCATTTACCATCGTGTCAGAGATTCTGAGTTGATCTGTTGGGCGTAGATGAGAAACCTCATGTGTTAGGGACGATGGTTGAGAGTTGAACAACTTCATGATGAATATCGATGTGAAGGAGCTCGAACTCAAAACTCCACTGATCTAGCACTCCTCGCAGATTCACAAAAGCGCTGAAGACATTTCTAGAAGACTTGTAGGCTGTAGATAATTTGGAGGCCCTGGGTGCGTAGTCATCTGCCTCAGATTATCAACTTGTGGGGATTCCTCTCAACCTCGTAAGCTTGAACCTATCCTAGCATCTGCGCGACAGCGTTCCATATGCATCGATGCGGTATCCGTTGTTCACTCGTAATGTTCCGTATTCTAGGTCTTCGGCGGGGTGATCTGATCATGACTTATACGATAACACAGGAGCAGAAAATAATCTAATGTTCGCACTGCAGGAGAAAAAAACCTCCACGTCTCCCATGCGATTGCGGTATGATCTGCTCCTACTGTCCTTGGCAATTGTATTGTGTTAATGAAAAAGAGTCCGGATATCGTGTATTGAAACCCATGGGCGTGGCCTCGGGAGTGCTCCTGACGCCGCTGACCCTCATGCGGTGCGCATGGTAGGAATGAGATTCTTGTATCTGACTCTTGTTGAGTGTGAACGCTGGTGGGCGTGATTTCTAGAGTAGGGAGCTGTCAGGTGTGAGATATGTTTGGTACTTATGTGGGGTCATTGCCGCAAACAGGAGGCAGAATCCTACATCTACATGATCATATCAAAAGTTTTCGGGGCTCGAGTTGGTCGATCTGCTCGATTATCGATGATGTTTGGGCAAGTCCGTAATTCGAAAATCTTGCGAAGGAATTGCGAAGTCACTTTTCCTCCAGGTTGTCAACCAATATTCCCGCCTCGAGTAAGAGATCCGTCGATGCATTCGCCATCACGTTTCTGGTCCAGGGATAAATAACGAGCATGCTACGTCTCAAAAACAACTTGATATTCAACATTGAAGGACTTGCAGGCACTTCATGCGATTCCGACTGCTGTCATGGCAGCAGGTGGAAACGTCAAACATCTAGACGAGATCTTATTCCACGAATCCAAGAACAACATTCCTGAAAGGACAATGCCCAAAACTATTCCTATCGTATTCTTGGCTTTATGTTAGGATGAATGATCGAAAATCCATGAACATTCTTAAATTCCGCTGCTCGTTCTTTGAAAGTGTTCTTGGAGAGTGGTAGGTCATAACAGACAGAAGCCCGAACTGAATCCCACTTATGAAATCAAAAGTTTACCCGCAATGAGAACTATGATCCTTCATGAATAAGCTCAATGCGCTCGCACTACTAAATAGAATACTAGGGGAGTTCTGTCAAATCCCGTTGGTACCAGTAAGTGAGACTATGTATCTTTATATCTGCATTATCTTGACTCGATATTCAGGGCGCGAATGATTCACAAGTAGTAAAAATCATACCGGGAGTGGGAGACTGATTCCATTGAAGTGTTCCAGCTGATCTCAGCGCTTTCTGCGGTTGGCTCTTTGTAAGTAAGATGACATGTCTCGCAGGTGGGCTTGTCAAGGAAAACAGCACGACGACGAAATTATGTCTGCGTTATTAATGCTTGCCCCTTCTAAGACTTGCCCACAATAGAGGTTTGGGCAGTCAATTGTAATTCTACAAGTTGGACGGAAGATCTAGAAAAAAGTTGCAAGAGTAAAAGAGTAATAAAATGCAAGAGACCGCTCTGGATCCGTGGATTTTTGCTACAGCCTGAAAAGGATGTCGTTGGTATATGTGGTCAGATATGATGTCGTGGCTTCCGTGAGGATCTGGATGGGGTTTGCCAATTTTGTCAAAGTTCCTCCGTGTTGAAATTCGGATCCTCTCATTCGCTCCCAGCCACTTGCATTTAAGCATCTCCTCCTTCACCAAACAACACTATCCGAGAACACATTTCGACCCCCATACCCTCAATTGTTACTTGTTTGACTCTGATAAGGTCTTACACGTAATTGCAGCATCAGAATCATCCTTCTTTCGTTTCTACCAGGCACGCACGCTGTCTCATTGCCAATATCCTTCCCTGGTCATCCACCTACAGTCGTCGCGCTACCGCGACAACAACAACCTGGACGTCTACACCACACGCGACTTCACACTTCAGCCTTCGACAACAACATGAGTGCGACACCTCAACCTCTAATGATTCCGAGGGTAGAGATACCAGTCATGGAGATGGCTCGAGCATCCTCTTCAGACTCGATTCTCAGTGCCATTACCGTCGACGATTTGAACGCGCCTCCGTCATTCTCCTCTACTCCTCCCACCAGCATTGGTGACAGTGCCAGCATTTCCTCTACCTCCCTACAACTTGATGACACCAGTGCTACTCCTGCTGAACCCTCTACTGGCCGCAGCCGTCGCGTTCGCACCAGCGTTGGTACGTACAACGTCAAGGTTCTAAGTGGCACTGCTATCCATGCGCCAAGGAAGTTTAGAAAGGACAATGACGATACTGAGGCCCGCCGAAGAACTATATCAGGAGATACACTTATTGGAGCTCTCGCCTCTGGTAATACCTCCACCGAATCGGTACAAAAGGAAGCCAGCAGACTTGTCCGCGATGGTATCGAAGCTTTGGATCTCCAGTGGTCTGTGAAGGGCCTTTATAAATCCAAGAGTCAGACTGAGTTGAGTGGAGGCGCCGAGAAGTCTGCCAAGCAAATCGAACTTGAACGCCGTCGCTCTACACGCTCTGCCGGAGAGAAGATCGAGAGTTTCACGAAGAAGTTGACTGGTGTATTGGGCAAGAGAAGCAGGAAGCAGGAGGATACCGTAGCTGGCCCGAAGAAGGCGAAACGAGAACTACGAAACCTTGCAGATACCCCAGAATTCGCAAAGATCGACACAAAGCCTGTCGTCCATGAGGTTTGGAGCAAAGGCAAGTTGGTTGTTGCAGAGCCTCCCCGAAAGAAGAAGAAAGTTGAAGCACCAGAGCCGGAGAAGACCAGAGTAGAGGAAGCAAAATCTATCGAGAAGAAGAAGAAGTTTGGAGGCAAGAGAGCGAAGACTTGGCTGAAGAAAGGATTGTACGCCGGCCAGGATCCACAAGTGAACCGTGACTGGTTCAAGGACGATTCTCTTGATATGCGAAAGAAGATGGAGGATATTGCTCCTTACAAACCAAATGGATTCATGCCATTGCCTATGTGGCACGGACAGAGACTTCTACAAACCGGAAGAGACTTTAAGTTACCATTTGATGTCTGCAACCCATTACCACATGGACAGCCAAAGCCAAACGAATGGCAAAAGACGTCAAGAAGTAAGTTCCTCAATAATTGCCCCTGTATACAGTTTATTGACAAATCGAAAAGACCGTTTCGTGGGCAATGCCGGTACTCTCTGGAGAACGTCAAGCCTTTTCGACAGCTTCTCTTCTAAATGCGTCTGTAAGCCTGAGAATGGATGTGACGACAACTGTCAGAATAGGGTCATGCTGTATGAGTGTGACAATGAGAACTGTGGTGCTGGTATTGAACGTTGCACCAATCGTGCATTCGCTGACCTTCAAGAACGTCGAAAGCTAGGTGGACCGTACAGAATTGGTGTAGAAGTTATCAAGACTGAAGATCGTGGCTATGGAGTGAGAAGCAACCGTTGCTTTGGGCCCCACCAGATCATCGTTGAGTATACAGGAGAGATCATCACTGAAGAAGAATGTGATCGACGAATGAATGAAGATTACAAGGACAACGATGTAAGTCTTGGTCTGGCAATTAGAAACGAACACAGCTAACTGGCACTGAAGTGCTACTACTTGATGTCATTTGATCAAAGTATGATCATTGATGCAACTAAAGGAAGCATTGCACGATTTATCAACCACTCTTGCATGCCCAACTGCCGTATGGTAAAGTGGATTGTTGGAGGAAAACCTCGAATGGCACTATTCGCTGGAGACAATCCCATTATGAGTGGCGAAGAGCTGACCTACGACTATAACTTCGATCCGTTTTCCGCAAAGAATGTCCAGGAGTGCCGCTGTGGTAGTGACAATTGCCGTGGTGTCCTTGGCCCGAAGCCCAAGGATGTCAAGCCGGCCAAGGAAATTGTCAAAGAGGCCATCAAGGCTGGGGTCAAAGCCAGCAAGAGAAAGTTCAAGGAGCTCTTCGGTATGGACGAGGAAGATGATGGAGACCGCAGTCCTAAGAAGCGAAAGATGAAGGAGGCCAAGGGTGTCAAGAGATCTGCTTCCTCAGCTAGCATGAAGCTGGTCAGCGGTGCTGCGGAAACCATCAAGAAGACGGTCTCAAGTTCACTTCTCAACGTGCGACGAACAACCGGTACCAAGAGAGTCATCAAGAAGACCATCAAAGCCAGTGCGTTGCAGGCATACGGAAAGAGCCAAAAGAATGCATCTTCTCGCAACTCGAGCTTGACGATTGTTGCGACTGAAAGCAACTCGCTTAGCACGAAAGGAAATGCCTCGAGTCTAGGAAAGCAAAGTGTACGAAAGTATAAGGCCAAAGGCATCCGAGGAAACCATAAAGGATCTCGTGATGCTAGTGCAGGAACCATTCGAGTTGTTGCTGGTAGTGAAGACGATGAGGAATAGACACTCATCTTTGGATGCATACGGTTGCTGCGAATTCCTCATCCGGTGGCTGGAGTAAATGGGAACATTTCTTTCGTTGTGACTTGTCTTCAACAGCAGTCTCTATGTATGACTATCTCCCTCATTTTCGCAGTTTCGCAGGTATGGCTAAGCATGGTAGCGAGGTTCTTCGCATGGTGTTTTTGGTGTTTTTGATAGTTGGTTCTTCAGCACAGGCTACCTGAGTACATTAAGAATCAAGTACTTCACATAAAAGCCCACTCACTTGACCGTGATTTAATTCGTGAGCTCGTACCCAGGCCGCTGAAAAATATGTAAAATACATGAACTCGAGTTGCTTTTCTGACACCTGACACAGGCTTACCCCTGACGCGACGCGGCTCTTCGTCGGGTAAACTTTTTAAAGGAGTACGGCCATATGACGCTTCTGATAAAAGTTCAAGCAGCCTTGTATATTTCTCCAGCAGAACTCTCCCACTACTCTGCCAACAAGCCAGCATCAAATTCTTTCTTGACATGAACTCATTCTAGATCCTTTCCAGCAGTACTTGTTTCATTCGTCCTTCCGAGAACCTAGCGTTCTCTCGGTCTCTTCATGAATACCAAGACTTCACCGGCTCCTTCAGATCACGACAGACAGCAAGCCCATCCTACACATCTTCTACAATCGCGAGAGACAGGAGAATTAGGGCCTCGCCAGCCTCGATATGCTTCGTTAGCAACGAAGCCTGCGCCCGTGGCAAAATCATGGGCGCATTTCGTTGCAGGAGGGTAAGTCTCCTCATGCTTTAATTATTCGTGAAAAGAGAAACTAAAATTTTGCTTCTAGGTTGGGGAGCATGACCGCAGCCACTCTGACTGCGCCCTTTGATGTCCTGAGAACGCGTCTCCAGTCCGATTTCTATCAAGCACAGCTGGCACAAACTCGACTAGCAAAAGGCATTTCGCCCCACGCGCATCTATCTCCACTCCAAAGTGGAATACTACATTTTCGAGAGACATTTCAGATACTGGGCTCGGTACATAGGGTAGAGGGATGGAGAGCGCTCTTCAAAGGCTTGGGTCCAAATTTGGTTGGCGTTGTACCCGCAAGGTCGATCAACTTCTTTATGACTGGGAATGGAAAACGAATCATTGCAAATAACTTTAATGATGGGAAAGAAGAAGCCTGGGTTGTTCTATGGGCAGCGGCTGTAGCTGGGATAGTCACTTCGACGGCGACGAATCCTATATGGTTGATTAAAACGAGATTACAGCTGGATAAGAATGTGGTAGAGGCTGGTGGCGCTACGAAGAGACAGTACAAGAATTCTTGGGACTGTATCAAGCAAGTTGTGAGAATAGAGGGGTTTCGGGGCCTTTACAAGGGCATGAGTGCAAGTTATCTGGGGGTGACAGAGAGCACGCTTCAGTGGGTGCTCTATGAGGAGATGAAGAAGTCATTGAAAGCACGAGAAGATCGAGTGGCCCATAATGGAAGGCCCAAGACACTATGGGATAATACCGTGGAGTGGACTGGTAATTTGGGAGCTGCAGGAAGTGCAAAATTCGTTGCGGCTCTCGCAACATATCCGCACGAGGTGAGTTATCCTTGCCTTCCAGAAAAACTTTGTAAAGCTCATATTTTGCACAGGTTGTTCGAACACGTCTTCGACAAGCACCTTACGAGAACGGGCACCTCAAATATACCGGTCTGATCCAATGCTTCAAACTGGTATGGAAAGAGGAGGGCATGGTAGCCCTGTATGGAGGACTAACCCCTCATCTTTTGAAAACGATCCCAAACGCTGCGATTATGTTTGGAATGTATGAAGGGATCCTGAAGTTGTTACATGCGCCATCATGAACAGGATGAGGGCATTCTTGTACAATAGGTAGGAAGCGTTGCTTTGGCATTTGTACAAAAGTGTATATTCGACTCGCTTTGTGTATAACATCTCGACTCAGTGTCAGGATATATGGCATGGTACTCATAAATGGCTGGTCTGGATAATTGGCGTTGGATTGGATGTTTGCGCTATCACAACTCTGGTAGGACTGCGAATCAGAAGTAATGAGCGATGAGCACATTAGACACATTAGAGACATCTTCCCGTAGTATGTAATTAAGACCACTCCTGAAGAAAAGCACGCGACAATCGCTGCACTTTTTCCATCCTATAAACAAGAGCCTGCGAAAGCAAGAAGAGCAACGCTTGATTATTTAACTTCTATGAAACAGTCCCTAGTTGTGCACAAGAATTGAAAAGCGCCTCCGTATGTCGTCCTTCCTTCCTTCATCATACACTCATACCGTATGGGACCATTGAAGAAGGGCCAGGTCGTGCTGTGTTATAATCATGGTAGTTGGTCTAGGCTTCTGCAGTTTTCGTGGTCTTCGCTCGCCAAGATCAACATTTGCAGAGGTTCACCAGGCATTGCGGTCCCAATTTGGATCTGAAAGCAGACTCGTCAGCAGCTGATTCCAATATTGCTTCAGCAAGCCCCAGAGGCTCTGTCCTGTATAGCTTCTTCCCAGATCAACGAGGCTACAATCAAATTTCACTCACCCTGTACGAAACCAGCCAGCACCTTGCTTCCAGTCTGCAGAAGTGGATGTCCAACCACAATCTGCAAGAATCTCTGCAGGCCCTCTCTCCTATGCTCGATCACATCATCACTAAACCGATTCGTGAAGACCTTTCCAGGCAACGGTGGAATCGTAACCCTCGCAGACTCTCTCTCCAAGATATCGCGGAAGTATTCGAAGTCCGAGTAGCGCCTCCTTACGCTGCTGTGGCGGAGCTTGAAGGCGGGAATATTGGTACGACATACGATCTCGTAGTCGGTGTACATGCTGCGGCCCATTCCATGCGTGCGTGGGTTCTTGACCTAGGGTGGGGTGAGCTGCTGTTGATGATGGTTGGAAGCAACGCCCAGCGTCGCTGCGCAGCGAGGGCGACAGAACCGGCTCACCTCTATCTCTAGAAAGTTCTCAGGTGGTCCATAAATCTCCTCGAAGCTCTGCTGTCGCGAATCTGGCATTGCCTGCATCTTTGCGGTGTTGGTGACGAGCAGCCTGGTCGTTGCGGTGTTGCCTGTAATCGCTGAGACTCTCAACGTCGAGAATGGCTCTGGTAGAGGACAGTGAAAGGTCGTCGTGTGATTTCTGAGGTCTTAGATCAGATATGATTGTGATTCGTGAACGGGAGAGACTGGAGCAGAAGCAGAAGCAATTCTTGGGAGGGGCAAGTAAAAGTGGTCACGTGTTGCCGAGAGTTTGCAGACCAAAACGAGGCTGCAAGTTTCCCCTCACTCCACTAACCAACCATTTGCTTGCTTGCTGGTAATTGACGTTGTGCAACAACGTTGTCTCCCATTGCACATTTTCCTGCTCATGTTGATGGTGGCGTGTTCAAGTGTCGCCAGCATCACAACCTCTATTGCTATCTCAGCATCGTTCTTCTCTACCATCATCGTCGATTCGTCCCATTGTTGCTCTATCAGGCTCTTAGAACTTCACTCTTGGCAGTGATACGTCAAGATGGCTATTCTCGAAAGGATCCTGCTTCTGGCTGGTCCCCTCGTGAGCATTCAAGCTTGGCAACATGACTACGCCTGCTAATACAGATAGAGTCTCCTATTCCTCACTGGCATCGCGGGGTGAGTAGATCCTGGTTGTTCACATCGTTCAGAGACTTCCATCTTCAGTTATTCTACTTACCCTTTCACTCATGTGAGACTCGGCTACAAGCCTCGTGGTTGTCGAAGTCGTCCGTCAAAGAACTTGAACGTAAATTGCAACTATTGAACTGACTGATGATTCCTAGCTATGCCTATTCTCAGATCCGCTACCTCTCACTGCCTATACCACCAGCACTAGCCCTTTTCACACTGGTGCTTCCCCTTATCACCGGTATATCAACACGGGGTGCCTACGGCTTGATCCAGCGATCGAAGAATGAGCCATATCAACTCACGATCCCCCTCATAGCTGTGATTGGATTCCAGCTCATCTACGAAACTATCGTCGTAACATTGAGCCTGACATATATCCTGCCGCCTTCTTCACTAGTCTGTGGTCTGCATGACCGATGGCAAAAACTCTATGCACAAAAATCCAGTGCTATTCGAACAATCCAAGACAGTTTCGATTGTTGTGGCTTCAAGACTGTTGGGGATCGTTCATTTCCATTCCAAGATTCGAAAAGACCGACGTGTGCAGCGGACTATCACAGAAGCTCGAGTTGTTGGGAACAGTGGCGGCAAGCGGAGCAAACCAATGCCGGTTTGTTGCTACTTGTTGCTGTCATAGTTTTTATTGTCAAGGTCAGTAGTATTTCTCTCGAGGTGACGGTGAATATTGCTGAATTCATTGGCATAGGTCTTGTCGATTCTGTCTCTGCTTACAACCAGAGAGGACTCTTCTTGGAGCACTCCGTGGATCCGCCGCTTCAAGCGAAGAGCAAATGGCGATGCTGAGGACCCAGAAGATGATCATAGAGCTTCAATGAGGAGACTGATTGAAGACAATGCTAACCGTGAGGGGTATCATGATGGGCCGGACGAATCGGTCGAGAGAGGAAATCGTAGTGGAGATCAAGGCCCAAGGGTTGAACCATCTCCACTGACAGTTACCAATGAGTGGCACGATGAAGGAACTTCACGAGCCTGATCACTGAATACTTGGACTTACGTTAGGTGCTCACCGAGAGTGGCGTTCCTACGATATTTGGAAGATCTGATGGGATTGGATACGACGGCGCTTGAAGCGTCTTTCATTTGCGGAGGAGTCTATCCAGAACACGATAGCGTCTGTTACGGAGCACATGCTTGCATCTCATATTATGTTGGGACATTAGTCTACTCGTTATTTCTTGTTCATTGAGCTTTGGGAATCGAAACATTTGTTCTGCGCAACCCCTACTTGGCCCCCCAAGTAATGCACAGGCGCGTGAAACAATCCAAAATATCACGCGTCACCCCACGCTTGAGCCACAGTTGATCAGACCCGGCTACCTGGTCCAGTCTCGATGGTCTGCGATGCAGACCATCAATCTTGACCGCTCTCTTAGACCGCTCCTCAGGGGTAACGACTGTCTCGGCAAGTGTGTACAGATAAGATCTACAAAGCTGACCTATCATGTTTCTCATTCTCAGCATCAAAGCGTGTACTTCAACTTGCTGGAGACCTCGAGCGGTGCCAAATTTAGAAGGGAAGCAACATATTGTAGCTACGTATCAGGAGCGTTGCATCTGGAGTGTTGAGGATTTCCTCTGTCACGGTAGTGAAAGTGTCATTTGCCTCACAACTTGCTGACTCTTCTCGTTAATGTGCATGTCTCGTGAGGATCGGAATGGATGTTGACTGAATGACCCAGCAGGATTGGAGATTCAAGTAGCAATGTTCGAGGTCTGCTTGAAACCTCGAGTATCGAAAGTGACGGCCATTCACCAGCGCTTGTTTTTTGCCATGTCTGTCTCTGAGCAAACTTTTCTGGGATGACCTTAGCATCAAAGAATTCTCAAGGGCATGTTTGCCCTGAATTTGGGAAGATTGAAGATAAATACCTCGATTTTCCCATGAAAATTCGGTGTCTTCAGTGTCGAGACTCCCACTGAGGATATCTCTCCTCCATATTTGAACCAGCACACGCAAACTCCTCGTGACTCAACACCAGTATAGAGCAACGAACGATTTTGAAACGAAAACCTCTTACCAAAAGATGTCTTGGGATTGCTGTGAGGTAGAGCGAATCGAGATCGCAGCCACTTCTCCACCCACTGACAACGACCAGTGTAGCAAAGCACATATATGTGAGTACAGTAAACGAATGGAAAAGGAGGAAGAGGAAGAGGAAGAGGAAGGACAAGGTGGGAACGGCACTTCGGGAGTCGCCTGTTGTTGGGCTCCCCACCGCCTCCACCAAACTGAATGTGGGGAAATTTCAGCTCTCCTCCCGCCCACCGCCCACCGGACGGAGAGCGCAACGCACGACCGCAGTCTGGAGATACACATCCCATCCCATTGCATCGCATCGCATCGCATCGCACCGCATCGCATCGGCATTCCACAGACAACTAACTCCACGCCCTCGTGCACGACTCGATCTCGATGCCCGCAGCAGCAGCAGCAGCAGCAGTCGCATTCCTTCGCGTGTCATGCCTGAGAGCGTCCTGTACACTGGTGTGTATGTATGTACAGTATGAATGTATATATGTACGGAGTACATGGCCGTTCATTCGCTCGCGTCCGCTACTCGGTGTGCTGGAAGGGGGTTAGCACCGCTTAGCCGACAGACAAGGCTACTCGGTCAGGCAGTTTCTCACCCAATCCCGCCCTGGAAAACCCCTCACAGAGCTGACTATGCGGCTCTGCGCTTGCTGTACTGCCAGCACGCACTTTCGCAACGCAACTCGACCAACTTCTCTTCCCAAAGAAAAGAAATACGCGAGTATCACCACCACCACCACCCGTCAAAACAACAGTCTCCTTGTCCGTGGCAAACGCTTTGATCAGGATGCTTCGCGATCGTCGCTCTGATAAATAATGAATTCGGCACCATGGAGACCATGATCACTCAAGCCCGGGCCGAGCTGGTGATGCCCAGAAGGGCCAGGGAGAGCCCTGAGCGGAGGCGAGAAAAGAAGGTGACCTACCGCAACTACAACAACAACAACAATGCCGCATTCACTGCTCGAAATGTCTCATCGTACCCCTTGGCTCCTGAGGAATCTTTTCCACGACAGAATAATCAGCTCCATCTTCAGACTCCCAACGCACAGCTTCAAATCAACGATCTGATGGGTGAGTATTTCGAGGTAGACCGCCCCTCAACAAGAAATCAGAACCTCAGCCCTATCCTCCATCAAAACTTCCCAGACGATAGCTCCTGGTTCTCCCTCTCGCCTACTTATACGTTAGCATCGAACCAGCCGAGTTCTCCTCAGACCGCTGCGGGTCACGATGGCTACTCTCCACGCAGCGAGGTGCTGCAAATGTCCAACAATGGTCAATCCCTATCCTGGAACGCAGCAACCCCTGGGACAGGCCAGGGAGCTTCCGAGATGGAAGAGATGTCTTTCTCCGACATGCAATTAGGAAGCAGTCTCGGGAGCTTCAACAGTATGGTCTTCTCTGCACGAGGTTCCGCGACATCATCGCTCTCAGATGGTTGGAACTTCCCAATCCTGGACTCGACCATTGAGTCTTCCATGACCACTAATCAACTACGGGACCTTACACTTCCGGGTATGCTTACTCTTTTCTACCATTGGAGCCAAAATCTACTTTCCTTCAGGCCTAGACTCGAGTGAGGGGTTGGATAAAATTTCCGCTTTCAGCTTGTATCGCGATGCTGACTATCACCGGTCAGATGAATACTTCCAAACAGGACCTATATTTGATGTTGCAAATCAGACACAAATGAATCCTGTGTCGTCCCTATTCCCTCAAGGTATCTCTTTTGACAACCCAAACTGGTGCGATCAAGTCTATCCCACAGAAGGCTTTCAACCATATGATTCAAATCTCATTACGCAGCAAGAGGTCCAGAGTCCCCATACACTACCTGGCGAGTCTTTCGTACCAAACGACCCATGGGATTCACAGAATGTGAGCAATTACCAGTTACAGGCTGATCCAGGCATGGTTGCCTTCGAAATGCCCCGTGGTGATCCGTACAAAACTCATATAGCGAGACAAGAACTCCTGGACACTGGCCAGAGAAGCACTAGGTTCTTCAGTCCCCCGCAACCAACCAGTCCGGGCGACAGTGACAGTGATGGCTGGCGTCTGGTTTCCTATCCGGGTAGTAGTTGTGCTGCATCGCAAGATTCTCCAGAAGCCGCAGTTTCACCACCAGCACAGCCACCCTCTCCTCCTCAGACTCAAGTGGTCATCTCACGGCCTAGTCCTCCACTTCCAAAAGTCGAACCTCAGTCACCACCTCGACTTGACCATGAGCGGCCACACTCCCATATTTTCAGTACCATATCCGGTATTTCGAAACAGAAACTTCCTCGGGGTCGTCAACGAGGGCTCACGGCCAAAGAGAAGAAGGAAGCTCGGGATGTGCGAGAAGCTAAAGCGTGCTGGGCTTGCCATATATCGAAGACCAAATGTTCCCCTTGCTCTCCGGGCAAACCATGCGAACAATGTGCAAGACTCGCTGGCAAGAGAAGATTTTGTCTTTTCTCTTGCTTCAATGATCCACTGGAGACGTTGTTTACATTTTTAGTCCCCGATTACCTCATGGGACATTTCACCGAAGCAAATGTGGCACAATTTGTTGCTAAGAATGCATCAAGCTGGGGTACTCAATATTTCCATATTCGAATGGATTGGGGATATCGTAGGTATTTGACAGCAGAAGTCGTTGCACTTGCTCTACGCAATAATTCAGAGATGGGATATCAACATCAAACTCTAGAGCAGGAGGGCACACGACCAGCACTTGTCCGAAAGCAGAGCCCACCACTCGGAATCCCTCTCGCTGCAATGGACGACATGCAAGACATGTATTCGCGATACATCCAGGACATTGTACAAAACGATCTTCCCGAATATGTGCCTGTGGCATACCCTGACCAAGAGACCGATTTTGCAGAACGTCTTCTTGGCGTCATTGGCAACTTCTATAGTGCTGGCCACCAGATGGATAATGAGGTATGTTTTTTCCTGTCCCACGCTGTTCAACACTTGACATTTTCTAGTCGGAACTTCTCCGTCGCGCACTTGAAATGCACGTCACCGCGGTGATCCTCGAAAGAAGTCTTATTCTCGATTCGAGCTCCCTACACCAGGTCGAACAGTATCTGCAACAACAATATCCAGAACGATCAGCTCCCCGATGCGCACAACGGCAGATCAAACTCGCTTTCTTTCTACTCCAACAACGACGAATCATGAGAGTTCTGAAAGACTGGGGGAGCATGATGTGGGCTACAAACTCAAGCATAAGCAAGGACAAAGAGTGGGCACTCGCCTTCAGCGTCTTCGTCACTTTGATCCTCGTCATGGATAAGACACTTGGTGCTGCATACTACTTCTGCGAAGGAAGGATTCGACACCACGGCCACCAAGCCGGACCCGAGCGAGCCGAGTTCGAGAATCTGGTTAGATTGACTCAGAAAGAGCTGTTCGAGAGATGCAAAGAGATATTCCATTGGAAATTCAAGACCCGAAAGGGTGGAAAGGAGGCGTGCAACCCAATTCGAGATGGGGCCGAGGCTTTCCACGGCAAGTCTAAATCGGTCGATCCTGAGGTGATGCAGTTCGTCCGAGATTTGCAGAATGTGGTTGGTGAGTTTGGTATGATTGCTCGCTCCCTAAGATTTGCTTTTTTCCGAGGCTGACATCATGCAGAATTGGACGTACGATCCCATCGATCCTCGAGGTCAGACACGGAGTCGGAATACACAGATGCAGGACGGCTGGCGTGTATATTCTTGGATGATTTCCTCAGTCGATAAGGCTTGCGGGTAGACGAGAGGTGATGAAGATACGACGACATGAATGATGAGTTATGACCGATGTAAAAGAGGGGAGCACCGGGAGCATCAACCCTCGGATTCCCCGCGACGAATCTCTTCTTCTGTATTTGGCAACGCAATGTGTACCACTGGACGACACTGGTCGTATCAGACTGTGTACGTTAAGGGCATAAATAAAAGAAAAGAAGGAAAGGATTGGGCTAGGAAGTAGAGGGTCGAAGTGAGCCCAATAATGAATGATCCAGCCAGCATCCGACTTTTTACTTTGGCACGGCATTGTTGACATGACTGTCCATCCATGACGCACCCTGTATCACACACACACTCGTGGCAGTAGTTTGGCATATCGGAAGGGGACCATTCAGCGGGCCTGTTTCGAAATGTTTGGATATGAGGAAGGAGCCGTGGCGCATCCGGCAGCGCCTTCCCTGCACGTAAGTAGTGCGCTGTATGTATGTCTGTCTGTCTGTATGTATGTATGTATGATGTGACAACATCCATCTGTGTGTGTTCGATGTGTGCAATGTGTTCATCGTAAATTGATGCAAGGCACCGATGATCCCAGCACGCCTCCGCCAAGTCAGTCTTTTGTCAGTCCCCCACACCCGTTAGAGGCGCTGCGCTGCTCTGCTCGGGATGGACCAGCACGGTGAACGGAAGAGAGCGGGCTGTGCCACAAGAGTGTGAAGTCGCCGGTTCTTCATCAGCCTCAGAAGCAGCGCAGTCGCAGCGTTGAGAGGTCGAAGAACGATTCAACCCAGCCTCACCGCGCACGCACGCCGACAGCGAAGCACAACATCCAGGACGAAGAGGGTCCATACGATTGATGGAATAAGGAAAGGAGGTGAGAGAATGAATAAACGATTGCTGTGGTGATGCGGCATGAGTCAGTCAGTCAGTCTGCATTTGTGTGTGTGTTTGTATGCGCGCTTTTCTGATCTCCAATATTTCCATGGCCATCCATGATGATGAATGATGGACCTCGAAAGGCGCGGAAGGGGATGATGAGGAGCAGCAAGGCCACACGAACGGGGCGGACAAATTCATCAGCATCAACAACGGTCGGCTTCTCCTCTGCTCTCCTCACGGGCGTCAGTCAAGACATTTCGGATCGTGGTGGGTGTGGTGTGCTCTGCTTTTGCTTTTGCTTTTGCTTTTGCTTCACTTCTTCTTTTCTTTACTCAATTGTCCACTCACGCGTGGGATGTGGTATAACGTGATGAGACGGTGACATCACTGTTACCAACGATAGGTACTGTACCTTACCCAACGGCCCTGTTTCCGTGATCGACGGGCTGTCCGCAGCAGCACTGGAGATGGCTGCCGGGGGAGCATTGGGAGCACGGGATCCAGCCGGTCTGCCAGGCGTGCGTACGGGTTGCGTCCGGGACTTTCAGGACCAGATCTCTTTACGATCGGCATGATCTGATTCCATTCCACCTCGCAGCCAGCCAGCCAGCCAGCAAGCAAGTACGGGATTGGAGTGGAACCGTGGTCATCGTCGTGATGGGTGTGATGGGTGATGGGTGATGGGTGGTGGGTGATAGGTGGTGGGTGATGGGTGACGGCGGATGGATACTCGCAGTCAGTCATGGTTCTTCGCACGGTCAGGGGCAGTCCTTAATGCGCGTCACCATGAGGCCCCATTACATTACATCCCATCCAGGAAACGTCCTCTCGGGTCGGCTTCATTGGTATCGAAGGGTCCTACATCCTAGACACCGGCAGCCCTGCGTGTCTCGCTGACCCGATGGGGAAGGTTTCTGGAAGACTGGTGGAAGCACCGAAGACTCACTCATCCATCCATCCCTTCTGGTTCTGGTTCTGGTTCTGGTGTGCGCGCGCCCTCACCTGAACGCATCCCAGCCCACCTACCAACCTCAGCAGCACATCGTCCCCGTCTGCTCTGCGCTTCTTTTGCTGGGCCTCAATCAATCGTCCGCAAAGACCCGCCAACTCCGGCTTCCCGTCCCCTCCCACTGGACGCCCGACGATGAAACGCAGGGACAAGCAGTGGCTGCGAACGATGCACTCACCACTCACTCTTGTACGGTACAGTACAGTACAGTACAGTACAGTATTCACTCACTCACTACGCACTGGCACGGTGGCAAATTACAAACGGATGGCGCTGTGCAGACAGACAGACAGACACACCCACACCCACACCCCGTAGCCATACCCAGATGTCCCATCTCACATCCCATCTCACATCCCACATCCCATCCCATCCTATCCTATCCCATCCCATCCCATCATCCTATCCCATTCCTCGTCCCAGGCCCAGTCATCCTGGTCCCCCATTTCAGGCCCTTCTCAGGCCCGGGGCTCTCGCTACTGGCCCGCCAGGAGTCGCCGCCTGGGAACCATTAGGCGAGAGCGACACGAAGGGTAAGTAGAAAGGCCCCCTTCCATGATATTATGACCCAGCGAGGCATAATTCAAGGCGGAAGCTTAGGAACGGTGAACCATGCTGGAAGTGTTCACCTGGATTTCAAGGAGGGCCCCCAAGGTTCAGCTAATCATAGCCCCTTCTGGTTGCCCTGGTTGTGTTATGCTCGTTCATAGGCCTGTAGTACAAAAAGAGAAGCTCTCTCACATCTTTCAAACATCATTACTTCTTCATATCCCCAAAGGACTTGTCTCGCTCGCAAACGTACAAATACTGCACCTCTCTCTCACTCTCAAACTCACATCAACAATTTGACAACGTCGCAAGTCTTGAATCACTTCACATCCATCCATCCACCCACCATGTCGGCTTCATACACATCACCGTTGCTACTTGCGGCAAAGCCCAAAGGAAAGCCGTCGGAGCGTGACACTGGTAAGTCAACCCTGCTTTGTAATGGAGGGCACGCCAATTGCCACAACACCGATCCGGTACCTGCTTGAACCTTCTGCTAACTGGCCTTCCTTGTACAGACTATGGAGGACGCACGGCAAGGCTGTCCAAAGCTGCTCCAGCAAAGCCAGAGAAAGACACGGGTACGTACCTCCAAGTCCTCACCTACTGCGAATCCCCTCAAAAGTCCTGCCTGACTGACTGACTGACTGGCCCTTTCTCCCGACAGACTATGGAAGCTGAACGCGCTCTCTCTCGCACTGCCTGATTGCCCATAACCATTTTGCTGGGTAGGTTGAGTCACATTTCTCCTCTTGGTGTCTGAGTCCTCAATCCTGCCTAAGACAAGACAAGGCTCCGACCAGAAAGAAAGCGAAAGCTGTTTTATTTTTGGTCTCCGCCTCCTTTCTTATCTTAGGCTGCCGTTCGTCTATCTCCACCTGACGTCCAATCACCTGATGATCGACCCCTGCACGGAAATCTAGACCCTGGGAACCTCAGCTGACGAAGTCCTTTTAGAACAGATTCGACGAAACGCCTGAACATTCAGTCAGATTTTCATATGCACCGAGGGTCGTGAACCATCCGTGCTGCAACTCTGCATGTCCTTTTTTCGACACCGACTTTGGATCTCGGATTCTCGTTTGCGGATGTCCCTAGCCGCGAATCTTCCACATCACCCCTGCACGACACTGCATCTGCTAGTCATCACATCACCCACCCACCCACCTTACATCACCGTCTTTGCTCGAGATCATGTACGAGAGCGATTGTCTGTGGTATTTCATGCACTTGCATCAACCTAGCATCAACACGAAAAAAAAAAAATTATGTCGAATTAAATCAATCATCAACCAACCAAACCGACCCCTTTATTCGACACCTCGCTTCGTTTTGAACGCTTCGAAGGATTCCCCTTGGTTGTTCCCGTCACCGGTTCGACCAGGATCCACCTCTTTCCATTTGTTTTGGGCACGGATTTCTGATGGGCTTTTCTTGGGTGTTGGGCATTAGCATAGGGCATAGGGCATAATTGTTTGGGATTGGATTGGGCCGGGCGGCAAGCAATTGACCAATGTTTAGTTTTGTTTTCTTCTCCGGGTGGATTTTCTACTGGCATTAGCATAGACTGTTTTCCTCTCTCTTCCTTTCTAGATGTTTTACGACGCGAGTCGGATTTCCCTTTTCTATATCATTCTCCTTTTCATTTTTCTTTTGTTTTTTTTTTTTGGTGTGTGGATCGGTTTGAGCTCTTTGGGCGATATCCTTGTATTTCTACCTGACGATGACCTTTTTTTCCTAATTCTTCATATTGTATGATTACGGAAGTGATGGAGAGTTGTATGATAGGGATTAGAGATGCGATGGATTTGAAATCTGGCTTTGAGTTCTTGAGAGGTCGAGAGGAGATGTGTATGAATATGAAGAGTTGTTTGCCTTTTCACTTGAAGTCTCGTCTTGTATGTTGTGCACGTGACCCGAGCTAGTGCAGCTGTCTTGAATCATTTTCCTTGCGTGAAGTGTGAGAACTTAGAGAATGTGCATATAGGGTCCAGTCAAAATAGTTCTGAAGTCAGAGCAAGTCTGAGATGTCTGATGCTATGCCACAAGATAATGCTTGCTAAGGCTATTTCCACTTTAGTTTCAATAGCTTCTGAATAAGTCAACAATAGCACTTCAAATGTGACGTGCTAGAAGAAGGTTCTAAGAAGCTTTCAACTCCTCCCGATACTCTTCGCTTCACATTGTACTTAAGTCAGAAACCGTCAAATTTGTTTCACGTGATCAAAATGAGATTATTGTGTACATGGGTTTCGCGAAAGTGATCCTCAAATGGGTTGGATGGGGATCCTCTTGGATCAGTCTTCGTTCTCATAGTATCTGGTCCGTGATGTTTCTGAACCTGAAACGGTTTCTTACTTCAAAAAAGCACGAAAATGCTAACACCAGCGACGGGAATACGTGCGTGTATTGAACGGTACTATTTACTTTGGATTACTTGAAGTACCTGCACTGATAAGAGGAATGAAGTCTTTCTTGATCATCTGATTGCCTTTTAGGAAACAGAGTTTGAAAATTGAGGAATTTCTTATCGTCCATTGTTCATTTCGTTGCAGCATAGACTTCATGAGCAATGTCAAGATGAGAGAAAAGAATGCTGGCTCAAAGGAGATAGAACTGGACGCCTTTCTCCGCTTCATTTACACGAGATACTTAATTCGATTTTATGAACTGGAAAAGATACGAAACACCTAGTTTCACATAATAATGTTGTTTTGTGACCGAAGCGGAATCGATACAGCGGCCTACGGTCGTGGACTTGCATCCCCTTGCACCACTGTATCAATATTCTTTTCGCATTCAATTTTTATCTCACATCCTCTGCTTCTAAAAAAAACATTGCAGCAGCTATGCTTTTTGTGATCTGCGAAGGTTGACGCAGGGAAACCATACTTTATGTTCCAACGAAGTCGTTCCGCGCGAGCAGTAGTTGAACAGTGCTTCGGTATTTGCTCGATATCAACAAAAATAAGGACCGGATGGCTGATTTGAAAGCAAAATTGAACAAGTGCATCACGGCTCGGCAGTCAAAAAATATCATCCAAAGTACACCGTGGGGAGACATGAGCACAAGTCCTCGACAATTGCTCAGTTCAGGACCTAATGGAAACTCGAGATCCAACATTACTATACTCGTCTCAAAAATTAAAATTACCACGAAATTAAGAAGTCGTCGAGTTCCATCCCGCCACAGTATAATTACTAGGAATCGTCGTACTCAACCACGACTCTCCCATGGTCTCTGTCAATGCGCTTTGGAAAGCTGCCATCCCGGTGCTCGTGAATGAAGTCATGATAGGAATGATAGCTGAACCTTCACACTCGCTGTGGTCGGTGGTCGTGGTGGTATCCCGCTTATGCTTGTGCTTGAAGTTGATTCCTGCAGTCACAGTCCCACTAGTTTTCTCGTCAGCGAAGCATCTCATGTCGTTGGACGGAGCGAACTACCAATTGTATTGACTCTGACTGGCTCTCAGCTCACAGATTGAAGTGTTTTTACAGGTGCCAGTGCACGTGGCATCACTGTAATCTCTGGTTCTTCTGGCGTACCAAGCTTGGTACACATCATCGTCGTCTTCGAAAAGAACGGTCACATTGTGCCAGAACTCAGGGGTCAACTCGGCTGCGGCGTCGGTGACCGGGGGTGTCAACAAGCTACCATAGGCCTCCTTGACGCTGTAGAGCTTCTCCCATGTAGGTCCGCTTTGGTATGTTGGAGACGAGATGTTGGCATAGTAGACCGTGTAGTCGAGGATGGCGAAGGTTTCGGGATCCACGGAGTAAACTCTGAAAGTTGGGTTCCCAGATGTGGGAGTCAATGCTGGAGCAATGTAGGACACCATATTTGCAGTCGCTGCTGTTGGGGCTTCGGGAGTCGAGTAGGCGATTTCGAACTCATCCTTGTGGGTGTGGCCATAAAAGACTGCGGAGATGGTGGCATGGAACCTTTGAATGATTTGATCTGAAAGTGTTAGGCAAGTCGGCTAGATCAAGGTAAAACCTACCAAAATATTGAGATTGGTCATGGAAAGCGTCTGTTGAGCCTAGAACGGGAGTATAAGCCACTATCTCACTTGCGCATCAGATTGAAATTAAGTTCGTACCCAAGGGCATATGGCCCATCAACCAGACACGCTCGCCAGCGGTCTCAGCAGCTCCCAATTCTGTCACAAGCCAAGCGAGTTGACCAGATGGATCTCTCTCCATGGTCGCTTCATACAACCAAAAGTTTTGCTAGTCACGAATAAGCAACTTCTTTGCCATTTTTGCCCTTTTCATCTCTCAGCGAGTCTTACCTTGTACCAGAAGTTTGTATTGACACTGATGATGCGCAAACCTCCAGCGGTCAGGACGGAGTAGGATCCGTAGTTGTCATCAGCCTCCGCCGCAGCAGTAGCTCCAACTATAGACAAATCAGTATACGCATTTGATAGAGACCCAGGAGCCGAGGAGCTAGTCCGAGGGATTGAAACACTTTTTCTTTGATGCGCAGCTCCCGAGGATGATCTCGAAGGTCTCGGCTCCTAGGATAAACAAAAACAAAGGCGGAGTTTGACGTACTCCAAGTCGACCAGTCCGAGGACATGGTGTCGTAAGCCCATTGAGAGGTGATCGTGGTGTCGACAGCTGCAGGAGGGAATGAGTTCACAGGGCTGCAGTCGTGGTTTCCAACAACAGCATAGGTCTGACCGATACTGCTCATTCTGGTATATGCGTCATCTAATAGCAAGTTAGCATACGTTCTATCAGAGCATCGAAGAGCATAGGAAATAGTTCCTCCAGAAGGAGTGTTCCAAGAGCTCGGCTCCCAAGATCCTCTGAAAGAAAAGGTAGGATTCGACTCACTGAGGTCGTTAGTTACTTCAGTATCTGGCGCCTTGTCAGCAAGATTTTCTCAGTGTTTGATCATTGAGCGACTTACCAGTGACCAGCCAAACTGCCCCCTCGACGACGTCTCCAGTGAAAATTCTGTTGCGATTCAGCCATGGTCCAAACCAAGTCAAATAGTATACTCACGTGAAGCTCTTGTTGGGGACAAGCGATTCAATCGCAGCATACATGCTTTCCTCAAGAGTCACAGGCGAATCGCATGTTGGCTCTCCCTAACATGCTTATTGAGATCTATCCTTTGTACGTGGATACGAGACTTACATATTCTCCAGCGGGGTAGGAATTATTGCCAGGTGCATCAGCAGAAGTATAAGGCCGGCAGCACTGACCAACAATTAGCATGATAACATAATTCAGATCTGTAGGTTCTCGGAGCTGAGGCCCGTCTAGCTTCATATTTCAGTTGTTGAGACACTTCTCAACCATGGTGTTCTCATAACCAGAAAGTCATCAAAAAAAATATCAAATAACGTACGATGTTCTTCGTGCAGTCATAGCTTGCACCAACCTCATAGCTGAGATCCACATGAATATCGGAAATATGAACGACTTGGATGGGAGTCTTCCCGCTGACTGCAGGACGACTGGTATCCGGCTTGTCGGTCATTGAGACAGTGTACGCCTCAACATTTGGCCACTGGCAGAGCCCGAAGACAGTCAAGCAGAAAAGCTCTGAAGTACGAGTGCCGATTGTCATGACGCGAAGATCGTGAGCAAGAATTGGCCCTTCGAGAGCAATAGCTCCTTTGCTGGTTTGGGGTCAGCTTGGAGCGAGGAAAGATGTATAGCTAGATACTCACCAGACATCATCGTCATCAACCCCCTTTCCAATCCGGTTAGTCTGTATCACACAGGTACGAACGAAGGAATTAAAACTTACAGCAAGAATGCAGATCTCCGTGATCACATCCACGAAGTTGTCATTCCCGGTATGTGCCAGAACCTTCAGGATCACCAACAAAGCCTCACAAGCTGTACAGCTCGCAGCATCCTCAATATCTGTCAAGATATCAGATACAGTAGAGCGCTTGCCGAATGCAGACAGAGCAGAGTTAGTCGTATCCGAAATGGCAAGAGCAAAAGTGAGGGTGGGCAGAACCAGCAAAGAGGCGAGAATGGAGATGAGTTGCATGATTAGCAACGAAGGAGACGGAGACTCTCGGGGTACGAAGTAAGTCACAACCTGTTGCAGTTGGCTGCTGGAGATTCTCGAAAACTCGAAAAGCAAGCCACTGGTACTTATCTATACAGTAATCAATCAATCATCAACAGGCTCACACGGACGGAAAATCCAAGCTTAACATTCGTCACTCGATCAGTGTTATGATCTTGCATACCGCCCACCTTCCCATCTCGAGCCACCGCGTGCACGCGCTGTCCTATATTATGGTTCTTCTATCGATCGTGGATCTTGCTCCATCTGGATCTATGCCCGTTGACTAGCCCCGGGAGAGATGCATATATAAATTAAATACCTGATATACCCCTGAGCGTCCGGCTAACCGAGGCCAGATGCGAAATCACCTCTCTCGCTTCTGTGTCTCTGTGTCTGGCTTGCCATGCTCGTGCCCCATGTGGGTGGTCGTCGAATCGTCAACCGAGTTCTACGGTACCGGTCAGTCAATCAATCAATCAATCTACCACGAGCAGGGCAGGGCGGCGTATGCGTACTGGGCCATTATTCTTTGCATGCACTAAGATCAAGCTTTCCTGAGTTCCTGCAGGCGTCCACTGCAGCGAGTAATTTTGCTCCCTGGAGGCATTTCGGCGATGTGTGGGGACCGGTCTGCGGATACACCGTGCAGCGTGTGAAGCGTGGACAATGATCGTCTTAGACGTGAACGTGCTGTCGTGAATGGATAGGAATTACCAAAATGTAAGTAATCCAGAGAGACTCTGACTTGCTACCCTTCTGGAAGTATAATTAATCCAAAGAAGGACTGGCATGTTCCTGCGTTATTGGCCTGGATAGGATTCGTAATAAAAATTCTGGAAGATCACCAACCCATTAATTGCTCCTGGAGGCTCGGTCCCTCCTGGCGACCGAGAAGCGATCTCTGCTCTGCTCTGCTGGGATGTCTCTCGCCCTTCCTCTTCTTCTTCTTCTTCTCTACAGAACATGCCTGACAAGGATCAAGGAGTTTGCAGGTTGTCAATTGTCACTTGCTGTATCGGGGTTATCGCCATGCGGGGAAAGATATTACACGTGACCATTCTGAGTTCAGAAGTCTCCCGACGTTCAAGGAGTCTTGCCTCTTTGCAATTCGTGTCAAGTGCACTTCATCCGTGAGTTTGATAGGGCGATGTCTTTGCTAGTGCTTCCACTGCATGTTTCACAGCAACCAGAGTACCCGAGAAACCGTGCTTCAGCATGATCGTACGCCTGTGACAGAGGCGGGTGATACAGACAGTTTCTTTTGAAAAGTACTATCTGAAACGTTCAAGCTTTAAAGGGGTCTCTCCAGATCGAATGTAAGAATCCATGCCTCTAGTCCCCGCGGATTGGAAAGTAAATGTTGCATCTTTTATTTGGTACTGGAGACTTGGACTACGCCACTGCCACTGCACCAGGTATCAGACCATTGTCACACAGCAGAATCATACACGCACTGTGCAAGTGCTACAGCTGTAAACGTGTCTTTGGTGCACCTTAGCAATCTTATTAATGTTTCGAGTCAAGATTGACCTCTGCTGCATTAGACGCTGTTCTCATTCTGCTGCAGCAGTGCCACTTTCACTGTTTTTGCAACTGTCACAGACATAGCCAGGGCGTGGGAGAGAATTATTAGCTGCGGGTGACGGCCTTGATCTCGTTGGACGGCACTACCAGGATTCTGGAGTCATATTCCTTAATTCAATGTGTTCATGGCCGTGGAAAAGATCTGTTTTCTGACTGGTTATCGATAACAGAAGGTATTCCCGTGGTTCAGATTGTACCGCCAATGCTAGTTATTCTGTGGTCCTCGGGAAAATGGTGTCACGTAGCGCATTCACCATCACACAACACATTGTTCAGCTCGTTGAGCAACGCGGCCTCTGCTGCCAACCTCTTTGGCCTTCATGTCCCTCGACGATTCCAAAAACATCTTTCATCTAGCTCTCATTCTTGATCTCTTTGTCTACACATCTTGATCTCTCTATTCGATGTCTTCCGAGGAAGTTGCGGGTGAAAGCAATCGCCGAAAACAGTACTCATGGCGAGAAACCAGCACTGGAATGGAGCGGCTGCTCAGCTACCCCGAACGTATGTACTCGATTCTCAACAGAGAGCTTCATGGTCAACATTGCGGGTTTATCGGTGCCACCATTCAAATTCAATCCAACGCCTCTGGGGCAGCAGCTCGCTTTCTAGCAACCTCTCAACTACACGCTCGTGCAATTGAGGCATTCAAGCAGACAAGATGGCGTTTTCCATCTCTTGCTGCAACTGTTGCCGACGACAAAAGAGCCATTTATAAGCATGATTCCATCGACGGCATCAATCACTGGGCAGAGCGCACGGTTTCTTTGGTGATCAGAGAGGGAGGTTGGCTTGGGTTGAGACAACACCTTAGCCGTACTTCCCCCTTGCCTAATGGGGCTGGTGACTTTCACCTAGCGTACATTGTCGTCTCTCCGGACGAGGCCGTACAATCGGCTGTCTCCAATTTCGATGTCGTTTTACACACGAGTCATGTTTTTGTTGACGGAACCGGTGTGAAGTGTATCTTCAACGAGTTCTTGGATCGGTTAGCTTCACCAATGGGAAAGGGCGAGATCATTTGGGGCCAAGAAATCTTCAGGCTTCTCCCACCATCGGTTGTCCTTATGAAGGAAGAAGCGGAGGAGCAAACATCCAAACCTGTGTCGAATACCCCCTTTTTTCCTACACTCTCCACATTGACAGGCTTCACCAAAGTATGTTTCCCAACCACTATGACAGCATGACAGGATATTAACAGATTTCCTCAAAGCCAGATATCGGACTTCCTATATATCGACCAGAACTTGGGCCTCCCAAATCCGAACATCGGGGCACCCAGCTCGTGTCTCACACGTTTGAGGCTGCATTTCTGCCTCGACTTCTTGATGCAAGCAGGCAGCATGGACTTAAACTAGCATCGGTCATGCATGCGGCGCTGCTAACGGCTGTCCACCAGTCCACAGATGTAGAGCCAGGCCCAGAGGATGTCTTCAGAAGCGGCTCAGTGTTGGACCTGCGCAATGGATGGATGTCACAGCCGTACTCGAACCGCAGAGTGTTCGTAAATATCGCTACATCTAGTCTTCCAATCGTTGTCCCTTGTGCTCTCTTCAAGGATCCCAGTTCTTTCTGGGAAGTTGCGAGATTCATTGCCAAGGTCTGGGCTGGAGTTTCAAGCATGAAGGGTATAGCGAGGACAATGGAAGCTGGTGCCAAAGCTGTGGTGGAGGCTTCGGAAAATAAATCGTAAGTGTTACATACACAATGCCTCAGTCAGACATCTGAAGAATCCTGCAGCGCCGTCCTCAATGCCGGGCCAACTTACCCCAAAACTTGCCCCTACTTCGTTTCCGACCCACCCGGCTCTCAAATACTGAGCAAGACGTTTTCCATCGCTGGTACTGAGGATCTAAGTCTGGTGCTAGAGTCATATCAAATGGCTACGGATCAGATCCAGTCTTTTTGGTAAGCACACTTCATGCACAAATTCAGAGATTGCTTGTTTCGAAAGAATTTTGTATGCTAACGCAATTTCCCAGTTCTGGTCGCGCGCATTCGTGGGATGATAAGCTCACACTATGCTTGGTCTTCAACGCTGTCCGTAACCCAGCAGAGAAAATACAGGCAGTTCTTGGCAAGTGGGTTGAAACGCTGCAGACTGTTTGCGAACAGCATGAACGCGGTCTAAGAAAGAGCAGTTCCCGATTGTAAGGTATGGTAGCAGTAGTAGATAGACGCTATTCGTTGTGTTACCCTGAATTAATCAGGTATTTTGGCATTTCCAATCAGAATCTGTGGCGGTGTCAGTGCAGCTCGAGACGCGGAAGATGGAACAAGTTGCAGTAGTGATTCTCGTTGCTTGCACGCTTCTGCAAATCAAAAACTACCTAGGTCTAGTCTAGTCTAGTCTAGTCTGGTCTAATCTGCTCTGCTTTGCTCTGCTCTGCTCTGCTTTGCTTTACTTTACTTTACTCTATTTTGCTCTGCTCTACTCTACTCTACTTTGCTTTGCTTTTCTCTACTCTGCTCTACCCTACTCTACTCTGCTTTACTCTACTCTACTCTACTCTACTTACCTCACTTCACCTCACCTCCTCTCACCTCACCTCCTCTCACCTCACCTCCTCTCACCTCACCTCCTCTCACCTCAGCTTCTGCTTTTCGGCTTCTGCCTTTCGGCTTCTGCTTTGGACGAAAACAGAAAGTGCCAAGCTTCGCAGTTTCCAAACCAAATTCTGTTTTCGCGCTGCCCTTTGCAGAGGAACAGAATCTTTGCCTCTGTGTACCAAACGAAAAACAACTCCTGGAAACTCAACCTGCGTTGCTTGCAACATCGCAAACGAGAATCGCTCCAGTGAATCAGCGCACTAGCCATTGATCTTCAGATTCTAAATCTGCGCTCATTCTGACCATCATCTAAGTGTCTTCACCAAGCACGAGCACCAGCACCTCACGAGCCAGCCAGCAGACAAAACCCAAGCTCACCGAACAAACAAGCAAACCTCAACTCTCTGCACACCACCAGCCTCTGCTGCTGCTCTCCTTCCCTTGTCTCCCCTGGCAGACAGTCCTAAACCCGACTCTCGACCACGGTCACGTCAAACCCAGTTTCCCAATCAAGCTTTCAGCACCTTCTTTTTGCATCCCTTCACTGGGATCAACTCAACGGGCTTGCAACCCTTCCTTTGTTCCATCCCGCACGCAACGCGCTACATCGCACATGCCAGGCCGTTGAAGCTGCGACGTACGGTTCACGACCAGAAGTACCGCCGCTCAATTGACGTGGTCGCATCATCCACCAGAACACGGCGTCGCAGACAATCCGGATCACGACACGTATGCAATCGCTTTCGGCTCGACTAATCGACATAGTCTCGTTCTGTTTCTGTCTGTGGAGCTCTCACCTAGTTTTACAATACTTTCTGACCTGCTATCCTAGTCTGCATCGCACACAATTCAAGCCCAACTCATTTGCTTCACCTCACTTTGCCTCACTTCCAAAAAGAAACCATATCACTGTGCGTAAGGCAGCTGGTTTTGTTGCACATCGCAAAAGAATTCTCCGATCGATTGGAAATGCCCTGAGCGTATGTGACCCCTCACGTCGGCGATTTGGCCTCGCAAAAATATTCCCTTTCAGCGAAAATATGCTGTTCCAAGTCACTGAAACACGATATGCAGTTAAAGCTCAAAAGGGGACGATAAGTTTCTATCCTAACAGATGAAGAGCAGGGAACCTAAATTACTCAAACACTAGGGTATACTCCCTCAGCAGATGTCTTTCCACGAAAGGAGAGACAAGAACCTCCGCCAACTCCGCTTTCGAACCACCCAACAACGTTCCGTTTCGATTCTACCATGCGGCGCATTTTCCTCAACCAGGTTATGTTGCGTTCCAGAAAGCAAACGTAATATTCAGCTGCCACATGTAATCAAACTCCGAATGTAATGTAGCGAGAGAACCTTTTCTCAAGTCGAGCACCCCACTCTCCACATCCACGTCAAATACCTTCTTCAAGTCCCGCACCTCACGCCACGTAACAGGTGAATCCGAGTGAGCCACCAAGCGGTAGATCTGAGGAAGAGCGCTCTGGAGGCCACAAACAATCTTCATTTGGTGTTAGCCTAGTCCTCTTAAAGACAAGCTTCTGACTCACCAGTGCAGAGAAGGCTAGCAATCCACCAATCCCAATCAACTCGCTCCGGTCCACGAAGAAGAGAACGCAAGTGAGAATGAACTTCAGGAAGGATAGAGAAGCACAGACAAGTAAGAACCATCGATCCGGTTGCTGGGGACTGTGGCGTACATATACAAGTTTGAATAGAGCAAAGAATTCTCCACAGGTCGAAAAAAGGAGAATTTTACAAGCCAAGGATGACTCAAGATATCGAAGAATACTGTCGGTAATTTTAGTGGGAAATCAAATGTTTTCACTGATCTGATCATACCTCGCATAAAGCACGACAAGTGAGATAACCGTCGAGAAGTGATAGCATAGAATAGGAAATAGAAAGAATCGAGTTCGACAGATCAGATCGTGCCTCGCGGAAAGCACAATGGCTAAGACACCGGCCAAGAAGCTCTTGGAATTCTGAAGTATGCAGAACCCATGCGTCCATGCTCTGGCAGATTTATGAGCTAGCCTCTTCTTCGTCCTGTATATCCAATATTGAACCGAAGTTCTGTCAGGATTTCACAGAGCGAGGGTGTCTGTGTCAAGCACAGCGTTAAGAAGTTGGCATGTATCTTGATAATCGCCTCCCAAGTTATTGAGAGCCCGAAAGAGTGAAGATATCATATGCTCAAGGACCGTACACTCGTTGCTGAGTCGCTCGCCTGTTAGAAGAGCATGGAAATCCGCCAAGAAAGAACCTTTGATAGGCTGTGTAGTATCGGAAGAGCAAGGGAAAAGTCGTTGAAAACATAGCCAGGCGGCTAGGGTCAATGCGAGCTGCTCCGTTGTTTGAGATTTCTGGACGTCTTTGAGAAGTCGTCGACGTAGATTCAAACCATCATCTGAGGCTGCCCATTCGCTGAAGTTTCGAGCGACATCGCTGGTTATTGAGCTCCAGATCAAAAGCAGTAATATATTGTTGTCTGACTTCTTGAGGGAAGGTTGCCGGTGGTAAATGTGTGACCAGTATGTGCGAGCTTCATTTACCGCTCCTGTGCCAATTCTGTATAACACCTCGGTCGGAAGATCCTAGAGAACGTCAGTATTTTCCGAGTTGGTTATTGGGAATATCGTACCAAGTAGCCTTCTTGGAAACCGATTGGAAGGGATTTCATTATTTTGCTGGCTAAGTTCGTAATGCCTAGCACGCTAATGTCGTACTTGGTGAAGACCTTGGAATGTGAAAGAGCATTGGCCATTGCTTGCAAGTCAAAGTGCCCAAAACGGTTCGACCCTTTAATGCCAATAAGAGAACCGATCATGTTGGCATTCTCGCCAGCTGTGTATCTCGGGTCAAACTTGCGTGGTCTGAAATCATGCTTTGCGCCACATGATACAAATAGCAACCAGTGAAGTGAAATGCGATGAAATTCTGCATTCTGTTGACTTTTCGGTATGTCTTCGAGGAGATCCGTATGGTCTTGCCGAAAGCCCTGGAGTAGTTGATCTTGGTCCTTCCCAACGAGTTCGGAGACAAGGCTGCAATTGGAGTCTAAGCTTAGGCCGATGAGCACAAGCCACTGGCAAAGTTCATTGCGGATCTGAGAATTGGATTTCTGAGAAAAGTTAGTATGAATATTTGGGAGTGGCGAAGTTGAGTTTACTAGGACGTGGTGGTTTAAGATAGCTCGTTCAAGCGGTATTTGTAATTCGTATGGAGCAATGCGACGACAATATTGTTCGAACCTTCGCCCCCGCCCAAACGAGATCTCCTTGATGACATTTTTGAGGAAGTGAGCATGAGATCTCTTTCTCGCTGGCAATATCCCATAGACCCGCACTTCTGCATCTGCTGGTTCCGTCCGGTTGTAATGAAGGTCCAGCTCAAACTCAAATTCGTGGCCAACAAGCCACGGAGAATATGACTTACAAACAGCAACTTCGTAAAACTTGCCGTCACAGGTTTTCCCAATAACGCATATCCCCGGTGCTGTCTTTATTTGATCCCAATCGGAAGTTTTGGGCTCTATTTGAGGTGTTGGCACAAAACAAGACATCCATGACTCATTGCCTAGGGGTATGCCAATGAGCTCATTGATATCAAATCGGGTTTGCTCAAAGGTCTATTAAATTAGCATGAGTTCTTGAGCGAGAGCCTTCTAGAGAGCCTTACCTGCTCGACCTCAAGCGTAACCAAAATTTCGTTGCTCTCCTCAGCAGCTCCTTGAATTGGAGGCGGTGACGAGGAAGTGGCTGCAGGCATCTCTTCTGCAACTCAGCATAGGTAAAGAAGGCAAACAATGCAGCTCAGAATAGCAAGAGAAGGTAATCTCTCCAGCAAAACCGGGCGACAAGACGTTTATACGATAAATATGCAAGATGTTATAATTGGCAGTGGCGTATGCACAGACTGGAGACTCTCGGAATCAGAGGTGCTAGTTTGTGGAGAGAAGCCAGGGGGTGAGTTTTTTGTTCAGCCAAGGCGCCTCTCTGCAAGGGGGTTGCAGGTTCTCCGAGTTTTTTGTTCAAGCGAGGCGCCTCTCTCCAAGGTGGTTGCAGATTTGCCGAGTTCTCTATTTCCAATATATGATATCCTTTGGATCCGATATTGTGGGGGTGAAAGCCAGGATTGAGGTAGTTGTCGGGACTTGGGAGGGCAAAACGCTTGAGGCTCTGCAACGCCCGACTACTGTACAAAGGCATTGAATTTAACATGCGAACCACTTTGCAAACTGTGTGTTCTTATTATAAAGTGTTCTATGGTGCCAAAACTCGTTGATTGAAACGGAGCTGTCACAAAACTTGTTGAAATATGACCGATCTTACAATGGTCTCGGAGCATACCTCGAATCCATCCATTAGCTCTACTATTGGCCGCCACCCCCCCCACCCCCCCCAAAAATCAAATACCGTGCTACCCTCCCGATGCTGCTCTTACGATTGCCTCCCTGTTCACGGACAACCTCCCGCGCTCCCTTTCCCCACTCCTCGTATCTGGATACTGGAATTACTCGTTTGATGGGCCATCCAAATGGGATTTATGGCTGGTGGACGAATATCACCACATCTTTGGTCCAGTCTAGAAGTGGTGAGTTAGTGGTTATTGGCTCAGGGCAGTAAGACGTACCTGAATTCAATTGCAACAACTGAAGGAGGACAGCGCTTGTGAGTTTCCTCATAATTGGTACACCACGCTCGAACCTTGTAACGCACATGCCCGCATCGAAATTCAACTTGAGTGTAATCACACATAGTGAGGTACGTTATTCGCAAGTGAGAGTAAGAGGGAGAGGAATGCGAGATGACAATGTATTTTGAGCAAAGGCACTCGAAGGGTTCTTATGTATCACAGATGTTGCTGCTTTAGGCTGCTGATGGCTCTACATAGATCTGCCGGTTGACATTGTGCCCAGATCCAATCCTCCCGTCCCCCCACCCACTATCAGTGCGGAACTCATGGACCTCGCCGAAGAAAGCAGCGCATACATTAAGAGGCCATGTGATCACGGCCTCGAAATCTTGGAGGAAAAAGCAGATCTCGTTCTGCACGAGAATCAGCGTATAGGGTGCACGTCCAGGGACTTCAAGATGCAGGTGAACTATCCCCTCCTTGTTCACAGATCTCTGGATGCTCATAATAATAACTACAAGCCATCAAGCTGCTACCAGAATCTGAAATCCACGAAGTTGCATGTGCAGCACTCCAAGAACTAATGGCGCTTGTCATGCTACCAGACCTCATGGTGGATCCGTCGATTACTTTGTCACACGCCGCTCGATCGCTTCTCTGTAGGATCGCTTCCGAATTTACAAACGAGCAGCGTCTTCTCCTCTGCTGCACAAAATGGAACTTCAAATCCGAGTCATGGGACTTTTACTACTTTGCTTTTGGTGAGCAAGATGCACTGCGTCAATGTATGAAGATGGCGGTACGGACATATATCCTCCCCCGTGTACATGCTATGACGGTAGAAGATGGATTGTCCTGTTTCGCCCAACTCAAGGTATGGTAAGGAGCATCTTAGCATTTGTGAATGTGCTAAATGAGTATAGGAGGTGGTTGGAGAGAAATTGAGGAAGCAGGCGTATCCGTTGGACATTCACCGAACAATTTGTCATCCCCCAATTTCAGTAAAGTCAGACCAGGCGTACGTCGAACTGCTCGTTGACCAGACTTACCACTTCTGTTCAGCATGCATGAGCGACGTGAGATATGATCTGAAACGTCCGCTGTTAAAACTTTGGTTCATGCGTGAAGGCTGGGAAGCGTAATGATTATTTGAGGCTAATGGAAAGCCAGAAGAAAACTCTGTTGATATGGGCGGATCTGGCCCCCTCTGGAGCTTTCTTGGAGATGGAGTCAAGCTCACGCTGCCGGGAACAGCTCAAACTCAAAGCCGTGTCTGGAAGGCACCAACAAGCCTGTTTGAGGAGGGGCTTCTGAAAATGGACATCTTGCAAGACAAATGAATCAATCAAATATTTCTTTCCCCCTGCTGCTCCAAGAGATCGAGAAAGTACAGACTACTTTGTGCCCTCCTGCTCAAGTCGAGCGATATATCTCCGTCGGAAGTATATTGATCCTATCCGTGTTGGGGCACGTGGCAAATGGCCGAGATGCTACCCTCGCGACAACTGTTTTTCCGATTCGATGAGGTAGTCTCATGGATCCTCTACATCAAATTTACCTGGTTGCGATGGTGCTGGTAAGACACCGCTCTGGAGCTGGCTGTCGAGAGGGGCAAGGGATTGGTCGTCGATTGTATCGCCAATGGCTAATTGCGATTGTGCTAGTGAGAAGACACTGCTTCGAGGCTGGTTATGAAGGGATTGTTGGTCGTCGAATATATATATATGGGGTGAATCGCCAAGGCCTGAGAAAACACTGCTTTGAACCTGGTTATGGAAAGTATCGTGGAGGCGGAACTGTGGTTGTTCTACTGTAGTGAGAAGACATTGCTTTGGAGGCGGTGATCGAGAGGGACGAGGGATCGTTGGTCCTGGAATGTACCGCATTGAAGATCGATGAAAGTGGAAGGGGTTTGCTGTTGAGGTTTCGTGCAAACAAACTGCAGCACTCGCAGATCGTGGTTCATCAAGGAGATTCCCGAAATGAGAGTGTTAAAGTATTTGGATTGCTACTAAATTTTAGGGGTAATTCAAGTCTTCTCCCACTTCGGAGGCACTGCTGTTGCGCCAGAACCTCGGGATAGTTCGAACATAAACCACCCCCCTTGGAGCAGGGTAGTTCAAACATTAAATCGAGAAAAAAATAAATCGAGAAAGAACTTGGGGGGTTCGCGGCGCAAGGGAACGCCATGTGCACTGCACGTGCAGGGACCACTACCTAGATGACAACACCGACGTTGAGCCAATCATCCAGCTGGACTTCCCAAAAACTTCAGCGCATTCATCGCGCACCACCCGCGTCCTGCCTGCATCCCCCTCTGACTCTTCCATCTACCTTCGTCCACCAACCTAACGCCAATATAAACCCACGGCATCACCGCTCCATAATGTCACCATCAGGCTTGTCACCGGCGATTTCCTATTTTGTCAATCCAGCGGATACTATTATCCCTCTGTTGCCTCAATTTTGTGTGAATCAAACCCGCCCTCAGAGCACCTTGGCCCCTTGCCTTTAATAAGCAAGACAGTAATGAGGAGAAAGAAGCCAGAGTAAAGTATACGAGTAAGAGATCTAAAGCAGAGAGAAGGAAATTAAGTGCTACCGAAATCATTCGTTGAAGAGACGTTATGGAGAGCGCTGAGCCGCTTAGCCTTTCAAGTATCACGTGCATATAAGCGAGTGTAGATCAAAAAGGGGTTCCTGAGGAACCTTGTCGGGAGCCAAAATAGGACCCGCCCCTAGAGACAAGACTAGGAAAGTGCAACCGGGCTTCAAGGGAGCTAAACGAGCCCTTGCGGGTACGTGTGTTTAGGTGGTGTTTAGGCGATGCTCAGGAATGCTCACTCTCTCGGCTTATGCTTGCTCACCCATAGCTCAGGCTAAAGCAGCAGCTGCTCGGGTCCAGAGACGGAAATGGAAAATAGCATGAGAACATTTCCATACCGAATGACCTGTTTCTTGACTTTGTTTTGTTATAAATCTCGATATCACGGTTCCTTATCATGACAAATGACAAAAGCCCGGCATTGGAACTATCTCTAAGTCTCCACTTCCCTATTCTTGACTTACCTCGACCACGATCAGTCCACAAAATATTCGCTCACTCATCAATCTACCCCATCTCCTCTACCAAGTACACAAATCCCATGGCCAACATCAGGCGTCTGACCGATTTCGCCTAACGACCCTCCTGCTCATCGGTGCGAGTATCTTAATCTCCATTTTCATACTTTCGATGGAGATCTATAAATCACAAAGCAGTTAGTTTAGGACATCAGACATGGCCAAAATGAGAAGGGTGTTAGCGTACCAATTCCTGCACGGCTTCGACCATATTCCCCTCCTCGACATTACGTTGCCAACACCACCCAGCGATGTCCGCTCGCACGATCATTTCGGTGTCATTCAAAATCTCGTCTTCGTCTTTTCTCTCATCTTGGCTACTACCCATTTGATATGACGGCTTTAGCTCATCGACTAATCCACTCTCCTTCAAAGTCTCTAACCTCAATCTTCCCGGTTCCGCGTCCTCCTTGGAAGTCTCCTCGATCCATACCTCATATTCCGTCAGATTGAGCTCCCCCTCTTCAATCTTGACGAGACTGTCGGTTGTCTTGAATTCTCTGGCGTCGTCTAGAGTCTCCTCTGAAACGGGGTAAAAGCAGATCCGGTCAATAACCTTGAACATCCACATCCTTTCCTTTCCCTTAGTAGCGACCCAACGATCCCAGACTGGCACTGTTCTCCCAATTAGCTGATACCCACCAGGTGAATCCATACCATAAATGGAGAGGTACTGGCCGCCGATACCGACTGTACCATCCGGTATAAAGCTTCGCGGAGGGGAGTACTTGGTCCCGAACAATCTGTGCTACGGGGGAAGAGGAATTGCGCACGGTGCGCCAAAGATTACATCACCTAGACCGAGAACTAGGAAGGTTGTACGCCTAGGAAAACACAGATGTGAAATATCCTCGAGGTATGGAAGAAGGGACGATCACGAAGAAAAAAAAAAGAAAAAAAAAGGGAAAGTCGACCAAAAACAGAAGAAGTGAATTGGTGCAAAGCTGACCCAATGAAGGCAGACACAGTAGCACTGAGATAAGGCTTCTCCGCTCAATACTTGCTAAAGAGGCTGGAAGTAGCTGAAGAACTCGAAATCATGCTGTTGGTTGTTGAAGTATAGTTTAGATAGAATATATTCTTGAACTTATCAAACATAGCATCTGAATGCCCAAAAGAATTTGACCATTCAATTTCATTGTCGGGGCAGATCAGTCAAGCTCTTCCCATGTAAATCACTTTCAGACCTTGTAAGCCGCTTGGGCCAGCTGGGGAAAGTCGTCTCCCTTCCATCCTTCTCGCTATGCAACATCCACCGAGAGAAAAGTCGCAAGATTTGAAGCTATCTATCTAACCTGAAAATTCTCGCGATAACGCGCCACATCCATCATCTGAAGATATCCAAACAATGACTATGGAGACACTCGCAGAAAGCCCCATCAACAACTCCATACTGAGCAAGCATTGCGCTTTGATCAATCGACACTACCTACCCTTATTACAATTTTGGCATCCTTCCTTCGAGTCGAAAATGCGACAGTCTCTACAAACCGATATACTCAGTGACGACTTGTGGGGGCAGATCCTGATCAATGGAATGCTATGTCTGACTTCGAAGTTTGATACAAGGTTGGAGGGAGGTTGCAAGTGGTATGGAAAGAAGCTCAAAATCATTCGTCGAACTCGAAATTGTCGCGAGGAACATCTTGCGATAGTCCAGGGTCTCATTCTCCTTGGTATTCACAAGATGGAACAAGGAAGCTGGGAGGACGCTAGAAAGGCTGCCTCCAAAGCTACACGGCTCGCAAAAGCAATGGAGTTAGACAAAGCTGGTCGCAGCAATCGCCCTGAAGAGTCTTTACACAAGATCGAGTCCCATAGCAGGACTTATTGGAGCTGTTTTATTCTAGAGAGGCTAATAATTGGAGTCAACTCACCTCCAATATCGTCATGGAACTGCCGCCTGCCACAACTTCAGGAGCGCTTTGTACTTGAGAAGGATCTCAATCTCGGGAGCGCCGATCCGATCCGAAGAATATACTGCCTAGTAGTGCAAGCATTTCGGGCGACGACAAACTTCATCGAGGCTGGCCGACCCAAATCTTTGCAATCTGATTACTACTCAATAATCGAAAAGACCAATAAATCATTCCCACCTGGATTCGAATACAGCATAGAGAATGAGCACAGGCAATTGGCATTGTCAGAGACTTTATTTGTCCCCACGCATATCCTTCACTATTTCAACTACTTCAGGATCTACGCAGACCGTCCGGATGGAGACGAGATGAAATTGTGTGTGGATAAAATCATCACAATTGTGAAGGAAGCCCAGTGGCATGATGCTTTGTCTGAATACCCTCCCACTATTTGGTGCCTGCAGGAAATAACCAAGTTTTTGATGGAGCACAATACAATGAATCAAGCTCTTGTGGAAATTCTGCAGCCACTTGCTTTGAGATGGAAGAGTATCCGCAATCTCTTAGAAGCTTATTGCAAGCCTGGGGAAGCAGCGACTACAGCTATTGATGATGAGGCCAGACTTATCTCTAGTAAGCATTTCAGTTCCCTTCTTGTTATGATTCTGGTTAATACCTTTAGATGCTGCTGCCACGGGAGCACCAGGGAGAAAACGGAAAAGGAGAAGAACACGTTATATTGTTCAAAACAAACATGGTGAGTTTACTGCTAAAGTAAAGCCAATAGTCTCTGACACGCAGCAGCTCAACTTGAGACACGAACACGAAATCCAACAGCTCACGCAATGCATACACGAAGCGATAAGTAATGGGCAGATGAAAGATAATGGACGTATACGAGGAGGCACTGTTTGACAGTATGCATAGTTTCCATGACGCATATCAGGTTGTCCAAGACGATGCTCTGGGAAGGGAGGGATATCCAGTCCGGTACAATGCTACAGTCGATGAGTGGGAGTACAACTTTCCGAAATATCACACTGCCTACGAGCCATCCGGCACTTGGCCTCCGAAATCCCACTATCCCCAACGAATTGAAAAAGCAACATCACATCACTTTGCTCGACCCTCATCACCCTACCTTTCGTTTCAAAGAGATACCACCCGCTACACATGCAGGATTTTTCAAGATCCACATCAAAGCAGAAGGCACAACACGAGCGGGACTTCCCGTTCGTAGAGTCTCCAGAAGGACAGAGGAGGAGAGGCAAGCGCAGAGGACAGCCGCAATTCCATTGCTTGTCAACATGGGAGACTTGGGAGCAGACGGGGCTCCGTGGAGACAGAAAGTATAGCCTTTCGGCCAATCGCGCTTTATAAATGTGTCTGCGCGAGAATACTCAAAGGATGGTACTTCCCAACTCTGCAACTCCAAGGAAGTCAGCACCATCGTATCCACTGTAACAACAATAGCCAGCGCTGAAGCGTTTCAGTACTTGAAGCAAATTTGTACAAGAATTCGCACCAAGATGGCAGCCGTCTCTTGTACAAGTCCCCCACTGAGCTCGACCAACGATGAAATTGTTGCAATCAGTGCTCGCCTCGATACATTGGACAGCGACGCGGCTTATCTTTCTGCAAACTATCAGTTGAGTCTTGCCCGTCTTGCGGAAGGAATTCAGAATTTGCGAACACAAGAGAAGCTGAATTTTGGTGGTGATCCTTGTCTCAAGTTTATAAAGTTGGAAAACGAGGACCCAGACAGTTATGCCGAATTGTCGGAAGGCCTGGCGAATCTCATACGTCCTGCTCCTGTTGAGATCTAGTTCCATAGGTATATATACGATCGATTACTCCACGCAGCTGTAATCCTTAATTTACTGATCATCAAGTAAGTATTTATAAGAAAACTTTTCATAATCCGTCCTGTGAACCGCTCTGTAACCCTTAATATCGACCTCTCACGTGACTGTAAATTAAGCGAGGGAAATAGGGGCTGTGAGGGCGTTGCCATTTCAATTTGGATTGCCTTCAGGCACTGGCTGAAGTTTCCACATACAGAGCTAAAATGATTGAAACTCGAAGCATAGTTAGGTGACATTCGGGATCGAACGACTGAGACACGGGATCGAACGCGAGGCATCGCGAAGGTCATCGTGGACCTTGTTCAAGACTGCAGGAAAATGAAGGAGGTGTGCGAGGTGTGCCGGGATACTTAGTCTCATCACCCTCGTCGCAGCATATGCGTACATTCCAATCGTCACATACTCAAGGTTCTGACCTGCTGGATATCTTTGAACCCCATCCGTCCCGTTTCCATGTGGCATGAGTGAATGGCTTGTAAGATTAGGATGCATTTTGGGAAAACCCGCATGTCTATCTTGTCTATCGAGGGTTTCGGTCGGACCTTTGTCCCCGGGGACAGGAAAATCTCCAGACAATCGGCCATAGCGCTTTCCACGTGCATTTAGAGTTCTCATGAGCAACGTATTAGGTCATCAAGGACAGGGTACATCGTCATTAGACCCAAATCAGCTTCAAGACATCCATTATCAATTCCATACCGCTCTTGAGATACGACAGTATCTTTACCAAGCCTCCTGCAGTTCTCGAACATACTTGCGAGTACTCCTCTCTTCTCGATTTGGGAAAGACAAGGTCTTCGAATGATACACCAATAGTAGAATGCATGGGGCTCGTATATGCACTATGCACTATCTTGGTGGCGTATTCGGGGCTTCAGTCGGGCGTCCATTCCCTCCCTATCTGGCGTCCCAGGTGCGTATGTAAAATTATGCCTCTAGCCGCGTGTGACGGGCGAAGTGCATCCGGCATGTCTCGTCTGGCTCGGAGTCCTAAGAACTTTACTTGTACTTAATCCCCACAGTTTCGACCACCAAGCAATCAAATCTTGTCTACCTCAATCACACCATGACCCTTCCGGAACCTCCCTCGGCGAACGTCTGCGAAGAAGACCCCAAGCAACTGCTGGACTGTCGTTTGACTTATCTAGACCAGAACCTGACATCGTTACTGCCAGTGATCAGCGATCATGTTGTCTTCGCGCAGGACCACTATCACCATAAGTTTCTCTGCTGGCTCACGTGTCTGAGCAACGCTGTCAAGCAGTTTCAGAAGATCGGTCTTGAGCCTCTGACCGATACTGGTCTGGATTACGGTCAGCGTGTGGTGGAATACATCGTATTTGTCCTCCGTGCATTTTTGAGCACCCAACTCTGCTCCCCCAAGACATACGAACTTTCCAAAGCAGTCTCTGAGATAATCGATCTGGTCCAGAGCCACCCACGCGATTTTTTTGATCCATGCTACGACGAATTCATGCGCGGGAGAGAAATATGGCGTGCTGGCGAGGGTTTACTGCTTCTGGTGGCTGTTCTTCTTTGGGACTCAGACTCTTCGTCGGAACGTCAAAAGATTGCATTGGAAGAAGCTGTTAAGTACCGTGCTGGAAGGCAGTTGAAACATGCAGCAGAAGTTTCAATAGCGAACGCATACCACTACAAGGGCGAGTCTGATTCAATTTCGGACCGTGATTCCGCTTCCGATACGACGGCCTACGACAGCGATACACAAGAACCCCCACCCTCTATATTGACCGAGAACAAAGACACATCTACGGCACCTGATAATTTGGACACTTCAATGACTCAACCGGAAGCAAAGAAAATGTAAGGAATCCGAAATCTCAATATCAAGCGGAGGCTAACTACGACAGTGAAAACAAAGGCGAATTGCCCAAGCCTCCTTGTTGCCAGCTTCCATCTAGCTTCACCTTCAACGACTTGACGAATCGTGTTTCATGGCCTCGAAGTCTACCCTCCAGTTACCCACCAGTTGACAACCTCACGCTGAATAAAGATAATGTTACCCAAGCCTTGACATCCTATACTGCTTTCCACATCACGCTTCCTCCTGCTGTGACATATCGGAAGGCGGATGTCTCAGACCAGGAGGTTCATCAATTGAGTACCGGTGGATGGTGGGGATTCTTCAAACAAAATCCAACCACAGTGAGAGCGAGATTGAAGTCTCATGAATGTAAGTACGTGGACGAATTGCAAGCTGCGATAGAACGCTTCGAGCCTTGGCCCGAGACATTCGACTTGAAGCTTGCTGGGGTCGGGCGGGAGTGTAAGGGCGAGCTGAAAGTAATCTTCGTGAGAACTTTGAAGTCTGGACTTGATATAACATCTGCCTACAAGCAAGCCATGTCGGCACCACAACAACAACATCGTTTTCCACTACATTGTAGATCAGGGCCTCCTCCACCACCACCACTACCTGCTCGAGTTACACGCCTATGGCCTTCAAATCACCCAAAAATCGAGCTCTACACTGAGGAATATCACAATATCGCTTTGCCACACGATGTCAAAATCAAAGACCAAGCGGCAGATAGATTATCCAAATACTGGCTCAAAGCAAGAGGAACGTGATCAGAATGTGGACTGATGGATTTTTGTCGAATATCTTGGATGGCTGCTCTTTTGTTTTCTCCTTTCTTACTTAAACTTATATCATGATTCAACATCATGTCTGTTAACTGCTAGCATAACTTCAACGTCACACTTGCAATCAAAACACCTTTGTTCCTTCTAAAACGTGACCCTTGATTTCAGGTTTTCGGATGTGAATGCAGAAGGAGCAGCTACTACCTTCAAAAGCGATTGGGGATATGCAAGCTCTTAGATAGCATGGCCAGTACGTCGTCTGGTGATGAGGTGAGGCATAGGAAATTGCCCCGACAGAAGTCAAGGCGCTGCAGGTACAAGCCGCAGTTCACGCGCAGCTACTATGCTTGATGAACGCTCGACTAGTCTAGGTTTGGTGCTCATCTCGTATCGCAGTATACGGAATCGGCTGTGGTATGTCTCTAGGCGTGAATCAGCCGTGTCCTCTGACGTGTTACTGCCTGGCATACTGAAATTATGCTTGACCCTCATTCTTCCCATTCATACCCCGCATTAAACGGGTAAGTCTTTGCCCTTTGGTATTACCGTCTTCGAGTTGCAAAAAGACCCCATTTTATTATCCACGAGAATGTTCTAACAATGAAACGTAATGCTTAGAACATGCTTTTGTAGTAGGGTGATCCGGTCCAAGTACTTTTTGGTAACCTATATATGCTCTTTGATAGAGTATTGAAGCATTTTCGAATTCATCTCGCTGATGAAATAAATAGGCAAGGCAATAAACGCTCGTTAGCGTGCTGGGGTGCTCCTTTCCTAGCACCTTCTCGTACCCTTCCAACGCTCGGCGGTTCATTTCCTCGGCCTGCTCGTACTTGCCTTGGTGTTGTAGCACTAAGGCGAGGTTGCTAACGCTCGTTAACGTGTTGGGGTGCTCCTTCCCTAGCACCTTCTCGTACCCTTCCAACGCTCGGCGGTTCATTTCCTCGGCCTGCTCGTACTTGCCTTGGTACTGTAGCACTAAGGCGAGGTTGCTAACGCTCGTCAACGTGTTGGGGTGCTCCTTCCCTAGCACCTTCTCGTACCCTTCCAACGCTCGGCGGTTCATTTCCTCGGCCTGCTCGTACTTGCCTTGGTACTGTAGCACTGAGGCGAGGATGCTAACGCTCGTCAACGTGTCGGGGTGCTCCTTTCCTAGCACCTTCTCGTGCCCTTCTAGCGCTCGGCGGTTCATCTCCTCGGCCTGCTCGTACTTGCCTTGGTTCTGTAGCACGGAGGCGAGGTTGCTAACGCTCGTCAGCGTGTTGGGGTGCTCCTTTCCTAGCACCTTCTCCCTCCCTTCCAACGCTCGGCGATCCATCTCCTCGGCTGTGTTGTAGCTCCCTATCTCCGAGGAGTACCATGCAGCGTTGAAAAGGATCGAAGCCCATTGTGCTAAATAGACCTCGTTCGTCGGGCAGAATAATAAAACCATTTGGGCGTGTGGAAACAGCTTGCCACATACTCTCCGATTCTCATACCGCCCGATTGGGAAAGCATTTCCCATGATATCGATATACTTTTCCTTCCAATTCTCCAGCTCTTCGTGGAGTTCGAGCCATTTCTTTGTCGAAAATTGCACAAGCCGATGCATCTCAAATTCATCTCCCTCAACATTCATCGTCACTAGAGAGTAGTTTGTCAAGGTAGAAAGATCATCTTCGAAATTTGCCTTTACATCACCATTATCTTGATAATTTTGGAGCAGGAGAGCCTCGGGGATCCCTTGCCGGTCGAAGAGACTCATAAGCGATAGTAGCCGAGCAGCTGATAACCGTTCTTTACGGATATATTCGAAAGATATCTGCCATGTAGCGATGATAGAGTTCGATGCCGTACTATCTCTGCGAATATCTCCAGCGTCCTTCTGCAATAGACTTGCTCTATTTTTGTCACTTCCCCGAAAGTCGTGTAAATATTTTGAAATGTTAATACGTGGTGCTCTTTGGCTAATGTAAGCGGCAGCTTGAGTAATCGCAAGAGGCATATATTCGAGTGTCTGCACTAATTCTGCAGCATCGGTCATATCCAGATGTCCTTCGAGCTTTTTGTGAAGTAGAGCTAGGGCATGGGCCTCGTTCATCGGGCCGACTGTGACAATATCTGAGTTCCTCCCTGTGAATTTGAAAGCCACATCTCGGCTGCGAGACGTAAGGACAATGGATCCATTTGGTGATTGAGGTAAGAAGTCAGACAAAGAGCGTGCTACTGTAGCAGAACCATAGTCTGTAGCTTGCTTGAAAAGGACGTTTGGATCGTCTGCGTTGTCGACAATCATGACCCATTGGCCATTCACTTCATCACATAGCCAGTTGCTAACAAGTTGAAGGATGTCGACGCTGGGCTTGTCTAGGCCATCGACCCTTGCTATTTCGGCGATTGCTTTGTAGCCTTCTTCGAACCGGGCCCTCGTGCCAGCATGGACCCAGAAGACCCAAGTTTCTGGTGATTCTTCCCGAATCCGATATGAGTATTCGATGGCAAGTTGGGATTTGCTAGTAAAATACTTAGTACTCTCACTGCGCTCGACTAGCAAGTGACTAACCCGACGCCTCCAAGGCCGACGAGAGCTACTCGAGATGCTGCTAAGGAACATTTTTGACTTATTTCAGGAAGGATATCACAATCCACGAAGTCTTGATCACGTCGAAATGGTATTCTTAACGACGGAGTAGGTCGTGATGATGTTGAATCTACCGAAAGAATTACACCAGGTTATATTCAACATTTCTGCGAACTCATTTACTTACCCTGCAACCCATGCTGTTGCCTACTTGGAACGGTCAATTCTTTAATCCACCGACGAAGCTCTCCCGTAATTGCTATAAAGCCGGGCTCATCTTCGCGCTCGAATTTTGTCATATCCATGTGGTTGCTGTGTATTCCTATAGGGATATACCCGGGCAAGATAGCAGAATCTTTAGGAACAACCTGAATAGTGATATTAGCAAGGAAACAATTAGAGTGTGTTGCTTGACTCACAACACCGACACCTGGTAAAGGTATTTCTTCAAAAAAGCACGTGATTTCGATTGGCTGGAGCCTCTCTTGATTCCGTGACCTGACCATAGTGTGGAACTCATCCTGGACCCGCGCAAGAACCTCGGATTCTTTCTCAAATACTGCTAGAATCTGCGGATTCGTTTGCTTGAGGATGCCGATCATAACGGCCAGCATTCCAGCCCACTTTGCGAGGCCAGAGCCATGGTGCGGGGTGCCAAGGAAGAGAATACCACAGGTACAGTCGATGATGGCTCGGAGATGTCTTTCTGGTCGTCGTGCTGCCGCTGATAGAGCCTATAATTATTCTTAGCAAAACGTCGTATACCCACAAGCCGAGCAACTTGCATCTTCGCACACCAACCCTCCTAGACTATGACAGATGAATATGATAGGGCGGTCGTTCTATTATAGTTAGTTTCATTACAAAAGCAGTTAGAGGCTGTCGGTTGCTTACAGTGTCATCGTCCTCCCTGAAAGTTGCGATGCTAGTTAGCAAGTTCATAGAGTGATTCCCAATTCTGTTCTGCGATACCATGCCCCGCCAGTCTGCAACGTATGCGTCGTACCCGAATGTGAGCACGCGAGCGTTGGGAATTTTCGATGGAAGTAAGGATTGAGGCCATGGAGAATCATCATTATTTGCTGTCCATGTCTTCTCGCGGTCTCCAGTAAGTCCGTGGACTAGGACGATACTGTGTTGTAAAGTAGAAAGTTGGTGAGCTTCGAAAAGTCTCGAAGATTTGTAGCATGAATGAGCCTGAGCCACTAAGCCCATAACTGCGATTTGAGGGAGTTGACTTACTCGACCACGCTGTGTTCTGAATTATGCAGCAGCTTAATGCCGCAAGGAAAGGTCTTTCTCTGTGCAGTAGCAGTCGTAGAGGAGCTTGCCGTAGTGTTCTCGGTGGCGCTTGCCGTAGGGTTCACCATGGAGGAGTTCTTCGACTGGCGCTGGAGCCATTTCGGGATCCGTCGCGACATCGCGACGATTGCATACAAATCAGGCTCGGTGAATATGCAGGAGGAAGCGGATCAAAACACGACTTATCGCTAAAGGTAAGATCAAGAACGCATCACTGTATGCTGCACGATGTAGCAGATGTTGAAATATATTCTGGTAACAGTCGAAGACTTAAGCATTTCGATATCTCCAACGTCAGGCTGGCGCTTAGCCAGCCGCTTTTCAGCTCGCCGACACGGAACTGAGTTGGTTCACACGTGACATCATAATGGTGTATCAGCATTCCAAATGTTGACTAATTGCTTAGTAATATACATAGCCTCTAGTTATGTGCCTGGGGCTACAAAACTACTTTAGCCACAGTGAGGCGCGGCAAGAAGCAATTAGAGCCGAGAAGATTTCCGACTTTCGCGATTTATAAATGTTCTATTAAAGAAATTTTATAGTCAAGAAACAGAAACATTTAATCACAAAGTTTATGTGCTTGGAATAGACTTTATATGATTTTGTGTTGAGATTTTCGTGGTTAAAAGAAAGTAGTCAGGTGCACTACGGGATTCTCGCCTCGGTAGGGATGTCGGTTAGCATCGGCTGCGTCGACAGAACATGCCACATTTTCGGAGATAAAGAAGACCCTTGCAGTATAAAGCTCCGAAATTTTCAGAATTCCCTTTAAAGAATGTTTGAACTTTCTCGCAAAAATAATGTAAAATGAAAACTTAATAAATATTGTAAATTCTGGAAACTACGTATAAATTGTTTAGCAAGTAACTTAACGCAGGTAGTAAAAACTATACTAGCCGTCTAGCAGGTAACTTAACGCAAGCAATAAAGACTACGTCAGCTTAGCAAGTAACCGGAGTTTATTAATATTGATTTTGCAAATTACTTTATTATATGAAGATTTAAGAGAAATATTTGCAATCTATTGTACGTTTTATTGGTGCGGGAGGCGTCTTGTAATTTGGCTCTTATCATCCACTGGATGGCGTGCGCTTACGTTAAGAGCGCCATCCAGTGGATGAGGAAGTTGGCGCTTACGTGCATGCATGCATGGCCGAAGTGGTACAGTAGACACTGGCGGCGAGCACTCGGCCCCAATCTGCTGGGAGACCCATGCTGATTGGTAGGGGAATCGTAGGCCGACGCCACCCTGTAAGGTGAAAGCTAAGGTGAAAGCTACCAAAGGTAGACTGAATAGACAAGAGATCCGGTCAGAAGCTGCATCAAAGATGTGGAGCATGTTTATTTCTCAGCGGCGTGGGATGGTCATCTGTCGGGCTCGTACGTCGACGGTAGAATGATAATGATGATTCCATACAACTAACCTGCTTCTATTTCTCCTACTTCTCATCCTTGCTCCTCGTTCCACATTCAACCTTCGGTCTAGTCATTGGACTACAATGTCGGCCGTCTTGTCAGCTTCTCCTTGTGGCTCTAGAAAAGAAGTGATTTCAGTCTCATGGATCTGGATAGATGACCGGCCCGTGGACGCACTTGGCAGACCACATTTCTGCATTTATACTGTGACGTGAATGGCGGCAGCACAGCATTACTCGATCGTCCCAATGATTCAAGATATATAAACAAATATATACATGTACCGACATTAGGTTCGAGAGACGAAGGTTGGGAAGAAGATGCTAAGATACGTGGAACGAATTCACCAAACTTTTGTACTTATATAGGACAGAGGGGAAGTGGTCATCTTCCAGATTGGTGCCTGATATGCCGATACTCTTCTCTCTGGACCCCAGAAGCTCATCTCTTATACGTACATATCATACAGTTTACAGTTCGTCGAGGCTACGCATTATGCGCTTACTGTACATCAAAGTCCACAACAATAGATATAGCGCGCCGAGGCCATCTCAACTTACTCCAATACCCTTTTCTGCCATTCCTCCACATCTCGTAAGGTCGTCTCTCTCGTGGTTCCCCATACTTGCCACGGTCCTGGCCTCCAAGCCTCGAACTTTTGCTGGATGACCACATACTCAACCACATCCTTTTCCTTCCCTGACCCAGGCACCACCTCTGAAGCTCCACCTTTAGTTCTCAACGATCTCGTAAGCTTCTGTCTTGACGATATACGCACAACAGCCTGTCTTATAGCCCCACCTTCCGTGGGGAATCTCGCTCCTCGATTGGAAACTACCCTCGCCCTTTTGTTATATTGTACGAGTTCCCATTGCACGGTCTCTCCTCGCGGCCGGCTGCCAATTCGGGCCCGGAAACTGTCATAGATTCCATCTGCACAGATCTTGCGAAGTGAGGCAATATCTCCTTCTGCAAAGGAAGAATACATTTGCCGGTGAAGTGCGATTGCAGTCGGGGCAATGGTGGATCGCGAGAGCTTCAAATTTCGTTTCATGAATCCCTTCGCCTTCGGGGAGGAGAATTTCAGGACGATGAGGGAGAACTGGTCGCGGAAGCTGAACGCAATGCGTTTGTATTGCAGCTTCAGGTAGCTTAAAGGAGATCGAAAGAGAGAAGGGGCATTCTTCCCGGTTGGAGTTACGAACGTACCTAGATGAAAGACAGCAGTTAGCTAGAGTCTTTGAAGTAGTATCCCTGTGTACCGTACTATCAAGGATCCCAACATCCGAAGGTATTTGTTGCACATCCTTTGCTACAAGTCGCATGCTGCGCTCTGCTGGAATGGTGGGCCGAGGGGGCTGCTGCTGTTTCGGGGCAGCGCGCAGAACAATCTGCTGAGAGAAGCATCTTTGAAATCGAGGAGAATAGGAGCTTGTCAGGGAGCAGAGTGGCCTTCGAAAAGGGAGACGCAATGGCGGCATTGTATGAAGAGTCTTGGAATATTTTTTTTCTGGAGAGCATCGGAACCAAAACACTTGATTGTCCGTGCCAAGATCCGGGGTACGCTTAGTGTAACATTCATCTGAATGCTTCTTCGATTCATCCGTGGCTGCACATCGGTCTTGGTGCTATTCTTCAACACCTCGACTGCAATGTGGCAGCATATGCCCTGACTGCTTCAGACTGGCTTCCCGGCGCCCTCCCTCAAGTCGAAATAGGACACAGCGAAGTCCCTATACCACCTCGTCACCTCCCAATCTTCACCCCGCCGAGCCCGATCAAAAAGATTCTGTCCTTCATCCAAGAGTAGCCGTGCTGCTTGGAGTCGAAAAGCACTGGCATCTGCCTCTACTCTTCTGCCGTGCTCTGAGTACTGCACCGGCAGCGTTCTGGGGTTTGCGAATCGCGTTCACATTCCTCGGCGAGCTGCTGTTGGACGAAAATGGGCAGGACATTGCAGCCCCGTGGAGTGTAGAGAAGAGATTCAGGGTTACTGAGGTCTTTCTTGCAGTGTTATGGGTACGGTATTCCCACCTATGGGATCTCCCGCGAAAAGATTCCCAGGAACACCAGCACTTGCTTGGAATTAATCGGGCTGATGTTGACAAGTGCTGCTCTTCTGCATGGTTAAGTTTCTATTTTACAGACTGTCTAATGTCTCGATGGTACGTGTGCGCTTTTCGGGTCGTCGCTTTTTTAAACTTCGATAAAGACCAGAAGCTGACCTGATTGTAGGCTCTTAAACTATACTCCACAAGGTATAATGCCCACATTTCCTCTCTGAGCAACTCCCCGACTGATTTGCTCAGCAACGCTGGTTCGACTCTTGACCATTAACTCGGTCAACGCTTATATAACCTCCTGGGTTTTATATCTATCTGGTGGATCCGAGGATCCAAGGCTTTTGTTACCCGCTTGGATCTGTATAGTTAGTGTAATCATGAACCCAGAATCCCCGCAGGCTTGCTTGAGCATTCTGATCGAGATCCAGACTTTGACTTTCCTGTACCACCTAACACACCCACGGCTTGCGATTCTGAAAGAGACCTCCCTCTCTATCTCTGTGTTCTCTATAGCCAGCTTCATCAGCATGGTTAGTCTATTACTGCAACTACACATGTAAGATATTTCTATAACAACTTGTGACGCTTCAAACCTAGATCCACAGCAGATATATATTTCTTCTAGCATCGTTGTTGACGGCGTAATACTGAAAATATCATAGGACTAGAGCCAATGATCCACCTGTGCCGTTATTCATGTTTGTCAAGCAAGGCTGGGAGTTTGCGAAGTTAGGCGTGGGAAAGCTGAGGATGGCTGGTACTTATATATGAAACAATGCAGAAAAAAAGTCACAGTTTGAGAGCAGAAGTAATTGCAATGTTCGTTCGTTGTGCATTATTCATATTGGCTGTCAAAGTCATTGCAGAGCCTCCAGTCCTCAAGGAAAGCGCAGGCCAGCCAAGACTCTTGCAAGTACACATGCTGTAAAGAAAGCGATCGCAAATCCTGACTCGATAGCAAAACCAGAAAACCATTCCACCGAGACCAATCCCGTTATGAGTGCGTTCTATGAAGAATGCGGGTATCATCGGCCCCTTCGAAGCAATTCGTAAATACGATATAATTCGACGTCATCGTGTGAGGTAGGCGGGGCAAGAAGGCAACGAATAATTCGAGTATGACTCTTCTATCGAGGCTCCTCGCGACGATGGCTCGTGGGGCGAGACGACGATTTCTTAGAAACCATGGACCTACAGACGTCAGATGTTGCAGCCACGAAAAGACCACACGTTTCACATACCTTGATAGTCTTGGCATCAAGTTCCAAACCCTCTTTCTTGTCGGTAAGAAATTCCTGAACATCCTTGCGCTGGTCGCCCTGAAGCTGGATCACCTCGCCCATCTCAGTGTCGACGACAATGGTGCCATTGCAAGCTGTTGTGGTATGTCAGACGAGTTCATCTGTTGTATAGATTTACCTACCGAACTTCTTCTTGATGACCTTGAGGATCTTCTTCTGGTCGAACTTCTTGGGTAGACCTTGGACAGTCGTCAAAGTCTTGCGTCCATTACGCTCTATTGTGTCGATGTGGTCAGCAGGCCTATTTTCGAATGCGACAATGTGATACCGCAGCAGCGGAGGACGCGCAACAGCAAAGAAAGCGTCGCACGACCTCTGTGAATGCTTGTAAAGGGAAGTTGAGGGGGAGGATGTGCTTACGCTGAATACGAATGTGGATGTAATTCTGCGACTGTTTGGTTTCACCGGTATCCTCGTCTGCCTCAGCAAAAGGATCTTGTTTGTATTAGCTAGATATTCAAGTACGAGCCGACGAGTTTTTTTGAATGATCTGAAAGACCACTGAAGTTGTTGGTTTGGGGTAGGGATAAGCCGGTGCGTTGCGCTTCTGCGCCGGACAATCTGTGGAGAAATCACTCACCGAACGACTTCAAATTCTCTATGGACATCGGCAGTTGAGTCTGAGTGTGTGGAATTGTATGAGAAATCGAGATATTCGTGGTTTGCGGGTTGAGGGGTGAAAATGTGATCGGTTGTTGTAAGTTGAGGAGGGGTTAAAGATGGCTGCTGCTAAAAAGATGGCTGCTGCAGAAAGAGGCGACTGCGCTAGCGTTCTTCCTGAGGCATCGAGCGGTTGCCACCGGAATGATTCACACACACTACACCTTCAGCGTTCATTTGAAGGTACGTACCTTGTGACTGCCATAAAAATTTGAACTGTAAGATAATCATATTTTGAGACTTGGTGCGACAATATGAATGGGAAAAGCAAGTTCTTCGAGATAGATGAGAATTTGTTCTGCGCCTCTTTATCTCTCAAATCTTGCGTAGGTAGTTCACTCTTGGGACTTCTTCCACTTATATTGTCCTACAAACTTTGAAATCGTATTATCTTATATTCCAATTTTTACGGATACCGTAAACACTTGAGTCGTCCAGAATTAAGGTACTTTTGCACTCTAATAAATGGATGGACTTAACCATATCACCCGGTGCATTTCACAGAGCTTTCTAGAAAGTCTAGGGATCTAAAGCATTAAGCTTGTGAAGACTGTAGATGCGAATATTAAGGATTTGAGGATGGTCACAAGGAGAACGCAATGGTCCGTGTGATGGAGCCTTTGTAGGTCTTTCAGAAATCGACTCACCTTGGAAGGACCAAGATACGCAGATTAAAGCCGGTTGTGATTCCCACTGGATGTCATATAGAAGGATCCAACGACTGTACATGCTGTGGTATCGTACCCTTGGACTTGGAAAACATTTGGAAATGCATCACAAAATACAGTACGTTATGGATTTTTTGACAAGATGGGTATCTCCAGCTCGATTCTATTATACATACACAACCCCCTCCTTCCTTCGGATAGCTCATGAGACGGGGACGGCAGCAGGGGCTTCTGTACCTGTACCCTGACCAGGAATCGACGGCGGAGGTAAGAACATCGGAAGGTAGGTCTGGAGAGAATTTTAAATTAGCAAAGGATACAGCCCAATCTGACGGGTGGAGTGAGGACTTACTACCACAAGAGCCATTACTAGACATGTCAGTGTTTAATTCTATCAAGTCGAGGCAGCAAGGACTTACGAGACATGCCTACAGAAAAGTAGGCAGGCTGTGAAGCAGTCTTCTTCGCGTCTTCACTCTCTCCAAGCCAATTTTGTATAGCAAACACAACGGAGGCCCTGAATATTGTCAGAGCCCGAGACTCACGGCAGCTTCCTCCATCTCTGCGTACCAGCCAATGAACTTATTCCGTGTGAACATAGCAGCCATGGGTAGAGTGCTCCCCAACGTGCCGCTGATATCAGAAGCTCCCTCCTTCGCTGCGGGAATCTGATATGGGATGACTGCAGAGAGGGAGATGTTAGCAAGAAGAAAAACAGTTTCGAAAGCCGAGCAGCAATGACATACTGAGATCAGCTCTCCGCATATCTTTCTTGGTCGCCATGATTGTATTAGTGGTGTGAATTGGAACGTCAATTAATTGTACGGGTGTTGAATCCTGAATGGTACCGACAAAGGAAGTGAAGACGCCGACAGCCGATTCGGGTGGTCGGGTGGTGAGCGACGGCACTTGCCGCCTGGACTAGAAGTCTCAATGTTCCCTTCCAGGTATGGTATGATACAGATTATTACAGTACAGAACAGAGTCTACTGTGGACAGTCTAGACAGTCTAGACAGTCTAGATTTGCCGCCGTCGTCTCGCGCCGCAACGTTGGTTGGAGTATTTCACCGGATCTGGAAGGAGAAGGAGCAGGTACGAGGACGGAAGGATGAAAGATTATCAGATGCATGCATCAATCCTGCGACGTTCGTGGATGACCCAAATAGTCCAACCCTCGAGAAATAACTATAGTATGTATCATCCTCCTCTCATTTGGAGGACTGGGCGTATGTGTATGTCTACATGGGCATGGGCATAGGCATACAACCATGAGCCAGCCTTGAAGCACGATTCATTTTTCTTCTACAAATTGTTCGGGAGCATGAAAGGCATGATGGTACATTGGTACTGCGGATCATGGTCGAATCCACGTCAGACATTTCCCCCTCTCGGATCCGGTGCGATTGTTGAGATGCTTGTACCAGACATGGAAACGGCTGCTGAAGCCGAGTTCAGGCTGGCCATACAATCTACCTAGATAATGTACAGTACGGTACAGTACAGTACAGTACTTTCGTAGGGAGTGATATCAGCACTCAGCCTTGATCTTGGGTACCAGTACCCTGCGCCCTCATTGCTCCAGCCAACTGGTGCTGAGGTGGCACGGCTTAACCAACCAACCAACCAACCATGCGTACGATAGGGGATGGGATCTCATCGCATCTACATGGATCCTCTTGGGTAGGTACACTATGTCCCTTTGTGCCGCAATCGTTGGGAGGTGAACATAGATAGATACATATACGTCGATACATACTGTACAGTACTGTACTGCACTGTACTGCTGATAGATCAAACGTTATCAAAGCCAAAGCACGTTCGTGGTTCCGAAAGGAGTTCACCCGCCGCTGATCTGGAAGACACCACACCGCACCGCACCCACGCACCCGCGCACCCACAGCCACCTAACTCCATTCGCCCTCTGTTCCCGGGACATTTGACGAACCCGCAAGGCCTTGCTCCCTCCATCACCACGGACGACACTCCCCCTGCGACGTACAGTACATCCATCTTCGCTCATCAGACATCACGAACGAATTGCTGGTTTATGATATCTCTGCTGCTCGGTGTTCATCGGACGGTTATCGTGATCCTCGACCGCGTGTCTGGATAGCCACGACATGGACGAGTCATGACGAGCCGCATCGTGGGCCCCCCGGGAAGAGAGCCACTCCAGAGGTCCTTCTCTTCTTCAACGACTACCTTCTCGAGGCCGTCGCCCCATCGCACATTGTCACAGAAATTCCCATCATCGTCGCCGACGAGGAGAACGAATGATGTCTTGATTGACTTGACCGTGGATGCGGATGCAGCCGGGCGACATGCGCCGAGGATTGGGACATCAAGACTGAGATTGGAGGTCTCGACGGACTCAAAAAGTGCGCTGGTCGAGTCTCCCGCGCCTACATCGGATTCAACGTCAACATGGAAGCCGTCTCTGCCAATTCCTCCTCGAGGCCGTCCTGTGCTTCATTTCGATGTCCCGAGCGTCAGCAACCTCAGCCCACGCCCGTCGCAAGACGGAGGACAAGATGAATCGACGATAAAGCCCATGCCTCTCCCTGTCCGACCGAGACAGCATGCTCCGCCGGCATTAGGAAAGTCGCGGCATCCAGCAGGAGCATCAGTGAAGAAGGATGTCCGTCCCAAGCCCTACGTTCTGGAAGTGCCAACCATAGCACCGCACTATCCCCCCAATGGTTTGTTACCCCGATTTCCAGCTGTACAATTTCCGCTAATGTGTGAAGGGCATGCCGACTTCTTTCCATGGACTGGGAACCACACCGAGGACCAGTTCTCGGAGCATGTCATTCGCCATGGCTATCTCGATAAGGCACAGATGACGCAAAACGAGACAGCATCAGCGAGGTCGTCTATATTTCCAGCGCTCAAGCACAAGAGTGGTTTGCAGACCCTCTCCTCTCTACTCACGAATGTCCTGGCACAGCGCAGGGCGCATGGCCAGATAACTTCGGCCTCGACCTTCAAACCTCCTCCGCGAGTGACCGTGACAGACACCAAGAGGGAGATGTGGCTCAAGGACTTAGCAAACCCCACTATATCGTTACGGCGACTAAGCCGATCTATCCCCCACGGAATCAGGGGGAAGGTTTTGTTGGATCAATCATTAAGCAAGAATATTCCTATTGAGCGTGCAGTCTGGCTGGCCAAATGTGTTGGGGCGAACGAATTGAGATCATTTAGAAGAAAGGGTGCGAGCGGAACTTTCGCGATGGGTGGAGAAGCAAAGTGGATTCGGGACTTCACGGTTTGTGTGGAACAATTCATCGAGAGCATCGCTGGAACGTGTGGCGAAAAGGATTTCAGAGTGAGAATAGATTATGCGTACGTCAAGCTGTTTCCCAACCGGAGCAATGCGCTGACTCGATCTTGTAGCATACGATTAGCAACACATTTCCACGCGGAACATTTGCTTGACCGGGACCATTACATGGACTGGCTCGTCTCATCTGTCGAGAATAGTCCTCAAGCAAAACTACCAATGTGGTTGTTGATAACCGAGATCTATTGGAAAGATATATTGCAGTATCGGAAGTATGGACGTCGACTAGCGACTGCCCTGATGAACCAATTGACCGAGGTTTGTGTGAATTCATATCTCTGTGCCTGAAGTAAGCTAAGACCTTAGTAGACTCTCAACCATCCTGACCACGATATCTTGGCTCCATTGTCTGACCGCCTTGTCGTTCTATTGGATGGAATGATGGTCTCCAACCCAGAGAGTTTCATAGCGCCCAAATCCTGGCTCAAGTATCGAGACGCTCTGATGTCCAGCTTGTCAGGAAAATCTAATAGCCTTTCCACTGTCCTCCTGGAAATTGATCGCCGGAACAACCGACTTGCGGCTTCGAGTGCCAAGAAAGAGCTCAATTCCCGTCGTCGTTTCATCAAACTCCTGGATCGGACGCTTTCGCATCCATTCAGTCACGAGCTGGCACGACAGTGGTGGCAAACGGATGAGGACAAAGACATGCTCATGCAAACAGTCTTGGAATGGGCTTCTTCATTTCATCGACCCGGTGTAGCCAAGATCTACGTTGCCACTCGTCTTCTCAGAACCTGGAGCCACTTTGGTGCCGATGTCACTGCCGCGATTCTGCATTTTATTGACTCTGCAACTTACGAGTCCGGTCGCAACAGAAATGCCCTCTATCATCTGGTCTCGGAATTGGCACGCTCTGAGCATTTTTCAACGCCCCGATATCTACAATGGCTGATTGCTCGGGGTGGCCTCCATGATGAGGCTGATGTAGTGCCCAGTGCACCTTGCTCCACACGACTCTTAGCCGAGTTACCAACGCACAACCTTAGTGAAGGTATCTTGGAGCTTCGCATGACACTACTCACTCGAGCCAATTTCTCGGTGGACGAGGAGGAGGAGCAGGTTAGAGAGTACATGGCCATCATTAATGTCGATCTTCCGGGCATGCAAACGCATGTGGATCAAGATCTCGACTCGATCGATATCCCACCATTTGCGCATCGAATCCCACTCATTAGTACTGCAAGTCGAACAAGCAAGTCTGAGTTGGGACTCTGGCTTCGGCAAAAAGTCCGGATTCAGATGATACAACCTACAATACCACCTTTAGACGATTGGGATGATTGCCCAATGAAGAGAGGGACGTCTGCAATTACCGCGTCGGAATTCGGCACGATCAGGCAGTATCTCGAGCTCATTAATGATTATTCTATGCTCGCTGATGTCATGATGATCGTTGCAAGTTCGAATGACCCTGAAGTCTTAGCATCCTGTGCAGACACTCTTGATCTACACCTGGAGACCTTTGCTGCAATCGGAGCCCTCAAAGGACTCTTCGACAATTTAATTTCCCGGCTCCGAACTTTATCTAAAGAGACGGACTCGATTCCGAGAGGGTTTCTAGTGTCCGTTGCTGAGTTAGCTGCACGACTCCCAGAACAAGAGCTAACTGCACAACACCTTGCGCAAGACCTACTTAGAAGTGACAGAAAAACTGCAGCCGATGCTTGTTCCCCGGTTTCAGACCACATGGCGATTGTGGAGACCGCCGAAGTCGACTTCACGGACGAGATTGAGAAAGTCTTAGCAAGCGGCAACAGTATGGACCAGGGAACTTTAGATCGCTTGTTCCACAGGATTATTCTGCGCTCAGAAGAATCATGGGAGAAATCGCCTGAACAGCAGAGGAGCTGTGGTTTACTCCTCACTAGACTTAGGACTTTCGACTCTAAACACTTCGATGTTCTAATGGCTGCGTGGGTGACGCGCTTACTTCAGACAAAAGCTCGTCCAGCCCTTACGAAGGTCTTGAGTCCTCTCATCAGTTTTGGGTGCCTTATACTTCGAGATGTCGTTCTCAGTTACAATCTCCTAGTAGATACTCCGGATAACCAAGGTGCAGCCCTGGAAATGCTTGCTCTCCTCATGGAACCTTGCCTCATGCCCGACATCATCACTAAACAAGAAGCATACCGTCTACGTCTCAAACAATCTCACATGCTCAAAGACTACCCAAGAGAAACATTACTTATCATTCGGAAGGCTTTCGAAAGCTGTCCTTCTGATGACAATTCTCCTCAACACCTACACGCAACGGAACTGCAATCGTTACTTGATAGTTCCCCCATGTGCGAAGTGTTGGGAACTCTAGTTCTGGCTGATCCCGATGTTTTCGTGCAGGAGCTCGTACTACCACTGCTTCAATGCGGCATGACAAAGCCTACCGCAAGCATCAATGCGGTAATTGACTACATGTTGGTCGGTAGGGATGGACCAAACCAGGTCACCACTGAAGTGCTTCTCAATTCAGCAAATGATTTATCCCTACCCTTCTGTCAAATCAAGCTGGCATCAGTACTGAGAGAGGAAGATACCGTGATGCAAGACGGAGATGCTGGCCGATCAGAGCGTCTCGACGCCTTTGATAAAGCCATAAAGTCTGCTGTCGATAACGGAAATACCGCTTGGGCTAGTATCGTCCCGCTACTTGATAGGTCCGTTGCACAGCATCTGCAACAGCGAGCCGAACAACAATTTCTCGCCTTGTTCCCTTCTCCAAAAACATTGAACGTTGAGCATCTTCCTGATATCCAAGACCGCGTGGTTCAAGCGCGAAATGTGCTACGAATCATCAATACAACAGCATGTATTGGATCAACAATCTCCTCGTCGGCTATCCCTGAATATCCCAGCCTTGGCCCCGATATCGTTGCTGCATGCAATGGCCTCTGGCTTGTCCTAAGTAATTCTTATCCCCAAGAACTAAAGGATTGTATAATTACCCATTGGCTTCCGATGCTTCTATCCTTCATTATTCTGCATGAGTCTGCCTTCGATACGACGAAATCAGGACATGAAAGCCGCGCAAAGACAATTTTGTCGTTGGTCGCAATATATCTCCAGCTCCAAGTCCTAGACGTCGACATCGAAGTAGCCAATGAGCTCATGAAACAAACTTTTGATCTGTCTTTATCTCTTGTGGATCTTCTACCCGAGGACATGCGTCAACAATGTATCCGCAGTTTGCGCGATACTGTGTGCAGTCCCAGTGTATCTTACATGTTGAGCTACTGCGCAAATCCAAGTGAGTGGTTGGTCATGGTTCAAAAGGAGCGTGTTCCTGCGCGCTCGGGCGCTAGTGCCGATTCAAGACCAGTGGAAAAGGAGAAACTAACGCCATTCTCGCTGCGGAGGTGGGAGAATCTGGGCGAGCCAACACCCAATGTTGGAGAGAATGATACGAGCCTGAGCTTGACACTCTTTGGGGCAAGACGAGGCTGATCTAGGTAGCAGGGAGCATATACTTTCTTTTGTTTTGATCACAATTTCGAGCATGTATGTATCTAGGTCGGGCATCGAGCATGAGCGTTCTGGATGTTTACGATAAGACGATGGATGACTTAAGGACATGATAGTATCACTATAGCATATTCGTTCAAGTCCTAGGAGCGAATTATTGAATGTGATCCGAGTAATCTCCAAGATGAGCAAATGGGAAGAGAATAGTTCTGCCAGACCATACTTCCAGGCTCTTTCTCCGCCCCCATTCGTGCGGTGCTTCGTCAATCCTCATGTCCATGCGCAAGATCTTTCCCAACTTTGTCTCCATCTTAACATCCGGATGATCAAACAACGAACGAGGTAAATTGCCGCTCTCACAGCAGCATCGCTAAGTCGAAGGTCTTGAAGGATGCCATGTGTCCAGCAAAAATACCAAGGGGTCCTCGAAAGCTTAGAGCATTGACTTCTGCATTGCCATACCGAGTTCTAGCCCTGTTTTGGGCTTGCCTTAGCATACGGAGGGAGAAGGCACATTACCAGCTCTCGAGACACATGTGGTTGTTGGAATGTTCATCAATGAAAGGTGAGAGAATGCAAGATACTGACGATGCAATGGGGCAAGCTTCTGTTCTTACTCGGCATCTGATCTACTGTAGCTGTGATGGTAGATTGAGGTTTCGGGGAGCTGGGCTGGGCCAGTGAGAGGACATTTTAGATGTCACAAGGAGTTGATCCGCGCTGAGTTGAGTATCAGCTATGTCCAAGACCGAGCATCCTCTTACCTTTTTCGCTCTTGGGGTCGTTCTTGGATAGAGAGAATCCATTCTCCAAGTCTACCATATCGAGGGACTGGTAATCTGAGATTCACAGAAGAGGAAGCTAGCACGCGCAAGAACGTTGGTGTTTCAAAAGCTTTCACTTCACTGATGAGCATATCATTAAGCATTCTGGTTACTTGTGAAGTTTTTTTCATTGCTATGTACACCATGTCCGAGAGCAGTCCTGCAATATGTACGCGTGAAGAGACCCTTATCCTATGACATCTTGTCCAAGTGGTAGGAGCAAGACAATCAAGGAAGCGGGTGCGAAGCATTTGTCTGGTAGAGGGTTTGTATTATGCCCAGACAAGGAGAAGGAAAAACAAATTGCATGACCGTGAACAAGAAGCTAGGTGCGGGCGGGTGTGTGAAGATCTCTGCCTCGAAATGACAAAAGCAGTTGCAAACATTGACAGACAACTGTGTTATCCTCGTGCAGAAACATGAAATCGAAGTGCAAATGCAAACAGAAGGCATGAGTGCAGTGAGCGCGCCTAGAACAGGACAGGCAGGCAGTGATACCGACCACGCGTCAAAGCAGGCCAGATGCAATGTACTTACTAAGAATCCAAGGACTCAAAGCCAGAACCATGGCCAACGGGAGTTGGGGTGCTGGAGCGATCATCTTCGGCTGGAGCATTGCTGGCCATGGGCTGTCCATAAGCGGCTTGGAAAGTGCCTTGTTGAGCAGGAGAGCTGAAGCCGTAGGATGGGGCCGAACCGTAGATGAATTGCTGGCTGAGAGGACTGGAGGTTGGGCTGCCACCGGTGTTGTAGGCGGGACTGCCAGGATAGCACGCAGGGGCAGGGAACTGGGTGAAGTAGGCGCCATTTGCCGTAGCATAGATTGGGCTGCCATAACCACCATAACCACCGTAACCACCATAGCCACCATAGCCACCATAACCGTAGAAGGCGTTGTATGGGGAGTGTGCAACAGGGGATGCGACATAACCATAGGCCTGAGAGGAGACGGAGGCGAATTGAGTGGCATGTTGCTGCTGAGCGGCAGGTTGAGGAGCAGGGGATTTATATGGAGTGGCGGAAGCCTGAGCACCATAGCCTGATCGACGACGTTGGGAACGGGCCAAGGCAGCATTGGAGTCCTTCTGGGCAACTCGCAAAGCCATGCCATGCAGGGTGAAACCGAGCTGGAACGCGTGTTAGTCGGCGAGGAAGCAATAAGGGAGCAGATGCGGTGCACTTACGGAAGCGTTCGCACGGAGAACTGAAGCGACAGATGGTTGCATCTCAAACTCGACGAAGGCAAAGCAACGCTGTTGGGTGGCTAATGCGACGCGTCAATGAGGCTCTCAAGGTGAACGTGAAGGATAGAAAGAGTGAAGAAGACTCACCATCGACGATGGAATTATTCTTGTGCAATGTAACCTTGAGAATGCGGCCATGGCTCTGGAAGACATCACGAAGCTCATCGATGATGGCATCAAGAGGGACGTTGCCAACGTAGATGGAGCGGCGCTCAATGTCATATTCTTCAAGATAGCGTCGGCCGACAGGGTCTTGAGGGACGCGACCGCGAGGAGATGAATTCATACCCATGTTTGATACCGGTTGCATCTTGAACTCCTCATGGTTGCGATATGCCTAGAGATGTCAGAAATGACAGCTGAAAGAGAACAAAGGGAGAGGTTCGTACCTGAAAAGCAGCCTGACCCTCATCATACAACTCGAATTGGACGATGATACCGTTACCAAGGTTGTTAAGAGCAGCATCGGCGGGGTTAATTTGTCTGCAGTAGCTGATACGACCAAAGCCACGGAGAAGAGCCTCAACCTCAGATACAGTGAGATCAGCACCATACTTACGCTCGAAGTAGAAGAGACCTGCCAAAATCTCAGTTTCAATTTCATCACTCGACGCGTCCTTGAACTTACGATGAGCCTTGGCTCTCTCGCAACGGCATGGGCGACCCTTGATAGTGCGTCCGCGGCCATCCCTAATAGCACGGGAAGCGTCATCATCGGTCTGTGGTTGTGTTAAGAGACGAAAGAGTATCAGTGACCAGAAGCGAAACTCACAGTGAATTGACAGAATGCAAAGGGCATCTGCTTAGAGTCACGGCGGATCTTGACAAACACGGTGCCAAACTCTCTGAAGATTTCAGTGACAGCGACCTCGAGGGCTTCATCGCTCTCGCTCTGAAGGAGACTGTGCAATGTTAGGACGTAGACTTACACGGAGGAGAATTACTTACTTGGCAACGAAGACACAGCTGGATGGTAGATAATGAGCCTGGGCATCCTCAGCCTTGATGGCGATAGCCTCGGCGGTTCTCAAGTGCGATTCCTCAGCGGCATAATCACGAACAAAGACACTGCGTCCGCTCTGAGCGCTACGCAAAGCCTCCAAAGGAGAAATCGGACCGGAGTCAGAACCGGAGCTAGATCCAGAGCGCCAGTTGTCACTCTTGCTCGCACGGCTCATGAACTTCGAACCGGTTGGAGTACGCTGACTGGAGCCTTGAGGGCGGCGGGCGAGAGGAGAGTCGAAGGGGTCTTCAGCACGACCTTGAGAGCCATTGCGAACGAATGGTGGGGAATAACGCTCAATGCCAGCCTTAACGTCCTTGTCGACCTTGATGGTCAACTTGGAAAGCTTCTTCGAGACAGCACCTTCTGTTCTGCATTAGTAAACGGCCAATCGAGTCGCGAGACGCGTCAGAGAAATTAAACGAAGTAAACAAACGCGTAAACACGTAAACACGGAAACGAAGGGGAGTAACGGGTAACCCGGGAGACAAAATATAGGGTAAGGCTGAACATGAACCCCTAAAAAAGATGCACTAAGTGCGGGACGGCCCGAGCCGTGGCATCGAAGTGTCCAGGGGGAGATTGAGGCTGAGAACAAAGGCAGCAATGCAGAGCCATAATGTGCACGTGTTTCGATGCTCCAAAGACTTCATCAGGACTTGAAGAAGTAATTGGAGCACTGACCTCGATGGTGAAGCCAGATGATCCGAAAGTAAACAAAACAATAGAACATGGATGGAGATGGAGATGGGAATGGAGAAAGAAGATGGAGATGGAGATGGAGAAGAGAGAGCCAGCTTGGCAAGATGCAAAAGCAGAAGTAGAGTGTAGGTGCACAAACAAAATAGTGTAACGTAGAGGTATGTGATGGAGTGAAGGGTTCAAAAGCAATACAAACAGAACATCAAACGTGTAGCCAGAAGAGACTCGCAGACGAGGCATAAGGAATGAGAACGTACCATCATTGGGAGTTTGGGGAACCTCATCGCCAGCATCGCTGGAGGCGCTGTCACCGTAGGTGCTAGCTGGGGAAGGCTCGAGAGAGGAAGCGCGGCCAGAGCCAGCAAGCTTCATTGCGGGAGCGGACGGAGTACCTGCAGAAGCAGACATGGTGATTGCCAACGTGCTTTGCTTGAATGCTGGGGAGAGCAGTGAGAAGAAGAAGTGCAGAGGGAAGACAATCAAGTTGGAACTGTGTAAACAGTAACGGACGAGAGTGTGTGTGCAGGGACAAAACGACGAAGTTGAGGTGGAAGTGGAAATTTTGAAAAGAGGAAAGAAAGTCAGAAGAGGCAGAAACGTTGCGAGATTTTATAGCTGAGCCCGCTTTGCTCTCTTAGCGGCCGGTCGGGGAGCGCTGAGTCTTGATGATTGGCTTAGCTTCGGGCAGAACGAGGTCTAGGACCAAGGAGTATGTGACCACCACCACCAGAGGAGGAGGAGGAGGAGGAGGAGGAGGAGGAGAGACGAGCCCCCTTCTGCTCCCACCGCCCAATGCATCCTATGTTCTAGTAGATGATGACGACGGCAGGCGACCTAGTGAGGGCATTGATTGATTGATTGCATCGCTCGTGAGGATTACTATCTACCACCAGCACTTACTCAAGGAAGCCTGATGAGCACTGCAAAAAGAGCTTCCGAGGGAGGGTCACTTGAGTTTTCTGTTACTATCTAACAAATGTTCCAACCATTCCCTTGTGCTCGTGCTGTGACAAAAGCCCCTCCCCTCCAGCACCCTCACAACTGCCAGGGCAGAATGCGGGTGTGGTCATAGCTGGACCATAGCTAGCTAGTGAGACCCCTCCGTAACCGGGGCGAAATTTAGACTAAGCGAGCCTATTTCCCAAAAACATCTCCACCTTGGAGTGAGAGGAGACAGATGGGAGACAGATAGGAGACAGATAGGAGACAAATAGAAGACCATGGATGGCCCGACACTGTGTATCCTGCATCATGAAGCTGGGGTTTTGAATTGATGTCTCTTTGTAACTTGGAATTCATGCTCCTGAATCACATACAGAGCCACATCAACAGCTACCGATTATGACGAGACCGTCACTGCGACCACTACTAGGACGAAGCCTCATTTGCATTATCATGCCTCTTCTCTGGATTTATGAAAAGCATATCGTCATGCCTTGGCAACGGTCAGTCATGCCAAGGCTCAGTAAGTTGGAAACAACAGCACCACTGCATCGGCTGGCGGCTCTTCCCCAGGACACGTACAAACACGTCCGAAATGATAATGCGGAAGCTCCAGGACGCTCGAAACTACCATCAAAAGACACGTCGACGACAACACGAAAGTCTCTACATTCGTTAAAGAATTGGTACGTGCGTGCCTGCATAGGGTGCTGGTTCTTTGCCTCTATTCAACGGATACCAGCAGCTCAACTTGGTACGTATCTTCCAAATGACCCTTGTCAACTTCTGCCACTCAAGACAACCTCTGACTATGAACACAGATAGACATCCATCACCCAATTCTCCCCAGACTTGCAGTCATTTGTCGTGTACGAACTTGAATGGCAACGGAAAACGCAAACCAATGGCCGGTTTCCAGGACAGGAGCATCGCATGGACATACAACAATGAGCGCAGGCCCCGACGTTACAGAATAGCATAACTCTTCAGCGGCTTAGTAGCTGGCATTCTCACTCCTGCTCAAAGTCTTGCGTGGCCCAGCGGCACGTCAACATTTACTGCGGTGGAATGGTAGACATATTGCAAGTTTATAGTACTTTCTGCTGACTTCCACAATGTAATACTCTCTTTCTTAACTGCGTATCAATTACATGTTTCCAAAGCTGGGCGTACATCTGTTCTATTACTTTGTTTTAGAGTGCAGGAGAATAGAAGAAGCATTCTCGAGGTTTGCAAAGGCAGATGATCCTTTCTTTGGCCCATGCTCTTTTCTCACTTGATGATTTACTCGATACAAAGAGTCTAGAGCATTGTTCACATCATTCTCCAATTTTATTTCTCTGTTCTCCATGCAACTCCTCTGTACGGTGTACCCATATGTTTTGAATGCTCGGGCGGGTACGAGTGCCCCGATGATCGTGATCGTTCAAGGTCACGTGAATTGTCACGTGAACTGTCACGTGAACTACTCCACGTGACACGTGGCCGATTTCAGGAGTACCTAGGTACCTAGGTACCAGAAGAAGTTTCCTAACAATCACAAAGCATGAGTTGGAGCTAAGTCTTGAAAGCGATCAAGAACGAAATTTCAAACATGAATTAAAAGCGATTTGGCTTCATTGAAGAACGCAAGCGGCAGAAATTGCCGAAAGGGACGCAACGAGTACTAGCAAATCAACGCAAGAGGCAAGCAAAGCAAGGAAGAGAGCGAGCGACTCGATTATCACTTGAGGGGAAGAAGAATCTTCGGTAGCGTGTTCCTTTGCAAAGAAGGTCGTCGTTGCCGTTGTGTGCTGCTGATGGGTGCCAAGTCTCGGGCGCTTGTTGATCCCCTGGTAGGACGAAGAGTGAAGTCGTTCTAAGATTCGAGTCGAGTCGAATCGAGCCCCGTCATTGATGGTGCGAGACGTGAGATGTGAGATGCGAGTAATATCAGCTTCTGTGTCGAACAAAGCGAGGTAACAATGGGAAGGAGCTGTCCTCCTTGAGCAGCACAATGGCAAGTCGTAGCTGCAGCTCTGACTTTCCTAAGCGACGGCGACGGCGACCCCACATTCATCCTTGGCAAGGCTACCCTGCGACCCTACAAGATCGATGATATCAATCTTCCTCGGAGCAAGCACCTTGGACAACAATTTCAAGCGTAATCCACGATGAGAGTCACCCCAAATCCACTCGCGAAAGGGTTCTTTGGTAGAAGTGTAGATGAGCTCAAGCGTCTATCGGGCATAGGTATGTCTTGAGAATCCCTTCCAAATTCGATTTAATATCCTGATCCAGCTTTACAGCTCTGAGAGCGGAAGGCACCAGACGAGCTACCAATCCCTACGTACTACACACATTCCACGAACCCGATTCACCCGAGTCCTGCAAGTTGATGTCGGATGGCGATGTGGGTGGATTCTCTCGGGCACATCTAGATTGGATTCCACCAGCAACAAGCCTACACCCTCTTCCTTCTGAGAACAATAAAGGCTATGCCAAATTCCATGGAAGCATATCGATTGAGCTCCCGGCAGACAAACCACATATCCAAAGGACCGGCTATGCAGCCTGGAGGACCAAAGATAGACCGCCGACAGTATTTGGCAAGTCACTATGGGACATCGATCCTTACGCTTTTCTAGCTCTTCGGATCAAGAGTGACGGGAGGAAGTACTTTGTCAATTTACAGACGGAGAGCATAGTACCGACAGACCTCCATCAACATAGACTATACGCCAGGAGGCCGGGAGAGTGGGAGACGGTGCTGATCAAGTGGAACGAATTCGTTCGGACGAATCATGGCGTCGTCGTGGAACCGCAGACGGAACTGTTGCGCCAGAAGGTCAGGACGGTGGGAATCGGTCTCATCGATCGTATACCGGGCAAGTTTGAGCTTTGTATTGAGAGAATATGGGCTACGAACGAACTGGGAGAAGAGTACTTGAAAGAAGATGACCGGATAGAGGAAGGCCAACTGAAGAGCAAACACGGCGAGAAGATTAGGTGGAATGAGGAGAAGGCCTGAGCCTCACAATGACGATTGATATGTAATCTATGTACAAACTAATGGCATCTGAAGCAGACTAAGCTGCTCGAATCCTATTGTTCAATAATAAATTTCAGTCCACTCCATATATTGCAGCAGTGAGGTATTGGGGACTGGGTGAGAGTGGCCACTCCTCTGCAAGGTATCCTATAAGATACCACCTCAAGCGATTGCTTACCAAGAACAAGATTGAGGGGGAACCGCGAGCATAGTCATCGAAAGTGCTTCAATAGTTCAAGCCGTGGCGTAAGGATGATAAGTTGCAGTAGCAAAAATACTAGGAGACACTATGGCTACAGTTTATCAATTCTGTCGGCTCTTTGACAGCGATTACCAGACGGATGCACGGCTTGTATAATAATGTATTTCAATAAGTACATACAGTATTAAATTTTGAATGCCGTTCTCGGATTTAATGCTAGTTGCTATCTCAGAGTCGGACATTCTAGAGTTGCGACGGTCATGTACCCCACCAAACCCCCTGCCTGTCGCGACTTCTTGGACGCGTGCAGCGAGCAATACAATCCCTCACTCAATCCTTCATCGATGAACGACGACTATCCATGTCATGAGCAAGCTTTATGCATGTTACTTGATGCTTTCAAGCGCAGCGCGTTCTCCCCAAGATTACGAACATGACCCGCTTCCTTACGCCAGCCAAAATCGGCGTACTGGCTCTGATTGAACTCTACACAGATGCCATTGTGCCCACCTCGTCTACCCTCCCAGTTCTCTCGTTCATCCTTAATCAATTGATACCAGCAACGGCTAAATCCTACCCAAGAGAAGCAGACTCAGCCCAGTCACTGCCTTTCATACTGGACATCAAATCCTTCGAAGTCCTCCTTGCAGCCCATCCTGCAGCTTCTGGCTTACCAGGTCGCTCGTTATGGGACCATTTCCTCAAGAAGCTATGGGAAATCGACAGCCTCGATTCTTTGCATACGTTCTTCACACAACGAACAAATCTTCTGGCCAAAACTCGCGAGGACGTTAAGAAGGATGGCGACTTGGGAATACCACCCCCCTCGGAAAATATGATCCTGCTGTCCCGCACATCCCCATTTGGAAGCTTCGTACGTCGGTCAAAGGTGGAATTTGAGCGTTTGAGATTCAGTGACGCCCTGGCTCTCTGGACCGCGTTTACCAGATGGCGTGAACAATCGAGGACATACTGGACAAGGAGAAATGGCGGACTTGGAAGATGGGCTGGCGACAGGGCGCTGGGAGAAGGCGAGGAAGAATGGGGAACAGATGCTACCGAAATGCTAGAACTTGTGGCGTATGGTGGGGTGAGCCTAGAGGACGAGATGGACGGCAGTGTAAGCACTGATGATCTGGAAAAGCTGCTGGAATTCCAGGTCGAACAAATGCAGAGTACGTATCGAGAACGTTGTTTAGAGGTCCTGAATTGACAGAAGTAGAGCTGGGGAACAGAGTACCACCTGAGGTCAGAGATAAAATCCAAAGTATCTTTGGGGAAAGCATCATGATACCGAGCTTGTCCCATTATTTGAAGTAAGTAGATTTGTTCTGAACAGCAATCACCTCTGACTCAAGCCTAGCTTTCTCGATGCCTGGCGCTCTGGCGACTACCCAACCTCGTTCGACAATTTGCATCGGTATTTCGACTACACCATGCAGAATCGAGATCGGCTATTCTACCAGTATGCTCTTATGAACTTGGCTGTTCTGCAGGCCGACTTTGGTTGCTTCGATGAGGCATTGGCAGCGATGCTCGAGACTGTGTCTACTGCACGAGAGAATAAAGACATGGCATGTCTGAACTTTGCGTTGAATTGGTTGTACCACTTTGGCAAGGCACATCCTGATACCATCAGAGGGACCGATTCTACAAATATGCTTGGTGTGGAACGAGAAGGCCTGGCATACCTTCGTGTCAAGGCAAAAAAAACGGGGATGTGGACTTTATGGGGATCATCACTCCTGAGTGAGGCTAAGTTGGGCATGTCAAATGGTGAAAGTGTTGCTACAGCCTTTGAGAACATGCTGAGGAGTTCTCAACTCATCGTCGATAAAAACATGAAGACTATGATGGGTCCACAATTGGCGATGTACTCTTCCATGTGGGCTCGGTTGGGAGTATCACATCTCTCGAGGCAGTACTGTCAGATCTTTCTAAGCTGTCACGCTCGCTACACCCTTTTCGATGACACACTGAGGTTCACTTGTCGACTTGCTCATCTACTTACGGAAAAGGGTCATTATGACGAGGCTCTAGAGAAGCTCGATAGTCTGGATGAGAACTCATTGCGCTCATGGAAAGCAAATCAGTACTGGTTGAGATACAGAGGTGTCATTCGCCTCAAACGGGACCTCCGTAGAGACAATCTAGACGGAGCCAATCAACTGTTGTCCCAGCTCCTTCAATTCACAGGCACAGACATGGACTCGGACCTTGCTTTTGAGATTAATATTCTTCACATTGAATACCTCACTCGACGAACCGATTATGGTGCAGCATTAGCGAAGATAGAACAGATGGCGTCTGTGATGAAGCAGGACGGCGACGATCTCAATTTGCAGGTAAAACTGCTTACCATGAAAGCGCTGTTACAAGACAAATGTGGCCGTCCACAGAAAGGCTTCTCTGTAGCTGTTCGAGCAGCAAGCATTGCATGGCGAGCGAGACTCGTACCAGCTTTGTGGGTGGCCATGGGATTTATCGCAAATATCCTGACTTCACTGTTCGAGTTTCAGGCTTCAGCTCAGATACTCATTGCTATCATTCCACAGGCTCTTGAGTACGAAAATTGCTCGTTGAATGCTCAGTTATATTCTTTCCTCGCGGATGCGTGTATGGGAATGGCTGGACAAGCAGGGGTTGGAAGTACTAAGAGAAAGGAGAATCTCACCAAGTGCTTGGAGTACATCGATCGGGCGTTCAGCGAATACTCTTCAATTGAAGATATCAAAGGGCAATGCGAGATGATGGCTAAGAAAGCAACTATTATGAAAGTTGTTGGCGAGAAGATTTTGGCAAATGACTATGCTGGCGCTTATATGGATCTAAAGAAGGAGGCGGCTTTGGCACAAGCCTAACAATGATACCCAGTATGATAATGTTATGCAAGCATTCTTTGAGAAACGAGTTGTACGAAACAAAATCATCTTGCTCTTGCACTTTCTTCATCATTGTAGAGAGCCTCGAAGAACATTGTTCGAGCCCTGTAGAAGCTCCGTATGTCGTCCTGTTACTCTCCTTAAAGCGTCCTGCGAAAGGCACGTAACGCATAAATCAGCCTTGTCAACTGTACTAGATTTCACTAGCTGTAACCTATCAGTGTGAGGCAATGCAATTTCATTCTTCGCCATCACACCCCAATCCTAGAACCTCCTCCCTCCAACCTACCAAAAGCACTCGTTGCACACAGAATGAGAGTACCACCCACAACATCTCCATCAGTCGAATGCATACATCACTTCACTTCACTTCACGTTGGCTTCGTGCAATCGGAGACATATGCTGGATTGACTTCTTGTAATGCTCGAACTGAAGGAGAAATATACACTCTTGTCTATGTGAAACCAAGCCCATTGCCCTCTCATTCCCAAACAACCCTCATCACGACTTCATTCACAGCCACGTCCTCCCTGTCTCTTACTCATCCTTCTTGTGATGGTTGACCTTGTCATTCCAGCTACACAGTGTCAGCACATCCCTATGCAATCATCTTCAAACTTCATCGTGTTTTCCTCCACAACCACCTAATATAATTGAACATGAAACTTACAACAAAGTCTGTATCAGAAGTCAGCAGCCATTCACCTCTCATCGTTCGCTCCTGGGTCGACTTACCTTGTCACCATCACCCCAGAAGAAGTTCTTGGTTCGGATGTTCTGGTATGGATACTCAGGTCTTTCCTCCAAAGGCTCCATGTGTGCCCAGTGGCCCCAATGCTCATTCCACAGAACATAAGCATTGGCACCAGCGATCAGTAAGGCAGGGATCGTGATGCTAAAAGGTCAGTCCACTTCAGCTTCTGCACCTCGGGGGCTTCATACTAAATTGACAGCTTGCGCCACAAGTCTAGCTTCCAGTCAGCCTCTGCCACTCTTCAATCGTTCCTACATTCAACTTCACGTACCACTTGTAGCTGCAGCATGATCCTTAACAGCCTTCCTCTCGCGGTTGAAAGCATTGTCCTCGGCACCGTGGAAAGCGGAGCTCTCGGTGCTCGCAAAGCGTCGTTGAAAAGACTGACGCACAGCAGGTGAGCGCAGCTGTGAAGCGAAGCGTTGAGAGGTTCGTAGCATTGTTCGTTGAGGGGACATCGTGTCCGCGATGGTGGTCAATTGGTTGTAGTGTTCTTGAGGAGGGAAGTCGTATGTTCGCAGAGGAGAAGCTCAAGGACGGCATACTCCGACCCACATTCACTATCACGTGGTGATGTGCTGACGGCTTCCATGCATATTCCAAGGTCACGTGGAAAAGTTAGGTAAGGCAGAAACACGACAACTTTCAGTCCCAGCCGTCTCTTTTATCTTAAAAATATTATATTCGCTATAGCAAATTAAGCATAGTCGGAGATTATTAAAAATAATTTAAATATTTTCTGTTACAGCACGCACTCAGGACAATGGAATCAAGACGTACGCACTAGTATGTGAATAATAGACAAAGAATCAAGAGAGTGGAAGAGTGTTGAGGACAGATAAGCTGGATCCTCAAACACTAACTGAAACAATCACGTGACCCAAACCCTATTCAACCCAGAACCGTAACATTTTCTACGCTTTATTTACTTTAATTTATAAAAAATTAAAATATTTTTTTTATTTTAAATTTATTAAATAAATTTAATTATAATAATAATATATATAATTTAATTTTATTAACATATATTATTAATTATTGTCGGGAGTATAGGCTAGGCGCCACCCCATTGGCTGAGACCTGTCACGGTTACGGAGTCACGTGCCCGCTACGAAATACTCACGTGACCGCTCGCCTGTATATATGCCCTGCCTTCCGGCGCTTCCTTCCTTTCTTTCCTCTTTACCTTTAGATTCTAAGAGATAGCCTAATCGATTCCTCGTCTACGTACTTGAGTCCAACCGTGCTGTCACAAGACCGGGCCGGAAGATCAGACAGGATTAGCGGGACTAGCCGTTTCGTATGGAAGCACGTGATGTAAGCAGATTTATGCAGTAGCTAGTATATAACTCGTACGACGTAGTACGAGTTAAAGGGTAGACGCAATACCACGATTAGTACAGCACCTGCTGCTTGTTGTGGCCGCGTCTCACAGCACATGCAAATATCACGTGATTTACAGCTGAATACTGTGCTTCCAACAAATATAAAAATTTAATTAATTTAAAAAAAATCGTATTTTAATAATTCGATATTAACGAATATAGCTTGTAATTTGTGTCTATGATTTTCGCGTTTTTTTAAATAAATAAAAAATATTTTAATTTTAATTTTATAATTATTATAAAAAATAATTTGTAATTTATTAAAATTTAACGAAATAGTATTGTCACGGTTCCTGCCTTACCTGGAAGTAAGGTCACGTGGGTTGGTATGGTAGATGAAGTAAAGTAGGCAATAGTATTGAAGTTAAGAATGATAATCAAGTTGAGCACGAAGCTCCTACCTAATAGCAGAAATGCCAGTCTTATATAGAACCTCTGCTTCCCCGCGCTAGCCGTGCTAGACAATCTAGCACGTCGCTGCTAGCCATGCTAGCCGGGCTGGCAGAGCTAGCACATCACGTGACACTTGTCTCGTGACTTGCTGGTCGCTCGTTCCTACATCCAATAAGCCGTCTGGTTGTTTACCTCATTAAGCGTTCAACAGTCCAGTGCGTTCCTGGGACTGTACGTGTCCTGGGACACGTACGCCCAGGATTCCTCCGTATCCTGGAATCCCGCAGGGTCCCAGGAACGTGATCGTGACAAGTATTACGAAACGACTTATTATCGATGAGTTAATAATATGAGCGCGTTATATATCCGGCCGAGCAACGATTTGTTAGAAAACCCATTATAAAAGAGACTCGTAAATACCGCTTATTATCAAAAATTCTTGGCAATACACGAAGCGTAAGGAAAAAGGAGAGCTGCTCCGAGAGGCGACTAATAAGGATGTGATCAACGTAGCCCGATATTATCACTATGAGATTGTCCGGGTCTTTGGTACGGATAACGACGTTCGAAGCAATGTTCGGAAGGGACTGGATATTATGAAAGCGGAAAACTACCGGCCGGAACGTTCGATGATATCTCCAGGCAGGAGTACAGCTGGTGCACAGAAAGGTTTGAAGCGGTCATTCAGCCAGACTAGCACCCCTCTACCGCCTAGCAAGCGATTCTGTTCGACATCTCCGACGAAGGCCGGCAGCAATGCTTTACCAAATCGAGTGCATCGGCGTGTCATCCTTCGTGATTATGGGGAGCCGATCTACAAGGCTAGCTCCCGAGTAGCTCTACTTACCGCGCTAGAAGGCTGCATTGAAGGCCACGAGTCCTTGCATAAAGCCGGCTTCCTCCACAGAGACATCTCAATCAACAACCTCATAATAAATGAAGACGAAAAGAACCTTTCCTGGCCTTCGTTCTTGATCGGCCTCGACCTTGGGATCAAAGAATCACGGAAAGAGGCTTCCGGCGCCAAAAGCAAGACTGGCACGAGGGCTTTCATCGCCATAGGGGCCCTCTGTGGCGGGCAGCATTCATTTATGCACGATCTAGAGTCATTCTTTTGGGTGCTTTTCTGGATCTGCATTCACTATGATGGACCAAGTCAGGAAAGGGTTGTTCCAGAATTCGACAAGTGGAACTACGTGGACATGGAAGAGTTGGCCAAACAGAAGTTAGGCACTGTGGGGGAAGAGGCAATTTTCATGAAAACAATTACCGATAATTTCACGTCATATTTCGAGCCACTTATTCCATGGGTGAACAGGCTACGAAAAATTGTCTTCCCGAGAGATAGGCCGCAGGAACAGGAAGATGAAAGTCTTTACCCTCGAATGAAAGGGATTCTCCGGGAGGCATGCGAGGACTTAACTTGATAGACAAGCGTGATGGAAGGGATACTGAGTCCGCGCATTAGGAGCCCGCTATCATGACCCGGTAGGAGATCGAGGGCTATTACGGTCGTCACGTGATCATACTAGCTTAGCGTAGCACTTACTTAGATAGTTTCGTCCCAAAGACACATTCCTCTCTTTAAACGCACCAATAATACAGACTTCACAGACTTGAACCAGCACGCTGAGACCGTGACCGTTCTTGCAGTGACGACTGTTATAAAGGCACTAGTGCTGCAATGAGCGATGCTATCATAGATCCACGCCTCCTAGGAGGATCCTCGCAGGCTCGTCTTCTCACGGAGACCATCGACGCAACGCTACCTTCTCAAAACCGCCCGCAACGAGCAAGACAGTTCTAGAAACGACGATGGCATCAAGGAGCGTCAGAAACTCAATCTATAGAAGTGCAAACCTTGCCGCGACGCAAGGAAGAAGGTATGTAAACGGTTACCCATCATGTGGAATAAGCTAATGCCCCTAAGTGCTTGCCGAATGATCGTATATAGCTACAAAAATGTAATTGATGTCTTTAACATTGGCCAGAGCTTAAATGATCAGAACCTCAACTTAACAAACGGAAAAGAGGGCCAAATCTATCAAAGCCGGTTCCCAATTCGAAGAAGCGAGCAACTTCTGAGAGATCAGAACCTCAGGGCCCCAACGACAGCGATAGTGATGACCTAGCGGACGAGTTATACACATATGAAAGGCCTGTTCGCACTACTATGCCGAAGAGAATTAAAAATGAACATGCTGGAGTTGAGTTGTTCCATCAGCTGCCGTAGGTAAGAAGGATAGACTCCCTGCGTTCACGTATGCGTCCTTGAATAAGGATGAGTTTCGGATCGTACGTGTAGCTCCTGGCGGGAAAGATGACAGGATAATGTGCTGGCTGGTTGTCACGTCTATAAGCCAGCCTTTGAATTATGAAGCCCTCACATATTCTTGGGGTGATATGAGGCACTTTAATAAAATTGAGTTGCAAAGCTCAGAGGCGTCCCCTTCTAAACGCTTTACTATTAGAAACAACCTATACTCTCTTCTCAGAAGCCTGCGACACCCCTCCAACACCATGTCATTCTGGGTAGATGCGATTTGTATCAATCAGAATAACGCTCATGACAAGGCTCGACAAGCTAAGCTGATGCAGAACATTTATAATAGCGCACAAAATATTTATCCATCATGCAATACCCTAGCCGCTCGGTCAGGTTGTAAAACTTAATGATGGGAATGATGAGTTGGGCTGAGTTGTAGCCAGAATGAGCTCCATATAAGCGCGTACGGGGAACGAATGCGTGGTCAGTAAATGACCGAAGATGCCAATAATAGAATACCCATTAGGCGAAGTCCATAAATCGAATGACAAATGAACTTGCCCTTGAGCATTCTCCAGACCAGTAACAACGATCCTTTGAATGATGACGCAGAGCTCGATCATCCAAGCCTTAATCGTGTTGCTAGACTTAGGCAATGCATCATTATTGCAAAGCGGTGGACTCGAATATAAAAGCATATCTCGAAAAGCAGGGCGCTCAACAATAGCAAAAGGAAGATGAGAAGCAGCAATAAGAATAAGAAGCATGTTGCGGAAGGTAGAAACATCAAACATCAGAGCCTGAGCTCCTGATATCTGTTGGTCGAGGACAGAGGCTTGGCTTCGTTGAATGGGACCGTCAGGACCGAGGAAGTGAGGTGCTGATTAGAGGTGCTTCGATGTAGTAGTGGTGCCATGGGCCAAGGTACATGCTAGAGGGTTGAGATGACCTAGAAGTATGTTAGCATCTTGTCCAAGTTAGGAAAGGATGAGGCTATTCATAAAGTCCGCATCTCCAGACGAATCCATTGATTGATGCTTCTCTGTGACCGTACTTGAAGACCCAACTGATCTTCCCACGGTGGCGTTTAGACGGTAAACCCTTGTGTGAGACTCTCGAAAAGACGGTGGCGCTCTCGAGAGCTCCTAAAGGCTCGCTGGAGGGAAGAAGGATGACATGGGCTTCGACGTCTTCAGGGTTGTCGTCATCATCGTCGGTAATCAAAGAGCTCTTCACCGAGGACGATGGTTGTAACCATCGTCTCGTCGTTGTCGAAGTTTAGCTCAAGAAGAGCAGCTCCAGATAATGGAGCTCGCTGTGCCTTCTGCCTCCTGGGTGGAGGCTTTCGAAGTATGATATGAGGAGTATCCTGACCAAAATATTAGATTTTGCACAGCATTTAGAAGGTTGTACTCCCTGGGCCGAATGCAAGAATAGTTTGCTGACTGTCAGAGAGTATATCTTCATCTTCGAGAGCTACTAGAACTCTTCTTTTATTGCGGGAGAACTTGGCACGAGCTGGGAAAGCTGCCAACATTTCGTTGGCTTTCCCTTTGGGAGCAATGAAGACTGATCCATTATCCCCAGGGTCAATAGGGGTGTTGGTGGCTTATTCAGGAGGCTGACCGTGCCATGAGGTCGCCATTTGGCTTCAATTATTAACAACTTTTGCGCAACGCAATCGATTATCATGAAACTAGCACGGTTGGAAAGCCCTGAATTACTAGATTTAAAAGTAATTGATATTGTGTTGTGGGGATGAAGATTTCAATCGATCAAAAAGCATGCGAACAATGAAAATCTCAATTGCTACTCACGGCTTTTACCGTCGGGACCCCAGTTTCAGCCTCCAGAATGATGGCGAAATGGAAGCATGCCGAATAACAGAATGAACCTCAAATGAAGTGGGTATGGCCTCGCTCTACTATGGGGATTTGCATATAAAAGCAAAGTTTTCGATAAATGCAACGAGGTACCCTTTGCCGGGTCGATTTTGGGCGTTTTTGAGGCTGATTCTCCCTAATTGGGCGGGCCTATCGCAGATTCCCCCCTATTGTACGACCAATTCAAAAATAATCTGAAAAAATGCTGACGGATAGTCGGATATTAGCAGTTTTTTTGAGCTGATATCCGTGTCCGTCCAATAAGACGACGGACATTTCAAAACGATGTCCGTAAGCAGCCACAGTTCTTGTCGGACACGCTAAAACTGCCTGCCTGCCTGTCCATTGAGAACGCTGGATGGCTTCGCGATCTGTAGAAAAGAAGAAGAAGAAGAAGAAGTCTGCAGGAGATACATTCGAGATCTGGCAACGTTAACATTGACACAGCAACGTGCTTGAGTGCAATTGAAAACAAACCTTGTAGTGACTTCGTAGCCACCCAAGTACTCTTCCTCATCCACGTCTTGGAGCCAACGATTGTCAGATGAGAATAGACTGTCGATACGACTGTCTGAGGGACTGCGGACACGGTGAAAGAGACTGCCGAAAAGAAAAGATGGTTAGTGAGTCTAGACTGTCCCGAGGGAGAGACAACTCCGGCTTAAACGGATTGGTGGCACCGTGGCGTGCAGCCCACCCACCACATTGATTGATCACAACGAGATCAGCGCGCAATGCATAGTTGTGGCGTTTCATGGAATCCATCCCATCCATCCATCCATCCCCCAGGTCCATCTGGCATGGGATCGATCTCGCTACTTGAATTTGGTTATTCCGCGTGGCTCCATTTGCGGCTCTCACTCGATACTATATATGTGTCTTGCCTACAGATTGTGACTTACACGGCGAACAACAACAATCGTTCGATGTTCATGTACGCCCAACCGCAATCCGGAGAGCAGGTTGCTTTATTCCCTCAAGGCGCAGCAGCCATGGCCTCTGAAGGGGAGACAATAATACCTGTATTTCTGAATCTGCCCATCAGCAATATTAGTCCTACAGCACCTACCATGCCAATTACTCAGGTCCCGATTGTTGGAAGTCCGTCCTACTATCCCTCCAACGGTCAAATTCTTTTTGCTGCCCCTCCGATATACTCAGCTCGACCTCTAATCCAGGCACCATTCCCGGAGGGTTGTTATAATTCTCATCCGACCCCGTTTCCCCATCCAGCGCCGCCTGCTCATCATAGCTACGTTCCGGGCCTTCAAGTCATCCAACATCCTCCTGATCACTCTACCTATATTCCTAATAGATTGGAACACTCGCACAAAGAAGTTCCCGGCCTTGAGCAGCGCTGTGGCTCCAATTCAAGCGTCGAGTGTGCTCCTGACAGGTTCTACCACAGATCATTGGCCCATCCTGATCAAAGCAGCTCCCACATGATTGCGGTCGACCGACCTCCATTGAGACCCACACCATCACAGCTACCGGGTCCTACAAAGGTGCATCAGTCTTCTAAGACGGCTAAGACTGATACCAGGATCCCTATTGATGTCGATATTGATGCTCTTCTCATTCAGGCACCTTCCATTCCACCTGGCGTCTTAACTACTCGTAGCAACTGGAATCTCGACCAGAGCTTGTCAAACCCGATTGACGGCAACCGCAATGTCTATATCTGTGGACTTCATCCCACCACAGATCATGACACTCTTACAGCCTACGCCAGGCGATTCGGAAGGATCGAAACATGCAAGGTCATCATTGACATATCCACTGGGGCTTGCCAAGGGTTTGTTTTATTCGTTCATGCTTTTCAGCTTTTCAGCATCAGCTAAGGTTGCTTGCAGCTTCGGATTTGCAAAGTATTTCAATGTCCAATGTTCTGAGCTCTGCATCCGTGGTTTCCATAAGCTTGGGTATAAAGTTGGCTTCGCAAAGGTACAACTATTTTCGGTTTAGACAATCCAGACCCATACTGACACTGTGAGGATTCATTAAATGCTCGACTTAAGGCCAAAGGTGACGAACTTTCAACAAACCTTTATGTCTCGAACTTGCCGATGAATATAACTAAATCTGTAAGTTATAATGTTGAGCTCGGCTCTAATCCATTCTAATTCCGTCATAGGGACTTTGCGCCATTTTCAAGGGCTATAAAGTCATATCCAGCAAAATTTGTCCCAGTACCTCGAGTTACAGCAGTGGAGTTGGTTTTGCTCGGTGAGGGAAAGAATCAAGAGTAAACAGAAACTTTGCTAATACGTTTATGTGGCTTCGAATCTCGTAAGGACTGCGACGAGATCATCAAGAAGTTCCACGGCCGGCCTATTTGCGGAGGTGGTCATTCCCTTCAAGTTCGCTATGCTGATACCTCAGCTCAGAAAGATCTCAAAAGCGTCACGTTCCAGGCCAGGAAGCATAACGTTAGTGCCTACAGAGGTGATACGTCGAGTCCTCCACCTGCGTCGGCATCTCCAACCCTTCGTCGTACTGAGAGTGCCCACCAACTTTCTCGGTCCTCCAGTCATTCTGGAAGTAATCTTCAGAGGTAATCTTGGAGATATTTGAACACCCACGAACTTTACTTATACGCAAATAGATCCACCAGTACTCTCAGTTCTGAATCTCTCAGTTCTGAATCAACGAAGGTGTCTCTACCTGAAACTTCTCTAGCCGACTCTAGGATTGAGCAAGTCACCTCCATTCCAGGATATCTGCTCTGACATGTACTGAACAACCTTACAGCAAGGCATCTAATTCCACATCTACGGTTCTTGATGACGGATCAGGTGACAGTGGTGTTGCATGCTACTTCGACTCTCCTGCTGTTGTATGTGGCGACTTGGTAAATTCTGCAACCCATACGGTAGAAGGGTATGCCAAGCAACAACAGCCTACATAAATTTGCTTCAGTTCGGTCAGAGCGTGTACGTTGTATTTTTAGTTTCCGCATCGTCACTGCTTTTCAGAGAAATCCATGGTGGGAAAAACGAGAGACTCGAGCAAACAGAATTTACCGGCCGTAAGAAGTAGCCTTCAAATATATATTTGGATTTCATCCGTCTTGTATGGAAAAGAGATAGGGTTTATCTCTAGCATATTGACTAACCTCGGAGGTTCGCCTCGAATCGTAGGTCACCGGATTGTATCCAGCGACAAAGATGATCTAGCTATACTGTATACCACACTTGCAGCTTCATTGGCTAATTATGTCTTTGGTGCACTTGGCATGAGGGGGCTGGCTGCAGCAGATCGAACATTGCAGCCTTCGCCGCGCATGTGGTACGTCCCCTACGGCGAACGGCTGCTTAAAAACCCCATTACCACGAACAAGGAGCCGATCTCGAGGACCAAGATTGGCGGGACGAGATGGTGGAATGCAGATATGGGGGAGGGCGTCCAGAGAGGTGGTGCATATACGGATACTAGGACCAGCTTAGGGTGGTCGGCGTTGTGCGAGATGTATGAGGATGAGGTGTTTGTAAGGAATGACACAATAACTAGGTAATCTTTAATAGTAACAATACCAATGCATAAAGTATATATCAAGTAAATAAAAAGCCCACACAACGTACACACAAAAGGCAGTCCCTAGAGCAGAACAGCAGCCAAGTACCGCTTCTCCAAAATTTGCATGTACACGTTAAGTAAACTCTGAAAGCCAAAGAAGGAAACCAGGAATGTGCATTCTCATCACGATTACAAGTGGCATTACAGCAGCGGGTTTGAATTGATCACTTGCTCTCCGAAAATGTCTCGATTTGAAGGCTATGATGCAGGCTGATTTCGTCAATTACGTTATACGTGGTACCTACGGCCTAATAATCTGTTCGCGGTGGTCTCCACTCTCCCTCCTCGTCTCTGAACAACTCACGCTCGTCACCACCACAGGCGTCATCCCAAGTCAGCCATTCCTTCTTTCCATCATCTGTCCTTGTTGCCGACGGTTTATCGTGTCGCGGCCACCAGACGACGACGCGCATGTCAGCTTCCTGTGTGAGCGCAATGGGCCGGTACGGCCGATTAGCAAAGTTGTCTAACAGTGCCCGGGCATGCGGCTGATACCACATTTTGTCCCAGTTCCTTTCTCGCAGAGATTTCATGTTGTGGATATGGGCATTGTGGTGGATGATGGCGGGAACGGTGCCCGTCCAGAGATTCGTGTAGAGCGGAACCTCTTTCCAGGTGTGATCTGCGGGAAGGTTGTTGGTTTGGGGACCACCGGGGGACCAGAAAGGTTCGAGGGAGGTGAGAATGTCGTCTGGGATGGTTAAAGGGGGGTTCGTGGTGGTAATGTTGAGCGTCTCCTGTGCATCCCTGATGCTTTCCGTGTCGTTGAAGCGCACCCAGTCTGAGTCGTACTCCGCGAAGACGGTGGAGTGACCCAGGAGGCTCGCGTAGTCCAATCCAATACCATATTCATATTCATCTGTCACCCTCTCCCTCTCCTCTGTCAACTCTACAGCTCGATGCAAAGGATGTGGATCTAGAACATTCGTCTCATGCAACCCAAAAACATTCTGCAGCGCCCGCCACGCCCTCTTCCCCCGCGACAGGTACCGCTCACGTACCACCTCTCGCTGGACTTCCTGCTAGCCTAAGATCTGCGCAAAGATGTTCTGATCACTGCCAAAGTTTCGATCTTGCTGCATCCGCTGCAGCGCATGGCGAAAGAGCCGCTTCATGCCCGCAACATCGCCCATGCTGACGCCTGAATTCAGATACCGCGGGCGATACTTCAGGTACGGATTGTCTGCGGTCCCGGCATCGGTGTCCGTCTCGGGACCATACACGTCCTTGGGGAGCGTGCTCTCGGGGATGGCGAAGCAGCCCGGATCGTCAGCCTCTCGCGGCCAGCAACGCTTCTGCGTCGAGAAGATCACACTCTGCTCGATCTTCTCGGCCTCGACCGCAGCCCGGCTTAATCGGGCTATGATACGTTGCTTCGCCATACGGATCAGCTCGTAGTAGCGGTGGATCATGACCACCGGTCGGAGCTGGAACCACACGTCGTATGCGTCGACGGCGAGGACAAGGTCGTCGTTGCGTTCATCGCCCAGTGTATTCAGGTAGTCCAGAATGCCGGAGATCTTGGCGAGGTGCGAACCGCCCGCGACAAGAGAGGCATCGTCGAAGGATTGATTCCAATTGACCGCCGTGGGGATCGGGTAGTCGAGGGCGGCGGCGCTGAGGAGGGTTTTGCACAGGTTGACATTGCGGGAGTTGGAGGGGATGAGGAGGTGGAGGTAGCGTGCTGCTGTTTGGCCCTGCAGTTCCGGGGTGGGCTTCTGTATGTGTTGTCAGCCGGTGTTCTATCTGTTATACAGCCCCAATTCGTCCCTGAGGGCCCTCTCGGAGACAAGAACTCCCTCCTTCCTGACTTCCATCTCAATCTGGAGAATCCAAGACACTCACCGTTTTTGAGCTCCACAACAACCAGCCTACAAGGACGATTACAGTGCAAATCGTCACACTCTGCGCCCACTTCATCATACCTGATCTCCTAGCACTATCTATTAGCCTCTCCGTCTTTAAGTAGGTCTTGAAGCATGTTTCTTTATCTTCCTTGGGAACCCCCGATGATCCGAATTGCCTCCCTGGCTGGTTGTAGGTGCGGATAACGGCGCCCGCAGGACCAACTAGCCAAATCCCAAGCAGCACTGGCGTACCTTGACCGCATGAACTCATCCGAAGTCAGAATGCGCCGTCGCGGAAGCTACTTTTACTTTCGGCAGGAGAGAGTCTCCCTGACTTTGACAAGAATCTCATTATTTTCACCACAACTATTCTACCTACAACAGCGGAATACTTTACAATTTCTTTGACCTTAGCATACCTCGGCTCCTCAATCATCATCAAATATTTGGTACGTATTCTGCAGTATGGTATCGATGACCCTGACCTGCCAACCAGCATCTTGAATGTTCGGACCCGTATTTGCACCCATCAGAGTTGGCCCAAAGACTATTGCCAGATTGCTAGCATTCATACGATTCGCGGCAGAGTTCTCCTGGACTCGGTTCAGATGCAAAGTCAGAGCGCGGAGAGTGGCATAGTTAGGGTCAGGGAGGCTATTGATAATAGCATGTAGAGAGTCGCGACGAACAATGTCGTCGTCGTTTTCTAGCATTTGGTCAATAACCGTGGCACTGAAGCATTTGTCAAAGAGAACTTACTGGCAGCTTCAATGAATGCACCATACTGTTCTGCTGTCATGAGGGGATCAGGCAAATCACGGAAAAACTGCTTCAGAAGACCGGCGACACTGTTGACGTCATGGAAAAAGTTCGCTGGATCCCGGAAATCCACCTTTGAAGCGTCTATCCTCATTAGCTTTGGCCTCTCGGGCAACAGTTATGCTTACCATTGTCGAACATTGCTTTGATCTTGGTCACATGAGATGCAGTTCCAGATAGACGGTAGATACCCTCAAGTTCCAATCCAAACAGGTCAACAGCCTGTATGCATTGATACACGACCATCGGGACAGCGGATCCATCTCTTTCAAAGAGTTGCTCCAAACTTAATCCGAAGACAGGCTTCAGAGGCGGTAGAGTTGAAGCATTTGTAGTCACTGGGGGTTGAGAGAACATCGATGCGTTTACTGGGCTCTGCTGTTGAACTGCGGGCGGAGGTGTCTGTGGTTTCTGGAATGGGAGTGTTGATATTTGAGGTGGACCATTGGCACTGATGGAGCCAGAGTTGTACGGTGGTACATGACCAGGGGCTCTCGGAGGACCACCCATAGAGCCGGGATTGTATTGCTGCATAGCCGGGCCTTGGCTGAAGCTCCTCTCGTGCTGCTGTATGGCAGGAGCCGGGTTTTGATTGAACGGCTGGCTCATATGGGTTTGGTGAGGGGATTGCCCACCCCCGAATGACTGCGCAGGTCCTTGGCGAGATGCAAAGGACGCTGGTGGGTCTGATTGGCGCTGTGGCGCAGGGACGTTGTTCTGTTGCGGCTGCTGCAATGTCTTGACGGTTCTGTCAGATGCCAGAGTCGCAAAGTGGAAGGGAATATTATGTCTTACCGAGTGCTTCTCGTACTGGATATCAGGGACCGCCTTTGGGACTTTGGTTGCAAAGCTGCTGATATAAGTGCCAAGGTCGTGATCGTTGTCAATCGCATGTACGACTTCCCGTAGACTTCGAGATTGAGACCCAGGCTCGCTTCCCTTTAGTGGGCTCACATTGAGGCCATTGCTAAGCAAGAGCTTCTCGTTGAAAGAAGCTATGGAAAATCAACAATTGCCCTTGTAAAAGTAATACTCCGAAGAAGGGTACCTACCGAATTTTTGCATCTGCAAGGTCAATGCAGAGTCGCACTCCTTGATTAAGTCCATCAAGACCTTCACAGCTTCCGGTCTTAATTTAGACCAAAGTTCTGCCCGTTGACTTTGCGCTGTCTGGACTTTGGAAGCATAGTCGGCGTCTGCAGCTTGTAGCTTTCGAAGAAGATCTTCCTCGTGTTGCTGCTGAGACTTGGGGCCCTTGAGACCGAATTTCTTCCCCGATTGTCCTCCCCCGGTTCTTGCCCTATCATAGTCATCTGCCAGGGAATCATATTTGGTCTTCGATTTGCGCATTGCAGTCTCGGTGTCGGCGACCCGTTGCTCTGCTGCAAGTCCCGTAGTTTTCCAGTGTTTTCGCCCTCGTTCTATAGTTGTAGCCATCTCCAATAGATCTTCATGCATCTGTTGTAGAGATATCGCAAACTGAGCCCCATTATCAGCCATGCGCTCGTGGATGTGGGTGACCGATTCGTAGGCCTGCAAGAAAGTGCCATGGCGATGCTCCGGTCGTCGAATGTTCTCCGTCGTAGCTCTGCATAGTTTCTTCAGGCCATTAGAATGTTCTTCCTCCAAGGCCGACCGCTTCTTCAAGAAAAGAGCGAATTCCTACGTGCGTAGATTAATAAGAGTATGTCAGAATCTTGACGGCATCTGACCTTTGCGCTTGCAATGCTCTGCTTTAATCTATTCAGCAACGTTGTTACGCCGAGTTCTGAGTTAACAACATCATGTACATCCTTCGTATTGAGATCTGCTGGCGCGGATGCAGGCGGTGGCGCTGTCGTCGTGTCTCCATTCAATGGCTCACTCTCGTGATCGTCACCCAGCGACATACTGCCCGTCCTGTTGTGCTGCTGCGAAGTGAAGTCTGGAGGCTCCGAAAGCAGTCTATCTGGGGTATTCTCTTCAGCCATGGCGAGCGACTGTACTGGACTGGCGAATGTGTTTGATCAGCAGCGACTGGAATGCGGTTCTCGAGGCGGTCGAAACACAGGGGATCGAATCATGCAAGGCACTACAGTATGAACGACGGCCGCACTGGAAATCGCAGGTCTGGCCAATCGTGTCGACGCTAGATCTTCCCGCTGTAATGCGCAACGTAACTGTATGAAGACGAATTGGGCGGGGAGGTGCACCAGGTGTTGCGTGTTGGTTGAGTAGCTCGCTCAATCGAAGTCACGTTAGAGTTTGCTGTCTGTACTCGTATACCGAACCGACCGAACCGAGCTAATCCCATCCACTAGCGATAAGGATAAGATTTACTGTAGATTTAGATCTGTTGCCCGTATTTTGGCTTTACTTCTTTTCTTTCGAATTGGGAGTTTAGAATGGAGATTCTCCCAAGTTGATTGCACCTTAACCATGAACAACAAACATCAACCCACGAGTTCGGGCTCACAGACAGAAATTCCGGGGTGGCAACTCCTGCAGCAGGAGTCGGCTGCACAAATGTCCAGGTTTGAAACCCAGGAAGCCTCTTTTCCCGGGCCACTCTCCATCCAGACCTGCTACTGCTTCTCCTACAGTATTTCCATGTCATATTTCATCTGCTCCTGGTTTCACTGACCCTCAACCACCTATAGCTATCTATCCTATTTTTGAGACTCCTCTGCCCTTCGCCTCCGACTCTTCTCGGTGAAAGGTTTTGCTTACACGCAACAACGAACGGGTCCTGAGTGATTGTCATCAAGACCTACAGGTGCTGTCAATCAATCATCAAGCAGTTCCTGCTGCAAGCCTACACACCTTTTCTTGAGCTTTGAGTTTTACGTCAGCCTGAGCTTCTTCGGCGCACTGTGCCTCACCCAGTCACAGCTTGATTCGTTGCTCTACACGCAGTCGTTCCAATGTGTAGGCGATGGACGTAATTACACTACGCGTGTTGTGATCGCCCGTGTGACCTTACCACAATACTTTATCTCTTTTCTGAGTGGCAAATAATATGCTTTGAGTGCAGGCTGCTTCGCGCAACAAGAGATAAGGGGTGAAGCAGGGGACGCAGATATAGGCTCTCAAGAGCTTGAACGCCGTAAGAGACGTGCTTTTAGGTGGAGGAGACTCCAACGGTGAGGAGGTTGAAGAGGCCAGCTTGGATCCGGGCGACATTCGAAGCACGCGTTCCAAACGTAGATATAGATATAGATATAGATATTCAAAATACATCTCCATTCTCAAAGCATAGAATAACTTCTGTTTTCGGCATGCATGTATGTAACTTGCTGTTTGCAATCTCAGCGTTGTTCAGTTCGTTTTTGGTCGATTTTCAGCTCATGTTATATATACATCCCTTTGCAGGGACGTCCTTTGAGCTTGCTTAGATGTTGAACCAAGGTTACTATACTATTACATCCATATTCCAACTTCCTACACTACGTCTGGGACGGTCGCTGCTCAAAATCTCGCGATACCCTCTCCTACACTTTTCACAAAACCAAACGCACGTGAATTATCGGATCGGAATAACGTCACTCCAGCCAATCAGATTGAAATTCCAGCCAATCGCTAAGCTGGATCTTCTTCTCCTTCTTCTTCTTCTTCTTCTTCTTCTTCTTCTTCCTTCGCTTCGCTTGCTCCGTTTTTTCTCATTTCCAACCATATCACCAAAATCATTAAAATTATCAATTTCTCCATCATCATCAACCTCCTCCTTGCCATTTACAATAAGTAATGGCTTCGCAAAAGTCCTCGGGCAAGCTCCTTTGCGCTTCCTGCTCGCCGAATCGTGAAATTTGTTGCGCTTCTTGTCTCGTGCCCGTCTCCTTGACGTGGGTAGTCACCGGTGGATATGGTACAGTACCGACCCCCTGTCGTGCGCTGTGCATGTTTTGGGCGGCGAGTCTACTACTTCTGCTCCTGGGTTGGTCGACCAGTCCACTGCTTCGCCCATTTCCCCTCGCGCTTCTCCCGTTTTGGATGACAGATCCACTACTTCGCTCCTTCGTCTCACGCTTCTGTTTCGGCTCGTCCTGCTTCCCCTGTTTTGGCTGATGCTTCCCCTGCTGGTCTCGCTCGTGCTCCCATGGAAGAGCACGCTCGTAAGCTCTCTTAATCTCCCCTGGTGTCCCAAGCTACCGAAGCTAACCTAATTAGTGGTCCCTGCGTTTGGGGAAGTGATCGATGTTGGGGATGGTGGGCGTCTGGAATTGGCGGCGCAAAGACCTGGGTTTACTCCGCGATTGTCCTCCTTCTCCATAAACGCCAACGATTCAACCACATCCTTGTTATCTTCTTCGAGGAAACCCAATGGATCTGGACTCAAGCAATCAGTGACAGCTTCAGAGGATCCTGATCCTCTGGAAGTTATAGAGAAATTGTTGAATCTTCCTCACAATGGGAGGGAAAATAGTAAGTAAAAATCTCCTCCTATCTATCTAGTGACTCGATTTAACCCAAACAGCTGACGGTGAATCCTCGGTGGGAAACGTCACGACTATTAGCTCGAGCTCGATGGAATCCACGGAGCCTGGGGAATTCGTGTGTGCCCTTCGTCTGTTGCGTTCTCAACGCCCTCGTCCTGATTCGTCTTCGTCTGCTTCACCTCCCCGTCCCGCCGACCATGGCCAAATTAAGAAGTCGAAAGGGAAAATATCTGAAGATTTGCGGAAGAAGGCCCAGAAGAAGGCCCAGCAGAAGGCCCAGCGTATGGCCCCGACTAAATCTCGGGTGGAGACTGAGTCCATCCTGCTATAGGCAGAGGCAGAGAAGCGTTGGTGGGACCAGGTGGATGAGTAGGCAGGGGCTTGATTTGCTCGGTCTTTACCTGGTTGGCGTTCCCAGTTTTCTCTGTCTCCTTGGTTCGTTGCTTGATTCGACGGATGATTGTGGACACACACACACACACTCTCTCTCTCTCTCTCTCGGTTGTCGCTCTTGGCGTTCAAAATAGGTTAACTAGTATTATTATACCCTGGTGTGCAATGACATTAAGCTTTGACAGGTGCCTTTGGGCCTGTCGACTCAAAGGCACCTGTCGACTCATTCATTTATGACTATTCATGCTTTCATAACGTTCGATTTTCAATGCGGCTGTACACGTCCAGTGGCCGTCCAGGTGGTTTCGTATGGAGATAAAAGAATATAGGGTACCGAAAGCGCGATGTGTGCGCGACAATGACACTGGATAGCTGCCTTAGACTATCTTATTGCTTTATGACATTGAACGGCAGCCGCCCTGTCATTGCGTTGATTCCTTACTGAAACACCCTTCAAAATGTAGAGCTTGATGAATTTGAACGAGAACAATCCTATGCTGAGCGATTGTAAACCCATCGCTTCCGATGAAGTATATTCACAGCCGTCTTGATTTCCACCCCTAGTTCTATGAATGTAAGAAAAGACTATGAATTGCAGAAGTTCTTTGCCACCCTCTGCTCGCTCAACGTTTTATAGGTGGAGTGAAGTGGCACCAATCGTACGTGTGAACAACAGGAAAGAGCGTCCCAAACACTCCACACATCCACCCTGTTGTTAGGATCTCAGAAGAACCTTCCCTTGTGATCCACCGTGACCAGACCTTCTTGAGGATCGCTATGAATTTCATCGGCATCAGCGTATTCGGGACCTTCCTGAATTCGATTATCCAGATATGTGGGTCGATCCAAAGCATCACATCTCTCGCCCTTGAGTTTGGCATTGGTAAACTGATACGTGAGTCTCACTGCCAAAGCAGCAAAACCCCACAGTAGGCCCCCGAACGGCTATAGACAAATCAGTATACCTACCTGAGAGGTTTAAGAGCAGAGGAAGAGTTGAATCACATCCTCTTAGATAAGCAACTCTCGACGCTGATACCGAAGACATCGGCTCCTAGAATAACACAAAACAAAGTAGGATGTAACGTACCGCAGCCACGAACGCACCAAACGCACTCCAATCATTCCCATACAGGCCTTGTTCAAGGAAGATGAGCTTAGCACCTTGCATGGCACTGCCAAAATAGATTGTTCCGAAGATGAACACTGTGAGAATGCCTCCAAGCCTCTCCACCAGTAAAAGCGATCGTACGAGCCAATGACCAACACCGGTATGGTTGATGCCGAGACGAGATCCGATATAAGATAAATTTGGAGAATGCTTGGTGCTTTCAATGCCAGGATAATGACTGGAACTATTATGAGAACTACGCTGGCACGTACCCACCAGATGTTGAGTCTATTCCGAAAGAGGTCATTCGAAGCAGTAGACACCATCGCGCTCTGAAAGCTGTCGAACGCAGCTGTAGAGAGAGAAACAACCATGACGAGTACTATTCCCACTGTCCAGGCCTTTAACAAATCAGTAAGTGATTCCAAAGTATGTGCAGGATGAAGAGTGACCCAGGAGCTCAGTCCTTAGGATACCTATGAAACAAGATGTAGTTTGACGTACTGGTAGCTGTTCTAGGAGATAAAAGATGGCACCTCCAAGGCTTTCTCAAACGCACCAAGATCGGGAACGAGGCGACGTACAATCTTGAGTTCAATTGCCATCGATCTCGGAACACCTTTACTTACCGATTGATCCCGAACAATTGGACATCAATCACGACGCTGCTGCATATTCCAAGATACATCAAGCACCGTTGCAGCTTAAGAAGAGATGTGTTCCATGGATTCCATGGACAACAGAAGAGGATGCGATGCTACTCCAGATGAGGAACGATAGCTGTTCGTGGGAAGACATCAGTGCTGCCCTCCCTCACCGTAGCATAGGGACCATCCAGGTGCGCTGTTCGACGAAGTTGAAAGGGTAGTAGTAGTGTTGCTAAAAGTAACAGCGCCGCTCGCATAGTGGACAACCATGGGGACTGCTCCCAAAGGCAAGCCGTATCCATGGCAAGCTGGGCTGTTCGAGCACGAGGAAGCAGAGCAGATAGATGGTCACTCGTGGACGATCAGCGCTTGCTGGCATCATGAAAGTGAACAAATTTCAGGGTTGGGGCGGTTCGTATCCTCGCCACTCCATCCAAGCCTGTGCGTACATAATCCTCAAATCCAGCTGCTCCAAGCGCTTTTTGAACTTCTGCTCTCCACCAGGTCTCGTTATCTGTGGCTGAAGCATATAGCTGCGACGTTTGTGGCTGCGTATACAGACAAAAAGTGGCTCTGTGCGGAGCCAGCGAAATCGGTCGTCTCGTTCCTGGGGAAATGCTTCAGCCTTCCTACTCTTCACTGCCGACTTCCACTTCTTCTCTCCTGTCGCTCTACACCTTGGGGTGAAATCAATTTCCTTCTAATTATACTCTATTGAACAGTCTTCAGCCTGCGGACCATATTACCTAACATTCGCTCCTCTCGCCCGCCATTTAGTACCAACTCGACACACAATTCGACTACCGTCTCTTGGACTCTAATCCAACTACTCGCATTAAGTACAATCGTATATGCTTTGTGCCTATCTACATATCTAGCATACTTAGCTAATCGTGATTGCAATACAAATTCCTATCAAATCGTTTCACGCTTGTTATGTTAAACATTATTCGAAAATAGACTACTTAGGAAAGGGAGTATATCGAGTACAAAAATAAGTTTAGGAAAGGAAGCCTTGCTCCAAACAAACATAAATAATATATCCTCGATTTTAATTTTTACGCATTTTTTAATATAAAGAAGCTATAGAATGAGGTTAATTGCTTGGAATTTATTACGAGGATAACGACGATTTTTGTCCTTAAACTACTAGCCACATACATAAAAAATAGATTATTTATCCTCAAAACCGATCATATCGATAGCGTTTTAATACAAAAATTATTACTCGAAGAGTAACGAGAAATAATTTTTCAAATTCACCACTACTTTCGAAAATTACGCAATATCTATTTCGATAAATTAAGTAGACTTTGTGGCCTTGCTTTTCTACTTTAAGCGGTTGTTTGTTGTTTTAATAGATACAAACTATAGTATTAAATAAATATATTTACATCTACATCGAAACTAATTTTTTACCATCGAGATGTTTTACAATTAAACGTTTACGTTTATCCTGTATCATTGAAAATTGTTGCGATTGGTGATTGGGAGTATAGAGGATTCTATCTAAAAAGTCATGAACTACCGTTCTATGAGAGCCCTACGAAGTCAGGAGTTCAAGTGAACACGATTTCAAGCATGGCGGAGATTAAAGAATTCTAGCAAAATGCAATTTGTGTTGTTGAAAATATTCCTAAGTGTATAATCCCACCCAACTCCTCCCAACCGCAAGATAATGCTAGTTTGACATCCAACCCGGACTCCTTGTATGCGTTTCCTCTCGTATTACAAATACCGATTCAATCGACTATATTCTCCTACTCCTCCTTCTGAGGACTTATTAGCCGTGAGAAAAATAGGTCTAGTTCAGGTTCGTGTTCTGGCTCGGGCGCTAGAAATAATAGAAGCGAAGTTACACTATGTGGATTCTTCTCTCCACAAATACACTCCGGCGCACTGTTGGATATCTGCTCGCCACAACTTTTACAAGCTTGCGGTCCCATCGTAATCGAGGATGTTGAAGTTTAATCTATTGTGCGGAGGTTTCATGGCGCACTTCCTTCATCAAAGTTAGCATGTTGGTATAGTTTGAACACTGAAGCATACCAAGCAAGGATGACTGTTCGTCCGTCTCAGAAGGGGCTATGGAATCTGGTTCAAGAGGTTGCTTCAGAGGATATCCTTGACTGGGATTAGCGTTTTCAAGGCCCGTGCCAGATGAAGAGCCTGAACAGCTGCCAGTGTCAAGCCCAGTCTTTCGAGCAAGACGAGACAAATACCCAGAACCACCATCACCGAGTCTAGTCGCAACTAGCTTCCGCTCCCTGCAATATCCCTTGCTCACACCGTGTAACATTCACCTCCACACCTGCGAGCCAGCTAAGCATTTCGAACCTGACCGGAGTTATTCCAACGTATTTCTCGCGCACGCCTCCCTATACGTCTTAGGAAATTTCTAGCTTAGTGACTCGTTGAAAGCCTTGGCCTTACACAAGCTGCATAAGACGTTGTGCATATTCCAACTCGACGATGAAAATATTAAGGATATTATCGATCTTGCAAAATATGCATACAATGAGGAAGGTAAAGGTTCTGAGAAAGGAATTGGCGGATTGAGGAGTATAGTTTGACAGTACAAGGTTCTAAATGCTGCGGTACTCTCTCCTTGTACTGAATTCACGGAAATTCTTGCAGAGGGGGGTCAATTTGTAACCGATTTTTTTAAGTTTGTAATACCGAGAATGAAGTAATACTACTTCGATATCCAGCGAGATATTGTCAGCGAGAAATGCTAAGTTAGAGATCAAAAATTGAAGATCCCTTTATCTGTAGGTTTCGCCTCCCTTCCTGCTATTAAAATACTCCTTGCCTTCCCGAACTATATCCTCATTTTCGTTCCACAAATCAGGTGACCATCGCTCGGCCGAAAACCTTACCCAAAGAAATCTTCCTGAAGAACTACCACATAACAAAATATCCACCAAACATCCTCTCACAGCTGCCTTCCCATCTTCCCAGGCAATGTGACGCTTATGCAATAGACACGACTTGCTAGGATCACCTAGAAAACCCGTCCACGAGACCTGCTCTAAGCCCCACGAGTACTTCCAGTGCAATAAGCTAGAACCGCGACTTCCCACAAACTTATCACCCCAATCAATAACAACCATTTCGCCATCATATCGCTCTAGCTCGAATGGCATACCTGACTGAAATGCCGCCCTAACCATACGGAATAAATGACCGGTACAAAGGTCCATTGTTGTAGTGGACGACAAATCGGTCGAATACTTTTCAAACTTAGAAAGATATATGGCAATGTCGTAACCGTCCCCTAGTGTACGGCAAAACACCTGACAACGAGGCTTCTCTCCGATACAGCTTGATACCGAATCGTCCCAACCCCACGCTGCCAATCCTGAGAGCATTAGCTGTCGCTTAAACCCTGACACTGAAGAAACGAAATCACTTAAAAGCCTGTCTAAATTTAGACTCGGCAAGGTCCTCTGGGCGAGGACATAAAAATGTTTGCACACGTATGCAAAGCGTACCAAAGACCCCACATCAAGATACAAGCAAATAGCCAAAAGAAGTTCAACAGGTAGAGTATCTAACCTCCGTTCGAATGCGTACGAGGGAGGAATAGATATATATCCTGCGCGGAATTCCATGTCGATATCCCGATTTATGCCATCATCGCGGAATTCTCTTTGTAGGGCTTCAGGACTATCAGCACTCTCTTCCCCAGACTCTACTATTCTCCCGGTCCTGGTCATAGGCGGTGTTATGCGGTCGTGAACTTTAATTCTGTTCTGCGAGGCTGAGAGACGCTCTAATGCGAACAAGCTGAGAGTATTGGAGACCTCGGATGGTTGGGATAGTCTGTTGTCGCAATCTTGCGACATTGAGGAGACGGACATCTGTGGAGCTACAGGTGCTGCACTAACAGCCTTGGATCTATATAAACATTAACCTGTGTGTATGGATCTGCGCGGAGGAGATTACGCTTGATGTTCGAGCATGATGTGTATGTAACATCCATCAGGTCTATCGAATATGCGATTGCGATGGTTAAAATGGGGTTGTGCATTCGAAGACGTATCCTGACCGGAAGCCGAGACAATGATATCGCAGTCGAGGAATATCAGCGGGATAAAGAGAGCTTCTTCACTGCACGTGGACTTTTGGCGACAATGAGGTAGGATCGTTTGGTGCAGTAAGGTTACGCTTTCCGCCTTGCGCTAGGAGTTGACTGGCTCTGTCTATAGTGTCCGGCTGTGGTGATGGTGTAATGATGCTTATCCGTCGTACTGTCTTGGTCAGTTAGCTAGTTCGCTTTTGCATGTAGTAGAACAACATCAATTCCAGCCTCACCTTCTCTCCGTTGGGTTGTGGTTGACACTGCACTGTTAATCTCCTCGCGTGAGGCTTCGTGGGTGCTCGGCCACCTAAACACGGCATGTGATCATGTGATCGCTTCTGGTTGGTACGTTGTGCATTATTGGAGGAAGGTATGGCCGTAGAAAAGTGAGCAAAAATAATCATTATCGTAGGGCCATGTAATAGTTGAATTGCTACACCAGTGGGTGTCAGAATTCGTGAACCACGCTAAAATTAGGCGAGAACGCCAGAATTTCAAAGGGGGTCAACAGTCAATTGCTAATATTATTACAAAATAAATCACCATTTTGCAGTTTTAATAGCTTTCCCCCTATTTTTAATAAGGCGTCTGCATCTCCCAGGCATATTAGCGATGCGTAAGCGTATCTCTTCTAACGTGATTTTGTCCCATTCCTCTTAAAGAGCTTGTTTTACCTCCTTATTAGAATAAAAGACTCTCTGGCGCACACATTGCTTAATGATATTCCAAATACCCTCAATTGGATTTAGATCTAGTGACTGCGTAGGGTGCTTGATATTGACTACCTAATTGACTACTTTCAGCTGATACGCAAGGCCTTCTTTACGCATACTATGAGAGGGGTCCCCATCTTCTTAAAGATACACTTGATTTGTATGTTGTAAACGCTGTTCTTAGACAGCTTTGATGTATATAGGTAAGAGACGCTCTATATAGTACTTTTGGGTCATATGGTTGCCTACAACCTTTTTCTCTACTTTGTGAGGTTTAGTAGCCTCCTATTCTTCCACTCTAGCTTTATATTCCTCTTGAGACTCTGTTGTTGGGCGACAACGAGGTTTTAGAGGCATAGGAGGGTATTCTATAGTGTCTTCTTCGTTATTATAGAACTCTAGCTTTTCTGATTTCCCCCACCAATTGATCCAAGCAGTAATATAGAATGCTATGCCTTTTATTTCTTTCCGTTCCATAATATTCTCGTCCGCATAACGTCAGCCGCCTCCTTCTTGTCTCAATATATAGCCAACAGGCTAGGCGCCAGGATCGTGGTGTGCCTCGTCCGTATATGTAATTAAGCTCTAGTGATCCTTAATTGTCTTACCTACATACTCTTTTCTAAAAGCAACACGTTCCTCTAAGTTTTTTTCTGAAACTTGCTTGTTTACAAATACCATTTTGAACCATCGTGCCTTTACAAGCTCCTTTAATTTCCTTTGCAACTAGCGCCTCTTTATTGGGAGTTTATAGTACTGAATTTGCGCGTTAAGGTCTTGGTCGCGGACGGGGTTTTGTGTAGGATCGACCAGCATTTGGCACATAGCTAATGTAACTTTAGACTTCCTCCCGAGTGGCTTTTTAGATATTCCACGTGTTGTTCTCATTGCTAGATGGCCCATTGTCTCTCTCTGACGCTTCCAACGCAGCCCAGTAGTATGGTCAACACCTTCATCGCGACATAGCTGGCGGAAGGACTTTAAGTGGTGTTGCTTATCGTACGCGTCGTAGAATCGTGTACGCTTGCGAGTTGAAGCTGGGTAATTATACGCTGGGTCTGGGGGAGGGGTAAGACGGTCATTTGCGCGCGTTCTGGGTGCCGTAAGTGCCATAATTGCTGTTGTAGTGGTAGGAATGGCGGGGCGCGATTTTCGTGTTATTCGCTAATTTTAGCGTGGTTCACGAATTCTGACACCCACTGGTGCTATATACTACCTAAACATATGAATCGCTCCAATCGAAGCACTTGCCAGGATTGATGAAAGGTCCATCAGAAAAACTTCGACAATATGCCTCAGGATGTAAGTAGAGGTGCTTCCGCTTTCAGTTCGGCGAAGTCACTTGTTTCAAAATCTCCGATCGCTCAAAATCTACCAACACCACATTTCTGATCACGGATTCCGTACATCACAATGTTCCACTCCGCAACCCAACATCTTTGGAACTGCTCTGCTCGTTTCCACAGCCAGATCCCGCCCTATGGCTAACATCGAGTCTTTGTGTGCCTGCTCGCCTGCCCATGACATGACCAACATGTGAACTATTCTAACCCTAACTTCAAAAAAGTAAGGATGGATGAAAAAGATGTTCCCAAGGTAGACTGGTATAAGCTCTCCTTGAACTTCGTCCAAGTGCCGGTAGACCAACCCTTCGTGCTGCAACTTGGCTTCGAATGCCGGGACGGAGGAGTTAAGGTCTTCTCTTTAGCGGGTATTTGTCGTAAGATTGCTTCGTGATGACTGTTGCCATTAAGGCAGTGACGTGCGTAAGTGAATGTGATGTGGCGAAAACAATTTGATTAGCTTGATCTCGCGAGAGCTTCATCACTTTTATTTGTTTGGGATTTGTGCTTTCTCCTCCGCTTCGGATGATCTTGAGAACTGTGGGTGTACAAAAAAAGCATCTTCATCCCGTTGTCTTTTCATTTTCGTGCATCCTTTGTTCGCTTTCGTCTCGAGCGTTGTTGCGGGGAGTGGTTCGCAGCCTTCGGCCTTCAGCTTGCGTCTCACTGAAGGCTGGCAAGGTTGTTTTATATTTGCAGCCTTTGCTTTTCGTGGGAGCATTTCCCTTTGGGGAGATTGTGTAGTCTCTTTGGGTATTTGTTTGAAGTTGAATGGATTGGCAGAAGAGTATACACTTGGTTCTCGATCGTGCGGTGGTGTTTCAGACTCATTCTGAACCTGGTTTATCTACGAAGAAATCGTATCCGGAGTTGGAGGGCCTGATAGCGGGCAATCTGGAATGCGTGGCACACAAGCTTCTTCGATTGTTGAATTGATGGTCCCTGTTTCGTCTTGCGTCTTCCTTATGAAATGGTTGTTAAGTGTTCGTGCCATGTCGCGATAGTAATGCGGCGACTGGAGTTGGAATTGTTCGATAATACGGTGATGCGCCTTGATGAAGTCGACAAAGGCCTTTTCGTCACCCTCGTGCAGACATTCTTTTGCGTACGCAATGCTTCGTGTTTCATAGCTCTTGAAGGTTGTGACTATCAACTCTGTAAGAGTCTCAACTGGGAGGTGACCCAAGGGGAGAGTTTGGTCAACCGCAGGTGCTTCTTGGCGGAGACGGGCAAGCAGTCGATCGTACCACGACTTGGAGCTGGAATCGGCAGATGCGGACATCTTCATTTTCGATCGTAGGGAGCTGGCAGTGGTAGTGGTTTCGTAAAGTTGGGAGGATTGGTGGTGACAGAGGGCTGGATCTTGGAAATTCTGATGTTGTTCGTCGCGCCGCGCTAAAATAAGGTTAACCTTACAGTCGGTGCGGTGCCCGCGCCGTCTGTTCGCCAAAGCTTACCGTCATTGGTGGTCGCATTACAAGAACAACATCTCGGGTACAGATCTTGATATGGCATGGGGAGATCGTACATGGACGACAAGTCTCTCTACAGTAGATGCACCCTTAATCTTCCTTAGGTACAGAACTCTCCCCCATAAGCCAGATTCGTTGTCTCCCATATATAATTACCTTTCAAAGACTCCGGGACGATCCACGAAAAGTTTGGTGTCCGCATAGCTCGAGCACAATGGCTCATCATTTTCTAGGTGATCTAGTATACAATCCCCGACTCCTCAAGTTTCGAGACCACATTGAACTTTCTGAATACGCCTTTGTGGTTCAACGTTCCAACATCGCAGCGAGATCGTTGTTAGACAAGAACCTAGGCTTGATCCATCCTCAGTATGGAAGTCTCGAGCCTTTCGATAGCGACGATGATGCCAAGTCCAGTGACGAATTAGAGGTCGATCGAGAAACCCCTTTGATAGAGAGCAGCCCCACTGCATGGCTGTTTCCAAGATGGCAGCCACAAGAACCACTCTACGTCTTCGGAACATCATCCAAGTGCGATGTTGTTCTGCCACCAGGGAAGACTACGAGTCGAAAACACTTTTTAATCTACCTTCACAACGGCTGCTGGATGATACAAACCTTTCCAAATGTGGCACTTGGATAAACGGCGAAAAATTGGTGCTTCGGGCGACCCAAATGCAGTCTGCTCTTGCCCCGGACTCGTCAAACGACATTCGAGCAGGGGATTTTGGATGCAGCATCCACCCAATACCCCACTCTTCCCAGAAAGAGAACCAAATTTCGATGTTCCCAGAGCGCATTGCCTACCCTCAGAGTGAGGAAACCTTAACCACTTCTTCCACCCAGATAACCGGAACATACGACCCTTCTTATGTCCCAATGGAGGCCTATCACTATCTCCCGGAAAGAAACATTGTCGTTCAAGAAAACTCCGAAGTTTACATGGCAGTTTACAAAGCAAGTGGTGAATATTGCATTGCCAAGGTGTATAGAGAAAAAGAGGAGGAAAAGGCCTATCGACAATTCGAAGTAGTACAACGACTAAAGGTTTGAATTCCCGGCCTCTTTGTTTGATTTTGCTAAAAAAGAATATTCGCAGAAGGAACATCACATCGTTCCATATAAACAAATGGTCAATACGGAAATTGGTTCTCGGATCATTACTCCATACCTTCATGCAACAACTCTTAGCGAATACTTGGATCCTTCGTCAACTCAAAGACCTGATATCGATCTCAGCTTTATGGTGTACAAACATGTAACGGACGCTCTTGCTTGGCTGAAAGAGAAGGGGATTGTGCATAATGATGTTAGTGAGAATACCATCTGGTTGGACGTGTGGACGGTCGGTATACATCATACCTAACTGGGTTTTCCGAATTCACCGAGGCGCTGGACGACTCCAACTCCGAGACTGGGTTCCGTAACGACCTCGCAAGTCTTACATCCCTAATAGGACAGATGCTCCCAACGCATAATGGTCGTCCATGTTGCGACCCTCAATGGAGGTTAACAATGTCCCAAGTTATCGAGGGACTTAAAACGGCACGCGAGGTCGTCTCTAGTTTGGAAGCTATGAGTCCTGGTTATGAACAGGCGCCATTCAGGATTTCTTTAACAACCAAAAGAATGGCAATCAAGCGAATCGTCGACCAAAATGGCACGGAAGCGGTTCGACTACTCGACTTTCTTCGAGTTGTTCTTTGTCTCGATCCCAGATATAGAAGCACCGAACATGCTATCCAAAAGGTTATTCGAAAAAGGGACCTCTTTTACATTGGTGACGATGTGTATTGCCATTTGCGTGATGCCGAAAAACTTCTACACTATCTGAATAGAAACCAGCACGTCATTATTTTCGATCTCACACCACCTTTCCATTCGAAAGCATGTTGGTACGAAATGACTTACGTTGCCAGCGTACCAATCATCTACCATAGGCCAACTGGAATGGTGAATGTCACCCAAATCCTCAACTTCTTTGACCAAGAGACTGTCTGCGACCTTTCGGAACATTTCAACCCATCGATTCAACAGATTGTTGGTTCCCCGAAGTGGGAAGGGTATTACGTCGACGGAGCGTCGATGAGAGGTATTTTGCATCACCTACATCTTGACCCTCTCCCAGAGTGGGCTAATGCGTCTGATATTAAAGGTGGGAGCAACGGTTCCGGATTAGATAATGTATTCTAACAACACACAGGCGAAAAGGAAACATCGACAATAGTTGCAACCCAAGAAATGATTGGCAATATCTTGTATCATCGAGACGATGCATCAGTAAGATGGGAAGGCAAGACAATGGCAGCAGAGACCGCTATAAATATATGCGAAGGTCACGGGCTTTGGATCGCACATGATGCCCTTCGTCGATTCTATGAGTATTCGCACGAACCTGCATCTACTTGGACTTCCATTTGTACCGATGCCGATATTATAGGATTGTTTGATTCTTCTAATGATTCCGACTTTACAGCGTCCGCCACGAGTCATAACTCTTTCCAAAGTAATCATGATCGGGTCAATCCCTCCAAGAAAAAAGGGCCGACGAATATACCCCTCCTTCCACAACAGAAGCTACGACCATTAGAAGAGGAAAATACCCCGGCGAAGAAAGTAGAAGAGTGGATTTTTTACGAGCCTCAGCGAAGGAGCCAAACCGAAAGCACCCTTAGTCATTTGACGGATATTTACGATGACACCTCAAGCATATGTGAAGAATGAAATTTTAAGCAAAGTTCTGTTCCTGTGGAAGCAAGGCCTCTAAGTTGACAAATCTACCATGTTTTTACTTTGTTCACGTTTCCAATATCGAGAGAGCTTTTTTTTAATTCTAGTTGGAGTTGAGATTTTCATGTTGATAACTTTATGATATATCTACTTTGCATACATTTACAAGAATGGAATACAGTCTCTCCATGACCAGCTTTGTTTTGGCTCACGATAATCCCGCTGACCTCCTTGAAGGAGTGGTGCTTTTTCAACTCCCTCCTATCGTGGTTGCAAACGAGGGAAACTGCTACAAATTGTTAGTTCGTATTTGCAAATAGCGAATCGATTACCTTTGTGCTCCTCGACGCCTGCCCGAATCAAAATCAATCTCAAATTGACGAGAACCATCTTCGCCTCGTGGATGATGATAAGAAGGTCGCTATCTTTCATTACAAATCATCCCTCGATGTACAAACAAGCAAGTGAGTTCTTGCCGATCATGGTATCACGTTGATCCTAAGCTTCAACACACTTACCCTCATGTTCCCTCCCAATCCACGGGTTAAGCTGTGGCTTGAAAAGCAGGTAGAATATGAAAATTTTGACAGTAATATCCTTCAATGCAACAGACTCCGACATATACAACCACAGATACACACAGGGTGGAGACACGAGGCAGAATTTGTTGTGTTTTGTGAGGCGATGCGGAAGCTATGCCAGTAATTTGAAGGCCCGTTCATGATGCTTATCCAAGGATATCTTGTTTTACACATATAATTTTCTGTGATTTGCCCCCTGTATGCACAATCAGAAGGACTCAGAACTTGAGCTGCTGCCTGTCTACTGTGGGAGGAAGCTTATTTGACTCTGCGCTGTACCATGGTCCAGCGTTTATGTATTGCGGCCTCAGTCCTTCCTCGGAACTTGCCGAAGATCCAGTCCCAAGACTTGCCCCCTTTCTGTATGCCAGCAAGCGCTGCTCGTCCAGATCCGACCACCGGCTCTACTTGCCCATGCTCAAGCAACTTTGCTCGGCCTCGCTCAAATATCCATCATCGTCGCTGCTAAAATGAAAACTGTTATCGCTTAATCCAACATCGTTATCGCTACTAGACGACTCACTCCCTTGTAATACAAGAACCCCAGCATCGACGGCTCTGCCATTCAGGGGTCGGGTACGCGTCGCGCCCTCGCGGATATGGCCTACCTCCGCGACAATCGATAGAGTTCCTCTACCGGGCGAGTTCTTGCGAACAACACAGCCTCCACGCGACTTGAAAAGATCCTCTCCGAGGAACGTCAACAGGCTTCTACTGATCGTCAAACCCTACTTGCCCAGATCACAAGGCTTGTGATGACAAATGGTAATGCCCAGGATAACCGTTTGAACTCCAAGATCAATGATGTCAGAAGTGAGATCATTGCATCAAAGCAGAGTCTCGAACTTGCTCAATCAGCATACACTAAAGGCATGGACTCTTGGAACGACAAGGAGTCGAGATTTGTTGAGGACGTGTGGACATCTCGAGAATTAATGAAGAGCAAGTTGAAGGAAGATTGGATCGTAGGTCTATCTCCCATGTAAATGAGTATCAACTAATCTATTAGACCGCAAATAAACACTATGTTTCTATCCAAACCGTCACGAAGTCCGTACACGAGGAGACAATCCGAATCGGTGATGAGCAGAGGAAAAATATCGATATCCAGATGCGAGCATTGGATGACTTTGTCACTCGGGCTCGTTCCCAAAATGCCCAGTACTACGATGTGCATTCTAAGTCCCTCAAGAGTTTGTCCATAACAGCGAGGGCATCTTACGACAGCTTTGGCAGTCAACTGGCAATAACTCATGAGCGCAGCAAGAGTCTGGACGATGATATATCGGAAAAGCAGAAGCTGCTCGACGAAGCTCTTGCAACACTTAACTCTACCTTGCAACAACCCCTATCCGATCTCCGCGCCAACATCTCCCGTACAACTCTACAGGAGTACAAACCCACCGCAGAAACGCCTCAGAGGACGCAATACGAATACCCCACGGAGCTTCCACGTACCAAACCTCATGAGAATTTAATTGCTGCTGGTTCTTTTTCGCCCCTTATTATCTCACCTAGCAAGTCTCCGCTGTTCAGCGGTCCGAATCCAAATGCAAACGATGAGAGTGTCAAGGCACGTCCTTTAGTTACCAGTTTCTCTACAAGTCTCCCGCCAAGGGAGTTCTCGCAGACTCTGTCAGGACTCCGAGAAGTCAACGTCAACACTTTGGGTAGCTCTCACAACTCAACGCTGGAAGTAGGTGTTGCGAACTTATCTGCCTCCATTTGTGCCGGTGGTCCGAGTGTTGATCCATGGTTCTTGGACTGCGATGATGTCGTATGATGTGATCTTGGGGTCTTCGAAGAGAGCTACCGTAGTCTCGTACGAGCCTTGGACGTTGTATTGCAGAACCTTGAGGTGTACCGTTGCATGGTGTGGAACTACTGGCGGTTGGTTTCTCTCGAGGGCAGCTCGATCAATGTTGCGCTGTGGGTATTGGGGTTGGGGGAACGGATCGTCTCTTGCGAGGGCTGCGGCGTCCCCATTGTCAGACTCAGAGTCAGAGTCAGAGTCAGAGTCGGAGTCGGAGTCGGAGTCGGAGTCGTCAGAACTAGAGCTACTATCCGAGCTTGAGTCGTCGTCCGTGCTTGGCTCGCTTGGCTCGAGGGGTGAGGCGATAGGGGGGTCTTCAAAGGTTGGCCCACCCCTGCAGCGTGTCAGTGCTCTTGGGGCCAGGGGGTCGAGGTTCAGCCTCGGCAGGCCTTGTCTCTCCCTCTCCTGGTTGTGGTGTTCGTTGATCATCATGCGGCCTAGCATAGTGTTAGGGTCGACAACGTGGTCGACGTACGTGTAGCGTTCTGGGGCTTCTTCCTCAGCATCGTCATTGTTTGCTTGCGGGTTTGACGAGGCTGAGGCCGATCCCCGAGTCATCAATGAATAATTGAGCCACTGGCCCCGCTGGCACGTGTTTCAAAGATCGCGGACTTTGGTGAGAGACGAGACGAGGATCGATTGATTGATTGAAAAGAGCAATGCACTTGGCTTTTCCTTGGGGGATCTCATGGGGGATCTCACGGGGATCTCACGGGGGATCTCATGGGCAGGGCGCGAACCCCAGGATATACACCAAGCCCAGGTCTTCCTCTTCCTTTTCTCACTCTCAACTCCAATCTGATTGATATCCTATACCCTATATTTGGAAAAAACCGCTTCAATCCATCTCCTTCATCACTCATGAACTAACGCATCCCCCCGTCAATTACCACCACACCAAGCAAAAAAAGGCAGCGAAGTGAAAAACCGCCACCAATTTCCCCCACAATCCTCGCAAGCGACAACCCATTCATTCTTTTTTGTCAACTCCAACACCATCACGACGACGTACGTTGCAGAAAAAGGATTCGCAGGCATAATCATTTTCTCATCACCTAGATCTATCAGATGACGTGTAAGAATGTCACATAAATCGGATGGGCAGTAAAGAGTGTATTCATAAGTCTGAAGAGCTGAAGCCCGGAGGAGGATCTAAGTGAGTGTTGACAACTGGCACTAAAACCCCCTGAACCAAGCCTAGAACAGCGCATAAAAGTGGATACCCTGGCATTCCAACTGACATTCCAACTGACAAGATCGCTCCTGAAGCAAACAACCTGAAAATCACTCCCAAGACAAATAAATGAGAAAGATCATGAGCGCCAAGTGGCGAGCGCTAAGAGAGAGGAGTACCGATAATGGAATATTGGAAGATCAAAAGAGGTTGGTTGCATGGTTGGGATTGTTGAATCGACCAGTATGCTGCGATGTTTTTTTTTTCGCAGAGATGATATCGATATTTGATGCCAATAATGAGAGCGATTCTGTTGTTCCTCGCCGATCAAGATACTGGAGTAAAAATGCTTGCGCAAACTCGAAATAATTAGACATGAGCTTGAAGATACAATCGTTGCGCCGTACTGAAAAACGATTGTGTATAACGCTAAAAAAATACTCCCCTATGCGCTGAACTGCCCATAGAATAGAAAAAGGTTCAAGGGAGAGAGTTAGTTATTGATGATGGTGCAGATTCTGTTGGTGCTGATCCTTTAGATCATGGTTGTGTTGTTGAAAGCCACCATGGTCTTGCACATAGTTCTCAAATACAGGCATGTGCTGCTGATGTGGATGGGGGTGACCTATGCTTCCTGTTCGCAGCGAGTCGCCAGGTCCTGGACTAGTGTCGTAATCATAGTTTGGTAGTTGCGGTGGACGATGTATCTGCGGTTGCGCATTTGGCAGGGGGAGATATGGGCCACTTGACGGAGGCAAATTCTGCTGAGGAGAAGTCGTGTAGAATGATTGCCCACCACTATTGCTCACCATTGACCAATTGTTGTACACTTGTGGCTGTGGGCTCGAGTACTTTGGCGTCGAAACGAACGATTGACGATCTTGAATACATGGACTCTGAGGATGAAAACCCATGTTGCGATAGTTCCCAAAATCGTTGTACTGAGGCTGTTCTTCCATCTGATTATGGACACTTGAACGCGTGGGATGTCGCATTCTCATGGTGTCGTCGAGCATATGAGAGTTGTGCCCGGTGGTTGGAGATACAACCTCAAGAAAGGGCGTGCTGGCTGCAATGCTCTCATTATCCGAGTCGTCCGTTCCTAATCGTTCACTATACATCACGGAGAAACAAGTAGACTTATCTATAGTTTGTCAACGAAAGCTCGACCAGAACACATATCATTATGAATCTTACCAATCTCGCCATTCTTGTACATCTCCTCTGCTCGGGCAATTTTGAAGATCTCATTTAGGAACGGCTTCTTTCGCGCATTATTGGGATATTCCTTATCATTGAACCAATTGTACATTGCCTCCATAGTGACTTCTTCCAGCTTTTTGACGTTGAGACCAAGCTTTTCGATGGAAGGGTGCTGCTTGTTTGCAGGCTCTACGACCATTCTCAAAATGTGCACTAGTAGTCGAATGCGCTCTATATTTATTAGCGTAGGTCTATTCCGCAAAAATGGCCAGGCCTACCAGGTTTCAAAATGTGATCCGGTTCTATGTGTCGAACCTTGTTGTCACCAGTAGTGCTCGGCCACCAAGGCGGTGCTCTGTCATTACCCTTAGTATATGGATGATGTGTTTGCTTCTTCGGCTCCATCAGCTTCACGAATGCTTTGCCTATGACTTTGCAAGATGACTGTTGCATGTCTTGGAACCTTTTGTGGTAGAACTTTTCAACCTCGCCGGAGTCACCAATCATCAACTGTTGGGCATTCTCGAGGACAGGTGTATCATCGTTGTCAGAAACTTCGATTTTTCGATGGACACGGCGATTGTACTCTGAAGAGGACTCTCCACTGCTTGAGTGCTTCCTATTGTATCCTCCACTACTCCCATCGGCATCGAAGTCGTTGAACATAACATCTTGGTGGAATGCTGAAGAGCGGTTAGCCACATATATTGCTTGTGATATATACTCAGTATATGTAATGTGGGATGTAGAAAGTATGGACAAAATGAAAGGTCATACCGGTGGGAGATGGGTATGTTGGAGCTAAAGCCTTTCGGATACTTCGATGAAAATCTTGCTTGAACTTTTCTGTGAAGATTGTATCTCGAAAGCGTGCCAAAGCTAGTGATGAGTAGACTTTATCTTCACCGGTTTCTAGTCGTACGATCAAGCCGAACTCCTTGAATGGTATTCCAACGCATTTCTTCAATGTATCTTCTATGGCCTGTGAAGTCAGCTTGGAATGAAAGACTTGATATACAAGAAGCAAACCTGAGCTGTTGCGGCGGCGGGCACGAAACGGTTGTGAACGCCAAACCTATCCTTCCAAGTACCCTCCCTCTGGTAGTAATCCCCAGGTTGTGAAGGATTCTGGCGTTGTACCATATTGAAAGATACAAAGTAATGTAGTGAGCGGTGTACAATTCGAGTCGAGTTGTCGTATTGAGATTATCCACAGAGATGTGAGGTTAGAGGGGATCAAATACAGATATGGTATCAGCACCCGGTAGTATGGAGTAGATGTGGTGTTGCAGTAGCTGCGCGGAGATCCGATGCGGGTGCGTCGTCGTCGTCCTTATCGTGGCTCGGGAAGGGGCTGCTCACCGTTCCTGGATTGGAGATGACTTCAAGAGGGTGGGTGAATCGTCCTCGGGTGTTGAGTCGCGTCCGGTTCGGGATTGGGTTCTGGTTATGCGGGCCCGGGTGCTGGTTTGGGTTGTTGTGTGGAGGTTTTGGCGGGGTGCCTCATCGATGGCGGCGGTGTCTTCTTGCTTTTCGAGGTCTAGGGCATTGGTTTTTTTTTTTGGGGTTTTTTTTTGGGATGTGAGGATGTTGGAGGCGTGTCTGAGATTTCAGGTTCTTGAGAAGCTATTTTAAGAGCTTCTTGTGATAGGAATTGTTTCGCGAAGATTTACCAAAAGACGGGAAGAAATTGAATCTTCCAAGAAGATTCACAAATATCGCGAAAGAAGGTAGGTAGCTTGCAATGTGCGCTTTGGAATGTGAAAATGGCAGCGGGACATCTTGCAGTCTCAGGGATCGATCCGGTCCAATCCATTCGATATCCGAACATGTGGCGTCCAGCCGTGCAGTGCAGCGCAGTGCAGCACTCTCATAGACTGCCAACAGCCGGACCCAGCTGAATTTGTGCCGATCTCCAAAGCTTCGGTCGATCGATCAATCGATCGATCGCAAACAACCGTCTCCTGTCTGAAATCTGGGGGTCCACCAGGTCCCCTAACGCAGGAAGAAGCCGCACGGCAATCGAAGAGAAAACCGAGAGAAGGGAAACAAAGCAAACCAAACCAAATAATTACTCGAGTAGCACGGCAGACGATGTGTGTGTGACTCACCGACAGAGAAAGCAAGGGGTGGCCGAGAAGCAAAAAGCAAAACCAGAAAAACACCACAAAGAGGGGAAAAGGGGAGGAGGTTGGAGAAGAAGTAGGGAAAATCGTTGGGTTTCGGGATTCGGGACGTGTATATTCTCAGGTTACCTACCGTACAGTGTCTGTCGGCAACGCTCGCCGACAAGCCGAGGCGCTCAGCTCAAAACAAAACAAAATAAAATAAAATAAACTCTCGACGAGCACGAGAGTAAAAGTTGATCTCGACGCAATGATGCGGGCTAGCTACATAGAGGCGTGATAGGCTTGTTTCTTCTTTGTCGTCTGCGTGAGGTCATTTCCCAACAAAGCGTTGATTTTCTATCGAATTCTCCCAACCCGCACTCAACTCAACATATCACATCACATCACATCACATTACATCACATCACTGCATTCCGACAATATGCATTGCATGTCTTATTCGGCTGATGGATATGAATATGATCTCCGCGGTTTCAAATCTGTCGTCCACCTCCGCATCCTTCTCTTCTCAACCTTTCTTTCATTCGCGGCTTAATCAAGCCATTTATTTGCATGCACTCCGACTTCTCCTCTCCTCTTTCTTCGATATATCAAGCCACATACATGGCTGTCAAAACAGTGCATGTCTTATTCAGCTGATGCATGATATGATCTCCGCGGTTTCAAATCGGTCGTCCACCTCCACATCCTTCTCTTCTATTCGCGGCTTAATCAAGCCATTGGCATGCACTCCCACTTCTCCTCTCCTCTCCTCTTTCCTTCGATATATCAAGCCACATACATGGCTGTCAAAACAGTGATCGGAACCGTGCAAGGGAGCGGTCCATGCTGCGAGACACTTGGGCAAGGATTGAGGCGGAAGCAAGGAATCATTCGATTGGGGACGATCTTACGAAGTATATCGAAACCAGGTTCGTGTGCATGCACGAGCGAGCCTCTTTGGAGTTTCTTCTTGTGTCACGAACGGCAGAGTGCCTTGTTTCCCCGCTGCTTTGCTTTTTCGACGTTTATTGTTGTGGACGTGGCCCGCTGTAATTGTTCTTGTGGTGAGTGTCCTTGCTCGGTGGCTTGCCAGGCTGCTCTCTTGGCGCTATTACCCAATATGAACTCCTCTTGTGTTTCGGAACCCATCCGACGCAACGCAAACATGGTTGCCTCCTCTCCTGAAATTGCGGACCGCGTCGTATCTAGCAATGAGTCTCTGCAACAGTCTATTCTTGTACACTCCATTGTATGCGCCCTTGATGTCGAAGCTAACCAAGCTGAGGACCTTCTTTGATCTCCATGCCTTGTAGATGTGTTCCTGCAATAGCAGGAGTGCTTGTTCAGCAGAGCGCTTCTTCCTGGCCCCGAAGTGGTTCGTGGGGAGCAGACCGAAAGTCTCCACTGCGTGCGAGATATTCTCTCAGCAATCACCGTCTCCAGTGCCTTTCCAAGGTTAGAAAGCAGCGAGATCCGCCTCCATGCCTTTGCAACCGTGTAATCACCTTTGTTTGGTTTTTTTCAATAGTATTATCTTTGCATTTCTCCATTGTGTGGGGAGTTCTCCTCTATCCAACGATGTCTGGAAGAGGAGTAGTACCCTGTCTTTCACTACCGGCCACACCTGCTTCCATACCATAGCTGGCAGTCCATCTTCTCCTGGCGCCTTCCATGACTTCATCGCAAGGATTCTCCTTTCTACCTCTTCCATCGTCAAGGGAGGCATCGACACTGGGGTTCGCTGTGGTCGCGGTCCTTCATCTTCTATCCTCGCTGGCAGTGGGGGGAAGAACGCGGACAGTAGTTCCTCCACTTGTTCGGTTTTGTCTCTTGTCCTGGACCCGTGCTCTCTTCGTCAACGGCGGTATTTTGTCAAATGCTGAGCTGTTATTAGGGTCCAAATACTTCGCCGCGTGCCATATGTTTGTGTCATCCGCTTGGGGTTACGAGGAAGTCCTCCCAATGCGCCTTTTTCTGTCTCCGGATGGCGTCGTGGTACTCCTTAGCAGCCTCGTTCGCATGCTGTTCTGGGGTTCGGGAACACGTGACCCACTCGCCGCTGGGTTCTTGCTTGGTTCCTCTAGAGGGTGTAGACTCGCCGGAGCTGCGTAAGGTCTGTTGTCCACCATCTCTTCGCGTACGGTGAAGGCTTGGCCTTTGCCTCCAGCACCGCTGCCATCAACCAGTCCGTCTGTTGCTGTACACTGCCGCCAACTGGAACGAAGCGAAGAGCGGTGTCAATCCTGGCCCTTATGTCGGTCCATGGTGCGTTCTTGAACAGCAGCCGTGCTTCAGCAACTCGTTCCGGGGTCGCAATGTCAAGTGTTGTCTCAATTGCTCTGTGATCGGATCCATACTCGGTCGTGTGGATTGTACACTTTACCAGTGACGTTGCGAGCTCCTCCGAGGCCAGCACCAGATCAATTGTTGACTCGTGATTTCCCCGTCGCCATGTTTTCGTACCCCTGGGTAGAAGACTTTGGAGGGTGTGATCACTCATGAGGTCGATGATGGGATCGGCCTCTCCTTGCCTTTCCCGTGAGACGTCGTCCCCTCCCCATAGTTGATCGTGCCGATTGAAATCTCCTGCAAGTAACACATCGACTCGGGTGCCAGTCACATTGCGTGTTTCCTGAATAAGTTGGTGTAAGTTGCTAGTTGTGTCTCGGAGTGCTTCCTCGTCCTGTCCTTCGACGTACACAGAAACGACAAGTATCGATCGGTCTGGCACTCGTAATATTGCTGCAGTGAGGTCGGTTGATTGCCCCGGCACCTGTTCTGCTTCGATGTCCTTCCGGATCTAGAGCATGCTTCGCAAAGCCCACCCTTCCTGTCGCTGAACCGTGGGCGTCATCTTTGTCCAGTTTGGGTGCCCTATAGGGACCGTGGTCGTTGTATTGTCAATTGTCCATGCGCACGGTTCAGTTATCGCTAACACTGCAAATTCCTTCAGCTGATCATCGTTCATTAGGCTATGCTGCACCGTATCCTGCTTCCAGACGTTCAGTTGGAGTACCCGTAGAGTACTATGCATCCTGAGAGTTGTGAGACACTCCACAGTTCCTGCTGAACGATTCGTGTGGTCCTCCACATGAAACGCATTTCGGTATCACTGCTCGACACTCACTGTGATGGTGTCCTACTTGAGCACACTTAGCACAGACTTGCGGTTGCATGCACGAGTACGCTTTGTGCCCTAGTTCCTGACACCTATAACATTTTGGCGGGCCATATCGAGGCTCGAAGACCCTAGTATTGGCTGACTCTCCTGCGTCATGGAAGTATCGATCTTGTAATAGCCGTGCTGCTTCGCTGCTTTTTGTGACATAGACCACCATTGAACCATAAGCTTTCCCTGCATTCTCATCGCTAAGCCAGCTGATCTTGGCTATGTGGACGTCGTTCTCCTTTCCAAGGACTTCAGCAGCCCCGGGTAAAGGGTTCCCATCCAGATCAAGAATAGCTGTCCGTTTGGCGTTGTCCACCTTCACTGGGTAGGTAGAGTTGGTCTCGAAGTATTCGGGCACCTGGTGCTATGGTCTTCTGTGCTGCTTCCTTGACCCGCTGGAGTTCGGCTTCGTCTCTGCATATCACCTTGACGCGATCTGTATTCCTGGCGTTCCTAATCACTGCGGCACAGCGCCAATTCGCGTGGCCATCTGTCGTACGGACCTCTTTTTCTATTGCCTGCCTGATCGCCCCCGGTTGTGCCTTGTCCCTGTCTTCCTCCTCAACTCTGGACGTGTCAACTGTACAGTATAGTATGTCGGTTGTAGATGTTGCAGTGGTAGGTTGGCTGGCCGAGGACGACATATTGATTGATCTTGTGAGGACTGAGGCGTAGGATTGCGGTAGAGCCCCTGATCCTGAGCCATTGCTTGTGATCGCTACCATCTCCTCCAGTTGCGCTTTGGTTTCTGCAAGTTGGGCTTTGACACCTGCTAGTTCTGCGACAAGTTCCGCATTGCTGGCCTTGACTTCCTCGTTGCTGCTCTTCAGTTCCTTAATTGCTAGGAGAATAGTAGAGCGAGGGTGGCCCTCCACCTTCTTCGTCCTTGTTTTGTTTGTAGCTGTTGGTCGACGTGGTGTCCTTAGTTGGCGTCGCGTACGGTTTGGTCGCGGGGCATCCGGCGCTCCTACAGACACTTCGATCGCATTGTCTGTGTCATATTCGTCGCTCTCATCCCATACCCTTTGGCTCAGTGTTGCAAAGGGGTTACCGTCAACTGCCTTTCCATATTTCTGCTTTTCCCCTTCCAAGGCCTTGGTCCGTTCGCGACGCGACTGACGCGTCGGTGGACCTGCTTCCTCCACAACCCTTTCCCAGGGACGATCCAGGCGCACTACTATGCCATCCGAGCGGGTGTTGGTGAAGCCGATGTATCGGGTGGCCAGCAGCAGAAGAGACGGCGAGGCCGGCCCCGGAAGCAAACGTGAGGCTGGCTATGAAGAGCCATCTAAGTGCGATCAGTGCATGCTGATTGGGGGCCCTGGCGATAGGTGATTGGTGAAGGACGAACTGCTGGATGTTTGACAGCACTGGATGGATGTCAGTGCTGGATGGGTGGAAATTTTGTCATCTACGCTCTCCAAGCTGTTTGAAATCGCACGAGCCGCGGACCTGGTCTATATGCTCCAAATACAAAATGCCTGAATGTTCCCGAGAAGACGTTGATAAGGGCAGTACAGTGGAAAAACAGTCGCGAATTCAGTCGACAGCGTCTCCTCAACTGTAACAGAGATCGAAATGATTCGCTTCTCGAATCCCAGCACACATTATTGGAAGTCTGAAGCCGGAGACTCGACGTCGAACTGCAATAAAGCTTCACAAACAGCCAGGATATCACCCAGATGACGAGCATATCCCCAAGAGATTTCGTAAGCGGACTGCCCACGATAGCAGGATCCGTTCCAGTACAAAGCATCAGAAGAAGATCTGCGCAAAGAGCCATGGGGAGTCACATATATCTCACGAGGGTCCAGCAGTGGACAAAAAAGCAACCTTTCAATTCTGCTATTCATCTTTCTCCCTACAAGTACCACAGAGCTACTTCCCTGATGGTTCTTCCCTCACACCTTCACATTCCCAGTGAAATCATTCATATGGACATTGCGGATTGTCGCAAGATGCCATCGGACCATATTCAATTGTCTAGCATGTGCAGTACACCTTCGTCTTTTTCCTGCTTCGAGTAACAGCTCTCGCAAAGGCACCTGCCGTCGAATCTCATGGCTTGAGATTGGCCCTCGGAGGCAGGATGGAGACGGAAGTGAACAGCAATAGATGACGGAGACGGAGGGATTGCAGCTTGAGCGGCTTGGGCCATGTACTGCAGGTCTGCATACTGTTGTTCCGGATATTGATTCTGCATGCCTCGATTTATGAGAGATGGATTATCAGCCGCCGCGAGGTGGCTCAAAAGCTGTATGAAGGAACTCGGCAGAGAGCAGTGAGAGAGGGGTTTTGATGGGAAACCATGAATCGATATCACGTGCAACCTTGAATCTTGCATCTGCGCCGCATTGCCCCGCATTACTAGCCACAACAATCAGCCTTGTTCTTGAGCCGCAGTGGCTGCGGTGGCCTTTGGCTCGATATTAGATGCACTGTGGTCCGAGCTTGAGTCACGTGATCAACCCCCCTTTTCAATTCGTCCTCGCTTCGGTCGGCTTATAAACCAAGGCTCGGGAAGTAAGGGAGTAGACGTGGACTTGAGTTCGTGAGTCGTGACCACGGACAAAGCCCGGCAAAGAAAGAGGGAGGTGCCTTGGCTGATGCTGAAAATCTCCCTTGGATATCCCCCGGACCATGAACATTCCCCCGGTGGCGACAACCTTTAGGTGTGAGCGCTTTGCCTAATTTGGCCGAATTTTCCTATATCAGTAAGGTAGAGTGGTCAAAAATGCTGGACTGCGATAGGTTTAACCTTAAGTTTAACCTTTAACTTTATAAAATATCAATATTTTCAACCTCATCAACCTCAACCTTTAAGTTTAACCTTTAACTTTATATAATATCAATATTTTCAATCTCATCAACCTCATCAACCTCATCAACCTCATCAACTTCACACTCTCTCTCAAACTCTAACCCCTCTATCCCCTTTTCTTCAACTCGGTTTTTATTGCATTTTTACTTCCAAATTCATGATTCCTTTCCCCAACATTTAAATGCCTTGCCATCTCTCTCCCTTATTCTTAACCCTCACTCTCTTATCCTCATCCATTCTCCCTCCACCTCTCACTCCCACCCTTCCACCCACATTTCCACCCACCCGAGTCACTTCACGCTATGACGTACTAAAGGTTTTACTAAAAGTTGGAATTCACGCTCAACAACCCTTTTAAGATTTAGGCTAAAGTCTAAAACTTAGTTTCCTCGGACCCTCTCACTTATATATACCCGACTCAACCCTCCCCATCTCCTTCTTTCCTTTTCTCCCTTAAACAATGTAACTAGGTAAGAATGTAAGTTTCTCTCTCCCACTCTCTCTCTCACTCTTTCACCCTCTCACTCCTTCATTAAATTATTTATCAAAATTTATTAGAGTTTATCAGTTTTTAAATTTGAAGTGAGTATTAGAATAGCGCCCAAGATTTGAAGTGAGAGTAGAGTTTGAGGCGAGTATTGGAGTAGCACTTAGTATTTTAGGTGAAAGTAGAGTTTAAGGTGAGTATTGGAGTGGCGCCTAAGATTTGAGGTGAGAGCAGAATTTGAGGTGAATATTGGAGTGCCGCCTAGGATTTGAAGTGAAAACAAAATTTAAAGTAAGTACTAGAGTGGCGCTTAGGGATTTTAATTAGCATGCTTTGACTTATAATTTAATTTTGAAACTCGTGATTAGCGCCTTGTTCTGGCGCGTGCTTCTAGTTAGTGAATTATATTTTTATATCAACCCTGAAAACCCGTTCACCGTCTAACAGCTCTCTTCAAAATCTATATAAACCCGACCGCCCGAAGTTTCTCCGGATTCTTTAACAATATTCGAGCACCAAAAGGAAATGTACTAGGTGCGTCTGCACCTGGCACCTCGCACCGGGCACCTCGTACCGGGCACCTCGTACCAGGCACCAGGCACCAAGTACCTCGTACCAGGCACCACGTACCAAGTACCTCGTACCGGGCACCACGCACCGGACCCACGCACCTAATACATTTTCTTTTGGTGCTCGAATATTGTTAAAGAATCCGGAGAAACTTCGGGCGGAGCACGGGTGCACGGGTCAATGTGGCCTAGGATGGCGCGAAAATTATTCGATTCAACTACCTAAGACAGCTGCTGCATTTTCTCGACTCTAGACGGAAGATTACACGTTTTTTGCTTCAGTCCTTATCCAGCCTTTTTGGGGTGCACTGAATAAGCCCGCTCGAAATTAGCATTGTCTATTGCAGGGAAGTAAACTTCCGACATGTTTCCCGTCCACTGCTGCAAAGGTAGTAGGTTTTCAGGGATAACCAGAGAGATCGGGATCGAATTGACCACCAGGAAGCTATTATCGGAAACTATTAGGTAGTGTATTATAATAGTAGCAAAAGTGATATCATTAATCGTCGAGGGTGGTACAGCAGAGTTTGGTGGTACCGCCGCCAGCGTCGTTATTAGGCCGGAAACAAGGAGGCCCTATCTAGAATTCGATGATGTATTCGGCGATCGATTGTTGTTACTACCATTCGCCAGATGATGAGCTCTTTGGAGAGCCACGAAAGACGTTCGAGAGATGTATCCCAAGTTTGCGCAAAACTCGACGATATCGTCGATCGATGTCAAAATGGAGGAGTAGAGTGTGTCGTGGTCGTGGTCGTGGTCGTGGTAGTCGAAGGTTGCCGACAAGCAATGGCGTTGGTACTATAAAGGGTGAACTCTCTCTCTCTGCCTATCCAGATGTCGTGACGGTGGCCGTTCTCGAACCCCTGTCACATTTATCAAGGGTCCTTATGGGAGCCGATTTGGTCCCCCCTTTTAACCGAAGCGGCCTCGCTTAATGCCCCTCTCAACCTCTCAACCCTCTTCAAACAACGTAACTCGCATACGAGTGTACGACTCTAAATTTCTAAGAGCTCTCTCGAAATTTTGCATAGTTATTTAGAAAGGTACTAGCTTCTCTTCGATCAACACACCGTCGCCGAGATGAGTCTGCATGTATACGTCCACGAACCACGCCTGCTCTTCTTAAGCTGTGGGGGTGTGCTAATATGGCCTGATCCTGCACGGTACCTTGTTAAAAAGAAGCATAGGGGAGTTCTATTCTACTTGCTTAGTATAACTTCGCTCCTGGGAAGACTGTGCCTCGTCTTGCATGAAATAGTTGAATATAGAAGGAGCGGGGAGCCTGGACGCTGATAGACGTTGGACTCGTAGCACCGGTTTTGGTTGGCTATGGTGCCTGCCAACTGCCACGAGATCTATGGGTACCCAAACAGTACTGAAGGATCAGCTGGGTAAAGGGAGAGCAAGCAGCGGCGATGCCGCGTCAGGTGGCATTGGGGGATTCATGCGGATCCTAGCAAGGCAGAAATCAGCACCGATACGCAAACGGTACTGGTAAAAGGAGTAAAGGGCCAGCTGGGGGTTCATTCAGAGGCACTGATACGGCACAGAGGGGCCAAAGAACAAGCTTGATGTACGTGAATACGACACTTGTCCGATCCTGGGAGGGTAATGCAAGGCAGAATTATCTCGGCGCAGCTAGGAGATTCATGCACTATAGATGAGTATGACCGACCCAGAGCAGGCCTATAGCGGTGGTCAGACCGTTTTGTCACGCCGCATGAGAGATACCACGGTAAAGGGTGTGTCACAGCTTCAACATTTGACGTAGGTAGAGACAGACGAGGGAAACGAGCTTTCAAGGCAGGGATAGCAGGAGATTAGGCCGGATAGCAGTTTATGTAGCGCACGGCAAGGCAGAATAATCTTGGCAGAAAAGTTGCATTAATGAGGAGCGTCATTCTTGAGCAGCATAGCTCTCAATATAGCCCAGCTATACCAATGGCATACGCGGCCCAACTAACACGCCCCTAAGCATTGACAGCTGAATCCCCTACGAGGCAGACTCGGGTAATTGATGCAAGTCGTGATGCTAGGAGGTCGTTGCTCCGCCGTAGGGGCTGTCGACCTTTCCTTGACGCACTCGCTGCTACAAAAATCTCACTGTCGCCAGCGCACATCGGTCAACGCAACTTTGCGGCCGAGAGATCCGTTGGTTGCATGAAACTTCTCAGTGAGGTACCTCCCCCCTCAAAGGTAACTCTTTCTTGCAGAGCAATCGAGGCAGTTGTAGCAACCCCTAGAGAAAACCCAGATCCTATCTTCCTCTTGCCTAGCGCAACTTTGCTGCTGAGATTGGGCTGTTTATGCGAATGGTAGTACGTCCAAGAAAAGTATGTGGCCAGAGTGCCCTCAAGGTTTGTGTCCAAAATTATTATTCACGATGCGGTTGCGGCTTGGAAGAAATTTTTGGTGGACGTGCCGCTGACCAATGGGATCCACGGTTTTTTCGCCTGCCAGCGTTCCGGCATAGCTCTGATTGGCCTGCGCGTCACCGCTAATACCTTCTCATTTTTTCTGCCCACCTGCCTGCCCGCCCACCAATAAATCAGAAGCCTTCTTCGATCGTACAAGGGTGGTCGAGCGAGGGGCGGTGGCCGTGTGTAGAGCAAAGCAAAATAGAGTAGGAGGAGTACGTAGTCAGGTTGAGCGAGGAGCCAGCTCGCTAGTGTATGGAGTACGAGTACGTGTACGGTCGGTAGTTTTTGGTGCTGAGGAGAGACAGTCCACTGGTCCCGTGATCGTGGTAGTCAGCTGATCGCTTCGAGACGCTGTGACCACCATCTATAGTTAAAAGTAATTCCATCGTCGTAGTTGTTCTTCAATACAAAACAAGAACATTCCAAAACCTCAACAACAATCATGCCGGAAAGCAAAGACAGTGATCTGGTTGACGGGGGTGGTCTATGCCCACCGGGGACTAGCAGCGCGCGCAACGACGGCCTGAGTACTCAAAATTCTGATGACTGCGATTCTGGAGAAGGCTACCACCCTTCTTCTATTAACTCAAACCTCGATCGCAAAGATTCTAGAAGCTACCATCGCTCTTCTATCAACTCAGACAACGACAATAACTCGATTCTTCCTCAATACCCTCCTCCAGTCTACGAGATGTCACTAATACCTTTACTACCTCTATTCCGCCGAACCCCAGCCGCAACACCAGCAACTACAACAGTAGCAGCCGGTCCACCCGCAGCTGCAGTAGCCGCTAATCTACTTGCACCAACAATCGCCGATTTACACGAAATTGTAGTAGCTAATCTACCTACAAATCAACCAACTACTACACTTCAACCAGCTGCAAGTCAGCGAAATGCACATCAACAAGATGCACATCAAGCCGGTGTCACTATCTATGGCTCCAGGGGTTGCTGCAGTTCTAATATCAATATAGGGGCAACTACTTTCGCCGTTATTATCACTTGTATCGCTGGTGTTATGGGACCCGTGATTTACTTTCTAACTCGGAAATAATACTACGATATGATCTTTTCGAGGTATGAATATTTTTTTTTCTCGAAATAGTTATATTTTATATTAATAAATTATTTAGGTTATCTTCGTCTCTCGTCGCTAAACTCGATCTCGACCAACAAATGGTTTTCTTTATTGATGGGGGTTTAGGGTTTATCTATGGTGGCGCTTTGGAGGAGTTCTCGAATCACGGTCGACTGCTTTGAAGCATTGGAAGGAAAGTTTGTTTTTGCATGCGGCGACGGCGTTGGTACAATAAAGGGTGAACTCTCTCTGCATATGGGACCGGCGTTTCGAGCGAACATGGATTTTAAGCGAGCATAAGAAAATACAACGCGTGTCTTTGCAATCAATCTATCCCATGGAGTGATGTGATGTCGTCAAAAATCTGCCCCAAGTCCTTTCACCGCTAATACTTTCTCATTTTTTTCTGCCACCTACTTGCCTGCCCACCAATAAATCAGAAGCCTCCGATCGTAAACATCGCGACTCACAAATATTGGCGGTTGAAGTGAAGCTGGGATGGGATGCGGGGATTCTGCCACTTCGAGATGCAGGCTGCCGCAGCTGCAGCCCTACCCGAGACTCAGGGATATGCTCGAGATGAGATGAGATGCGATGAAATTATATCTTGCGTCAAATAATCTCAGAGGAAGTCTCGGCACAGATAGATGGTGTTCTAGGCCTGCGCCAGATCATTGTCTCGGGGCCCTAATCTCTCCATATGTTCAAATTGCCCGTCGTCCTGAGCCGCGATGGCGCAGGGATAGCGAGCGTGAGGCGCTCGTTAAACGCTTCAAGCCACGAGTGAAGCTTACTCGTTAAACGCTTCTTGGCTCAGGTTTGTTGCGCATCGCATGCGCCGTCAACCTCACGTCGTACAGACTAACACAAGCCACCCGCAAGCCACGAGTGAAGCTTACTCGTTAAACGCTTGAGGCTTAGTTCCCGTCGATCCCATGGAGTTGATGTCGTCGGGAGCAAGCCGCAGCTTGGGCAGCGGCACAGCATCTGGATCTGTTCCAAAAATCTGGCCCCAAGTTCCTTCACCGCTAAGGCCTTCTCGAAATCTTTCTGCCACCTGTCCGAATAGCTCTGATTGGGCGAGTTAAGTGGCGCGAAGCTTAAACCCACCTACTAATTAATAAATAAATCGGGGAGAGTTCGGGGTAATATGGAAAGCGGTGTACAAAAAGATTTCGTGCGCTCGCTTATAGTGCAAAAAAATATAGTATATTAAATATCTTTTGTAGTTTTAAATAACAATAAATAACAACGCAACGACGCAATAACCAACCACCATGTTGTCGTCGCAAGAGAAGCAAACAAATTCTCCATCACGAGCTACTAGAGCTAAAGCCGAAGCCGAAGCCGAAGATAACCCAAGCTTCGGTTCCGGAACCCGAATTCCTTGACCAACTCGAGCACCTTGAAGAATAACAACCAATTCGAGTACTACGCAAGTAAGATTAATTTGCGATCCGTCTACTACAATTATTAACTTCTAATTTTAGCTCGTTTCCCACCAAACAATTCTTCTACCGACCCCGCTTTCGATAACACCGAAGACGAAATGAACGCAAAGGAAATGATGAAGGCTTTCCAAGAAGAGCTAAAGCAAGGACGTGGAGAGCGAGGCCGATTGTTAAAGCAAGGACGTGAAGAGCGAGAGCGAGAGATGAAGGTTCTCCAAGAGGAGCTAAAGCGAGGACGTGAACAGCGAAAGGGATGGTTCTTCTTCATCGTTACGCTGGTCTTGCTTTTACTCTTCCTTCTGGGCTGGGGATATGTTGGATACCGTTATTAAACTTGTCAAGTACGCCTATTTACGTTCTTAATTTCGAAAAGCAGTATTAATAAGTTCTATCTAGGTTCGTGACTTCGTCCCTCGACACACGCTGCTGGTCCTTCGACGGTGGTATTAAAGATTATATCGGGTGGTAGAAGCAAGGTAAAACAAGACAAGGCAAAGCATAGTATAGCGTTTAGAATTCTGAGCATCGATGGAGCATAGATTTCTTTCAGGAGTATTGCATTGGTGGCTAGCTGGGTGAATGGATAGATAGATGCGGCATGTGCAGTCAGTCAGTCAATTCAGTCTCAATTCAATCAATCAATCACTCAACCCTTGACCCACCACCTGATCCAGGCGGATCCATTTCGTGATGCGCGCTCGGCTGGGTTGCCAGCGCGACGAATTTTATTAGGGAAACACTAAGAAAAACTGTCACTCCCACAACCACTCTGAATAGCATTTACTAATAATGTGTGACATCTCCTCCACGCTGAATGCACTCCTCTATTCTATCAGGCATAGTGAGAATTAAAGCATTGATCTCCTTGACTGTGATCTTATCCCACTCCTCAAATATGAACCTCCTCAGCTCAGCCTGATTCTTAGCCTTCCTCATTTTGACCCTCTGCTTGAGTATCCTTCAGACATTCTCTATGGGAGAGAGGTTTCCTGAGTTAGCTGGCTGCCTTAGCTTCAACTGCTTGATGTAATGCTCATTCTTAAAGTCATTGGGAGCATTGAGTACTGATCTAGTACCATAAGCACTCTCATTATCCTCTTCCAAAATCCACTCGCAAATAATCCCTTGACTCTTAGCTCTAGCTCTCTTCTTCTCAAAGAAGGGCCTGACCACAGGATCCAAGAAGTACTCAATATAATCATCTCCATCAATGTGGCGTGGCAAGATAGAGAGCTCTGACTTGAAATTCCAGCCCACCATGACTGCAATTGTGGTAGAAACCTTCCTAACATCGAACTTCTTTTGAACTTTATCCAAACGATTCCTATGCAATTTCCTAGTGACAGGATCCCTCCCTCTTCTCCTCCACACTTTTTGCCTCTTCCTTTGATTTACTGCAAAATGGCATGTATTAGAGTAGAGCACTTTTTTATATTGTGGAAGCTTCCAGCCCTTATCGTCTCTGTAGACCCGGCAAAATGTGTTCCGTTCCTTCATATTATTTGGTGTCAAGTACTTGGACTCTGCAGCCCAGTAATGGCCAATGCCTTCTCTCTTAAAGGCATTGATCAGAGTCTGAGGCACACACCCCAGCTGGTAGTGCTCCACCAGCTCTGCGGCTGTCATAGAGCCTCTGCTCCAATGTCCATCCATATCCTCCTCAATAGCTAGGACTTGTTCTCTAGAAATGGAGTATCGCTTGGTTCTGGTAGGGCGTGCTGTCCTCAGTGCATCCTCATCCCTCTCGCAGATATTAATGACAGACTGCCTAGGCACTCCTGTCAGGTCGGATATCTCTTGAGGCTTTTTGCATGGGTACTGGTATCTGAGGTCATTGATGCGCTGCCTTTTATCGGTAGGCCATTCGGTACGCTCTGTCTTGCGTGTTGGTTGAGGGGTGTGAGGAGGAGAAGGGCTGGGAGAAGCAGCTGGAGTCGATGTCAATGGGCATTCCATGATGCTTCAACGAATTATAGTGGATGTGGAAAGGTACATTGTTTATTATGATGGGTGGGTAGTAAACAAAGTCACTGCACAGACCATGTGAAAATAACCGAAGCGCGCGCTTATTACGAAATGGATCCGCCTCGGATTCGTGCCGTCATTTCATCTTCGGTTCCTTCCGGTCGATCGGTTCCTGTCGATCCCGTCGATCTCCTTGCATGCATAGCGTGATGTTGGTCGTCGGGCGCAGCCGCAACCGCAGCATCGGTGGATCTATTTCTATTCAAAAATCTGCAAAGTTCCTTCACCGCTAAGGCCTTCTCGAAATCTTTCCGTCAGCGTTCCGGCCTAGCTCTGATTGGGCCTGCGCGTCACCGCTGATACCTTCTCGTTTTTTCTGCCATCCACTTGCCTGCCTACCAATGAATCAGAAGCCTTCTTCGTCGTGGTAGTCAGCTGATCGCTTCGAGACGCATTGACCACCATCTGTAGTTAAAAGTAATTCCACGTTCGTAGCTTTGTTTTTTAATACAAAACAATAACATTCAAGCACTTTGGTGTCTTATCGAAACCTCAGCAATCATGCCGAAAAGCATAAACAGTGATCTAGTTGACGGGGGCAGCGCGCGCAACGACGGCCTGAGTACTCAAAATTTTGATGACTGTGATTCTGGAGAAGGCTACCACTCTTCTTCTATCAGCGCGCGCAACGAATATACTCAAAATTCTAATAACTACGATTCTAAAGAAGGCTACCACTCTTCTTCTATAAATTCAGACCTCGATCGCGGTTCTAGAGGCCACCACCGCTCTTCTTCTATCAACTCAAACTTCGATCGCGATTCTGGAGAAAGCCACCACCCCTCTTCTATCAACTCAAACCTCGATCGCAAAGATTCTAAAGGCTACTATCGCTCTTCTTTTATCAAGTCAGACCTCGATTGCGATTCTAGAGGCCACCACCGCTCTTCTTCTATCAACTCAAACAACAACAACAATTCGATTCTTCTAGAATACCCTCCTCCAATCTACAGTATGTCACCAATACCTTTACTACCTCTATTTCAAATCCCAGCCGCAACACCAGCAGCTGCAGCAGTAGCTAGTCCACCCGCAGTTGTAGCAGCTGCCGATCCACCCGCAGCAGTAGTAGCCGATTTATCCGAAGTTGTAGTGGCTAATCCACCTGCAAATCAACCAACTACTCTTCAACCAGCCGCAAGTCAACGAAATGCACGTCAACAAGATGCACATCAAGCCGGTGTCACTATCCATGGATCTAGGGGTTGCTGCAGTCCTAGTATCAATATGGACTCAACTAGTTGTAGCATCATTTGCGGCTGTATCGCAGGTGGTTTGATTACCGCGGGTTACGTTCTCGCTGTATATTTCAAAGGATTATTCAAGGTTTAAAGGTTTGTCTATAGGCGTTTTGGAAAAATTCTCGAGGAGTCACGACCGCTTTGAAACATTGGGAAGGAAGGTTTGTTTTTGCATACAGCAATGGCGTCGGTACTATAAAGGGTGAACTCTCTCTCTCTGCATATGGGACCGGCGTTTCGAGCGAACATGGATTTTAACGAGTATAAGAAAATACATCGCGTGTCTTTGCAATCTATCCCATGGAGTGATGTCATCGGGAGCAGCCGCAGCTTGGGCAGCGGCATAGCATCTGTGGGGGAAATGTGGATCTGTTCCAAAAATCTGCCCAAGTTCCTTCACCGCTAAGAAATCTTCTGCCACCTGTCCGAATAGCTCTGATTGGGCGAGTAAGTAAGTGGCGCGAAGCTTCGCGCCACCCACCAATTACTTTCATACTCTGGGTAATAGTTCTGCCAAGCTTTCTGGCGTAGGTTTTGCGGGTGGGCGAGCGATGAGCATGCATAGTTCACTGAGAATCTCATTGGGGAGGCGTTTTGCCAGTTTTGCGGCTCCGTTACCGTCTCTCACTAAATGCATAAGCGTGGATACGGGAGCGAGAAACCGCAGCATATACTATACTCTGCCATCCAATCCATGAGCTTAATGCGAAGAGGACATCCCTCCTCAGTGTCTTCCCAGGCCTCTTTTATAATCTGTACGCCGGGGATGCTAGCCATCTGATAATGACGCACGGCCATGCAATCAAGTAGGTTAGTTTGGAGATGAGCCATCTTTAACGTCTTCGCGAGCTTCCACGCGCGAAATAGAACAGAAAAGTCAGGTATGCTATCTCCACTCTTCATCCTATACACTTGGCCAGTGTAAATGAAGCTTTGAAGGCAGCCAAATGCCTCAATATCGGTATCTGGAAGCTTGCAGACGAGTTCAAGTCCATTCTGGTCCAATGTGGCCAACTCTCCGCCGTAAAATGGTGATCGAGCACAAAGAACGTCTTTGTGGATGCCGAAAGGTACTTCATCGGCACCAACCAAAACGATGACGAACCTTGAATGGGGCTTCCTGCGTAGGTGTTAGACCGTAAGCTTCAAGCGTGAGAGGACCTACTGCCAAAAGGTCGAGCTTAAAGAGGGGTATGCCTGGGTGGTAAGACCACTGTCCATGCGGATGCACGTATCATCCTGTTTTTCTTCACAATGAAGGTCGGTTCTGTCCATGATGTGGTAGTTTCGGAAGGTTTTTCTGACTTCGAATTGTGGAGGTGAATTTGTGGAAGAAAGCGAGAGATTTGGGAGCAACAGAAGCTGGGTGTGAATCTTCAAAAGAAAAGCCTGTCACTTTCTGTGACTGAGTTCTTTACAGAAACTCGTGAAAGAGCCGGACGTTGACTCACGAGTCCTGTGTGATGGAAGTAGGGATCTTGGCATAAACAACCTTTTCACAGCCTATCATTTCGTAAAGACGGTAATTTCAAAGCTTCATTGTCGACCAGTACTTTTACCGCAAAAGGGCCTTTTCAGTGCGTATTGCCAGGAGAAAGTCTGTCGACGCCCTATATTTGGACCTCATTCTCCGACCTCAAGTCCGCCTCAAGCTACCCCTATCTCCAGACACTCGGCCCATCCTCCAACGTCGACCGTCGACAGATTGGAGAGTTCAGTCACGTTATCTCCCACCCTCTGGGTTGCTCTCGTCACTTCACCGTGTCTGACTCCATCGGCGAGCAGATTCTAACTAGACCACTGCGGATAGTTTCCCGAAGGCTCGTCCCCGAGGACAAAACACCAAATTCGAGACTCGGTCCCAGATTCCCGAATCTGACTTGTAAATTGGACGAACGCTTGATCGCTCCCGAGACTATTAGCACACTCTTATTCCACCATGGAAATCAAGGAAATCGTCAATTCCAAGGGTCCAAAAGATGCTGCTGCTGCTGCCATAGCAAACGGAACCGCACAAGATCTTCACCTTCTTTATTCCATTTCGCAAGCCAACAGTAGTCCTATGTCAGACACCGGCTCAGAGCGAGGAAATTCTTCTCATGACTCCGAGCACTCTCCGTATTCTGGTCCCAGATTCGGGCAACTGAACGGGATGAATGGTGGGCCTAATGCCATGCGCTACCCTTCACCGCAACAAGAGAATAATCGGAGTGGACGACAATCCGCAGAAGGCAAGGCCTTTCCGTGTAGCACTTGTGGCAAGGGATTTGCTCGAAGGTGTGATCTGGTACGACACCGTAAGGTGTTCTTTCAGCCTGGCGCCTTTTTTCAGTTTACTAATTTGCAACTAGAACGAATCCACAGCGGTATTCGACCTCATGTTTGCGAGCACCCTGGTTGCGGCAAACAATTCATTCAGCGCTCTGCCTTGACTATACACATGAGAGTACATACTGGCGAAAAGCCACACGTGTGCGAGAGATGTAGAAAGGTTAGTTCAGACCCCTTTACTTTGTGTTCCCAAGCTAATACCTCTGTAGCCTTTCAGCGACTTAAGCTCTCTAATAAGACATCGTAGGATACATTCGGGTGAAAAACCGTACAAGTGTCCCTATGCCGATTGCCAAAAGACTTTCACTCGTCGTACTGCCCTTACGCGTCATCAAAATTACCATACCGGTACCGTCGAAGAGGCAGCAGCAGCAGCAACAGCAACAGCAACAGCAACAGCAACAGCAGGAGCGCTGGCCACTCGTTCAGGAAGCAATCGAGGTGGGCGACAACGCTCAGATAGGGAACCATCTCCCAGTCAAGGAAACCTCTCGACCTCTCCAAATTCGGAACTTGCCCCCATGAACGGAATACCTCGTCACCCAGGAGAATATCAGGACATGAACAGCAGCCCTTTACCGGGCTACCTCCGAGGTGAATATCATGTCCCACCAACAGTCCCAGCTACGGCGTCATTTTCCAACAGCAGGCTGCCAACATCCCATCCGACCGGGTATGGTTCTCCGTCAATTCTCGAACCTCCTGCAAATATGGAACAACGCCAACCTGGGAGCGCAAGCGGTAGTCCTTACATGAGTAGCGTGGGCTGGCAGTCCCCTTCACAAAACATGCCCTCACCATCGCAAAGCAATGGCTACGTCTACCCTGATCCGGACCTCTATGGTTCTGGTGCGGCCATGAACCAGCACATGTACTATTAAACTCTCGGAAAGCAAGGAAGAGATTGAAAGGAGGAGGCGGATCTTCAGGCGGATGTTTGCTCAAGGCCATGTGTATGAAAAGTCAATAACCTCGGAACACATATAGTCTTTAGTCTTAATTGCTCGAGGAATAGTCATCATTTAGTACCATTTGGCCCTGCAAGCCCATAAACCACGGGGACTATAGTGCAATGCATCCAATCCAGCTTCCTCTAGAACTCCAAGAAAGAGAGATCCTCCCGATAAGGCATCTTTCCCAGCCTAGCCCTTGAAATTTTTCCTCATCCAATACATGACACCTCTTTCCAATTCTCTTCTTTGACGCCGCCCCGGCTACCGGTGAAGTGGTCTTAAGGCGTCCCTCATGACGTGTTAGCATGCAAGATACTTATTCTTTGTTAATTTAATTCACTTACTTAGCCTTACCATTCTCCAAACCGTTCTCCGCAGCTAGTGAATCTATAAATTCACCTCTTTTGGTCCTTTGCTCTCCGTTTTCCACTCTCTATTTTCCATTCACCTCCCTTAGCCCCCGTCCTTCGTCCTTCGTATTCCGCCCTCCGTCCTCCGTCCCCTCTATATAAACCCCCCTCCGGCCTCTTTATAATCCGCACAAAGACATTCTTAAAACAAGACGAACATAGGAACGGATGGTGGTAATGTTTGGAGTGTTATTTTGGCCGTGGCTTTGGTTGTGTAAAACTAGTGTAGTTTGTTATACTACGTTTTTTTTATAACATTATTTGTTACAAAAAGCTATAGAGTATTGTTATTATTAATTAAATTATTATTATTAAATTTTAGTATTTTTTTTTTTTAGAAAATAATATTAAAAAAGGAAATTATGATAAGCGAGCTTAGTAAGTCTTCTCTAGTCTTCTTATTCTGGCTCTGGAGGACATGGGCTAACATGCTTGAAGACAGAAACAGCAAGAACGAAGAAGAGATAGAGAGAAATACATGCAAAGTAGCAATGTGAACCATCACAACCTGGAATGAATGCGAGGTCAGAATGATTGCGACAATTGAATCGATATACAGGAACCTGGAAAATGACACCATAGAAGTCTGTTTGCAAGTCAATCAAGCCAAAACCAGGTGAGCCACCAAGTCCTGGCAGGGGAGGCATGCCAAACCAATGTCTGGGCAGCAATCTGTGGAGGAGCTTTTGCGGGAGTTTTGAGGAAGAGCGGTAACTGAGGAGACAAGCGCAGAGAGAGAGAGGAACGAAGCACAAGAAGCAAAGGAGGCAGAGCGAGAAGCAAGGGAGGCAGCGGAGAAGGCGATAGAGCAGACCGCGCTGAAGGAGTATCTAAGCTATTATCATATCCATCTTTTCAAACCCCTCGACGTGCAGTCCGACAAAACCAAGTCTACCGGGGCAGCACCACTGCTGTTGGGGGCAAATACTACCCTTTCCGCATTCTTCCCTGGAAGGACTTCATTCAAAATCAGCGCGACAATTTCGAAATTGTCTTTTAGGCGACGAACGGCTTTTCGACCCGGAGGTGAGTATCAAGACAACGCAGAAACGTGCCTGCGGTAGCCCCGTGGGCAGTGAGGAGGACATCAAGCCCTTTGAGCTTCTTGCGATAGAGGGACCCGTCAAGGACATCCTTTCCGCCCTATTCGTCAAGGCCACAGACCCAAAGGTCCTACCTTTCAATGTTGGTCGTGTGTCCTTCACGAATCACTCCCTTACTATAAGCCCGGAAGAGATTGGGAGTGGGGAGATGCACTGCCATTGTTAGCCAGGGGGCTCGGGGAAATCCCCGATACGGTAAAAATGCGCAATCCAACGTTAAAGACTCGAAAATCCTATCAGCTGAGCCAGGATATGTTGAGCAAGACAACCGAGTAAAGATTCGAGGCTTCCAAATTTTCTGTGCAGCGTCACGTGAGTTGCGTGAGAACTTTGGCAGAATCGTTATCGTCGAGGCACATGATATGTTCACCAACGCATGCTTGGAATAACTGCGAAGAAAGTAGCTATTTGGTCGCCTGCAGAACGAAACAAAGATGCCACGAACCACTCATTCAGCGAAGTCCGTCAAAACGGCCGCCACTACGGCTCCTTCAGCGAAGAGGACTAAGAAGCCTGGATCGAAAGCGCCAGCCAAGACTGTGGTTGGAAAGCACCCTACTACAGCTTTCTGTTAGTCCCCTCTCATATAGTGTTGATTGAAGGCCAGCAAAATTGCTAATGCAACATAACCTCTTCAGCTTCGAAGCCTGCACCGAGCAAAAAACGCACGAGCGCCCATGAGCCCACCCCAGCTGTTGCGAAAAGGCTAAAACCCGATTCGGCAATCAATTCTGCTCTATCAAAAACGTTGGACGTCTTTGTATTCGGTAGCGGCGAATCTGGTGAACTTGGGTTGGGCCCAAAGGCGACTGATGGAAAGCAACCTACCGATGTTCAGCGTCCCCGCATCAATAGGCTTCTTGATGCCAAAACGGTCGGCGTCGTTCAGATTGCAGTAGGAGGTATGCACTGCGTATCTCTAACTCAAGATCAGAAAATTTTGACGTGGGGTGTGAATGATAATGGCGCGCTTGGCCGAGATACAGATTTGGACTCGGAAGATGAGGATGAGGATAGTGACTTGAGCCCTAAGGAAAGCACACCTACCGCTATTCCGACAGAGTTCTTTGGCAAGGGTGTGGAAGCCTTCGTTCAAGTTGCTGCAACTGATAGCGCTAGTTTTGCGCTTACACATGATGGTTCTGTTTATGGTTGGGGAACATTCAGTGTAAGTTCTTCTATTAATCTTATAGTTATAACTCTCTGTTAATAATATTAGGGAGATGATGGTATCATGGGCCTTTTTACAGCAGACGCCATCGAAGCTGTAAAAAGGAAGGATGACAAAAAGAAGTCCCAGCGAAAACCTGCTCGTATTCCTCAGTTAACGAAGATCAAATCTCTTGCTATAGGAACCAATCATATCCTAGCTCTTGATATTGAAGGCAAAGTGTACGCTTGGGGCGCTGGCGGACAAAGCCAGCTTGGTCGTCGCATAGTACATCGAACTCGGTTTCAGGCCCTTACTCCTTGTCGATTTGGCCTACCACAAATCACCTACATTGCCATTGGCGCATATCATAGCTTTGCTATTGACGTCAAGGGTCAAGTATACGCTTGGGGGTTGAACAATTTTGGACAGACAGGAATCATGATTGGAGCTGGGGAGGACGATGCTTTTATTGAGAAGCCAACTGTTATCGAGAATCTTAGGCCTTATAAGATCAGAGAGATCAAGGGTGGGAGTCATCATTCAATTGCTTGTACCGAAGATGGCAAGCTCTTAATTTGGGGCCGTTGCGACGACGGTCAGGCAGGTATCAAGTTGGAAGACTTGCGACCAGAAGATCTTATCTTCGACAGCCGTGGCAATCTACGAATTCTACTGAAACCTACCATCATCCCAGAAATCCAAGCAGTTTTCGTCGCCGCTGCTATCGACAATTCTATCGCCATCGCTACGGATGGCAAAGCATATTCTTGGGGCTACTCAGACAATTACCGGACTGGTCTTGGGACAGAGGAGTCTGTGAAGACTCCTACACTTCTACAGAAGGGCGATGTGAAGGGCAAGAGGCTTACCTTTGCAGGGTGTGGGGGACAGTTTTCTGTACTTGCTGGACCGGCCGAGAAATAACGTCGTGTGATTGCTACTCAACCGTTCCTCCCCCCTTTCTCAAGTATAATTAGAGAGTCGAGTACCACCATTTACATCGACCTTGAGCGACTTACATATAGTGGAATTAGTGAGCTACTGCGCAGACACTCTTCAGAGATCATCGCCTCTGTAATAGCCATCATAGTTTCTTTCAGAAATGTTCCTTGCAAACTCTTGGGGGACCGGTATTCTATCCAAAGCTATTAGTTCGCTCCAGTATATGGGAAGTCAGGAACCTTGCCCTTGTCTCAGCGCTTTCATCTCTCTCTGATATCGTTGCTCTTCACGAAGGTAGCTCTTTGCAGTCCTAAGACTCCTCCGAGCCCTATCACGCACGCTTCTCGCTTGTTGTTCTTCGAATTCGCAAGTCCGAGTGTCCTCGCGTTTTCGCCTATATAAGAATGGGCTTCAATTTAGACAGGGAGATTTGGGAAGATTTGAAGGAATGAAGCTTACGATGAGCCTCTCTGGCGAGGGAATTTCTTACACGCAGCTCCCTTTCAAGAATGTCCTTGCGCCGGAGAGTCTCATCATGGCGCCTCCTACGCTCCTCTTCGGCTCGGTTCAACGCACCTTGAGCCTTAGCTTTGGTTCGGCGGGAAGTGCCTCGTCTACGCCGGTACATTGCCGTTCCCGATGTCGCGTACTCCCAATTCCAATGTGTTGTGATTTGATACTGGCTCATTTAAGCATAGAATGGTGCTGATGTCATTTAAATTCTCTCGTACTGTTTTGGCATGTAGTATTATCCTTGTGCATGATTTTGCCCGAGCTTCACACTACTGGTTAAGCCAAGATAAGCTGATCACTTGACTACGGGGTTCTCTCAAATGTAAATAATAACCACCTCCCACCCAAATAAATGCTTGAAACACACGGAAGTCTACAAACTGGAGCCGCATTCCCAGCCTCCCCGAATAAATTTTTTTTTGGCTAAGCCCTCGCAATCGCGCACCACCCAAGAAGATGTTATTAGCAGTCAAGGGCGTGAAGCCTCAAGGGATATCAAATGAGAGGCCAAAGTGAAGCCAAAAACGCTCGAACCAGGGGTGTCAGAATTGGAGCCGATCAGAAACAAGTAGGGGTAGGCTACGGGGTCAGCCTTGCTGTGAGGTAGGACGAGGCTGAGGCTCGGGTACGCTAGCCTTGACGAGACACATTACGATTGCACAAGAGCGCAAAGAAAGGTGATGATAAGGCCAGCTGGAGCGACGAAGGAAGCTTCAAGCTCTGAGGCTGTAGTTTAAGGCTGATGATGATTGCAAGCGTGCGGCCGCCCGCCCGCCCGCTTCTCGGCTGAAACCAGAGAGACAGCACAGCGTCCAGGTCCAACGCCCAACCACCATCAACACCGCAGCCCGCTTACAGCACACGTTGCAACATCGGGGCATGCAAAGAGGCCCAACTATGGCCAGCATACAAGGAAAGAGAACTTAATAAGCATAAATGATGCCCAAGGCTGTCAGTCAAAAAGCACCCTCTGGTACGTAAAAGCTGGTCTGAGTCATAAAAGCGTGTACTGTAAATATGATTGGAATTAACAAGGGTTCCGTGAATGCGGCGGTTCGCCTGGCTATCAGGCTATAGATTGGGGCCGAATAGAGTATGTTTGAGACGCTAATTCCTGGGTTTAGGGATCACTTTACAATTTTTGATAGATCTAACGAAAGGGCTGCTTAAAAATTTCGACCGCCCTACTTAAAGTATATAAATAAGAGAGACAAGAAAGAGTCAAATCAAATATCATAGTTTAAGTAGACCAATCTACGTTGCACTTTACTCTTTAACTCCTAAAATTTTACTCTTAAAAATTTTTTTCCCTCCAATTTTCAAAGCAAAGTCATGCTACCAACTTGCTAATATAGCGATTAGACTAATTATATTTATTTTTATCAAATATACGGCTATACTCTTTATAAACTTTTTTAGAATTATATAAAAAAGTCTTTACACATGATTTTTTACTACTAACGATGTATATAAATAAGTGCTTACACTTAGATTGCCTAAACGTAAAAAAACAAACTAATACTAATTACGGGTATCGTGAGTACTTTTTAAATCGAAAAATTAAACCATAGTTCGAAATAGTTAAACTTTAAAGCGTGCTAACTAATTCCAAAGATCCGTGTATTGCCGGCGAAAAATGTCCGAACTTCGCAGAAAAAAATAAAAAACTCTACAAAACTCGTAAGTCGCTATTAAACTCTATTATTTTATCCGATTTTTAAAAACGCTAATAAGAACTCGACTATATAGACACATGTAAAAATAAGAAATATATAGTGGAAAAGAGTTCTTATAATACATATTGTAATAAGTGTAAGTGAAATCTAATCTTCACCTTAGGTGACCGCTAACCAAACTCGCAATACATAGATCAATGTCCCGATTCATCGGGGTGTACTAAAAAGAAAGGCTTTCACGATGGAGCCTGCTCTAGCCGTGAGTGATTATAGATTTTCTTTCTCCGAAGAGCGCGAACATTGATGGAGATGTACAGACTAGTGCACACATAATGGTTGCACGAAATGGGCTGAATTCGAAACTCAGTACCGTTGCTCGAAGCGTGAGTAACTTTTTACTTGGATATATATAGCTGCAATTCAAATTGCCGGTGTACGATTTCCTGCTTGTTCTTCCTTTTTGGCTGCAAGTATACTAATAGATGGCATAACAGTTGGCATTAAAACATAGACAAAACAAAGCCCAACGTCAACGTATTATTGTTTTCACCTGCAGCCCGATTCACGAAGACGAGAAGAAACTCATCAAGCTTGCACGGAAGATGAAGAAGGAAGAGGAGGCAAGCGGGTCAAAGGATTTTGACACCCAGTGATGTATCACGTTCTCAATTTGAGGTGCTGGTGGTGGTTACTGGAGCTGGAGCTAAACACTGTACGGGGTGGAGCGCTGACTCTTTGCATACTGGCTGTTGCCTCGTCGGGATGTATGAAATACAAAGAATTAAGAATCATTGATTTCAATGCCACATAACACCACGAGAAATTTTACTTTGTTAAAGCCTATGATAATTAGTAGATGCTAGGTCGCAGCCAGATTGGGGAGTTGGACGAGAGGTTGTGAGATAGGCAGAGGGGCCTGTTGATTTACAAATGGAGCCAACGAGTATTTTATGAGGCCGACGAAAAGCAAAACTACCAAGCAACAAAAGCCCTATTGGGCATCTAATTATTCATTCCTTCCTTGCCTTCCCACGTGTAGCATATTTGGAAGGCAAGTGAAATGCAAGAAAGCATTTATTTCTACGAGAAACGAGATCCTTAAAGAATCAAGGTTAGATGTTCTATTAGCATGTTGAGATAGCCCAGCATTCATCAATGTATATGGATGGCATTTCAGGATTTATCGAAATTTAGTGAGCGAGGAGATCTCGAACATCTGAAACTTCAGATGGTCTCGTTGTATTAGTCGTGCAAACCCCCTTGCTCATCACTCACTGAGTCATGCGTGCAGCTTCCAAACACCTCTCACCAGAATCGACATTGCCATGCCATAATGTGCTGCTCGAGAAGAGATGAATTGATCCAGCATCCAGCATCCAGCAGAACACTTAAATGTCTTCCTTCATTAGTAGATGTGCATCATCGGAGCCCTGATCTGCTGTCCACAGTCCAAGAGAAATGGTACAGATAAGGTCATATCTCTCGCTGGACGGGGAAACGATGTAAACAATCTCTTATCATTCATATCTACAGTACTAAGCCGTATCCAACAGCTGAGTTGAGTCCTTGCTACCTCGGACTCTCAGAAAATCATTGCCTACACTATCGCTATGCTGAACCCTCCTTCCTAACGCCTGTTACCAAATTCACCAGTCCAGATCATGCATATTTACAATGAGACCAGACAACTTTTTTATCACCGGCTCCACAACAGACCTTTCGGTCGCTAATCGAGCTTTTTGTCTTGTCCTTGTATAGAAGACAGGGCAATCCTTGCTATCGCATCGCACATCTTCCAAGGGCGATACCCCAGAACAGCTCTGACAGACCTTGCGCAGGTCCAAGAACATTCTTTCTGCATCATTAAGCTTCTTCCGTAAAGTGAAGACAGACAATGGTTTGTCTGCTAAGCAGCCAGCGCAGATCGGACCCTCAAGCTTAAGTTTTTCCTTGCATACCAAGCATGAGGATGACTTCATATACGACTCTAAAGTCTTCTTTCTGATGGTCAGTTCCTTGGATTGTCCTTGAAGCTGGAGGTTCGCATCAACCCGACGAATACGTTGCACTTTTGGCATTTCATCGTACCAACTTCGAACATTTGCACCAACGAGGTTAAAGATCCGCTCTAGTGGAGGTATGAGGTTCTTCGAGATGTAGTATTCTGCGTCGAGCTCACTGTGATCGTTCTCGAGCAGCTCCTCAGGCGCTACACATCGATCTATAAGACGGGCCCCTGGCGCACCTGTGATAACAACGTAGGGAACACGCTCGCCATACTGTGGCTCTGCTCGAGCATCTTCGAGCATGCGCTTGGTGCTAATGAGGGCTCCAGGCGGAGGTGGTCCCTTGTCACTATAAGTTCCCAGCTTCACTTCTCGTGCAAAGCAAAAGTCCTGGACGGAGACAGATCCCTTCATGATTTTCTCGCATTGTTGCTGGAAATACTCTTTGACTTGGCTTAGGTCAGATGTCCTAAACAAAATCTTGAGCGTTTTCTCCTCAATCTTCTGTTCAGCAGGCGTGCCATCACGGCGGACGGTCTCGATTCCTTTCGCATCGAAATCCGGCTCGGTCTGGTGCCGACTCTCATATTTGAAGCCCACGTAACGTTTCTTTGCCAGAAGAACACATGGCAAGTATACCTTTTCGAATTTGAGCTTCACCGGGCGCGGATTCATATTTGTGACGGTTTTTGCAATCTCCTCGCCAATGTCAAAGGCTTGGTCTTTGGTCCGACCTTTGAGATACACAAAAAGACTGTCCGTGTCACCATAGACCACCTCCGCTCCCCATCGTTTGACAGAGTGTATTAGCGCAATGGCTTTCTCGAGGGTCTCGCGGCCAGTCTGAACAATGCTATCAGCAATTTCAGAGCACGGCATCCGTCCAGAGAAAGACGCAGATGTGTAGCCGTAAGTGACATTAGCGATGAGTTTAAGTGCCAATTGTCGGTTGTTAAGTAGACGCTGAAGTGCCTTGTCATCTTTGTCGACCTTCATACCACTCTTGACCATGACTCGTGTCTCGAGAATTTCTCCCAACATCTTTGCTAGGAGCGACTTTCTGATCTCTGGTTTCGTGTACATTATGCCGTTGGGAGCGATATTGATGTGATCCTTTAGGAGCTCAAGCAGCCGTTGTTGTCTTTTGAATTCCGTGAAGCCCATCTTGTTTGTTCCTCGCCAATTGACGACTCGACCTAAGAAGGTCGAATAGCAATAATTGTAGGCAATCATTACACTAGGGTACAGACTTTGAAAGTCGAGTACTAGTAAAGGGCTGTTATAAAAAGCGCTTTGGGGCTCCATAACTAGTGGTAGACATTCCAGAGCATTCTGACCCCCAACTTGCTTTCTGCTCGGTGACACAAGGAGGAAGTTTTCCGGTTTCGCAATTCTAAACATCAAAGATTCGACCTTAAATTGAGATCCACGAGAGAAGACCGAAAAGAAGTCGACGCCGAGTAGTCGAGCCTGCTCGCTGGTCCTTGCAATGAGTTCATTCTGTTCAAGTATGTCGAGATCGAGTTGGACTCTTGAAATGTAGTAGTTGACCACTTTCGCCAGGTCGCGTGGCTTGTCATTCGTATACCAGCGTGTCAAATCTGCCCATGTAAAGTGAGGGACACGGCGATGTAGCAGGTGAAAAACAACGTTCTCCATGGTGTACTGAAGTAAGTTCAACTCGCTCCGCATAGCTCTCCATATGTTAATCATATGTCTGCCTGTCACACGAATGGTTGATGTATTGTTAAAACCCCATTTGTCGTTATCCTTCCCGAATCTCCCATGGGACTGAGCCTTCATCCTTGAGAACTCATCACATAGATTGTACTCGTATTTGAGCCTGGCACGCTCAATGAGATATCCCCAGGAGCCCCCATGCACTTCGTATCCTGTCAGGATGTCAGGATCATGATTCCTCACAATCTCCACCATTCGAATGATGAGATCTAGTTCTGAAGCCTCTTCCTGGACTTCTACAGCTACCTGCTTTGCAATCTTTTGTGACAAAGCACCGTCCTCGGACAGCACGACAACGCCAACATGGGTGTTTCCACTAGTACCGTTGTTTTCGAGGCCTTCCTCGTCTGATTGTAAGCACCAGAAAAGGCATTGAACTTCATCTTCTTCAGGATTAGGCACAAAGTTACCCCTGGTGTTAACATGAATTTCCAGACTCATAGTGCTCATGTATTGTGCCTCATGCTTGATACTTGTTGTTTTTTGGTTCTGGGTGTACTTGAAACCATGTTTGTTTTTCTGAGTTGTGCCATCAATCTGCGAAAGTTTTGATTTCGAGAGAGGGTGTGTACCAGCATGCGGCTGGATGGTACGTTTTGTCGCTGCTTGCAGCTCCTTCACCACCTGTTTGCGAGACCAATTCGCTACCTCTGAGAAGGACGGGGGTATTTCTGCAATAATCCAGCTACGGATAGTGCAATTGCGCCTTTGCCATTGATAAAGCCTCTCCTCTCGTGCTTTGTCCGGAACTATTCCAGATCTATCGCCATAGGTTGCTTCTGAAGTCCCAGTGGGGTCAAATCCAGGTAAGAACGGAACTGTCAGGCTCTCGATTCTGAATTCTCGTCCAGCCCATTCCCTTGGGCGCTCTGGGACATCGACCTCGCTGTTGTAGAAGGCATCTTGATATATGATTGGCACCATATTATAATCCTGCATTGTCGACGTGACATAATGTACCGACGGAGGGAGCTCGTTCAGCAAGAGCGTCAGCCCGTGACCTTGTTTTGTGAACTCGTGGTCCATATTGCGAAGTGCTGTTGAACAAGCGATGGACTGTACGTTGGAAGTTGGTGTGGTGGGCGAGCTATTTCGACTTGCATGGTACGCATCTGATACAGAAGGGTCGAATGTGGCTTGCCTCTTCATTTCGCTCTGGCCAGGCTGTGAGGTGCTCTTCTGGCTTAATCTTAATGCTATGGCTGGTTCATGCGAGTCTGTAGTTACAGGAAATAGTAGAGGTTGTGAAATTGATGTTAGTGATTCCTGGGAAGACTTCCTAGCCGTCGAGACAGACTTAGTGTGCAGACCATTCACAGTTGGCAGTTGAAGCTTTGTTAACTTGGTATGGCAACCCATATTTCCAGAATCAGAACTTGGCCGGCGTATTTTAGGCTCGTCCAAGGTATGCATGAATGAAAAAGTTTCGTCGGACGTCTCAAGCGAAGCATCTACAGCACCAACGGTGCTGTTATCTTCACCATGAGAAGACAGTTTCCGGCGCTTCATTTCGGATTCTAGGACATCTTCGGGAACTCCTGAGCGCTTCTTGACGACGATGGACGACGTACCGGACTTTACTGAGCCTGGGTCATTTGTCCCAACGATCGAAATGATACTGTCTTGGGATACATGTAGCGAGTTTGTAGAACTTTGCGACGCTTCATGGGAGCTTTCTGTATTGCTGATGCCTGCAGTATCTTTGGGATCGAGGAACTGATCGCTATAGTCCTGACCGCCAGGACGAAGCTCGTCATCGATATCGCGCTCTGGTTTCTGGACGTCCAGTGAATCCAGATACTTCTCTTCCACTTTGTCTCCGCTTCGTCTTTGAGAGAGCTCGATCTCACGCATTGCATCTTCGTCAAAATCATACTGAGCTTCATCGTCGCCAGGTATAACAAGACTCAGTATCCTATTCTCATCCACTTCTGTCCCATTCCCAATGTCAATGTTATCATTCACGCCTCCAGGCGTAGCAGTAAGGGCCAGACAAAGATTTTCAGGATAGAGGTCTTCGACTGCTTCTAGGCTGGATCGGACAGATGATTCAAAAGTTGTCTGTTTAACGAAATTGTTGAATGATAACTTGGCGCCATCACTTCTATTTTTTTCGTCCACAATAAGCGATCGCATCTTCTCCCGAAAGTCTTCCTCGTGGATCCACCCTCCTGGTTGAGAATTCCTAGGGTCGGCTGACATTGAAACCATAACTTCTGGAGGAAAAGGACTGCTGCCAGGTTCTGGATTTGTCATTTTTGATTTCCGTCGACGCGTCTCATCTCTCCAGAGACCAGCCATACTATGAACAAGTTTCTCATCAGGCGCCAGAGGGTTCAAACGCTCCACAAAATCATGATGGAGGGGCCTGGGCTTGATATCTTGTCTGTTTAGAATATCTTGAACGCAGATATCCACTTCAATGGTACAATGGCTAACCCTTGGTAAGGTGGCTTCCTCTGTTACTAGATCACTAGGAATTGATCGATCATGCCATAGATGAAAAAGATTATCCATCTCGTCAAACTGTGGCACAGGACTTCGAAAAGTGACCGTCCTCGAATCGAGGAAGCCACAACCGTAAAGATTGTAGTCCGCCATCCATTGGAGCAAGTATTGAAGATGGGCCTCGTATGGCTGAAAGACCTTCTTCATTACAGCACCCTGACGAAGAATATCCGACAGACGTGTCATGACCATGGGATTGAGCATGTATATCTTGAGGTAATACCGGTACCCAACATGAAATCCATAAAATGGAATACCCTTCACAAGAGTAATACGAGCAACGAATTTGGCATTCCCGTCAAAAGTGTTTCGCCGATAGCTTACCGCCAGAGCAAAATCAATTGAGAGATGAAGGCGGTGGATATAATCACCAACTAGAGCTTGATCAGTATTCGGAAGACTTGTTCATTGGTTGCTGTATTACCATCATCTGGAATGAGACTCCCAGTATACTCTATGTAAAGATATGGAAACGCGCCGTGAATATGCGCGCATACTTTCTGGCCAGTTTCAGTTGCGCCAAAGACTCTAATGACAGGGACCTTCGGCTCCTTATGTACTTGTGAGGGCTTGACATTGTTGCGAAGGAGAGGATCAAATCGCGTGGGTACAGACTGATAATGATCGATATTATTCAGTCTGACACGGAAGAGATCCATGCTGAGGCGGAGAGTCAGTTCTGGACCGCGGAATCGTTCATCGAGGGCAGTAACCATGATACAGGAGCATTGTATAGGCACGATTGTGTTGATGTCTTTATTATGACGGGACATTCATTTCGCGATATCATGTGATCGTGCGTAAGGCTGAAATTCACCACGTAGCCGACGCTGTTCTACCAAGACCGCGACCGCGATTATACAGCCATCTGTTTGTATTGCATCTCTCAAGAATGCCTCCACCAGGTGTCCAGCCCATAAAACCCAACGCGCCATCGGCGGCGAGCAAGGAAGCTAACGAGTACATACCCTCCTTCATCTCAAAGAAGCCTTTCTACATCGGCGAGGATGACGACCACAACGACTACCTCGAACACCAGCGTCTCCAGAAAGCGGCCCAGTCAGACCAGTCGAAATGGTACGATCGAGGCAAGAAAGTTGGTCCAGCTGCGACGAAGTTTCGTAAAGGCGCATGCGAAAACTGTGGTGCTATGACCCATAAGACGAAAGAATGTTTAAGTCGACCCAGAGCAAAAGGAGCACGGTGGACTGGTAGGGATATAGAAGCTGATGAGGTTGTCCAAGATGTGAGCTTGGGTTGGGACGCAAAGAGAGATAGGTGGAATGGTTACGATCCAAAGGAGTACAAAACCGTTATTGACGAGTTCTCGCAACTGGAAGCCCTGAAGAAGGAAGCTCAAGCAAAGCAAAAGGACACAGACGAGGAAGATGGCGAGGATGGAGAGAAATACGTTGAAGAATCCGATCTGGGTCAGAAGAATGCCGCCAAAAACCTTCGAATACGAGAAGATACAGCAAAGTATCTGCTGGATCTGGATCTGGACTCGGCGAAGTACGATCCTAAGACTAGGTCTATGGTAGATAGCGGAGCCACGGTAGACACTATTGCAGCTTTGGTCGCAGAAGAGGGTTTTATGAGAGCTTCGGGAGATGCTGGCGAATTCGAAAAGGCTCAAAAGTATGCTTGGGAGGCACAGGAGAAAGGGGGAGATACGAAACTACATCTTCAGGCCAATCCCACCTCTGGAGAGATCCTCTTAAAGAAGGAGAGGGAGAAGGAGCAGGCCAAGAAAGAAGCACATAAGAAGATGTTACGAGACAAATACGGTGGAGAGACAAACCCGAATGCTGCCAAACTCCGAGATGTTGCTGTCACAGAGAACGAACGTTATGTCGAATATGACGAGTCTGGACTCATCAAGGGAGCTCCGAAAGTGGTGGCAAAGTCGAAGTATCCTGAAGATGTGCTCATCAATAACCATACATCAGTATGGGGAAGTTGGTGGTCGAATTTCCAGTGGGGTTATGCTTGCTGTCACTCCATGGTCAAGAACTCGTACTGCACAGGCGAGACTGGGAAAGAGGCATTTGAGCAGGCCGATCAGATGCGTACTGGCGGCGCTCTTGTCGAGGATGAATCCACGAAGACTATTGAATGGCCTTCCGGGGAAATGGAGGAAGTCAAAGACAAAATAGCAAGCACAACGATCGCCAAGAAACGAACTGCGGAAGAGATGAAGGGTCTTGTCACTGAAGATGAGATGGATGAATTCAGAAGGAAGAGAGTCGCTTCCAATGATCCTATGGCAGCGTTATTGGGCAAGGATGACCTGCTGTAGCTTCCCATTTTACGGCATCTAGAGGAGTCTGGGATCGGTGCATGGGCAAGGCGTTCTTGGTGATGCATGAAATATTGTAATCCTTTGCATTTACATGTAGTCCCAGTGAAAATGCTTTCGTGTTGAGCTCGAGTGTATAATTAAACTTCGACGATTTACAAGTCATATCTCAAAAGGCAGCTAGATTATCCAATGTCAATGTACTTGTGGTTCTTTTCAACATAGTATCGTGTGTCACGAAAAATAACCCGTTGACGGATGGTGCTGAATGTCCAGTTCTGAAGGATACTTGGAAATAGGGTCAATTCACATGTAAAAAGAACACAAATGTTCATGATCGCAAATCACCCTAGTATTCGTGTTTTGTGAAGCAAGCTACATGTTATGCTGATGCCCCAATGCCACAACGCCGGTGCTCTGCTCTGCTGACCGTTCGAAGAATGGACTGCAACCATCTACTCCTCATCCTCTTCCTCCTCACCATCATCCTTCTTCTCGGAAGCCTTAGCACGCTTTCTACGAACTCTGCCAGGACGTCCACCACCGAATGGAGAGCTCAGAGCGAAGTCGATGTGCTTTTGAGAGTCGAGACGAACGACGAAGGATGGTACGTTGACGATTTGCTTGCCAACACGGATGTGTCGTTGACGGATGAGGACACGGGCATGGTGAATGGACTTGGCGAGACCGAGCTTGTAGACACAAGTTTGTAGACGACGCTCCAAGAAATCCTCAATCTTCAAGGCCAACACGTAATCGAGCTTCATGCGAGATTCGTCAAGGACACCGACACGAACGAGACGACGAATGAGGGCATTTCCTTCGAAGAGTCGCTTGGGGTCCTTCTCGTCAAGGGTGAGTAGTTGACTATGGCATGATTAGCTCCGTGACATGTAGATTGTAGGATGTTGCATACCGGGCAGCACGACGAATCTTGGAGAGGGTAAGCTGGACACGCCAGACTTCACGCTTGTTGCGCAGACCGTACTCGCCGACGAGCTTCAATTCAGAGTCCCTGGGACATAATCAATGACATGTACAGAGACAAGCTCAGATACAGTGGCCAACTTACAGACGAGCAGACTCGAATGCTACAGATTGTTAGCAAATTCATCAAATATGAACCAAATTGGACGGGGAAAATTCGAGGGAATTCGAGAGAAAGAGGACTAACGTCTGCGAGGAACTTTATAAGTCTTCGAATAGCTTCTGGGCGCCATGCTTGCAGATGCTTTCGAGGAGAGTTGTTCTTGTTGTCGAGGTTGAAGAAGGTTGAAGTTCACGGAAGTCGCGAAATTGCTGAAAAGATCTTTGGTTTCTCGAAATGTGCGATTCTAGCGAGCTAAGCTATGGGCTAATCCATATACGGTAAGTCAGCCGGATATGACCCGTCATCATGTGATCTAGAATTTACTACCTAACCCAAGTGAAAATCTTCCTCTTGCGGTCGGACTTTGCCTCTTTGTGAATTCGAATCGTTCATTTTATTGGTGAGAAATGTAGGTCTCTTCGATTAAGGGCAATTCAGTTCAGTAAATGCGGATTTAGAGCATTGAGCATCAAATAGTATCACGACGTTGTTCTGGCATCGTGGGACATTTGTCAAGCAGGATCTGACCTTTCTGATCTGAGAAGTATCGAAGCTTGATCACAGTAAAGTGTGCTTGTTTCTTTTTTCAATGTCCTCTTAGGTAAAGGACAATTTGCTCATACTGGCACCGAGGTAGTTGCTCTTTGGATACGGACTCAGCTGTGAGTGGTAGTCATAAGATGAACTGTTTAACAGAAGCTTGCACAAATCGAGCATCCCAGCTATAGGGCGATGCACAGAAGTGTTGATCTTGACAATGCTTTGACATTTGGCTTGGCGGGAGACATATAATCAGAGTTCTTGCTTCCCTGATTGTCTCTCATGTGTGTGTACATTGAATAACATTTCAACGGCCCTTAAAATGTGAAGTATGTTCATGCAATGCCGAATAGTATGAAGTTCTCCATATATCGTAAGTGACATATTTGTTCAGCTGTATCTGATGTCCTCGACAAATTCAAAGTGAAAGAGAAGAGTGCATCTTGATTTCTCGGGTCTTTTTGATACCTGATATTTAAGGCTTAGAGGCTTCCGCGCTAAGCGAATTTCAATTTAGCTTGCACACAGAAATTCGAAAATTGGCAAGTACGAAGTTCGCGACGAGATCTCGACAACGACAAATCGTCCTACGAACAACACCTCATCTCTCCGATACAGCCCATACAGTAAATCATCATGGGTCATCCAGCAGGATTGAGGGCGGGTACCCGGTATGTTGGCCCGTTCTGCGGTTCTTCTTGCGATCCTCGACGAACTTCAAGCTCGATTTCAGCATCACCATATGCCGGGGTCGAGATGGATGCTGCAGTAGCTAACTCTCTCACAGTTATGCCTTTTCCAGGCAATTTCGTGCGAAGGGTATGATCAAGCTGTCTACCTACTTACGCCAATACAAGTGAGTCGATCCTGGTGAACTGGACAAAGGGTTGGGTCTGACGGAGGAATAGAGTCGGAGACATCGTTGATATCAAGGCCAACGGAGCTGTCCAGAAGGGAATGCCCCACAAGGTAAGAGCGGAAGATCATATGCCCTTCATCTTCATGTCCTAAACCTTCCAGGTCTACCACGGAAAGACTGGCGTTGTCTACAATGTCACCAAGAGCGCAGTCGGTGTCATCATCTACAAGAAGGTCAAGCACCGCTACATCGAGAAGCGAGTCAACCTCCGAGTCGAGCACGTTTCCCTATCACGATCAAGAGAAGAGTTCGTCCGAAGAGTCAAGGCCAACGCTGAGCTCAAGAAGAAGTCAAAGTCGGAGGGCACACACGTTCACTTGAAGAGACAACCGGCTATGCCACGGGAGGCGAGAACCATTACGATGAAGGAGAATGTCCCCGAAACGATCGTGCCAATTGCATACGAGACAACTATCTAAGCTTTCGGTACACGGGCTTTTGCTTGGGTTTCTTTGCGGGTGGGATGAACATGAGTTCTGGCAGAGGCTTAGCGTTGCATGATACATGGACTTCGTGCATTATCTCAGAAAAATGAGAGCTGAATTTCGCCAACCTACAACCAACTTTACGAATATTCTCGACAGCTTCATTATGTGACCAAAATTCGCTTGGATAAGCTCAGCCAGTGTTTGATGCCTCTTATCATGCAATCGAGAAGTTGACTTGTATTTTCTTTGTCTTTCAGGATCCAGGCAAGAAATCGTATTGTCACGCTTAGGCAGAAGCATTCCCACTTCTCTTAACACCCTCAAAATTGTTTCCGGAAAGATTGTACCTGCCGAAGTCCTGGATTCCAGCTTCAGGGGCATTTTTTAACTAACTTTACTCACTTCACCAATGAGCGGGTTTCCGGTTGGGAACATCTCACATACGCATCTCAGCAGATTGGACGTCAGCAGATTGGCATTTCTCTCATTGTTCTCTCGATTCTTTCATCTACCAGTAGTTTCTCATCCTATTCTCTTCCGGGACGCGTTGAAGGTCTCCTGTCCAGCGCAAGATTTTGTCGTACCGCTCTGAGAACCACCAAGCGATGTGCTGCGCAAAGATTATTAGCGGATGTAATGCAACTGAACCAGACCTTGACCGTACCTCTCCAGCCTTGAAAACTTCGTACTTGGAATCTGCCATCGTCTCAACTATGTCGGACGAGAAGCTGACATCGGTGACTATTTGACGATTCTTGACTTTTGACATGGCGAAAGAGCACTTCGTGATAGCAGGTCCGCTATTGTTATATATGCAAGACTGCTGCGAGGGAGGAGAAGAGTGCCACTGACCGAGGATCGTAGTGTGACCGTCAAGGTATTGCAATAACATGCCAGCGCAACGCTTGTTGATACGGCACATATCAACTCTTTTTAATCCACTTAACACAGCGATTGACAAGAAGAGTCCGGCATTCGGGCTTCCTATCGGAGGAGAAGGGAAGCCACAGTTGTGATAAAGAGGCGGAAGACGTGCGGCTCTCGAAGGTGTGTCATCCCCGGTGACCCCGAGTCTCATAATTGTTGTGCCAGAGGTTACATTTTCGTAATAAAACCCCGCAACACAACCTTTTTGCTGTAAAGGAACCTACTGGTAATTGTTTCCTATCACTAGGGACGGTAGAATATATGGTCCAAAAGTGTAGATCCGTCCAGTCGTTGTTTGAATCTGGTAAATAGTATTAGTAGTGAAAGATGGAAAATGGACAAACACTGACCACTAATGCTGGCGCGGCAAATGCCGGGCTTGGAGTATCAAACATGCGAAGCCAAGCATAAGCTATCTGTTCTGATGGGTGGAGAGGAAAGTGCAGCACACACCCGCTGCGATGACCACTTCGCCGTGAAGTATTATTAAAGTGGGCCTCCAATCCTACGATACCACAAGTTGAGACAAACACAGACAAACCCTTCGCGTACTCATCCTTGTAATACATAGATAAGTATCGAAAAAAGCGTTTTTGGGGAGCTGTGGTTATGGAATGGGCAACGTCTCTATCGAGATCAAATAATGCGGCATTGGGATCGGGAAAGGTGGTCGGAAAGTCAGGTTGATCCCACAACACATCCTGTCCCGGGACATTCCCTGCCACTGATATAGCTGTACAATTGATATCCTGTTTGTATTAGATGGATGAAAGGGAGTAATAATATAGAATGTGTAACGACTCACGTTGTAATCACATCGTAAAGTCGAGAATCCTCCTTCCATCCGCGCATGCCAGATACCGTCTCCAGTGGGAATTTTACCAATCCAGCCACTCTCCCAATCAAGACCAAACAGCTGAAGTGCACAAATACCACCATAACTTGTAATGTACCTTACCCCGAGGGCATCAGCAAAGGGATGTGCATTCCCGCTACAATCTCCACCAGTAACCAAGTTTTGGATATATTGCGTACCAAACACCGAAACCATCTTGGCGGACAAACGTGAACCCCGTTGTAGAATTACGTCGCGACTTAGAGGGGGGCACAAATGACGAGCGAGCCGAGATGTTTCGGTAATGACGATAATAAAAGCGCTGAACGGCGTCGTCAATCCCACATAGCGCCAGATATAGGTCCTGAGCTCTATAGGGAGTCTCGATAGACATGTTGGTTGTATCTCAGAGCTAGCGAGGATTTCGAGTCTCCTCGTCGAGTCGCGACGGGGGTGTCACCCAAGAACAGCTTGCCATCGCGAGAAGTCTGGTGAAAGTGTTCGGGCAAGTTGATATATGAGGGAGATGCTGCAGCCGTCCAATTTCCACATCAGGATCGAATGGCACCAAACATGGAAATAGAAAGCGAGTCGATCAGCTCGGCACATCTAGTGGTCAACTAGTGGATCGTGAGAAATCGTAATGGTTTGGTTTCGTGGACGACCACTCAAGGTAACGTCAATGTCATCGTCAATATCTGCGAGGTGGAAAGGCTCGGTAATTTCGATGCTGCCTTCATCATCTTTGTCTAGACACAGTACTGCAAGGAAGCATTGGTATTAGGGGTATAGAATGCCATTGAGGCGAGAGTATACCAGCGCGGATGTTGGATTGCCACGCGTCGACGTCTGACAAACTCTGGGGAGGGAATGGCTCCTGGCAGAAAGCGCAGCAGTTCGTGTCAACATGTGTGATCAAGCAATCCAGGCGAAAACCGATTGAGTTGTGACGGGAAGGATGAAAGATGAGAGCAAGTGATCAATTCAAACCCGCTGCTGTAATGCCACTTTTTGTAATCGTGATGAAAATGCACATCGGGTTGGGTGATCTGTGACGATGTTTGGCTGGAAACAGAGCCAGACTGAGTGTGCTTTGCAATGGAGGATATGAGGTTGTTGGGGTCAGGTTTACTTGTGGGAAGCCTCCTGCCGGGCTGCACTAGTTCTGCAGGCCTCCTGCAGCTACGAAGGACGCGGTCAAAAGTCCCGGGATTACAGGGCCTGACGCCTGAATTACAGGCTACCGGTAGATCATACGCTGGGACGGCACCTTTAGGGCTTAGTCGCTAGAACTCTATTTTCTTACAAAGTCTTTTAGTGAGTAATACCCTACAAATACAGAGTATTATCACTAATTAAAACGAATATTCGAAAATTAGCACGTGAGCTCGTAGAAGCTCAAAAGCTCGCACGAGCCTGTATGCTCCCACCAGCCTCAGTAAATAGCCATGCCCTGCGCGCTCCCTCCTGCCACACCCATTTGCACCGCGAAGTTCTGCATCTCCGTCACACTCCCCTTCCCACCACTAACATCAAAAACCACAACATTCGTCCCCTGTGCCCCTACCTCTCCTCCACCGGGACTCAAAGCAAAGATCAAACCACCTTCCTGATCACTCTCCAGATCAATCATACCTCCATTCCCATTCTGACTCTGGAACTCGGTGATGAGTTGGCCTGAGCTAGGATCGACTTCCACGAGGTGATTGACTGCCACGTCGGTCACGAAGGTGGTGGAAGTCAGAGAAGAGAAAGTAGCCCAGCAGGTAGCTTTCTGGTCTGCGATCTTGGTGGAGGAGGACACGGTTGCGAGGTTGAGGTTGGAGGAGTTGGAGGGGAGAGAAAGAGTAGCAGAACCAAATGAGGCGTCGGTGACAAATATCTGGTCCGCGTCAGGCAGAAGAGCAGTGCCGAATAGCACAGCAGTCCCCGTTGGCGAAGTCCTTATCTCGTTTCGAGAGACTGATCCATTGGTGACTGGAAACATCGACAAGAAACCTGTGTTGTTCTTCGTGGGATCTCCTTTCACTGTCGCTAACAGCATTGTTGAATCTTTGTTGAAGAATACTTGAGATACGGTGTTTAGTGGACCGGAAGGAGGTGTTGTTTGATTTAGTTGGAAGGGTCGTACTGCTGTGTCGAGAGGAACGAGACCTTGGGTAGGACAAATGGCGAAGCAGGAAACGCCAGCCACCGCACCGGAATTGGCTACACATGTTTGCTGGAGAGTGGAAGAGATGCTAACGCTTATTGGGAACTCCCCGAGGGTGTTCGCTGGTTGGCCAATCATGGTCAATGTTGTAGGAGAGTGTGGTGAGATGTGGAATAGTGAAATAGTGTTTGAGCCTGGATTTACTGCTACCATATACTATTCAATGCGTCAGTTCCTGTGGCGAGTGGAAATGTAGGGGAATAGTGTACATTGCCTGATATCTTGATAGCACCTTGAGAGAACAGAGAGTCTGGCGCTGCTGGACTTCCTGTTGAATTAACACCACTCATACCTGAACCTCCCGTTGGTGTAATTGAGCCACTACTCAGAGTGCCGTTGGGCGATACTGTTAAAGCGATGATCGAGTTATTTGCTGTATTGCTGATGAAATAGACCGCCTTTGCAGAAGTTGCTGAGTTTGTAGTGGTTGCGTTTTTTGAACCTTTTCCTTTATTATTGGATGGCTGGCAGGTCGTGCCACCATTCATGGCTCGGCGAAGATTGATCGTCTGATCTCCAAGAGAGATGGTCTGTCCATCGTCGCTTACAGTGAGAGACTCCCCAGAATCTCCTAGTGGCACCGTCAAAGGGACAGCTGAGCAGGAGAGTAGCAATGAAAAAGCCACGAAGAAGTTAAGTAATTGGACCATGATGATGGTTGGTTGTAATTCAAGAAATGAACGAATGTATGATTAGAATAGAAAAAGACCAGCTTTAAAAATTGTTCGTAAATGAATGTATTTGAAGTGCTGCTGCTCCAAGAACATGTTGATGGAAATACACTGACCATTTAAAGAAGTACTTGTGATGCCATTCTGAGTGAGTACAACGCAGCTCAACCTTGCCAAATTCGGCCATTGTATGATTCCACATACCTTTACTTGAAGCGGTTTCGAAGTCCCAATGATTCCAACGGCGGCAGAAGCCCTCACCAGTCTCAATATCAGATCCTTTGCCAAGGAATTCTAGCGGATTCTAGCCAAGGGCAACGGACAATTATCAGATGGAGTGATAGGTCACAGAGATAAGCGGAAACATAGGATGAAATGACAGCTGAGGAATCAGAGTAGACGAAAAGAGATTAGCTGGCATAGAACAACGATGCTGAAACACGCTGGAAACATCAAACGCCAGCCCCTGAGTCATCATGTGATTGAAGAATAAGCATCACGTGAAGCAAATTATAGCTTGCGAAGTGATCCAACGAGTTGGACAATCCTTCTAGGCACGAGAGTAGACGTCACTGAAGAAAGACTAAAAATTGTGAGTAGTCGAGGTGCCTCCCTAAGCCAGACTTTCAACAGCTTAGCATGAAGAAGTGCAAGTAAGGAACAACTCACATTTCTGCTCTACAAAGCACATACCTAGCTACCTCCACAACTAAGAAACAAGCGTACACTACTGTACCAAAGACTTCTAGGTTCCACTATGAATTCCAATGAGCATTTCCACCTGAGAACACAAGTCGTTCGTTCAGTACCCAGAGCGCGCCAGACATCTTGCTGATCATATGTCCAGCCGCCAAAATTTAGCCTCAGACCTCCATACCTTGAGGCATCAACAGGCAAGATCAGTGCCTTTCTCGAATTACCCATGGCACTCGCCAACCTGGATGTATCCAAGCCTCAAACATCGTTGGCATTGGGGCATAAGATGATAATGTTCCAGAATTTGTGGGATAATGTGGGCGGGCTGAGTCCCAACGATGAAGTAAAGTTTGAAGGATGAAGTCGTGTAATAGCGAAGTGAACCCTTTTCTATCTCGATGCTCGGAGAATCTACTTTAGTAACTCTACCTCAGCGAGCCCCAGCCGCAACACCCGCAGCTACAGCAGCAGCTCCACCCGCAGCTGCAGCAGCCGCCGATCCACCCGCAGCAGCAGCAGCAAACTCTGGAACATTATTTTCGTACTTTCCGATTCTTACGGTAAAGCGAATACTGAATGTATTTGGGAGCCCCTCAAGTCCGAAGGAGATGACAAACATTTGCAAAGCTATCAAAAACAGATGAGCTTTTCAGTCATTGTAGCATTCAACGAATCGTGGCTTGAGGGCTATACTTCTTCGCTTTGAAGTTTTAGTCAAGATCAAGATTAACGATGAATGACTTTGGAAGAACGCAGGTCCAGAGTCCATTAAATTTCAAGGTTTGACAGTAAGGTTGTCGAAGTGTCTGGGTGCATGCTGAGCAATCATGGACAACCCTTGGTCGCCGTAACGTTCATGGACCAGCTAGTAAAAATAACGGCGGTCATAACATTGGAGGTCGTTGCGAAATGAACTCGCGTTCTCATCTTCGCCGGGAATGAGGGACTTCAAGAACAATATCTATCGTCCGAGCACAACCATTACCAAACGGATGACGACGGAGCATAGAATGTCATTTCCCTCGAAACCACGGCAATTCAAAACGGCATCCTGGTAGCACTCATGAGGTTCTCCCGCACCTAGAGCCTCAGTGAGGCTTCATGGTCCGTGAGCACGATAATGGACAGATCACCCATGCGAGATCTCTCTCACAGACAGTCTTTGCGCTCGCGGACTTTTCTGCGTTGGGACATAGCGTAAGCATTTCGGAAGGTCAGACGTTTGAGGAGGGACGGTTTATTCTTCCAATTGCTTGCCTGTGCGAGGTTCATCTGATCGTTTCAGACGAGACTCATCACGTGGAATACAATCCCTGAAATAAAGTTTGTGACCCTGATTTGCAACATGCACCAGTGATGTAGAGCTGCATTAAATGAGATGTCTGGAATTGTTGTAGATCATGTTTCGTCTGTCTGGCTCTTTCTAGGTTGGCTGATGAATCAAGGAGAGACATGTTAGGTAAGTCCAACTGCCTCTCAGGCTACGAATCCCTTCAAGAAGAATCCAATGCGAAGTTACCTGTGGACTCTTGGCTGTTCGGGGCACTCTCCGAGAAGTATTGCAAACTATACTTGCAGCTGCTTCTTCCCTCTTCTCGTGAAATACTTTCGGTTCATGGTGGTTGTCGATTGCGTGAAAGAAAGTATGCGGAATCGGATGCAAAGGAAGATGCTAGTCTCGATAGCCAATCTCAGAGATCAATGGAAGAGACGAATTCGTGGTCTTTCACTGAAACGCATAAATGGCTGTGACACCTTGTGTTCCCCTGCGGAGAAAGTAACGGGAGCGCACGGAGGGAGGGAAAACTGGAGATCCATCTGAGCATGAATGTAAGGAGACGGATGATAACCAAAATAAGCTTAAAACAGGTAACCAGGGAAGTTGTGCATAAATGTGATTCAGGAACATCGAACACGGTCGTCTTCAGACATGGAAAAGAAAGTTCTGCCAAGTTTGGGCGAGTACGCGGGGGACGCGATCAAGGAGGTTTCGATATTTTAGGCCACGATGATGTGAGTTCCTTCACACCTCAAGGCCGTGTGATCGTCCGGTGAAGGAGAGTGTGCAGCTGGTGATCGTGGCACATCACATCACATCAGTTGGATATTTCCCGGGCTGCAGCAAAGAGAAGCATGTCGGTCTTCGTTCCTAGGTACGGTATTTCATGTGTTGCCGACTAGCCCCACAGGAGCAAATCCTGTTTTTTCCTGGATTCAAAATCCAGGAGACAACCAGTAAATCCAGGAGTATTTCAGACGATTACTTTCGAAGTAAATTCCAGTTTTTGTTCCAGGAAATTCCATTAACGTCCGCCCCTACGTAGCGAGACGCACTGTGTAGCGAGACAAACCATCGGTACTTTACACTCAAACAATTCTAAATTTGTAAATCCGCTGAAAGTTCCCATGTTTTTGTATCGGTCATATTGTGTGACTATTTCTGAACAGTCCAAACTCTGGCTGCTCCAAAAAATTATGATCGCGTCGTCGCCGTCACGCCTAGTTACGGAGGTTGTTAATTCGGAAGTTATTTGGCAGGCTTTCGAGATGTGGTTAAGGCAAAAGAGAAAGAAATGCATTGCCAAGGAAGTGGTGGTGAGGAGAAGATACCATTGTCAAAGCTTTGGGATGGGATCTATAACCTCTCTAATTTTCTTATTGGGCAGGCACTTTTACGTTTAGATCTTCAGGGTTCGTACACATTGTCGACTTATATATCGACAGGGGACCGGGTATCCTAATACCGAGAATGCACTCCGTCGAAGATACCACATCAACCGCGTATGAAAGGGGAGGGTATCAGGAGTCGTAAACTGCGCAAATATCAGAAACAAGTCAGCATATGATCTGAAAGTGAACCATCGATACTTCACATTATGTCACATACGCTCTTGCCGTCAGGAAGCCCAAAACCCCACAAGTAAGGGATTGGAACAGTAGGACAATTTTCACGGATCCAGATGAAGGTAGCAGCTTCAGAACGGATCTTCTCCTCCGCATTGCCAGGGTGTTGTAAATCTCCCACCTTGTATGGTAGAGGAAACCTGATAATCACCCGTTTGCTGTGGGATTTGGCGCTGTTGACGCGGACTGGTATGCAAACATTGAAGCTTCCAGCCATCCAATCTTTGACTTCTCCTATTTGACACGTCTCTCTCTCATTTAAACCCAGATGGTACGACACAATAGCTTCGATTTCGCTGCGATGCTTCCAGAGGATACAAAGAACTCGAATCGTTTTTGAGGGTACTCTAGGGCCTGGAGCATGTTATCGTCATCGTCCAGGGCTGATTCTAATGTGATCTCCCCTTGAAGAAGTGGAAGCGTTTTCGACATCGTTGAGGTTTGGGCGGGTCGATTCGCTTCAAGCAGCAGAGAGTCTGAATTCGCTCAAGGTACTTTCGTACGACAGTAGATTCAGATCCCAAGTCAGAAAGAGGCTGAGAGCTTGTTTCACAGTTCATTGCCTCAGGCTGCCACGCCCACGAGGACTCCAGCTAATTTGTGGTGATTTCGACATCCCAAATTGGCTGGAGTGATGCCTTGGAGGATTCCATTGGCGGAACACAGTTAAATTTCTGGAACTTTGCGACCAAAAAGGCTTAGTAGACCTTCAGCTGCCTGACAGCATTGGAGCCTGAGTTGCCCGGGCCTCCTTCGCTCGCTCGCTCGTTCTCACCCGGGATCCCTCCACTCTTCGTACTCTCCAACTTTCCACTCCAGCAACAACAACAACTACTGACTATTCACGACTCAGACATTCACTTGTCTTTCTGTCCGTTCTGTTTGTACACAACAGGACCACTCCTCACATTCCCTTCCTCCCCTTTCCGATGTTCTGCAAACACGAATCATAATCATTCGTCATAAAATTCTCCCTTCCCGTGGAAACGTTTGCTCACCATCCTGGTCCTGGCCCGTCGTTCCGCAGACTGAGGTCTTCCTTCCGTTTGGGGGCGACGACGCTCTCCCAATCCTCGAGAAGGAATCCGCAGTCAGGTCCGTGGGGAATTTAATATGTCCGAGTATGTATTCGCCGGAAAATAGATATGTGAGCAGCTACTAACATTGTTCCTTGACTAGCTTTATCCAGGTCGCGGGTTGGACACAACACAGTCGCCCATCTTCCCGGAATTCCGTACAACACCTGCGCTCCCTCTCGTCGTCGAGCACGTCCAAGAACATTCCGAAGCCCACGAGGCCCGTGTCGAAATCCATCTCCTCATCCGCTCTCCACACAATGGCTACCGTCTCGACCTCGCATGCGGTGCCATCACCGAGAGTGCTGAGTCCGTCTGTCGACGAGGAAGGGAATTTGAGCACACTACCCGATCCTCGAAGTCGGGCTATGTCTCCTGCGAATGATAATCTACCCAGCCCTTCTCACCATCCTGACCTCAGCAATGAGGTAGCAACACTCAGTACCAAGCTCATCAATGCAATCAACCATCAAACAAATCTCGACGATTCCTTAACAGCAACCCGACATGATTTGGAGACAGCTCGGGAACGGATCGCACAGCTGGAGCAACAGAACAAAGAGCATACGGATCTCGTAGTGCAAGGTGTTCTAGTGAAAAAGACGGCCTTCGACTTGGAGAAGGCCAAGCTAGTTGCTGCTTTGGCGGAAGAAAAGAGGCAGAGGGGTATCGCTGAACAGGAGAAGAAGAAGATGGAGCAAGACCTCGAAAATCTGTCAATTTCGTTGTTCGAGGAAGCAAACAAGGTAAGTTTCATTAGGTATGCACAGAAGTAAGTTCTAACGTTTTTAGATGGTCATCCAAGGCCGGGAAGAAGCCCAACAAGCCGAGGAAGCCTCGCAAAAGCGGATCGACCAGCTGAAAGCACAGCTAGCCGATACTGAAGGACTCCTCAAATCACAACAGGAACAGCTCAGTGAGTTGAAACATGTGATGGAGCAATTGACGGAGGAGCGAGACGATCAGACAAATCAAACAGCACCATCCACTCCAGGACTGAGCAAATTTGATAGTAAGGACGACCTCCGTGATCCAGACTCTGCAAATTCTATGCACGAACCTATCTCGCCATCTTATCCTACGAGCTTTACACACCTCCTTCAGCCAGTCCTCCGGACTGATCTCTCGGCGTACGAAGATTTCACCTCGTTACTGAAAATGTCGAAAAATGTTCCATCCGCCAGCAGAGTTTCCAGTGGTTCTTATAGCCACATTGGGCTGGGGCTAGGCCTAGGAGCCTACCAATCATCAGCACATCCCTCAAACGGATCTACGACTTCCTTATCCACATCTGGAACGGCTGGATCTTCTCCTACGACACCCGCATCGACTGCTAGTAATGGGTCAACTAATGGACCTAACTCATTGACGCCTTTGAAGGATACCAAATTCTACAAACGAGCGCTAGCTGAAGATATAGAACCAACCCTGCGACTGGACGCGGCACCTGGTTTATCATGGCTAGCTCGACGAACAGTGTTGAACGCAGTTTGCGATGGGAACCTTGTCGTGGAACCTCTTCCTTCCTCTCTAAAGCAACACAATTTTCCCTGCGCTCTATGCGGAGAGAACCGAAAAGATGTTGCACACACTCGCAGTCACCGGTTCAGAACGAGTGAGAATGAGAATGCTCAGAGATATCCTCTCTGTAGATATTGCCATGGCCGTGTTCGTTCAACTTGCGACCTTCTTGGCTTCTTACGGATTTTGAAGGATGGTCATTGGAGAGCCGATAACGAGGAATCAGAACGAGCAGCCTGGGAGGAAAGCGTGCGACTGAGGGAGCAAATGTTCTGGTGCCGTATGGGTGGAGGAGTCGTCCCTACTCAACATGTTCACGGCGATCCACGAAGTCCTCGAATTAGCGAGGAACGCAAGGAGGAGGAGAGAAAGATCAGTGAGGAGGTCGAACGGACAGGAGAAATCCAGCCCAAGGACATCACTCCTGGCCCCGGAACAGGAACTCTCCCCGAAAACTCGCACAGTGCGTTCGTCGTTGAAGGGGTGGCTACTCCAAGTCCAGTCTCAAGCCCTTTGAGAGAAGTAGAATCGGTCGATGACCAGGTTGATGATGCTGCAACAGAAGCTGGCGAGGCTCACGATAAGTCAAGAGACTCTACCCCGTCTGCAACACCATCGAAGGCAGATTCTCCTAGTGAAGGCGAGAAAGAAGGAGCGCAGAGGCTCTCCATCACTATTCCAGGGTCATTCGACTAAGTACCGAGCGTTAGCTTCTGGCTCTTTTATTGTATATTTTATGGGTGGGAAAGAGAAAACGGAAAAGTGGATGGTGTTTGGGATTTGTTTACTTTGACTGGCGTGTCAGATTCGTGAGCAGGGCGTTCCGGTATTGGGTTCACATTACTTAACTGAACATAATTAGTGGGCCAAGAAGATTGGGCTGGATTGCGCAAGCACAACGATAGATCACAGGATTATAGCTTAGGAGACAGCAACGAGTGACGAGATAATGGATTTTTCTAATGTCTTTCCATACATGCTTTCCATTAATCTGGACTTGGAGGTCATACAAGTACACTATATAGAATGTGAATAACATTACTGTACATCGAAACTTAATAATGGATGTTGAATTATGTCCTACATGAGCAGATCTGCCTTGACCGCGACAGAGAAGACCAAAAATTCCATTTACATCTGGGTACTGGTGGTCTGACATCCAAGGTCCATTCTTCTGTCTCGACTTTTTGTCTTCAAAAGTCGTCTTGGCTGACTGGACATTTAACTTCGATTTGCCTTGCTACATCTGTTGTAAGCAAGACTATTCAGTTATCAAACATGATTATTATGGGATTTTTGGTACTTACACGTCTTATGACTACGTTCGACATTCACATGCTATCATTGTAGTCTCTCCAAAGAATACAATAATATTAATTTTTCATGATATCTGGGAGGTGGACAATGTCGGACTGGCGTTGGTGCTGGGTACTTTAGGTAGGTGACAGCTGAAATTTCTCAAAGCATGGTAACTTCATTATCTGTCTGTTGTAATGTGTGACTAGTCCAAAATCTGTCTGCCGACTTTACTTTGAATCTCGGCCCATATTGACAAGGCGCCCCTCCTGATTCGTCGAGCTGCAAGGCTGGCGATTTTCTTAGCGTTGACTGAAGAACCTTGCCTCCAGTATCATCAAAATCCCTTGATATAACAACATCAAACCAAGAGCTCGCCAAGTCATTCAATATGGTTCCCTCTGCTCTGAATGGCGATGGAATGGGATCGCTCGAGGAGATAAAAGCCCCTCAGGGCGTTGTTCTGCCTCCACGAGAAATCAAAGGTGCGCTTCTCGATTCAATCTTCTAGGCTTCTACTAATATGTCGCAGCTATTCTCGAGAAGACAGCAGGTTACGTCGCGCGAAACGGTTTCGTATTTGAAGGTATGCAGGACAAAGTGCTCCGTGGCAAATCAGTCAAGCTAACAATCATAGACCGCATTCGAGAGAAAGAAAAGACGAACCCCAAATTCTCCTTCCTAAGCCCCAACGATGCCTACAACGCCTACTACCAATGGCGACTCAGCGAAATTTGCGCAGGGCGAGGAACGGCTGTCGCGGCTGGTCGAGCAGAAGACGTGGAAGCCGAAGCAGAGAAGCCCAAGGGCCCGCCCGAGCCTCCAGAATTCCATTTCTCAGCGCGAATGCCCAACATCAATGCTCAAGATCTGGAGGTTGTGCGTCTAACTGCGCTATTCGTGGCGAAGAATGGGAGGCAATTCATGACTACAATATCGCAGAGAGAGACGGGAAACTATCAGTTCGATTTTCTGCGGCCAAATCATACCTTGCATAGTTTCTTTCAGAGACTGATCGATCAGTACACTGCCTTATTAAGGGCCGGGGGTATGGATGGTGAGGGCGGAAAGATACAGCAGGAGAGGATCAAGGAGCTGCAAGCCAACGTTGCTGATAAGTTCCACGTATTGGGACGAGCGAAGCAGAGAGCGGAATGGTTCAAGTTCCAAGATGAGCAGAAGCAGAAGAAAGAAGAGGAGGCCGAGAAGGAGAGAATGACATATCAGCAAATCGACTGGCATGATTTTGTGGTTGTTGAGACCGTTGTCTTCACGGAAGCGGATGATCAGGCCAACCTCCCACCACCTACATCTCTCTCCGAACTCCAGTTTGCTTCTCTCGACCAAAAAGCAGCGATGTCCATCAACCACAATCTACGTATTGAGGAGGCCATGCCAGAAGATACAGATTACTACAATAACTACCCACAACAGCCAATGGAAATGGCACCACCTCCAATCCCACAGCAAGCCTACCAACCACAATATCAAGATACCCGAATGAGGAATACTGATGAAGAAGATGAAGAGGAGCAACGGATCCAGGAACGAACAGAGGCTAGGCAACGTGCTCAACAGGCACAAGCCGAAGCGAAGGGTGTGGCGGCTCCAATGAAGATCAAGGAGAATTATGTTCCAAGAGCAGCTGCAAGAGCGGCTCAAAAGCAGAACATGGTGCTTTGTCCGAATTGTCGACAGCAAATGCCTGCTAGTGAGCTTGATGAGCATATGAGAAGTGAGTTCGCCCTTGCCATGTACTAGACCAGTGCTAACAATTTTCTAGTCGAACTTCTGGATCCAAGATGGAAAGAACAAAAGGCCAAAGCAGACTCTCGTTATTCAACCACTAATCTATCCACCCAAGACGTAGCGAACAATCTCAAACGTCTAGCCAGCCAACGGAGCGATCTCTTCGATGGAGTTACAGGACAGCCTGTCTCGGAAGAGGAAGCAGCCAGGAGAAAGAAGGCAGCGAGTAGTTACGATGGGCAGCCATTGGAGAAAGGGGACAGGAGGTTGGATGTGATGCAGAATGTTAATGTGGAGGAACAGATTAGGGCTATCCATCAAAAGTTCGGTGGTGAAAAGAAGTGAACACAACATGGAGCATGGGTGGATGGGTGGCGTTTGGGTGGAATGTATGAATGATATTTGTTCTCGAGACTACAAAGCTAAAGAAAAAAACTTGCTGATGGGGCATTTGAAGCCAACATTTTCCATTGGTCCCTGGCCCTGATACGTCTCGGTCTCGGGGTTTGTTTCCATTTTCAGCTCTGCTATAATGCCTTCCTAGGCATGAAGTTCTTGCCTAAGCCCCAACAAGTAGGCTTGTGAGTATTGTCCGTGGAGGATATCGCTCTCTTCGGCCGCTTGTGATGATGTACCGAAACGCATCTGTCCGATATCAGACTGGCGCGTATGAGCCCTTGGCGTGCTTGGCGTTTCAATATTCTCATCATCATCAGAGGAAGAGGTTGAAAATTCCGGAAAGGATTCTCAATTCGCGAGCTCCAAGGCCCGCTTTTTTTCAAGCCTGCGGAACGCAAGAATGTATTGTTGCTTGCCTATAAATAGTTAGTTATATACACTCTAATAGATAAGATGAAGCGTGAGCGTATACGTACGAGTGTAGTGACGTCTCCTCTTAATGTCGGCGATGATATTCTTCGCCTGAAGCTTGTGCGCTGGCGACACCCAATCATATTTCAACGCCGCCCAAGGATATCTCTCTACAAATGACCAGGGACACTTTTCATCTGAACATTCTCCTTCATCTTTTGTGCGTACCTTCATATCCAAGGTCAAGATCTTGTTAGTGGTGGCATCGTACAGGAAATTTCCATGCCTATCAATCCTAGGGACGTCGTTGTCGCGATAAAAAGAACTCGTGAGACCACCTTCGCTAGCATCTGGCCTTTCAGTACTGAACACAATCACGAACCGACCAGCGATGTCTTTCCAGTTCCATTTCAAATCAGTCTTGTGATACCGGATCCAATGGACCTGCTCAGTGCTGTAGCGTTCGTTGCTGTGGTACCTTTTGATAGAGGTGGTCGAACGAGGTGTATAAGCCATAGGATAGTATAAGTCATGGTAAGATCTTTCAACCACCTGGTAGGTAGCACGGGTCTCAATGTCCCCTAGCTGAAGGTTGGTTCCAGCACTGTTTGATGACTGCAGTGTCCTCGCCGGGAGAGCTGCCTCTAAGGTAGCTGGTGGATTTGCCAAGCAGAGCAAGTGGTTGACGGAGGGGAGGGGACCATGCTGAGGACCGTAAGGATTTGCAGACGCAGTTGCGCTGTACAGTAGAACAGGACTATTCGGAGGTGTGTGGCATTGCGGGATACAGTAGCCTCCAATCTCGACTGGGGCTGGCTTACGTGAAAGTGAGAATGTCCGTTTGAGGGGGTCGTCGACGCTTGCTTCTCCCCTTTTGTGGCCTTTTCCATATGCTTATCCATGGGATTGAGCATACTGTTGATGTCCATGCTTGCAGATTTGTAACGCAAAATAACGTCGAGAGATGCTTCACGGTGAGAACTTCCGACGTGTATCTCGGTTTTGAGTTGTAATAAGCTTCAAGGATGTGAGAAAGTAAACGCAAGGCGTGATGGAGAAACTCGGTGAAGAACATGACGGGCAAACAGCTTTTGTTCAATCAACCGTTATAACTAGGCCACCGATCCCAAGCGATCGAGAATAGAAACAAGGTTCTCGATAGTGGTGGAATCGATCGAGAATAAATTATTATGAGTGGTCCGTCCATTTTCCCCTTCGAACGAGTTCTGGCTTATTGAAGAAACTGGCTGTCAGAATTTGAATCCCTTGCTTCAGGACCTTCAGATCCGATATCACATATCACAACTGAAAGTGAGCTGCAATGCTTTGCTATCCTTCGAAAAATATAACAGAAAGCAAAAAAGCAACCATTGGCCTCGCCTGCAAGTCGTCTCTCCTCTCATTCCAAGGCGCATGTCTTAGACCCTGATTGTAGTCCAGGTATGTATGTACAGGGATACTCATGAGACTCATAATTCTCTGCTTTGTGCGACTGACTGATTGTTCATCGATCGATGGCCTGCATGCAACACACATATCCTGATTCCACCTCCTCTTTTTCTTTTTCTTTTCCACAGCCCGCCCGCGCCAGCATTCATTCACTCACTTGTTCCCATACCCGTCAGCCGCACCGATTCGATTAACTTCACGCGCGCTGACCCCGATTTGACAAAGCTGGTGGTGGTGGTGGTGGTGTTGGTGGCGGCGGCTGGAATTTGATCTTATCTGCTGATTTCCCGACCCAGACGGGATCCAAGTCGACATGAATCAGCCGAAGGCCACTGACGCAGATCGAGGCCGAGTCAGTCTGGGGATGCGTCGGGCTTGTCTAGACTGCTGTCTCTGCCACCACGACCACGACCACCACCACCACCACCAGCAAAAGAAAACCCGTGTTCAGTGACTGACTGACTGACGGACGGACGGACGGACGGACGGACGGAATGGCCCGACGATCACAGCCACAAGACGACAGACATGTCAAATTCGTGAAAGGAAGGGAATCCTAAAGATGTTGGTTAGTGATACTGTATGCCAGTGCAGTGCTGCCGGCAATCCGGAGGCAATCCGGAGGAGACTGGACTGTCGAGCCGCCCGTGGCTTGCAGCAGCAAATATACCGAAGTGGAAGATTCTAATGTCGGCCTGGGATCAGGGGTGTCGATTCGGCGAAGGACGGGTGGGAAAGTGGAAAGCGGAGGAGGGGACATATTCGCGCATATCGCGAGGCGCGACAGAAACAAAGAGGTGCAGTCCCTCGCAATAGTGGCTGCATACACGGTCTACGATCGGTACGATCGGGAGCTGCATTCTCGCCCATGGCTTGGTGCTGGCGATCTGGTCAGACGACTTGCGAAAGAAAGAGAGGGCTGACGACGAGTCACCAACTCATTCACACCGGTGGCCGGTTAGCGAGATCAGAGCGAGTGCAAGGCGTGCGAGCAGTGGTGGGAAAGTCTGTATGAAAGAGGAGAGGAGAGGAGCGGATGAGACGCATAGCTAGATACACGAGATAGCGATGACAAGACCGTTGAAGCAAGTGCTGAAGGTATTATGATCGTTGTGAGTACACACTTAGCTATTTGACGAGTTGAAAAAACATGAAAATACCTGGGAGAAGGATCCGGCTCACTTATACTCTGGAGATTCCTTACGAACTCTTGAACTCTTCGTAGATAATGAATGCATCATACCTTCGAGTAGACCTCCTTGTCCCTTGATTTCGCCTCGCACGCTCAGCTGGAGAAGGGAGGGAGAGCAAACAACCTCATTGTGCAGCAGCAGCAGAATGCCACTGCCACTGCCACTGCCACTGCGAGTCCCACCGCAATCACCTGCCATGCGTACCCAAAGATCATGCCATACCATGCCAGTGTCCTGCTTTTTGAAATGCCTTCCATAACAAGACCACTCTCGCTCTTTATCCTGACAAGCCCTTCAGAACAAGTCAGCTTACTTACGGTCCAAAAGGTAAAGCTGGTACAAACCATCAGGATAAGCTCTATGGCTGCGTATTATGTGCAATCTATCCATCATCGGGACAACCCTGCTTTCGAGTTTGGGGCAAGCGTTAGACAGATCATGCTTGAATTCCTGGGCAACCACCATCATTTCTTTGACACACCAGGCAAAGAATGGCGCCTCAAGTATTCTGCTGAGATCTGTGTCACTATATGCCTCGAGTTCTTCAAGAAATTCTGTGATCCTCTTTTCCTCTCTGCGTCTTTGGAACAAGCAGAAGTGGAGCACCACGGATATCCTTCGCGCTAGGTCTGGGTTGGTCCGTCCCTCCTTGCATGCGGCCAGCTCAGGCTCGGTGAACTTCGAATCGCACTCTTTGCGGAGGTGATCATGCGCTGAACTTTTGTGCTGCATAAGCAAGGAAAACCACTCGAGAGCTTTGATGTATATCCGAAGAAGAGGATCTGGTTTTTCAGTATCGGTTCCACGGCGTATATTCTCACGAGAACATGGCCAAGGGACCTGTATTCGGTCAAGCACAACCATAGGTGGAGCCGATATTGCTGTAACCATTCTCTCCAGGATGACGCAGGTAAAGAATGTGAGCCGGGCCTCCATGGGGTCTATCGTGTTGTCCATAGATTCAGGATTGTCCAGGTTCAGAACTCGAGCGAGGTTCGTAGCCCTGGCAATCCTCAAGTGGCTTTGCTTGAATTGGGCTTTGCACATCTGACACAAGCCAAGCATGAGATTTCCTTGGATAATCTGCAGAGACGGTGGTGCATGATATTGTTCGTAATCGTGAAGTTCGTGGCGAAGACAGTCAAAATATCCTTCGTCTATGCCGCGAATGAGATCGGAAAGGCAAAGGATACCTGTTATGACAATGAGCGATTGAGGAGTTTGATCGTCAGTCGGAAGACGCAGATGCAGCCATGGCTGGTCCTGTAACCGGTCGTGAAGAAAGAGTAACTCGGCGCCATGATGTTTTACAACAAGATGATATCGTTCTGAGAACTCGACGTCAGCCATTGCGGATCTGTATCAGCGGAGAAGAGCGGTATTTGCGATGAGAAAAGATTTTCGAAGGAATGAGGATAGAAAGGTAAGTCGAAGTGGACATCAGAGGGATTAAAAAGGATAGAAAATGGTGGAACAAAAACGACCAGAAGAAGAAAGCATTCGGGTTTTATTCTTTCCGAGCCGTGTTTCACTATGAATGCCTTGCAAAAAGAAACTGAACGCGGCAGACCCGAATCCCAAGACCATTCTTCGGTGTCTGTCTGGTGTTACTGCTGCTTCCTATGCTCCTTCCGCATCTATTGCACGACCTAAGTGCCCCAATACATAATCGACTTCCAGTTCATCGTCGCAAGATTTCACATCGGGCTGCCAGCCCGCCCCAACGAAATCTTCCAGAAAATACAAGTCCCGTGGATGGTATGCTTTACAAATCTCGCCTCGGTGACCTGCCCGCCTCCGGCGAGTTCATACACTGCAACAATATGGTAAGAAAGTGGTACTAAAGAAGAGAACCGACAACTATGTCGATGTACAGATGATGTGTGAGAAATTTTTGTTTCTGGCCGCTCGTCGAAAGAGTTGGGTGAATCACAATCTTTGCTTTTAAGCTTCAACAAACGAGTTCCAAAATCCCGTACCATTCGGCTGAAATGAACATCTATCTGTCTGCACCTCCCATCCGTAAAGATCTTGACAAATGCTGCAATATTTTCGACTCCACCTGTAAGGTCGGGGATGCAAGACCCGCATTGAGAACACTGCTAACCTGGATCAGACGTGCAAGATCTTCCTTCGCTATGATGTCAAGCACCATTGGTTGAAGCGTTGGGTTGGAGAAAGCTGCCAGGAGCACCAACATGTTACCCCACTGTCTGTGATGCATCAGTAACCGGCAAAAAGTACCACGAGGGAGGGAGCATACGATTGTGCCCTCATCCACTGATTCTCCATCACCTGATTACCTAAACAAGAGTTGGAGACGGAGGCGCTATCAATCAAAGCGGAAATGCCTTTGCGAGTCTGATCCTTTGTATGCCGATCTTTTAACAGACTCGCCGATGTTTGATCATGAGACAGTAGGATATTCAATACGTATTGCCGGTAGAGAATTACTTCAATACTGTGATACCTAGCTGGCAAGGAGCCTCTTTCAACACCGCCGTCGCTACGAAGAATTGAATCCAAGACGTCTCGAGTCTTTCGCGTTGTTTGGAGATACTCTGGGGAGAGAAACGCGTCAGGTGCCAATACAAGCCTTGCCGTGTGTTTGATCAACGAATACTGTTTCTCCAAGTATCGAATATTGGGAGGACTCAAGCCATAGTCCATATCCTCCAAGTGAGGGAATGGGGTGTGTTCATAAAATCGAAGAAGTCCGGTCGGAGGACAAGGAAGCTCTAGGAGGATACCGCTACTGCCAGTTAATGCTATTCCCAAAGATCCAAAAGAGCAAGAAAGTCACCTTTCCATCTGTATGCAAGTCCAAAATGCAAATAGGTAGGGGTTATCCGCTGCATTACCCGCTGCACCCGTTTGCTTGTTCATCTGGTATCCTTCTAAGGCGCTGTTTACTGTTAGTGTCCAAGCAGAATTAATGATTCCAGTACTTAACGGTTGGGAAATGAACAAGAGACCTTGGCAGGCGTTGGACGTATATTTGAAGCTTTCCAGGGTGTGTCCGCATTGACTATGGCACAAGCTTGCGAGAAGATAGCCTTGGATATGCTCAAGTGTATATGCTGCATGCTGTTCGTCGAGGATCGTCATACCCTCCATGAAGTATACGGAACTTGGGAGATCGTTCTGCCCAGACACCGTATCTTGGTACTGATATGCCTCCCCTAATGCCATCATGAGGAGAACAATCGCTGTACCAATGTCCCGACCATCGAATAAAGGGTGCGAATGCTCCAAGAAAGCGTGCACCAAACGATCAATATCGACCCATGGGAGAAGTGGCTGTCTGGTAGAGATGCAGTCACGATAGTTGTCTATTACCAATCTGTGCACTGTATCTGCACTGCAATCGGGCAAATAAAGCCGCGGATCCAGCTGCATAGGCCTTCCTGCCACGATACACTGAGTCTCTGCCTCTAGCGCATACCGGTCGCTCCGAATCTGCTCTTCTTGGAGGACAAGCTCGCACAGCTTGTGGATCGGTGGGAGGAAGAGTAGTTCGGTGGCCCTCATAGCGGGTCGAGTCAAGTGAGGCACAGTGAAGGCCGTCCGCTTCCCCGGCTCCGGAACAGGGCTGCGAAGACAGGGCTGGCGACGGCCTGCGCAAAACCCACAAGGATTCTGATCATCAGCACAACGTTTCTTCCTGATTCGACATGCCTCGCAAGGGTTGGAAGCTCTTCGACGGACTGGCATATTGAATTGTTTGGTTAAGGATTGAATTGAAGTTTGCTCTGATTCTCTTATTCTTATTTTAGAAGGGAGAAAGAAGTGTGCTCACTGTGCTTGCCTGAAAGTATCAATTTATGATATATGAGATAAGAGGGAACACTTACATTTTGTTTTTCCATCCAGCCGCTATTCTTCCACATCTTTCCCTTCGTTATGTTATGACCTCTCAAAGGCCTGCCGCTTTCGAGTTGATCTGCCTAGAATTGATCGATCATGTTTGAGATTCCGCCTCTCGTGTTCCGTGCTGTCTGACCAAACGGATTCGAACCTTCTTTCAAGAAGAGGCGGAACAATAATCTCAGCAGCAGGTTTCACGACACCCGAGTGAGCGGTGGTGGAGGACAGAATCGAATCGAATAGAAGCGCCAGCAGCTTGTCTCATCCAGTGTCCCGGGTCACCTCCCGTGTTTGCCATTTTGATTTTGGGCCTGCAGAAGAAGTCTGAGAAGTCGTGTGATAAAGACCGTGCAGCCGCTACGTGTCTTTCATGTGAGAGGGAAGCATCGAGGTGAGCGCCACTATAACCTTCCACATTCCTACGAATATGCAAGCCTATCACTTTTTGCTTGTTCCTGTGAGTCGTCAGCTGTGCGTTTGAGAAATGCTTGCAAGGACTCGCTTGCAGTTGGAGACCATGTTCCAAAGTCAAAGCAAAGCAGTTGTGAATCGAAAGGCTTGCAAGGATGCCAAGGAGGCTGCATACGCCCTTCTCATCTTCCACATCTTTGTAACATTGATCCTTCATGCAAGTCTACCAATATCCGCTTTGCCTTAGCTTCTTGCTTGATTATGCAAGCTGGTTCGTGACCAGCCAATTTTGCCAGCTGCATGCAGTTTTGCCCGGTCATGCTAGGTTTTGCTGTTTCTCCTTGCTGAGTTGGCAACTTGCAATTACAAGCGGGGCAAAGCCGAAATACCACGCTTCCCTTTCGCAACTTGGTGGTTAAAAGGCTTCGTTGCTCTCGAAACATCACAATCACGGACTTTCCGCTCGCTTCCCCTCTCCCTACTTTACTTGCATCGTACCTGATCTCCAAGAACTATCACCATGGGCGTTGTACTAGGAAAACCAACTCCCCCACCATCACCGGCAGCACCACCACCGGGAGCACCACCGCCGGGAACACCACCACCGGGAGCACGAGCACCACCACCACCACCATCATCACGACGACCACGACCACCAGGACCACCACCACCACCAGGCGTGAGTAAGGTACCTGCGGTGCTGGAATACCAATTTTACGAGCCGGGAACATATGGTGCAATGAGATATTATACTCCGGTCACATTTCTCCCCACAAGCGACCTCGAAAAGTTCAGCATTCAATGCAATTATTTCATCCATTTCCATCAGTCACTTGTTATCAAATATCGACTTGATGAAATGCCTCGAACCGGAAGCTTCCTTCCGATCTCGATCCTCGATCACTGCTTCCGGGCCGAGAAGGCATTGCGAGATAACCCCTCCTTCGACTGCGAGATCTTGGAAGAACCTCGTGCGCTAGCTGCCGAAAGCGTAGAAGAGGAAATTCGCGTGTTGAAAAAATGGGCAGACACTCTACGTTGCAAATTGAGGACAGAAAAACTGCAAGAAGTGGAAATGCTCAAAATTTGGTTGCTCCTTGGCGAGAGCGTGCGAGTGGAAAGAAATACTTCTTATCGTGGTAGGTGCTTTGTGACCAAAGGAACGGGCATATTGGAGGGCGTTGATATTGATGCGGAAGGAGGCGATGGAGGCATATTTGTGAATGGTCAACGCTTTTGCTTTAGTGGGGCAGACCTCTTGAAGCAAGAGTGGAAAGTGACACCATTGGGAGAGGAAGTGAACATTGAAGGGTTGAGTGACGACGGTGGTTCTATTACAAGTGAGTTTGAGGAAGCGGAAGGAGAACAAGAACACGTGGAGCAGAGCGAGAAAAAGAAGGATATGGATGAATAAGCTACACGTCGACGTGGATGCGAAGTAGACGTGGAAGGTTTCTTCGAAGGCTCTCGGACACTCATTTTTGTATGGCCAGTACTCGCAATGAATTTGATACATTTTTTCTTCATAAACAAGATTGAAATCGCCAGATGCTCTGAGAATAAGGATAGGAAGCAAGTGCCATCTCACGTGCAGGCCCCTATTTACACCTCGCTTAGGTAGACATTCGATCATTCTAGCATAAACTCAACGCCAATGGGAGGACAAAGGAGCATCCGTGCCGAGCTTGGAATAAAATCGGATAACACTACTGTAGCCTCGATTGAGGCGGTAGCCCCACTCTGTGAAGTGGTAGGCATTCCAGCCTTATTGAATCAACTCGGCGCACGTACATGATCTACTGTAACACAATAGGGAACCGGGCGATAAAGTAAAGTACCATCAACCTCACACAACAATCATGGAGTCCTTGTCTCCTGTCGAGATCTCAGCAATTCTTAACCATCGCCTTATGGAGCATCGACACATGTCAGTCAAGAGGCTTGCAAATAGCCTCGAGACTTCATCGCGAGATCCTCGGTTGTACAGAGTCATAGAACTCGGTAACAAAGTGCAGGCTACTCTCATTCACGATCCGAAAACCGACCAGGCAAGCGTGACCATGAACGTTAATGTGGGAAGTATGAGAGATGACAATGATATGCCTGGCCTTGCGCATGCAGTGGAGTGTGGAATCCCTTTCCTATATAACATATTCGACGGCTAAGAATAGATGCAGACATTTGCTTTCCAAGGGAACTAAGACCGTAAGTCAAGTCTCCGAGAGTTTCTCTGGGTTATACTTCCAGTCAAAACTAACATATAAAATAGCACCCAAATGTAAATGCTTTCCGGGAACACATCGCTATCCATTCCGGGAAATTCTCTGCATATACTTCGGATATTTCAACGGTTTACTCCTTCCGAGTGATGGAGACGAAAAGGAATGAGCCGGATTGCAATCAATCTGAGGGGGAGAAGAACGACAAAGAAAAATTTCCCGGCAAAAAGCTGGACGCTGAGCAGTTACACACCGTCACGCTCTCTAGTACTACGTCTGGAGACCACCCCGACTAGTAGTCCCCACTGTATAGCACGTTGTCTCGATTCGCCCAGTTCTTTTCTGAACCCCTCTTCTTGAATCAACTGTGTCCAAAGAAATAGAAAAGATTGACGAAGAGCACAACAAAAATAAACAAAGTGATTTATGGCGAATTTTCCAGCTAGGGAGATCTCTTTCGAATCCGGAACACCCATATAGTCGCTTTGCAACAGGCAACTGGAAACTCTCAAAACGCAACCGGAGGCGAAAGGAGTGAATATCCGGGACAGGTTTATGGAGTTCCACGATAAACATTATTTAGCAAATCGATCGCAATTTGTTGTCTTCGCTAACGAACTACTTGATACTTTAGAGGCTTGGGTTTCAAATCTATTCTTTCGATTCAAGAACAAAAATCTACCCCAGAATCGATGGGAGACAGAGGTTTTGTTTAGGGAGAGCGATCTCATGACACAGTGCTTTGCTAAGCCAGTCACGAATTCCAGATACTTTGACCTGTCATTCCCCTTCATAGATGAAGAGTGCGACTACGAGTCTCAAGCAGGTCAATACATCAATCAACTGATAAGTTACGAGGGACCCGGAGGTATTATGGCCTGTATTCAGTCCATGGGATGGGCGACGAGCATTGGAACGTGTATCATCTGCCCAGGCACACCTAGGATGTTCCACTGCAAGATTGGCTTAACAGAGAAAGGGCTAAAAGACTACAGAGAGATTGTTGTAGTGTTCTTCGAATATGTTTCTTTGCTTCGCGAGCCTCAAGAGTGGTTCTATCAAGAACTGAAAAGGAATACCGAGAATAAACTCGAGTCTAAAGTGAGTGTCGCGGCAAAATCACTCACTGAGCAGATTAGCTTAGCCATGGGAACCAAATCGCCTACAAAATGGCTTCTGGGTATACCTAGGTAAGTTAATTCGCATTCACCGTCCATGAAGTATCACTAATATTCAATGCCAGAATGCGACAATTCAACGCGCCAAAGATTTCGGAGGGATTGACGTGCTTGACACCCAGACAACTGCGCCTTTATTGTCTCTCAGACATTTGGAGGTCAAAAGAGAAGTGGTACGGCACCGATTACACCTATGAAAAGATCCCAGCAGAATTCTTCTTTCAATTGGAAGCAGCTGCATCTTTCACAACTAAGAACAGGTTTTCGGATCTACACTTCCCTCACAGGAACGATGTTCTTGTCACTGATCCAGAAGTTAAGAAAGAGGATATGGGTCCCCCAGCAATCGCACCAAGGTTGATTCGAAAAGATGGTTCGATAAGAATATGGCACAAGAAAGACGATCAGTTCTAGGCTCCAAAGGCTGCAGTTCACCTCAGTTGGCGTCCCTTCAAGATGACCGCCCTGACTTCGGCAAAGGCTAGGCTCTTCGCTAAAGTATTCCTTGATTCTGTGAACCGATGCTCACACAATTTTGAAATCCAAGGCTTCAAGTATTCGGTATTGGGTCACTCCGAGGGGCTTGAAATTCATGTTGCCGGTTATAACAGCAAACTCCACGTGCTCCTAGAAGAACTTCTACTGAAGATGAAGAATTTGGAGGCCAAAGAAGACCGTTTCGAGGTCGTCAAAGAGAAGCTGACACGGAGCCTTGAAAATTGGCACTTTCTGGAACACTAGAAGCAGGTCAGCACTATCATGCAATGGCTTAACACCAAAAATCATTACATTGAAGAGCAAATTCTTCCTGAGCTACCACGAGTAACGATTACCGATGTTCGTCAATTCTACCCGGATTTCTTGCAACGCACCCTAGTGGAAGTTTTAGTACATGGAAATTTGGACACCAAGACCGCGTTCGACCTGACTCTTTAGATCCACAATTACCACCACCTGCCACATCAGCACCGGTGTATCCATCGCTAGTCCTCCCTCAGGGTAGCAACTTTGTCTACAATAGAAGCTTGAAAGACCCACAGAATACCAACCATTGCATTCAGTGGTACCTGGATGCGGGTGACGGGACACAACGTTCATTGCGCGCCAAGGTACTTCTGTTCGCGGCATTCTTTAATCAACTAGGAACGGAGTAGCGTTTAGGATATATTACCTGGTCAAAGTGTTGTTCTTTGGGGGATTCTATTGGCTTCAAATGCACGATTCAAAGTAAGCAGAGACCACAATACCTGGAGTCGAGAATTGACATGTTCCTGACTGGGTTCATGAAAATACTCAAGGAGATGCACCCCATGAAATTCGAACAATACAAGGCAGCCTCGTGCAACAGATTAACGCATAAGTTGTGAGATTTGGATGAAGAATTAGATAACTTTTGGTCGCACATTAAGAGTGGAGACCTCGATTTCGAGCTTTGTAGGTTATTTCATTTTCAGGATGCCCGTGAGAACGAGGACTATAGCCAAGGAAGACGCAGCCGCGGTCAATTTGCTCACTCAGCCTGATATGATTGAATTCTTCGAGCGTTGTATTGATCCAGCATCGCCAGAAAGAGCAAAGATCGTAATTCACATGAATCCGCAAAACTCAACTACAGATGGTCCAATGACGGTTTCAGGAAGACTAGACGGCGAAGAGGAGAACATGGCTATTCACGTTGGGCATCAAGGCAATGGAACACTTCTAAAGGTTATTCCTGATGTTGCAGACTTCCAATCGAGAATGCCCTTTAGTTGCGGGTTTCAGCCAGTAAAGGATTTCAAGCAGTTCGAAAGAATTTGATTGGGTTGGAAGCTAGGTGGTGACAAGCTCGTTGTCTCCACTAGGAGATTGGTGTCCATACCCTAGTTCTGTCATAATCTGGCCATGTAGAGCTAGCTCCGGCTACATGCGAGTCCCCAAAAAGTCATTTAAAACTTCGGAAGCCGATTCAGAATTCTACGATACCTGATCACACCTATCGAACTCTTTTGTCCATTCCAATCATTTTGATGTCACTACACTCTCCTCTGGAACTGCAAGTACTCTCCCGCTCCAAGAACAAACAACATCGTCGAACTTTGAGAACCACCATGCGATAGACTAGTAAATCCGTTAACACATTGTCTTTGTAGTAGACCGATAACTCACTTCATTGACACTAAAGGTTTCATAGTTTCTATCTCTTCTTTTATCCGCCGAGAATATGATATCAGAGACGACTTAATGACCCATAGATTTTGACAATTCAAAATGCACTATAAAAGCATTCGAGATATTAATAGAAATATGCCATTGACCAAGGACTACTGAAGGAGTTTTGAGGTAGTGTATTATGATGCCGGTATAACGAGTTCCGAGTCGATAGAGCTCAACTCTCTTGAGGCCACTGAGAAGAGCAACTGAGAAGACCAGGCCTGAATCTGGGCCAACAGGGGAGGTGGATTTACATGCGATATAACGCGGCGTCGGGTGTATTAAGGGTCGGGAGTTTTCACCACGGGTGACCCCAAGTCTTCTGATCGACGGAGTAATGGCTGGTTTTTCGAAATAGAATCCGGTGACATGTCTAGATGTTCTAAGAAGAATCCACTTGTAATTGTTGCTTTTAACAAGTGCCAGCAAAATATATACCCCAAACCAGCAAGTCCTTCCAAAAATTGTTTTAATTTGTGAAAATATGTTAACAACAAACTTGATTGAACGAACTCACAACGCACTAGTAATCCTAGTGCAACGTATGCACGACTCTAGCAATTAGCAACCCGGCACCAGGCGAAGGCTATGCGCTCGTTTGAACCGAGTGGGAAGTATTGGGGGCAACCATCGCGACTCCTTGATAGCTATGAAGTTCGTATGAAATAGGCGTCCAAGCTAATTATGCTATTTCCAGTAAGGTATACGGTAAGACCAGTTGCGTGTTCATTGCTATTGAATAGCGGCCGATATCCGAAACAGCGTGGTTCAGGACTCTGGATAGGATCTGAACGTCGTAATTGAGACCGAAGAATATCGCTTTGGGGTAGGAAAGGAAGTCGGAATATCTAGTTGATCCCATAAAATTTGATTTGTTGTGCTACCTGAGCTTGATATGCGAGCGTAGTAGGGATCCTAACTTTATTAGCTATAGCATACAAGACTAGGCTTTTACTTACATTATAATTACATATAAACCGTAAGTTAATATCTGCTATTATTCCATACAATGATGATGAAAATGCATCCTTATATCTCCGTCTGTGCCAACATCCAGACTCCTGATAAAGAAAGCCGATCACCCTGGGATGCACCTGTAGCCCACGGTTGCAGCATGATGTGTTGGCGCTTTGGATAATCAAAATGGCTCGCCGATTCTCCATGCAGCAATGTGGGGGAAGCAAGACATTGATGCGGAGCGTTGATAGCGTTCGGGCCGTGGATCTTGTTGGAAGAGTTTATGGCGTATCGATTTGTGCTTTTCCCCAGATGGAATGTCTCCGTGCGGTACCCTTTCCATTCTTGATGCTTCTATTTGGTTAACGCAATGCTGTAGAGCACCGAAGCTTGTTTGCAGGATCAACCTGGCTTTATCGATCTTTGATGCAGATAACACGGGGGGAGCGGCGTGTCGAAGGGGTTGATGGGGGAGGTTCGGGCTGGGAGATCTCGTACGATGAAGGCCAACTCATTCATCACCCGTCCAACTAGCTTCATGGATGCACGGGCTCATCGTAATGCACGTATACAATATAATGCATAAATAATAGTGCTCCTACAATGTCGAGGGACGTGATCAATTCGGGAAAGAAGAATCAAAGTAAGTAAACGAATGGATGGCTCACGGTTCCAACAGTATGTGTTGGCAAGAAGCCGATGTGCAGTGTGTTGCAGGAAGTATATGCAATATGCAAACTCCCGATCTGGTGGTGGATTGAAGCTGAATGAAGTGAAAGGAGATGTAATTGCTCTAGAGAAGCGTGAATGTGGTATTTGTTTGTATTTTTGATGCTGGGGCTGGACACGACCCCTGATTGGAGATCCGATTCCTTGCCCCTCAGCCCCTGACGGAGCATTGCAGTATCTCGCTTATGAACGATACACTCACTCACCAACAGAAGCCGACGACGAGAGGTGAGATTTCTGTGTCTCATCCTCCAAACGTGCGTGTCCTTTGATTCCTGGTACAGTATTTTCAAGATGCTTTGTTTGGGGTAAGCTTTCCCTGGTTTGGCCTTGCCTACCTACACTCTAGCCAATAATACCTCATGCTTAATGATATATATCAATACCTGCTGCAAGCTTCGTGGGAGCTTTTTAATCGTCTACAGTACGCGCTCGGAGGTTTTCTGATGTCGTCGTTGGGAGCAGCCGCAGCTTGGCAGCGGCACGGCACGGCACGGCACGGCACAGCAGCACATCTGTGGGGAAGTGGGGAATGTTATGGATCTGTTCAAAAATCTCAATCTGCCCCAAGTCCCTTCACCGCTAAGGCCTTCTCGAAATCTTTCTGCCAGCATGCATCACGACCCACAGATATTGGCGGTGAAGTGAAGCTGGGATGCGAGATTCTGCCACTTCGAGATGCAGAAGCAGCAGCTGCAGCCCTCCTTACCTGAGACTCAGGGATATGCTCGACATGAAATGCGATGAACTTATATTGCGTTGAATAATCTTAAGGGAAGTCTCCGCACAGATATGGATAGTGTTCTAGGCCAGGCCTCGGGATTGACCACCCTTTGTCTTGAGCCGCGATGGCGCAGAGAGAGAGGGCGGGCGGGAAGCGCTCGGTAACTTAAACGCGTTGATTTTAAAATCGAGAATAATAATTAAGTTGAGCACGCACGAAGCTCCCCTTCAATATGTCGCGACCCATTCATTGCCATATATAAGACCTCCGTGCACTGTGGAGGTTAACTCCGAGAGGAGTGAAACCAAACGAACTAGAGTTTTATCGTAACTATAATACTCCATCACGTCATTTAGGGTCTACTGCAAGGCTGAGCCTACTGAGCCTATGACTGGTCCTGTAATCGTGGTAGTCAGCTGATCGCGTGTTTTCGTCGATCTCGGGACGCATTGACCACTATCTATAGTTAAAACTAATTCTACGTCGTAGCTATTTTTCAATACAAAACAATAACATTCAAGCACTTTGGTATCTTGTCGATTCTGGAGGCCACCCCCGCTCTTCTATCAACTCAGACTTTAATCGCAAAGACAACGATAACAATTCTATTCTTCTAGAATACCTTCCTCAAGTCTACACCATGTCTGAACAACCAGCAGCCGGTCCACCCGCAGCACTACTCCAAGTTGTAGTGGCTGATCCAACCGCAAATCAACCAGCTGCAGTTGCACGTCAGCCAGTTGCACATCAAACCGGTATCTCTGTCATTCGCATTGGCGGCAATAATATCCATCTGGACACAGAAAGTGTCGGCATCATTTGCGTCATTATCTTCGGTATTGTGGTAGTCTTGGCTTTAATCTCCTTGGTATGAATATTTTCTTTCTCGAAGTAATTATACTTTATATTAATAGATTATTTAGGCTATCTTCGGCTAAACTCAATCTCGACCAACAAATGGTTTTCTTTGATAAACTTCAAAATCATATCGATGGGGTGGGTTTAGGGTTTGTCTATGGTGGCGCTTTGGAAGAGTTCTCGAATCACGGTCGACCGCTTTGAAGCATTGGAAGGAAAGTTTGTTTTTGCATGCGGCGATGGCGTGAAAACTCTCTGCATATGGGACCGGCGTTTCGAGCATGGATTTGAACGAGCACAAAAAAATATATCGCGTTTTTTCTTCGCAATTTGATTCTATTTTTAAGTGATATTAAAAAAGTCTGGTTATTTCGAACCAGAAACGACACCCCATCACTAATGCCTTCTCATTTTTTCTGCCACCTGCCCGCCCACCAATAAATCAGAAGCCTGCTTCGATCGTACACAGTCCACTGCGTGATTGTAATAGTCAGCTAATCGCTTATTTTAGTCGATCTCTGGACGCATTGACCACCATCTATAGTTAAAAAAGTAATTTCACGTCGTAGTTATTCTTTAATACAAATTAATAACATTCAAGCATTTTGGTGTCTTGTCGAAACTTTAGCAATTATGCCGGAAAGCAAAGACAGTGATCTGGTTGACGGGGGTGGTCTATGCCCAACGAGGACTAGCAGCGTGCGCAACGACGGCCTGTGCTCAAGTACTCGAAATTCTGATGAGTGCGATTCTAGAGACCTCGATCGCAAAGACAACAATTCGATTCTTCCGGAATACCCTCCGCCAGTCTACAGTATGTCACCAATACCTTTACTACGTCTATTCCGCTGAACCCCCGGTCCACCCGCAGCAGCAACAATAGCTAGTCCACCCGCAGTTGCAGTAGCCGGTCCACCCGCAGCTGCAGTAGCCGGTTCACCCGCAGCAGGTCAAATAGATGCACGTGGTTGCTGCAATAATAACCATATAGACTTAACTACTACTAGCGTCATTTGCGGTTGTTTCGCAGGTGCTTTGATTACCATAGGTTACATTCTTGCTCAATATTTCAAGGAAAAAAGCAAGACTACGACATAATCTTCTCGGTATGAATATTTCTTTTCTCGAAATAATTATACTTTATATTAATAAATTATTTAGATTCTCTTCTCTTAGCATTTAATCGCCAAACTCGATCTCAACCAATAAATAGTTTTCTTTGACAAACTTTAAAATCATATCGATGAGGGTTTAGGGTTTGTCTATGGGTGCTTTGGAGTTCTCGAGTCAACGACCGCTTTGAAGCATTAGAAGGAAGGTTTGTTTTTGCATCTGGCGATGATGGCGTTGGTACTACAAAGGGTGGACTTTGCATATGGGACCGGCGTTTCGAAGCATGGATTTGAACGAACACAAGAAAATACAGACAACAATAGAAAAAGCTTTTCGGGGCACCCATTCATTTACTTGTCCACCACCACCTGATTCGTGACGTTATCATCTACTTAGGTTTCCTGTTCGATCCCCACAGAGTCCTGATGTCGTCGTCGGCGGGAGCAGCCGCAGCTTGACAGCGGCACAGCACAGCAACACATTTGTGGAGAAGTGGAGAATGTGGATAAATCTGCCAAGTCCCTTCACCGCTAAAGCCTTCTCATTTTTTCTGCCAGCCTTCCGGCCTAGCTCTAATTGAGCCTGCCTGCGCTTCACCGCTAATGCCTTCTCATTTTTTCTGCCATCCACCTGCCCGCCCACCAATAAATCAGAAACCCTCCGATCGTGCACCGTGCACACATCATGACCCCACAAATATTGGCGGCGAGATGCAGCTGCAGCCCTACCGGGAGCGAGCGCTCGGTAAACGCTTTAAGGCTCGGGTTTGTTGCACGTCGCAATACAATCTCGTGTTGTACAAACCCAAGCCAACTGCAAGCCACGAAGCCGCGCTCGGTAAAACGAGGCTTAGGTTTGTTGCACATCGCAATATTCAGCGACGTTATTGTTTTTTAAATTAGACGCATTATCACCGGCCAAACAATGATAAATAAAGACTTTAAGCGTTATAACTTAGAATTGTGAGTTTAGGCCGGAGATTTTCGACGCATTGCGGCTTATATGCGATGTATTTTGGAAAGAGTCGATTGCTATCGATAGAGCTTCGCAGATCGAGAGGATCGAGTATTCCATTGACTGCCGTGGTTCGTGGGCTTGTGGTGGTGTTCGTGTGGACGATTCGCGCCCGGGGGGGGGGGTGGGAGTGGGCTTTGCTCCGAAATGCGATATCGTTCGGACAAGGCTGAGAGTCTCAGGTTTTGGTCGGACATTCACATTAAGCAGCAATTTCCGACAAGTGACATCTTGGTTACTTGCCAATCCCTCGAGAAGGGTTTCTCTCCAGTTCAAGCAAGGTGTATACTTCTATCCACCATGCACGCCGCTGTCCTCCACGTCTCTTGCCTCAAGGTGTGGCTTTTTTGTGCTACTTCCTCGACGACGTTCGGCTTGTTAAGTCTTAAGGATCGTTGGAGGATATGAGTTATAGAGGAGCAATTGTTCACGTCTTCTGCAGATCTGCCATTGTGCTTTAGGGTAATGAAGAAGGGTGTCGTGGTGAGGAAATCGCTTTACCTCTCAATATCAGGCTAAAAGTACTGCCCACACTATTAGTCGATCAGTCCTCTTTCCAACGATCATATCGATGCGACCTCGATCCGATGTGTCACGGGTTGGATGCAATGAGTCAAAGCAAGAACCTGATTGTATTACAAGAAGAATTAACTAAAGAGAGAAGAGTTCTATCTTGTACGAGGAGCTCTTTTAAAAGGGGCTCTCGCTGGTTCGTAGAATGGCCCGCGCGCTTTGGCGTCGCGCAGTCATGTGCAGGCCCGCGTAGTCACGTGCAGGCTGCACTACGTAGTAGTGCAGCCAAATATCGGGTTCAACCCGTCACATGATGCACAGATACTCTATTACTACCAGGCCGGTAAAGTAGTCAGCTAGCTGATCAGTCGACTGATAAGTGATCAGTTAAAGCCAATCAGTTAGCGATTTTAAATAATGTCAGTCTATTAATTAGCCAAAAGTTCAACTAACAGTTGCTTATAAGTTAAGAGATATTTGAAAAAGTTTATTTTTAGTATTAAAAAAACAATTTTTAGCTTAAAATCTTAGTTTTTTCTAGATTTTTAATATATTTAAATATTTTAAAAAACATGAAAATTTATTTTTTAAATAAACACTTGTAGATAATTATTTAAATTAAAATAAAAATATAGTTTAAATATTAGATATTTATTTATAATATATTTAAAAATATAATAAAAATATTTACTAGTTAAAAGTCACGTTTCTTGACTGATCAGCGACTACTAAAAGGATATCAGTGAGTTAGTTGGATGCCTTCATTATAATCAGTCAATCAGTTGGAGAATAAGCGCGACTGATGACTGACTGACTGACTGATTTACCAGCCTGATTACTACACATAAAATAGAAGCTAAGATGCGTCTCCCCGCCTCTCTTAGCATCGTTATAGGCGACAAGTCCTTGGCTCGCAGAAGTAGTCACCTCCCCCCCTCCCCCAGATAGAGTAGCTATAGCTCCCAACATCGAAAAGGAATCACCACACGTAAAACGAGTTGAAGCATGGCCTAGCATCCCCCAACAACCTAAACTTGTGGATATTTGGTCTATATACACCCGATGACACTACGATGTTAGTTCAGACGGAGTCAAAGCCTTGGAGTTTCCACGGTAAGCAGAAAGTTGAAGGAGGAAGGGCGGCATTAAGGGAAGAAAGACTATAGCACGGGACCACAGCCGGTCAAGGTTATTAGGAAATTTGAGAATTTGGACGCAAATGCTGAGAAGACGAGATAAAGGCGAGATTGGTGGTGCCTTGCCAATTTCGAGCCTATTGAGAGATGACTCCACCAGCTCCCAATGTGAACATTACAGAATTACGGGAACGGTTTCTTGTGACCTAGCGGATCTTTAAGTGATGATCTAGCTTCTGACACGACTTGAACAGATTACAGTTGCTCCCAACTGTAAACAGCCATCGATCCCTATATTATACATCTCTAAGCCACGGATCCTGCAAGAGTTCCTTTGCTGTCGGCCTATCTCTCGGATCCAGCTTCATAATCTTACAAATGAACGTCCTGTCTTCCTCGGCGAGTTCCTTATCCTCCGCGTTCGCAAAAGGCTTCCATTTTTGATGGTCTATGATATACTGTGTAGCATCACCTATAAATTCCCATATCAGATGGAAGGTGCGTATGTCACGGGAGCTATATGGGCGGAAAAGGGTAATATTAATAAGTCTAAAGGATTGAAGTGAGAGTACAGGAATGAGGATATATAGGCATCAAAGTTTTCAGCACTAAGAGCCCCTGAACTAGTCCTAAAACAGCAAATGAAAGTGGAGACAACCGAATTCCAACTGACATCTCATCTCTTGTCCTCTTTTGGAAGAAAATCAAAGTAGCTCAATGGAAAAGGCCCGAAAAATGCAATTTGCTTTACTAGAACATGGTTAGGATAAGCCTCATCGTCTGGTCCCGCATCCTTGGGATCGGGCTTGAAGATATGCCAGCCCAATCCCCATATTAGGCTTATGAGCTGCAACAAGGTTAGCCAGACAACCGGTGCTATAAAACTGCAGTGGCGCAGATCTAAGTTACTTACAGTTGTACCGAAGGACCAGATATCAGTTGGAGTGCCCCATCTAAGATTTAGCATAGCCTCTGGGCTCCTGAACATATGAGCTCCAATCATGTGCCCATTCTCTCCGAGCTTCAGGTGATCTTTCGGGTTCACAAGACATGCGTCACCACAATCGCCCAGCTCAACCTCTCTAAATCGACAGGGCTCGCTGCCATAATTGATGAGAATGTTATCCGGTTTGATATCTAGAGTTTTGTTAATGTTAGTCATGTCTAGAATTCAAAACAATGAAGCAAAGAGAGAGGCAAAGCTATACCAGTACGCACGTAGCCATCCTCATGGAATGCCTGCAGTGCTTCAAGGATCCTCTTCGCGATGAACTTAATTTCGGGGTTTTCAAGCCTTTTCGAATTTGATACGGTTAAGAGATTATCATCGAGGTGATTTAGCACTAGAGATGGCGGGTCCCGCGTCTCATCCAGCAGCTGGCGAATTCCTGGCCGGGCATGAAAATGCTTGAGGACATCGCGTTCGTTGTCCAAGCGATACTTAGGTGCGCTCTTTATGATCACCTTCCCCAGGCTTGAACTCCTGTTTAGTGTTGCAGGCGATGGGGAGCGATCAATAGGCAGAGTTTGATACATAGCAGTCCAGATATCTTTGTGAAGTTGCTTCGAGAGGACGTAGGTGCTAACCTTCCCTTCGATGCATTGGCCAGAAGTCATATTTCAAAGGTATGGTTAAATTGTAATGAATTCAAAGTAATGCGGACAGAATTGACGAAGTTGAAACAAACACGGGGATGGTCACAAGTGCTCGATTTGAAGGTGTCGGTTCTTCAGGCCGCGATTCGAAAATATCTGCAAGCGCGCGCTACGAGTAAAACGGGTCGAGGACAGATTCTTAGGCATTCACGAGGTCTTCTTCAGAATCCTGAGCAATCACACCACTTCCAATGTTTATGCGCGCATTCTCAGCGCCGGCAGATTCATTCCAAACGCCAACACATTTCTCATAAGCGCCAACATGTTTTGTATTTAGATGCACAGCAAATGAGATACTATCAGTCAACTAGAAGCACGCGCCAGAACAGGGCGTTCATCACGAGTTTAAAAATTAAAATTAAGAATTATGATGTTAATCACGAGTCAGGGCATGCTAATTAAAATCCCAAAGCGCCACTCTAGTACTCTCCTCAAACTCTGCTCTCACCTCAAACTTTCGGCGCCACTCTAGAGCTTACCTTAAACTCAAAAGCTGATAAACTCTGATAAATTCTAATAAACAATTTGATAAAGGAATGAGATGGTGAGAGAGGGAGAGAGGGAGAGAGGGAGAGAGGGAGATGTGAAGGGTGGAGGAGGGGTATATATATTGGTGAGATGGTCCGAGGGAGACTAAGTTTTAGACTTTAGCCTAAATCTCAAAAAAGTTGTTGAGCAAGAATTCCAATTTTTAGTGAAACCTTTAGTATGTTATAGCGTGAGGTGACTCGGGTGAGTGGAAATGAGGGTGGAACGGTGGGAGGGAGACGGTGGAAGGAAACGGTGGAGGGAGAATAAATGAAGATAAGGGAGTGAGGATGAGAGAGTGAGGGTTAAGAATAATGGCAAGGCATTTAAATGTTGGGGGAAGGAAGTATGAATTTGGAAGTAAAAATGCAATAAAAACTGAGATTAAGAAAAGGGGATAAAGGGGTTAGAGTTTGAGAGAGAGAGAGTGAGGTTAATAAGGTTGAAAATGTTGATGTTGTATAAAGTTAAAGGTTAAAGGTTAAAGGTTAAACCTAAAGGTTAAACCTATCGCAGTCCAGCATTTTTGACCACTCCACCTTACTGAAATAGGAAAATTCGGCCAGATTAGGCAAGGCGCTCACACCCAAAGGTTGTCGCCACCGGGGGAATGTTCATGGTCCGGGTTATTCTTAAGGGAAGTCTCGGCACAGATGGATGGTGCATCATCTACGTAGGTTTTCTGTTCGATCGCATAGAGTGATGGCACTGATGTCGTCGTCGTCGTCAGGAGCAGCCCGCAGCTTGGGTAGCGGCACAGCAGCAGCAGCAGCAACATCTAAGAGGAGTATCCCTAGAGAGTATCGTTTTGCGGGAAAAAGGAGAAGAAGGAAAAAAAAGAAAGACTGCAATTGCTATCCATGTTCCCTGTTCCATACATCGAGGCCAAGAATTAATCACAAGTGCAATAATCTAAATATAACCGTAATATCTTCTACTGTAGCGTGCAAGAAAAGGTATTACGCAGTAGTCGACAAGTACTTCATATAGGGTAAACGATGATATGGGTAGAATGGATCGTAGTAGAACCTGTCTGAAGATCTACTTCGTCACCGGGGTATTAGTTGTAAAAACAGGGGCCCATTTGTTGCATGCTACTTTAATATTTGGTGTGCTAGCCATCAGCATCAATAACTGCCTGGCATCTCTCTCTCATGCTATGTACAAGCTCTCTAATTCTCTCATGAGTAATGGATTCCCAAGCTTTTTGCACTACTTGCCTTAATCTCTTGTAACTTTTGTGCACTTTAGGGTAGTGCTCTTGGATATAATCTTTCATATCATCCCAAAGATTCTTAATAAGGCTAAAGCCTAGGGAACAAAGAGGCCACTCAATGACTCTTAAATCTGTAGCTTTAAGTAAAAACAAAAGTATGCCCTTTAGTATTACCTTGCTGGAACTGCAACTCTAAGTATTGTTGCAAAATTTCATTCACCACAAGCACAATAATCCCATAATAAGACCCTTTATTAATAGTCTCCCAATCCTTCTCCCAGAAGAGCCTTCTATGCCGTCCATACTTCTTACTAATTGAACCCCAAAACATCTACCCAATCTTCCTCTAGTATCTTGATTGCACACAATCTTTATTCTGCTTCTCCTCAGGTCTGCGAATAACCCTTATACGTGTATGCCTCCCAAGTTGTGCCCAAGTTTTATCACTCCATAAAACTTCATCCCACTGCTCGTCCGTCAAGCCTCTTTTTCCTATTATCTTCTGTGAAAGGGCACTTCCTCTTAGCAATGCACCGTCTGTACCCTTCTCTCTTGAATGCTGTCCTAATAGCATATTCCCCGCATTCCCAGCCGAGGATTTGAGGGATCTGATTCCATGGAGTCTGCCGGTTTTCCTGAGAAGCTGTCACCTATTCAATCAGCTTCTTTCTTTGAGAAATATTCAATAGGATCTTCTTCCCTAAGTTGCGCTTTTGAGGAGTAAGACGGTGCTGAAGTGTATAGTACACTTGGCGATAAGTGTGCCTTGTTTGCAGGCAAATTTGATCCCGGGTGAGATTAGCATCATAAAATAGAGTCTGAATGCGCAGTCTCTGATCTCGTGTGAATTCTGGCTCTTTAGATTGCTTAAGTACAGGAATTTGGTGTGTTGTAGCCATGGTAAGAATGCAGTGAGAATTAAGGAGGCAAAAGCAGTATTGGATCATGTAAATATCATTGGATATTGCCCCCTGCTAGCTTAGAAAGCCCTAGAAGTCTTGGCACAACTATTTCCCCTGTGATGAAGTAACCGCAATATCTTCTAGCGTGCAAGAGAAGGTAGTCAGCTGATCGCTTCGAGACGCTTTGACTACTATCTGTAGTTAAAAGTAATTCCACGTCGTAGCTGTTCTTTAATATAAAACAATAACATTCAAGCACTCTAGTGTCTTGTCGAAACCTCAGTAATCATGGCGAAAAGCATAAACAATGATCTGGTCAACGAGAGTCTATGCCCAACGAAGACTAGCAGCGCGCGCAACGACGGCCTGAGTACTCATGGTGACTGCGATTCTAGAGAAGGCTACCACCCTTCTGCTATTAGCGCTCGCAACGACTCATGTACTCAAAGTTCGGATGGTTGTGATTCTGGAGAAGGCTACCTCCCCACTTCTTCTATAAATTCAAACCTCGATCGCAAAAATTCTAAACGCCACCACCCATCTTCTATCAACTCAGACCTCGATCGCGATTTTGGAGAAAGCCACCACCCTTCTTCTATCAACTCAAACAACGACAACAATTCGATTCTTCTAGAAGATCCTCCTCCAACCTACACCATGTCACCAGCCGCAACACCCGCAGCTGCCGGTCCTTTACTACCTCTATTTCACCAAGCCCCAGCCGCAACACCCGCAGTTGTAGTGGCTGATCCACCCGCAACTACAACAACCACCAATCCACCCACAACTACAGCAGCTAGTCCACCCACAGCTGCAGTAGCCGGTTCACCCGCAGCAGTTCACATAGATGCACGTGGTTGCTGCAATAACCATATAGACTCAACTACTACCAGCGCCATTTGTGGTTGTTTCGCAGGTGCTTTGATTACCATGGGTTACATTCTCGCTCAATATTTCAAGGAAGAAAGCAAAACCACGACATAATCTTCTCGGTATGAATATTTTCTTTCTCGAAATAGTTATATTTTATACTAATAAATTATTTAGGTCATCTTCGTCCCTCGTCGCTAAACTCGATCTCAACCAACAAATGGTTTTCTTTGATAAACTTCAAAATCATATCGATGGGGTTTAGGGCTTAGGGTTTGTTTATGGTGGCGCTTTGGAGGAGTTCTCGAGTTAACGACCGCTTTGAAGCATTGGAAGGAAGGTTTGTGCATGCGGCGATGGCGTTAGTACTATCAAGGGTGAACTCTCTCTGCATATGGGATTGGCGTTTTCGAGCATGGATTTGAACGAGCACAAGGGTTTGTTTTTGCATGCGGCGATGGCGTTAGTACTATCAAGGGTGAACTCTCTCTGCATATGGGACCGGCGTTTTCGAGCATGGATTTGAACGAGCACAAGAAAATACATCGCGTTTCTTTTCGCAATTTGATTCTATTACAAGTGATAGTGAAAAAGTCTGGTTATTTCGAACCGAAATCTGCCCTGCCCTGCCCCCAACTCCCTTCACCGCTAAAGCCTTCTCGAAATTTTCTGCCCAGCGTTCCGGCCTAGCTCTGATTGGCCTGCGCTTCACCGCTGATGCCTTCTCATTTTTTCTGCCACCGGCCCGCATGGCTCTGATTGGCGGGTGGCGCTTACTGGCTCTCGCCACCCACCAATAGTAAACATCGCAGTCGATCATTGTGTTATGTTACAGTTGATGTAGGTGATGCCACACCAGATGAACTCCTAGATGTCTCAAACACTCTCAGTCAGAGCAGCCCCCCTCGAGCACTCAAGCGATACGGTTTCTCTCAAGGTTCTCAGCCAGGTATAGTCTTGGTATCCAATCTTCGGCTGCACTTGCTATGGCATTGACACTACCGCTTCATAATGAAGCTGCCTCAACCCGTGCAAGATGTCCCATTCTACTCGTCCTCGCAATCAACCCCTAGATCATCTTCCTACGAATCGAAACGCAGCAAACAAACATGAGCTAGTCCGCCTTGCACGGAATTCCGATGTCTTTGATGGGGAGGAGACACAACAGCAAACAAAGCAAGATAAAGACGGCAGGCAAGCACAGCAAGAGGTGAAAGAAGATGCGGTAGCGGCGCTGATGTCCGGAAAGGTTGGCGATACTTATCTATCCAGCAAGAATGATGAGAACCCCCGGCTGGCTGACCCCGGTCTATCTCCAGAGCTGAGTCAGGACAAGTTGGTGAGCCATAGCGATCGTTGCAGCGACGACGAGCTTAACAATCCCGTGTCGGACGACGATGGGAAACTACGTCCTGCTGTCCTAATGCACAAGAAGCGCAAGCACCATCCGGAGCAGAGGTCTACCCGTCGACATGGACCACACTCCAAGCCCATCGGCACTCTTCGAAATCTCACTCCCCTCATGACCAGCGTTCGAGAGTCACCCCAGTATCCAGTTATGGCAGATTCGAGGGGCCAGGATACGGCTCACCGCTCCGTAATGAAGACCAGGATGAAGAGGACCCGCAGGAGCAACAGGGAGAGAAGCGGCGGCACCAGGACGGGGCTGAGGAGGCCAGCAGCGGCATCCATCAGTCCGAGGGTAACGAACGCAATCATGACACAGGCGACGAGGACGACGAGGAACCACGACCTACAAAGCGGCGGAAACTGCCCTCGGTATCAACCGATGTGGCTCTTACGCCTCCTCCCAGGCCGATCACGGGCACCCACCAACTCTCGCAGGTGATGGCCAGCACCACCACCATCCTCCACGAGCCTCTCGAAGCCTCTCGGCTGCGGTAAAGTCGGCACCACTTGCGGAGTATCAGGAATGGCCATTCCAAGGTTTCCCCAAACGCACTCGGATCCGGAGTGAGACGACGTATAATCTCGAGTTCCAGTTACTACACATCCCGGAGCACCTCCACCTCTCCATGCTTTCCGAAGCGTTGGGCATGTGTTCTGATGTTCGCAGAGGCTGCAACCCCTCACGACACTGGCGCACATTCCAAGATGCATCGGTGCGGCCTCGGATAAAGCGTGTTCGATGGACACCTAAAGAGGATGCAACGATACTCAAGATGAGGGAGGTGGATAGCTGCTCGTGGGAAGAGATCCATGCTGACCAATTCATGTCTCTTTATTCTTAGATAAGAATGTTCTGCATGGAATTGTTTGCAAGCAAGTAGGTCAATGCTAGACACGAAATGCCGTGTCCATTTAAGAGACTGTCTCTGCATGACCTGACACTTCAAGAGCTATGAGATCCTCTACGCAGGTATCAACCGTGTTGTACGCAAGTGACCAGCATTTGTAGATGATTTGTCCAGCCAAAACATCGTCGAGGACAGGGAATTGTCCCTTGATATACCGTCTCTCAATCTCTTCCTCATTATCAATTCCGTCCAGGTCTGGGAAAGGTTCATAGCCACTCATGATTTCGTAAATAGCAGTGCCCAGTGCGAAGAGGTCAAACTTTTGGTCTGAGTGATTGGCAGAACGAGGGAGAAATGATTTGGAGTTTTCTAAAGCGAAGCCGTATAATGTGCCACCATTCGAATCCGCATAAATGCCTTGAAAGTCGGAGAGCTTCACGTCCAGATTCTTGTCGAGCAAAAGATTCCGAGTATTAACATCGCAGTGGACGACATTCTTCGTATGAATGTAGGCTAAAGCTTCGCTAGCTTGCCGGGACCACTTCAATCTATCCTTGCAAGAAACCGAACTAGCTGATCCGTAGTGTCGCAGACGATCTTTCACTGTTCCCATCGTTGCGAATTCTAACTTTAGACCCCGGGCATCCAAGCCAAAACAGGTGATGATCCTGGGGTGGGATCCTAGCGCATTGTATATGTGCTCTTCGATCTCGAACCGGTCCCACTGCTCTCCTGGAATGCGTGGGTACTTCAAGACAGTCCAATCATCGAGACGGCCTATAATGCTAGACGATCCGAAACCAATGACTTTGTCAACACCCTTGGGTAGGTATAGAGGAACAATCCGGCTTTCCATCGTGCTCACTGGCTGATGAGAATGTTGTAGCTTGCAGGAGCGGAGAGAGACGGGGTGCAGGCGAGGAAGGCCAACGTGGCAGTGAGAGATATCCGATTATAAAGAGAGACTACGCTTGGCTTAACTATGAGTGTTATCAAAGAGGCGCACCTCCGGCTTCAGAGATGAGTTTTGTCTGCTGGGGCCCCTGTTGAGATGGCAAGGGGACAGCTAAAGGAGCAGATTGAGCTTGCCTCAAGGTTTCAGTAGCTATGGAGGAAGGTTCCGGTCGGTGAACACTTGAGTAGGGATACTGGGTGTGTATCAAGCTATATAGTGTTGTGCTATGGGGTGAAGATGCCAACTATCAAACTCTCTGCACCGACCTATTCACCAAATGAGCTATTGGCCAACAGAATGCCCATTTTGGCCAAATTTAGGGCCTTTTGACCAATGGAACGGCATTGACGAATAGATCAAGCGTTTCATCAATGGATTGATCTGCCCAAAATAAGCTGATGTTTCAGACCTAATGTTTGATCCTTCTCCTTTTTGCGGTGGATCTACGTGAGCAACACAACTTAATAAACTCGGATACTACTATTTCCATGTTTAAGGGTCTTTTACTATGTGATCTATCGATTATGGCTTGAAGATATACTTTTTGAGTACACTTCGAATATGCCAAAGCATTAGCAGTAGCCTATTTATCGAATTAATTAATAATAGATCCCCTTTGAGGTGCCAAGCACGGGAAACACTTATGCCTGATCCTCTTCTCAAACGTCATGTCTTTTTAAGTGTTTCGGGTGTTGTATTAATACCCTTCATTTACCCCGCACTATGACTACTACTATTCACCATTCGATTAAATATTAACGCAACACTCTTATATTTTCATCTACCACTTCATTATCTCATTAAACCAAATAGATCAATCATACTAAACATCAAGAAGCTCATAGATCCGCTTGCAAGCACTCGATTCATGCTTCCGGAGCCGGCTTTTGAAGTCAATAGAAAAGAGTGCTAACTTCCGTAATATCAAGCAATAAATATTTGGCCAAATAGCTGATCCATTCATGAAACGATGAAATTTGACCAACAGAATGATCTATTGGCCAATGGAATATTTGGTGAATAGGTCGGTGCATCTCTTCACGGTCATAGTGTGATCTGCACATAGCTTCTACCAAGCACTCACACGGCTGACCATCGTACAAGGCCCTAGGACAGATTTACATTCATTCAAGCTTGCAGACTACCAGAAGACGTCATTCTTTTTATATCAGGAGTTGAGATGTTGAGAAAGAGGATATAAAATATGGATGATGATTTGAGAACGCTTTATAGTTGCCTTCGGCGGCTGTGTATTCTAAGACCAAATCAATCATGATATCATGATATCATGAGCTATCAGTCAGCGCGAATTCCGAACGCCTCTATTTATCCACACTTACACTGGTTCCGCCGTGAAAGCGAGCATAGCCTTGTCTGAGATCAGGGGTGAGGGGGCGAATTCGCTGAGCTTATCTAAGAAATTTTCGCCCCCTGGAACAGTGTGCATTGGATAAACATTTTCTACGGACCCCAAAGCCCACTCTTTAAAGTTTTCTCCAGATTGTTTCCCCGGTACGGCCCGACAACCTTATTATAACATCTGTTTTGAATGCGATCTTGGGTCTGCAACTTGCCATCTCGACAATCCTCTCTAGACCGGGACAATCTTGGCCAACCAATGGCGCCACACGGCAACTACCGCTCTAGCTCGGAACACGATGGAAAACATCGAACTTTCCAGTCAATAGTGTCTTGCAAAGCTTTCATTGAGGATCACATGTCTTCATACGGCGATACGATGCTTTACTATGTCATCGCGGTCGACAGTGGATAAGTAGTTCTCTCTCGAACGGCCAATGCAATTAATTTGATTGAGTAGTGGTAGGAGAGCGAAAGATCTCGTATTTGTAACTAATGAGTGTCTACATCAAGCTAAGAATGATTCGTAAACATAACACCAAACAACTTGACAGCCCCAAGTTTTCGACCATGTGAATAGATAGAGATATACCTGTTTTTGTTGCTTAGGAAGAGAAAAAAATATCAGCATCTGATCAACACGACACGCCAAAAAAAATTTTGTCCTGTAAAAATATAACGCAGACTCATAACTCCTGGAGTTTTACCTCCGCCATATCAAGCCGTCCATCGTCCATCGTCCATCACAGAGCTGACTGTACGCACATCAAGAATCCAACGAAGCAGGGCGCCTGGGCCCGAGCATCCAGTCCTGCATTGCTAGCCACTCGCTCCAATTGTGCTCGGCATCCACGATCTTCTGCATTGTTGCCTCCTTCAACGGAACCAGAAACGGGGCTGTCTCTTCACTGCTGATGTCATATGCTAACTTCACTTGGTGCCAGTCAGCACTCTTTGCAGCAAAGAGGTAGTTTTGTTCTTCTTGTTGCAGTATTTGACCAATGCCACTGGACCAGCCGCGGCCAAAGAATTCCATAAGAATGAGCTCGGTGTTGAGTCCGGTGCAAACTAGGCGGCGAATGTATGGGACCAATGACACTGTTTGTAAGTTGCTGTTCCCCGAAGGTGGAGTATGTAGATGCGGAAGCGGTAGATTTTGGGGATGTGGAACACATAGATTTGGCTGAGATGGAAGCCATGGAATTGGTGTAGTTGGAGGGGAAACTGCAATCTTCTGATATTGTAATCGGATGTTCATATATGTGCAAATCGCTTGGACGAGAGGAGAAGCCTGTGCATGAATGAGAAAAAATCTTTCGCAGGATTTGTATTCAACGATCCAGTCGAGTAATGATTGTGATACGATTGATGGTAATCTGGTTGATTGTGCGTTGCTGTGAATTCGCCCCTGTTCTTGAAAGTTTGATCCATCCAATTCAACCTTTACTTGCACATCTGCTTCCGGTTAGCCCACAACTCGTCTTCTCTCATATTGTGGCTTCGTACCATCAACGGGATAATTCGGAGCCATTGTGACTGTACCCTCCCTGCTCTTTGCAATGTTCAATGCAGGAGATCAGTTATAAGCCGCGGACTGAAAAGACGTGTCTGCCCGGGTGTGAAGCGCACCACGGTGACGCCGTACGGTAAGAACTGAGGCAGTCAGTATATACGGCGATTGAGGCAAACTTGAGCTATAACTGACCTCAAACACTGAACTTCTATGATCAAGGACAGCACCACGAAGCGAGAGTAACGGCAGGCCTCAACAGAGAGATGATTCAATCAACAAATAATTTAAACCGGACGATCCAAGGTATTTCATTGAGAGGTTGGACGGAGAATCAATGGGGTTTATAAGCAAATCAAGTAGCGATAGGATTTGCGCAACTTGGCTGCTGAATAGGGGCGGGGAATGTGTGCGTGCATACATACACAATTGCTCTTGCGATCCTGCGTTCTATACCTTGGTCGCTGGAAGCCTCAGATTTTCCTCTTCCGTGAGTGATGTGTATTGAAAGTGATCTATCACTTTGCGACGACAATTCAGGGACGAATCCACAAGACACCAAACTGCTGAGCTGACATTGGCTGCAGCGCATCTATCTGACTTGACGGGGAATGCCAAATTCACAAGACACCAAACCGCCGAGCTGTGACATTAGCTGCAGCCATGATCTGACTGACTTGACGGGGAATGCACTTGCAAGCCCTGGCTGGCTGGGTTGGCCGGGTCCAGGTCCGCCCAGAAGATCCGAGCGCAGCAGCATGACGTAGGGGGGGCCGGCTTGTGAAGGGTGAAGGCAACGGGGTGGTGGAGCCTATCGATGTATCGTATCGTACTATCGATGCAGTTGGTGAGGTGATCTCTCTGGCTGGCGTCACGGGTTGCCGGGTCCAGGTCCGCCCCGAAGCTGGTATGCTTACGCAGGGTGAAGGGCTGGCTTGTGAAGCTGTGAAGGCAAGCTGGCAAGGCAAGGCAAGGCAAGGCAAGGGGTGGTGGATGCAATTGATGATCTCTCTGTCGATCGAGGCAGTTGGTGATCTCTCTGTCGATCGAAGGCAGTTGGTGATCTACCGGGCTGAAACACCAGGCGGATGGATCAGACCTCAGACCACCGAGAACATGGTGGCTGGAACACGGGATCCTCCAAATAGTGTCCTGGAACCGAGTCTCGGAACGGCTCGGTCCAGGTCAGCTCGACAGTCGGCTCATCATTCCCGACCACGTCGGCAAGTGGGTTCCCGTGACGAGCGACTGGAGAGTCGAGACACTGCGCCCCGCCCAAGGGGAGGGAGAGAGGGTTGATGGTTGATGGTTGATTGATGGGAAGTGGGAAAGTGGCGGTTGGTCGTGGATTCAAGACTCGACGCATTTGCATTCCATCATTTGCATTCCATAAGTAGTCTGCGTCATGCATGCAGTTATGTCGCCGTGATAGCTCACATCAATGATCTATCTATCCGTTGGTACACGGCCAATGGAACAGCAGCATTTCAGGAGTCAGTCTCAGCGTCAAGCAGCAGCAGATTTCACCACTCATTCAATTGCACCAGGCGATATTGTGCGACCATCGTATCAAACTTGGGTAGGACTGCGTAGCAGCGTTTCCAATCCTACGGTTTGCGATCTGGGGAGTAATGGCTCATCAGAGCTTCTAAAAGCAAGTACAGTACTTCCTTCTGTTACAACTTCGACTGCTCTCAAATCACTCGAACGGGCTCTATCTATCAGATTGGCTTGCACGCCGCATAGAGCGGAATCTCTGACCAAATTAGATCTACAGACACTTTCAGAGGGATTTTAGACCAACAACACGCCTCTCGAAACATTGGACTCCCCAGCCCGGAAAAGAACTTTCGACGGCGACTGCAGACACAATCGCCGCAAACCCGTGCAGAGCTGTTTCTCCTAGCAACCTCTTTGTTCCCGTCGCCTCACATTTTTGACGGTAGTTGAGTTCCGACTTGGTTTCACGGAATCCATTTTCACGTCTGCTCCTGTAAGTTCTCAGCTAGAACGCTCCGATCTAGAAGTTCTGGTCGCGTTGTAGCTAACGACCCGAATAATTAGTACTCTCTGCCGCCATTCATTGCAGAATCTTCGAACCATGGACCATGCTGTAGGCGCCGGTGACATAGGGACATCAGGGTGTAGATTTGCGTACCTCTCTCAAAAGACTGCCAATGTTGGAAATATAGTCCTTGTATCTTTCCTCGGTGGTCCCAATATACTCGAGCCCAACGAACCTGCCGAAATGGCTATCAAGAAAATAGGTGAAGGGAAATTCATCAAGCTCTTCGGATGGGCGGCACGATCAGCCACGGCCTCGGACAATACGATCAAATTCCCCCACCTCAAAGCTCTCTTGGACAACAGCGACGCAAACAAGCCTGCGCGTTTCATAATCTTGACGAATTTGGAAGCGCTCGCGGCTCTGGGCCGTGAGATGACAGAAAATGATCTTCTTTACGACTTCTATAAACATCTGCGTGAGGTGTTCAGGGAATGGTGTGACTCTAAAGGCTACCCTCAACCGGAAGAGTTCTTCTTCGCTGCTCCTGTAGTGAAGAATAGTGCTCTGGATGCCAACGAACGCGGTGTTTTTTTTTCAATAAGGGGAGGATGGAACGTTTGTTACGTAAAGCTGGTTTCACGGATGCACGTGTCTCAACCACTGAGGCGGAGGCGAGGCTCATGTCGATTTTGTACAATGCCTGGCGGGAAGAAAGAGATCTTCCAAGGAAGATTACCTTGGTTGACGCCGGGGCCGGCACAGTGGTACGTATTCCTGTTTTCTCTTCAATGCTTCCTAACATTCCTTGTAGCAAGTCGTTTCCGTAAAAATAGACCGGGAAAGGATGGAGACGGGGGCGGACCTCGAAGAGATTGACCCTCCAGCATGTGAGTTGCTCAGCTGTATGCCTCCACAAAAGCTAAAGATCTCCAGGTATTGGTTTGGGCGGTGAGACCATATATAGGACCGTCAATAAATGGATGACAGACAATTTCGGGGACTGACTTCTTGGAAGCTGGACAATGCCAAAACCCGCTTCGACCAGATGTTCAGACAGTACACCGTCAACGACCCAAGTTGGCAGGTGGAGTTGGTGGAAGATCCAGAGATAGTTCTGACAGGGTATGAACGGCAGCGTACAGTGATGTCCCCTTCTATGTGCTTGGCTGACGCGATAGTAGAGCCATAATGGATAAAGAGCTTTGCCCACGTGCGTACGGGGATATTTGCAAATTCCTTGAGGAGCAAATGGAGACATTTGAGAAATGTGATCAGATTATCATTGATGGCGGCTTTGGAAACTGCGATTATTTGAAAGTTCGCAGCAAAGGTTGGCCTGTTCGCAGCAAAGATTCGCTTGGGGAGGACAAAGTCATTTTTACCCCTTCCACATCTCGGTAAGCCATTTCTCGGCATGCTAGGCACTACGCTCACCTTTTCATACAGTACTGCAATCCCTGAAGGCTTAATACTCTTGGCTGCGGATTATTTCACCGTCACGATTCGCAAAGTAACTCGTTCATTTGCTGTTGCGGTTGAACTCGAAAACGGCTGGGGAGATATCTTGGAAAGACGGAAAAAGCCAACAAAAGAAGAATTGGCACTCTGGGGTGGAAATATGAGAGAACCGGATCTTGTCGCCCAGTTTGTCAAAAAAAAGGTGATTGTAGCTTCAACAACATCCTACTCTCCGTTACTGATGTACACGGGGCGAAGAGATTGCGGTCTCAGTAGAGAAAGCCAAGCCGTTTCCGGTGGGCCGACGCGTCTGTAAAACCGATCCGATCCTCGAAATCGCGTTCGCAATGGCGAAAATCGAGACGTCAAATATTGGCAAATATGTTTTACTCCCATTCTTACCTCTGAAGAAAGTTAAAATACTAAGAGCCCTTGAACTGGATCTCACCGAGTCTTTTCACCTGCCAGAGAAACCCAACTGGACCACAGTTCGTAAGGCTCGCAAGTCGTATCAGCCACCCATTCTTGCCCACGATGATGTGATCTCCGCCTTGCGCGAAAATGTAATACTACGGAGAGATTTTCCGAAAGCGATGTCGCAGATTCTTAAGCTACCCGGCCTAAAGCAATACCGTGAGGTGAAGGACTTCCACCGCCACATGAGGAAGTATCTTGCTGAAGAGCTTTTATCTCTCACAACCAGCGGCTGCTCAACAGAAGACCCTGAAAGGTGCATTCATGAAAGTACAACCACATCGAACACAGACTCACCCGAGGCTGATACTGTCGCACCGAAATCTCCCGATTCGAAACGTGGCAGAGGTCAGATGAATGATGATGGCGGAGCACCCGTTGCAGACAGAGTCGATAAGTAGGAAACTGGGAATCGACCTGATGAAGCAACAGCCGGAGAGACGTCGAGAGACCGGCCGGCAGAGGCTTTGCCTGGATGATGCTGATGCAGCCCAGGCCGACACAGCAGCTGACAGTACCACCGAACGAAGTAGAAGAACCCCTTTACCCTCTACATCCTCATTTGACTGGGCCGCTGACGCTGAGAATCTCGCAGACAAAGAAGAGCTGAAAGAAGCTCGTAAACAGCGACAAGCTGAGAACAAGGAGAAGAAGAAGAAGACCAAAGAGCCAAGCGCTCCCGCAATGGTCGAAGAAGAAGTTCCCAGCGATGCACCTGCTGCGGAGGAGGTACACACACCCAGGGTTGACAAAAGCAAAAGGAAGGCGGTTGCGACAGAGGAGCAGGAGGGTGCTGGAATGCCTACCACTGCGGCCTTTCTCGCGCTGACTTGAAGGCCTTGGAGTCGTCGATGGGAGAGCTGCGGCTGACATGCAAATGAGATTCGATCAATTACTCGCTGAAGCATTGCAGGCTGATGCCGAGCAGAACGATGAGCTTGCTCCAGACCTCCCCCAACAGTCCCCTGGTGCTACAAACCTCCAAGCCCAGATCAGACAAAGAGCGTCATACTCAGGCATGGGCACCCTCGCCACAAGGAACGAAACGAGAGCAGCGCACAAGAGAGGACCTGCTCTTACCATCAATGAGCCTGGCTCTTCTACAAGACCAGCTCACAAAAAGTCCTACTCGAGAACAGCGGCGAAACAAGCACTCGCAAACAAGAAACCCCTCTAGAGTCCCTGCTACTGCTGGACCGTTAGGAACCCGCCCCGGCTCAGCATCTGCTAGGTCTGGTTTTGATACTGGCCAGACCAAGAGAGGGCTGGTTGTAGGAGCTGGTGTCGAGATCCGCACGTCTATGTACGCTGACGAACACCACGTCTACATCAGACTGCCCCGGGAATTGAGAGCAAAAGAAGATGGTGGACAACGTGTGGAGAAGGTCCCCATGCGAGGCATGGCTGACATGTTGGAGGCAAGTCTGTACCCGGGGATGGGTCAACTGTAGTTCACTCAGAGGAACGACAAGACTAGCTGGATTGCAAAATTTGCTAGCCCTAACAACGCAAAGTTCTCCGATGGGTTGGACATCAATTACGGTAGCGAACAATTCATGTGCCAATGCCTCCTTATAGAGGCGCTGGTGCAAGATCTTTTGTGGCTGACAAGAACAACAACACCCCGATCCAGGTGATGATCGAGGAATTGGGAAGATAGCTGGAGGACTGCGCCTGGGCGCCAATGTCAAATTTTGGCTCGGGGTCCAGTTCTACAGGGCGGGGTGCGGTGATTTGGTTCTCCCAGCCGCGGAAATTTCAGAGTTGAAGGTGCACTTCCTAGAAGTGGGAGGTAAGAAGGGTAGGGTTTTGTGCAAGTTCTTGGCGGCGAGCTTGTCAAAGACCGAGTGTGAGATCTGCGAGCAAGACGTCAGCAAAGTTCCCCATGGAGTCCTTCGCTGCCCCGACCTCCTTGCAGCTTCTCCTGCACCTCCATCTCCACCGGCCAGTTGGCTTCCTCAACTGCCGGCCGGCCGCCACGAAAACTTGATGGATAGTTTCTCCATAGTCTTCGTCAATATACAATCTCTGAACAATTCATCCAAGTTCCGTGACTTGTATACTACCATTCAGAGTACCCAAGTAGACATCTTGATGATCCAGGAGTCGTGCCCCAGTGAAGAAGATGCCTCTGAACTCGAGTCCTCGTATCGAGCAATAAGCATTGCTACGAACTACAAAGGAGGCCGAGGAGGATGGAGGGGAGGAGGATTGTGCGCAGACTGCCAGAAGTAGATATTAGGATAGGGTATGACTGCAAGGCGAAGGTCTAGTACTTGAAGGAGTGAGATCCAGCTCCAAATGCGGGAATATGGAGCAGGACCCTGACATGATAGAGGAATTTACAACGGATATGGCGCAAGGGTACGGAGACGGAATCCAAACCGGAATGAGTAGAGTAGAAGTAGCGCGGGATCCACAACATGGAGAATATAACACTATTCGATCTGGATTATCCTGTAACCTATCTATCACAAGATTCTGTGAGGCAGACCATTCAGTAGGACAACCACTTCAACGGCAATGTATTCTAAGTTTTCCTCCTTTCAGGTAGTCTTGGACAAACGCCCCAAACTCTTGCGGTACTTCCGAATGCACCAGGGGATCCGCCTCATTCCACACTCCAATTTTGGCGAAATTATCTCCTATCTGTCCCTCATATTGCACTGGGTCGAGAAGATAGGCGTTCCGGAATAATGCCTCTACTGCTGGTGCATATCGGAGGCAGCTGTCGCCCGCTCTTGGATTACATACCACCGTCTGATGCTAATGCATTAGCTTGCAGCCTGAAAATCTCTGCGCGCTGAAGGCGTGAGAGTTGAGGATAGACACCAAGAGCGTTTTGAGCGACTTCATACGCAACCTTATACTTCCCGGTACGAAGGTAGCAATCTGAACAAGCAACCATTGCCATTGCAAAGTTGCGCTTGTTCATCGTCGATGGGTTTTGCCTTGCCCGCAACACGATACACTCCAGTGAGGCCTCAGCGAACACTAATGCAACACCTGGTTTCCGTGCACCAAGCATGCTACGCACTGCCTGTCGAGCCTGAGTATCTTCGATATCTGCTCGGTCAATCCCCTGCTTTAGGATAGTTCTGCAAAGCGAGCATTTGTTTTGATACGAGAGATGTTTCTCCAGACAAACCATATGAGATCTGTGACGGCACGGTAGAGTCCCAATATCGGTGCCAACTATAGGACTGAGGCATATGACACAATTGGTGCTCTCTTTTAACTTACTTATCTCAAGCTCCTTGGTAGTCGATTTGGAGAAACTCTCGATGATAGTTGCAGAGGGAACATTGAAGTTTGTACTCTGATCTTGAAAAATAGCCGCAATAATAGGATATATCTCCGAAAACCCTTTTGCTACCAAAGGTTCTCTTCCAGAAGCGTCTAGACCGCATACAAGTTTTCCAATAGATGAAGTGGATATGACATGCCAAACATAGGCCCTCGCAAGTTCACTCACAACTTCCGGACATTCCATGTTTGCGAATCTAGTGCACAATTAGATATGGAGATTGAATATTGAGGAAGGGATAGCACTAACATATATATCGGATTGGTGCGGATTGGTGCGGATCACGAACCACTCACCAAAACCTGCAAGTTCAGACGAGATGATACTACAGAGGGACAGCGGTAAGCATCTGGCAGCGGATCCTTAATAGAAACTAAACTAAGCTTAATACAGTAGTTTCCGAGAAGCCATAAAGACCAGAAAAGTGCGGGCTGGGTAGTAGCACAATCAGAATCTCTCATTTACTATTTTACCAATAAGTTAACATCGCCCTTAAATCCACCCGCTGCACATCAGCTTAAAGCCAAACCCTCTTTGAGTCCCAGTGACATTACATCTTGAGTTCAGCTGCGACTGGTACGGTCGTCGCTGGCTCAATGTGATCAACGTTGTCAACACCGATATGAGCATGATGAGCGTCTTCAACATGAAGCAAGTCACCACCCTTTTCGGTGTGATTAGCACCTCCAAATAGCACATCGACCTCCTCAAGCGAAACACTCTTTGTTTCCGGGATGCAGAACCAGACGAAAAATGCCAAGCAGATGTTCGTCGTCATGAAGAAGAAGAAAGACTTCAGACCACAGTTGTTGTAGAAAGTTGGGAAGAATTGGTTGAACACAGATTGTGCCACGTTTTGCATTTGTGAGCACATCCCAACTGCTTGGGAGCGGACGTTCATTGAGAAGATCTCGGATGTCCAAATCCAGGTTGTAGCACCCCAAGACGGTTTGTAGAAGAAGATGAATAGGAACAACATGGCGACAATAGCAATTCCTACTGGCTCGGACTTTCCTCCAGCTGCAGTGTCGGGCGTCTCCAAGCCGATTATGGGGACGATCAGCATGCAACAAGCCATACCGATGGCGCCACCGATGAACAAGAACTTCCGGCCAAAGCGATCAACTGTCCACGTAGCGTTGAGTGTGAATAAAATTCCGCACGTAGCGTTCAAGGCATTGATCAGATTGATGGTGTTGGTGGACGTAAAGACCTTCTTGTATATCGTGGAGGAATAGGAGTTCAAAGTTCCTTGTCCGGAGAGTTGCTGTCCGATATTGATCACGAACGCCAAGAGTAATCGCTTTCGGACAGAAGCATCTTTCCAGAGGGCAAGGTAGGAACCAGATATGACTTCCTTCTCGAATGTGATGGCTTCGCGGATAGCCAAAATCTCGTCCTCGACTTCTTGATCGCTATCACGAACTCTCACCAACGACCTGCGAGCATCTTCGATGCGATCGCCGTGTTGAATGTACCAACGTGGCGTCTCGGGAAGAAAGGGTAATTGACAGATGATGAGGAATGGAACGAGCATTTGGAACATCTGTGTTGCTAGGAGTTAGCGCTGATTGCAACAATATTCAAGTCTCCAACATGTGATCCAAGCGAAGATCGTCAAGGGAATCTTTGAGAACATACCACTACCATCTTCCAGTCCCACTCGCCGAGTAGGGCACTATGCTTCGCGCACGCGTAGTTGACCCAATATGCGATGAATGCCCCGACGGAGTAGAACAGTTGCCAGAAAGACACTAGTATGAGCGGTTAGAGATAGCTGAGAGATCTAGGAGTGATACATCACTTACTAACTTTCCCTCGAATTGTTGGGGGTGTGATCTCTCCAATATAAACAGGTCCAGCAGCTAAGTGGTTCGTCAGGAGGTTTCGGTGTGTATGGGTCATACGCCTTACTCAGAGCCATCCCTTGGCCAATACCAATCAAGACACGACCAAATATGAAGACACCAATTTCATGGCGAGGAGAAAATGTCTGAATGAATGTTGCAATAATTGTAATGAAGCATCCGATGAACATGCCCCATCTCCGGCCAAGGAGATCTGCCTATACTTATGTCAGAGATCCTATCACGAAGGGAGGTTTCGGAACTTGGCGTGTACTTACGGTTGGGCCACCTAGAAACCACCCGGAGACAATGGCTCCGATTGAGTACGACGTATTGATGAGACCGAGCAACTCTCCTTTCTTGTGGAAAAATTAGTATGTGACTTTATACGAAGAATCTTGCAGAGCATACAGGAGTGTTGAACCAAGCGAGCCAGTGCTTGTTGGCCTGTACTGCGTTGAAAACAGCGGCATCATATCCATATCTGTGATAGCTTCATGTCAGTCCTGAGTCTCGTGCATCTACAAAGGAAGCGTTCTTACAGCACCATACACCCAGCAGCCACCATTGCCGCTATACTGATGTATTAGCATTATGAACTGCCACGTATTCTCGTTGAAAGAGAGCGGAGGTGCTCGCAGCTGTCCTGGGAGCCGAAAGCCATACCACAAACCAGTGCTGGCCAACCCCGAAGACAGCCTCTGAGCTCCAGGCTTCTACAAAACGAGGGCAAAGGTGTTGGACTAACTTACCATACCCTAAAGTCTTATCAGCAGAGCGTCTTGGGATTTGGAGTTGTAGGTACTTACAGTTGTAGACACGGGTTTTGCTAACCATCTTGGCGACCCGCCGAGATCAATAACTATGAAGGCAAAGAAGATGAGGTCTGAAGGAAGAAATCGACCTTGCCGACTTGGAGTTGAGAAGGCTTGAAAGGTAAGGAAGAGAAAGTAGGCAGGGTGGAAAGGTCATTCCATTTATTTGAAATTTGACCATCTCCATATTTTCCTTCTCCTTACCCCACAGCACGAGGAGGAAGGGAAGGATGGGAGCCACACGAATGCTTGCAGTTCGAAAGCACCAATCGGCATGCTGGAAAGAGATGCAAACCCCAGATCACAATGATACTTTACGAGGACGCGGAGCACCCGCAGATGGGGGTGGAAGCAGCCCCGGGCTGGATGTCCCAAAGCTGTGGTTGCTCCTGTGGCGTCGCTTGGTCGCGGAGAAATTCTGGGGATGATTCTTCCTCAAATCACAGCAGCTCAGCCCAGTCTCTTTCTGGGGAAACAACCGACGGAATCGCATCTGCTCCAGAACCCACCAATCTAAGTATTCTTTCTCCTCTGCCCATAATCGCGTGTCCGATTGCGTGTGAACGAACGGCACAGGAAATCATTCAGGGGACCAGGGGCGACCGAATTCGAGATAAATTGCTCTAGAACCATGGAACATGCATTGCAAGCCCTAAGGTTAACGGAGCGCATCAGCCCCACCCCAAGCCCATCCAGTGGGATGATAATATGCTCCAACTCACACGCTGTACACCGAAAACAGAACTGGAAAAGAGAGAACTAGGCAAGTGGACGACAGACGATGGATGTTGGTTGCTCTTCGAGACTTCGACAGAACGTTGGTATGTTACCGGGGATTGGACTACTGCGTTGACAAGGTCTTTGCAGACAAATCGACTGTTTAGGTCTAGCCTGCAGCCTGCACCATCTCGAGCCCTCTACAAGCGCCCGCTATACCAATCGTTGACTCTAGCAATCAATTGTCTGGTCAAGAATGAAGACTTTGGACCGTCGATTGTCAGGAATTGAAAGCCGGATACTCAGACGCCATGCTGCAATTCCAAATCGTGAATGCATAATGTGTCCAATGGAGCATTCGCAAACACCTGTAGTCGACTTCGATCCCGTAGTCTTGCTTGAAGGTGTCAAGGGAAAGTCGGGTTGCTGGAGCACCCATACAATCACTCTGAAGTTCTGGGAGATTGACAAAGCTAGACAAGGAAAAAGTCTATTTCTGTATTGTTTTTGGCTTCTCCTCCAACACATTCTCCGCATTGACAATTATTTACCATTGCTTTCTTGCTGGACAATCTCGCTCTGATGATTATCGGGCATGCCACTTCCATCTCAAGCTAGGAAATGATTGTCTGGGTAACCCCACATTCAATTTTCAAAGTTGGAAATTCCACTTGGGAGGGCGCTTGAGATGTAAACAATCTAGCGTTTTATCGCAAAAAAGGAGAGGACATGACAATTAGGTGTAAGGAGATTCACGTCTTCCTGGTCATTTGTTGTACTTAAGTTCAATCTATCTGCGTCCTCTAAGACTGTACTCTCCTTTCGACTCCAGAAGCTTCGGAACTGTTTACTTGAGACATTGCTTTGCAGATTCCTATCACATCCGTGTCTCATCTTATCTTCAAAATCTCTTCAAAAGCTTGCAATTCGATGCTCCGTCACACATACTGATACTTCATCTGCAAGCAACAGACAAGTTCGCTTCCCTTACTCAGTCCTTTCGACCATGAACTTTCACCCGAGTCTCCAACGGAGCGAATTGCTTGTCGACCCCGCCGCGAGGGGGTCCTGTTGGCGTACCAAATACCAATTGTGCACGAAGAGACCAACTCTCTGGCACATTCCAAATCTTGGTTACATCTTTGCCGACCATCGCTTGGAAATGCTGAAGACTGCAACCCAATCCTTCATTGGCTAGAGCAGTCCATGCGATGAATTGGTTCATGCCTTGAGAGTGCTCGTACCCTGGTAGTCTTCGTTAGTGAGCGGGCGAGAAGCTTGAACATGTTATCCTTACAGTCTGGATTTTGCGCCATGAGGTCTTGCAATGGTGGAGGAAGGGACTTCGAAGCGTCAGTGTCCTCGAAGAACATAACCTATGCGAACTGGTGAGGCCAAATCTTGTCATATACTTTCCCGGAGATGACTTACAGTTCCATAAGCATCACGGAAGCCTTGAATCTTCGACTCATGTTGGGCGAAGACTGGAGGAGGCATGGTATTCTTGGCTGCGGCCATACCAAGGTCCCAGAGCTTCTCGTGCTCAGCGCCAAAGAGGATGATTGCACGACAAGACTGGACACTAAATGGCGACGGAGCATGCTTTATGGCATGGTTGACACACATTTCGATGCGATCATCTGAAATTGGCGACTCTTTGGCAAGAGTGAGAATAGAACGGCGCACTTTGATGGCTTGGAGGAAGGATGTTTGGTATGCCATGATTGCTGGTTTGATGTGTTGTTCGGAAGAAAAGTGTCAAGCGGTTATTGTTTAGATAATGATTCTTGTGGAGTAGAGAATGGTGATGATTGTGAATGAGAAAAAAAAGGGACCAAAGTGAACTCACCTGGTATTTATATTCATTTCTAACAATAACATGCAACAGGGGATAGGACTTACACGATTTGTGACCGAGCGGCGTATGATCATACCATCATGGAGATAAATCAAATTCATAGGACTGATGATGTTTCAACACGGCTCCCACAATCAGCCGCAGCGCAATCCTTCAAGCCTCTAGCGATAAAATGCCCTGTTGGGAAGGCAATGCGAGACGACGGCATTGCACCAAGGCTCTCCTGGAATTATGATACTGTAAGTCCGAGCTCATCAATGTGTGCGCGGCACAGCCGAATACGGTCTTCTCGGGGCCGAAGAAGAAAGATTCTGTCTCACGGACACTTATCCACCCGAAAATGAGCAGACATCGTTAGCGAATGTAAATGCACGTCTAAACACAGAAAACTGAATATCAGTAATAGTCCAACTCTGCGCAAAACCATTTTAGGCCTCTAAGTCGACCTCGGGCAAACTAATTGTCACTGAAGGATATTGCACTGCCTAAGAAATACTGCAGCAAGAGGGTAACAAAGAGACACCCTATACGGCGGGAAGGAGGGGGAGGAAGTACTTTGAGGCAGAAGGGCGGATGTTGTGTTGAACGTCAAAATAACGTATAGGAGATGGGACTAATTGGATGCATGAGTAGGTCTAAGTATCGAAAGCGTTCGGCATGTACTGACACCATCCATTGTGTTCTAGCATTTCGAAAAGGAACATATGCCAATTGAAGGACGATTGTCTGAAAATACCCTTCCGTTCACTTTCGCTGCAGAACGAACTGTTTGAAAACGGCCAATGATGATCTCCTCTAAGAAAGGACTTGTCACCTGTAGAACGACAACACAACAAGAAATACATGGATTACTCTAGACATCAACTAGCCTGGTGCTACTCCTTCCGTATACATGCGTGCTAAGTAAAACTACTCAGAGCTCCAAAAAACATCTCCCCGGACATCTCAGACTCATCTCTCCGAGTTTGCCTCAAAATTCGAGGGCAAGACGAACAAAAGAAAAAGAAAATACGCAAAAGTACCCATGGTCCCAATGTGGATCTTGTGTGCTAGACCAATATGCCAGCAAAAAAACCGATCAAACAGCTTTCTGCTGTTTAGACCAAGTGAACAGAACCAAGACTGACCCACGCCGCAGGGGCGCGGCACCGAAATTGTGCTCGTCGAATCAATAGGTCAAGATGATGACCAACAACGCGAAGAGTAGTGCGAGCCCAGTAGAAGAAGTCATAGACGATGATGAGCCTGTATAGAGTACTGGGGAAGCAGTGGTTGTTTCGGCCAAAGCACTATATGGTGCAGGTGTTGGCGTTGCAGATGTAAGTGCGGGCGAGGTGGCAGTCTCCAGAGGAAAGTGAGGAACTGTTGGACTTGGAGAATAAGGACCACCGACACTTTGCGTTGGATAATTGGCGCTTTGTATAGGGTAGTCCACACTCTCGGTGGGAAACCCAGCTTCAGAACCAGAGCCATATAATATAGCACCAGCTGCGTACTCGGCTTCTCGACGGCGGAGGTCATCTCGATTCGGGATAGGAGGAACGGCGAAAAGAATCTCATTGCCAGAACCGAAGCACTGTGCAATAACATGGTGAAGTGCAGAGCCGAAATGTACCGTGTCGCACTGGGAGAATAGACACTGGTACACTGACTAAGTTACATATTAGCAAAGAAGCACTCCAGGGCTTGGTTTGTGTGTACATTGGTATAATCTGGCTCACTGCACAGACAGCCAACGTCTGTAGAGCATTTGCTGACATATTTTGTGTTCTCCCAGCAGTTGATGGCACAATCTGATAGTACCATTAGCGAAACGAAGAAAGGAGAAGTTCGCAAGTGTCCTTACCCGGTGCCGAGGGATCAATCTGACCAACTATCCCAGGTAAGATCGCAACGAGGCAAACTACTCTGAGCAGTACCATCGTTATTCCCGTACGGCGTCGAAGCAAGGTGATGAGAAGTGTGCCTGGCTTTGCCGCTACACCTTTGCTAAAAGAGAACGACGATGGAGAGAACTCAGATGGAAAAGATTGGAATCGGACGAAAGAGAGCAAGGTTGATTGAAAGCAAGAAGTAAAGCGATCGAATGTTGTAAGCAAGCTTGAAGGGTCGAGTTGGGTAGCGAAAGAGCGTGAATCGAAGGAAGAGGCAAGCTGCAAGAAAGGAAGAAAGAAGGAAAGGGAACATCCATCAGAACCCAAAGCATCTATAGTGAAGGCAAGAGCGTGGGGACATGAGAAGACGATGTTCGTCGGCGACGACGAACTTTCGAATCGCGCCTACCACAGTTTACAAACCTTAAGATGAGACCCAATTGAATAATGGAAACCTCATGATGACTGAACATCAAAGTTCAATCACTGAACGACGCTTTACTTTGGGTATCTTTGGTCTGCTAGTAGAAAAGTAACTGTATACCACCGGTTGGCGCTCCATATCTCTCACGGAACTCCTTTTGCCCAAGCCAAGCTGTCAGTGGAACCTGTGTTTCTTTCATCTCCAGTATGCCCCTTTTCTTTTGATCGATATGCGAGGCGTCGACAACAATTCGTTCGAGTCTGTCAACCTGGAGAGCGCCTGGAAGGTTGTCAGCGATATTTCAAAGAGGGTCTAACACTACGAACCATCATCCAGAAGGTCTTTCAGTCGTGTTGGAGTTCCAACTGCGATTCCAGTCCTTGTAGACTTTAGGAATTTTATAGAGTCCTTGATTTTGATGTGCTTTGCGAAGAGCTTTGCGACTGTAGCATCTTTCGTTTGAAACTTCCTGACAACTCTATAAAACAAGTTAAATCCTGTATGTTTCAACCGCAAATAGATGTTACCTTGCAATATCTGCGGCTCTAAGCCCAGCTGCGGTCACTATGATTGTATGTGGAGCTCCATTCTTCTTCGATGCTGACCATAGCTTGGTTGAATTGCCTGCAAACTTTTCCAAGAAACCCGGGAGGTTATCGAGCGTCCTGCTTTGGTTCCAAGATGTGGTGTCTGCTATTGCAGTTGCTAGCATAGATGTTAGATCAAAGTCAAACTTACAATTACAAACACACCTGGTATGTACTTGTCTTCTAGTTCAATTGAGCTCAAATCACTCTCATACCTCCTTGTCCGTTGAGCAATATAGTCCGCTAATAACTGATTATCCATGTGTGAGAAGGCATTGTTGATACCAGCCTCTGTATCGAGCTCGTCTTCTTCAACATCTTTCGCTTTCTTGGTCTTGGTCTTTTTCGCAGACTTTTGGGCAGTCGGCTCCTCAGTCGAGCGTTTTCGTTTCTTCGACGAAGGAATAGCATCTGGTTCTGGAGAGGGTGTGAACTTTTCTAGGAGAGGCTCCTGCAGATCGTCTTCCACGGACATAATGGATGTACTGATCAGAGCATCTAAAGTTGACTGGGAATAGAATTGTAAGAGTAAAGTTTGAATACCCGTCGTGGAAATATTTCATCCGATAACAAATTCTTATCGACGTGGAAGCTTAAGGGTATTGGCGCTAAAAACACATACCCAAGTGCTCACGTGATCCTTAACCGTAACACCGTGACATACATTAAAATATTTAAAAAGATTCTTATATTGTTTATTTTAAAATAAAGATGAAAAAAAGATTAAAAGATTAATAATAATAATAATTTTTTCTATAAAAGTTTTAGTAAACTACGTTATTTAACAATTTATTTACTAATATGAAAAGTTTTCTCTTCTCCACAACACTTGCACTTAGCACCTCGCACCGGCACCTCGCACCGGGCACCTCGCACCGGGCACCTCGCACCGGGCACCTCGCACCGGGCACCACGCACTTCATACATTTTCTTTTAGTGCTCGAATATTGTTAAAGAACCCGGAGAAACTTCGGGCGGGTGGACGGGTTTTCGGGGTTAATATAGAAATATAATTCATGTTACGAATCACCTAGATCACCCTGATCTGGATCACCTGGTTAGAGATCACGTGAGCACTTAGGTAGCCTCCACGTGATCCTCCCTGAGAACGGATCGGGCTTAAAGCTTAAGCATGTTTCACTCTGGCGTATATAAGCTCTGGCTATCCCACTCCCTTCTTCTTTCTTTACTTATGACAGCCACGCACTCTGGACTAGGTATCAAGACGTACGCACTAATCTGTGAATAATAGACAAAGAATTAAAAGAGCGGAAGAGTGCTGAGGCCAGATAAGCTGAATCCTCAGCACTAGCTCAAACACTAAATGAAACATCTCACGTGATATACCCGATGATATCACCAGAACCGTGACATTACCTTTAGATTCTAAGAGATAGCCGAATCGATTCTTCGTCTACATACTGAGCTTCCCACCGTGCTGTCACAATTCATTAATAATTATTGCACGGAAATTTAACCTTCGGACGCCGTTTTCTGGTTTAAATGTGACAACACGGTGGGGAGCTCAGTACGTAGACGAAGAATCGATTCGGCTATCTCTTAGAATCTAAAGGTAAGGAAGGAAGAAGGGAGTGGGATAGCCAGAGCTTATATACGCCAGAGTGAAACATGCTTAAGCCCTAAGCCCGATCCGTTCCCAGGGAGGATCACGTGGAGGCTACCTAAGTGCTCACGTGATCTCTAACCAGGTGATCCAGATCAGGGTGATCCAGGTGATCCGTAACATTAAAAAGAATTCCCTAATATTTCTCGGACTTTTGATTTCCGGCGTAATTTTTGCTAAATATTTAAAAAAAAATTTTTTAAAAAAAACCCCCAATAAAGCAATTGACAGCAGAAATTAGATAATAACAACGACTTTTACTATTATCGCCCGTATCTGGCTTAGTCTAGAATCTAGCGTTATTGAAGTTCACGCGTCAGACGCGACGGATGAGGATAAATCACAGCACCAAAGTCATTCTGATGATCAATCCAATTCTCGTCAATGATATTGTGACTGAAGATGCCGTATTGAACCGGCTTATATGGATTGATTGATCATGTCAACAAATCCTGGCCGCCAAACACTGCAAGATGCAACAAACACAGACCTCGGAGGCCCCGCTGCTCGACAACCACGAATTACACCTCGAAATACCGATGAACATGCAGCAAATGAAACTGATATCTCGAAGGAAACACCATGGAGAACTCTGAACCAACTTGCCAATATTCCCAGGCCTACAACCCCGTTGCGTCGAGCTTCGAGTGCGGGACCATCGTCGACTCGTCGATCAGCTCGCAGGACGCCAGGCACCGCGCATAGAACGAATGGTTCGGGAAGAAAGGCTGTTGTAGTTACTCCACATGGCAGAGCTGCACGGCGCGAACTGGATCTACGAAGAGCAGGTTTGACGCCGGGGAAAGACCGCAGGAGAAGCGGTAAACAGCAAAGAGAAACACCGCGAGATATACTGCGACAACTCAGCAGACATTTAGCTCCGAAGACCTTACCTACTGTACCTACAGCTGAGGGTCAATCTGCTTCCGTGACGAGGTCGAGGTTCCGAATTCAGGACGAAGATGACCTGGACGACGGATCAGAAGTTCAGCGACCACGGCTGTCCTTGCCTCTTGACGAAGATGAGGATGAGGATGACGATTCCTTATTACTTCCGCCCCAATCCGCTGGCCTAGAAGATGAGAATTTTACCGTGCAATCCGTTGAGTTAGGACGAAGAGCCATCGGTGAGCAACCGCCAGGAAAGCTGTCGAGAGGTAGCTTTGGTAGTATCCGCATGAGTGATGTTTTCGCCGACTTGAATGACACCATGAGAGGAGATATAAGTGGGGATGCCTATGATTCCAGCTATGTTGTAGGAGGTAATCTCGGCGACGAGGATATGGCAAATGCTTTGGAAGATGGAGTATTTGGAGTGTAAGCCGAATTGCCCTCTAGAGCTACTGTGCTAACGATTTGAACAGAGAGAACACTGTCACCCTACGAGATTTTGGTCTCGATCGCGGTATATTTGGATTGGCGTCAGGGAGGGATAGCGATATCCGTCCAGCGAATCTGCCAGCAGATGATACAGAGAACACTTTCGTTTTTACCGTCCCACCCAGAGAAGCCCTGGAAAAAGAAGTTGCACCCGAGAATTTAGAGCTATCTCTACTTGATTATGGCCAGGATGTAGAAGAGTTGGTAGATGTGGAGAATGAGCAAGATGGCGACGAAGAATTGGATGAAGAGGATAATCAGCATGAGGAGAGTGGCGCCGAAGAATTGGGGGACATCAGCAATATTAATGCACTAGGCCATGATCCCAGCATACTGGATGCCACAATGCAAGAATCCGAGGTTGCTGAGATTATGAAGACGAGGAATGCTCGTAAGAAGACGGTAAAGGTCTCGAAGCATGGTACCCAGTATCCTTCACTTCCCGCTGGCGTGGTAAAGAAATTGGCAACGAGATTTGCACGCACGGCTGGCAGTAAGGCTAAGATCAATAAGGAGGCTCTGGATGCAATCATGCAAGCGTCGGATTGGTTCTTTGAGCAAGTCAGTGATGATTTGGGAGCCTATGCTAAGCACGCCGGGAGGAAGACAATTGATGAGAGTGACATTGTTACTCTTATGGCGAGGTATGGCCAATTCAGGGTTCTTTGTTCATTCGGGCCGTATTCTAACACTTATCTTCACAGGCAACGCCAGACAAATTCTGCAACAACGCCATTCTCCCTCGCACAGAAACATCTACCACGCGAGCTTTTGCAAGAGCTGCGTATGGTCCCACCTTCCAAGCTCAAGAAAGGTCGAGCATTAGAGACGGTCGAGGAGGGCGAAGAAGATTGAGTACATCAAGTCATGGGTTGATGATTTATGACCATTCTTTATTTTGGCGCACACGGCGAGCTATATCTGCTGGAGGCTTTTTGACGACCATCCAGAGCATTACGGAAGTCGCGGCTGCGAGGGCATACCTGGACAGGATCAGTCTGGATGTCTGGCGTTGGGGTATACCACTTACCATGTGAATATATATTGTGTATGGTTGTTTCGAAGATTGACCTCTGCTGGTCTTCCAATAGGAATACCACGAGCCTCTCGATCCCAAGCCTTCAATAGGTCGGGATCTATTATACGTCAGTAGGGGAGCATGTAGTTAGATGATGCGACAAACCCATAGTTTCTTCTACCCATACGGCTTGACTCCCAGTCAACTTAGCCATTTGTGCAACATCTGGAAAGTAGAATTCCTGAGTCTGTGGACTGTTATCCGGTGTGAACATGTTCTTCTTCCATGGCTCTCTTAGCAACCCCTCAACTGTTATTTCCTCTCTCGGCAGGCCGTCTGGTCGTTTGTCCTGCTTCTTAAACTTTTTTGATATCCACCCACGATTCACTAACACCGTGGTCCCATTTCCTTCTCTCTCCAACGGCGTGATAACTAAATAACCATCGTGACCGTCGTGCATTCGAGGCCCAATCAACATCTCCTGATCATGTCTGAAATGCCCAGTCGCATATATTCTCCTGTAATCAAATTCGTGTATAGCTGTAGGATCTACATGTGGTGGTAGAGGAAGAGGATCTCGGACGAGTCGGTCTTCGAATTTGGCTATCAATTTGGATTTCCAATCGAGTCGTTGAACCTGCCATGTCCCCAAAGCAAATGCGGTGATGGGTATCAAAGCTACCGGCAAGATCAGCAATTGTGCCTCACGTCAAGGAATTCAAGCCCACCAAGTATGATGAGGCCAGGCCCATGTCTCTTTCCAGCTCGAACAAGGTTGGGTGGGTTGTCGACTATTGACATGAAATTCGGATCATCTGCTGGTTGAGGCTTTGCCCGCGTCGAACTCCGAGAGACATGCCGACATTCTGGACACCGGGAGATAATTGGGCTTCGAAAACTGCTCGCGGGCCTCCGTATAGACCGCAGGGCTCGAGCTGGTCGTATGCTCCTCGAAATATTCATAGCTGTTAGGATGCTATGATTTTGCTGAGCATACATTCAAAGAAGCTGGTTCTAGCTTATTTCCTCGTTTAGGTTAGCAAACGGCTGGTGGGGCACGGCTTTCTAAGGCCACCACTTCCACCAACGTACAAACAACCAGATACCTGGCAAAATGTTCTACGAAGGAGACTTGCAGAGCGGCATTAGTAAAGCTATTCAAGAGGATAAGCTGGTCGCTTGCTTCGTGACAGGTAAATAAAAAAAAGCTCAAAATTTGTCGGGCATATCGATTACGAAATTGAGCACTGCTGACCACCTGGCTTGAAGACGATGGAGGAGAAAGTTTACTTTGGGAAGAGTTTCTTCGAGAAGAAAATGTAAGCTTCATAACCAAATATTTCCTGTAGTCACTAATGATAGAAATAGTTAAAATCTTCGTTGGCTACGCATACAATATTGCTCCGGCTCAAAGCAGGGTCTCAGGAAGCTGGTTACCTTGCAGCAATATTCCCTCTGCCGAAAACACCCGTCATCGTAATTATCAAGTGAGTTTATAGCAGGACTTATTCTTTATCATTATATTACTTCTGTGAACGCGTCAAATTCTTTGGCCAAGCGATTGTGATACGGCAATGTGGGAAAAAGTCAAATTGAAACTGACAAACTTAATAGGAATGGTGAGCTCAAGGAATACTTGGCAGCAGGTATATCGAGGGAAGATTTTATGAGACGTATAGGTGTTGTGTTGGAAACAAAACCATCAATTCAGTCATCATCAACCTCAGCTCCAGTGGCACCCAACCCAAGTGGCCCACCAACAGGCTCCTCGCAAACGGGAGAGTCATCTACGTCGACTCCCCAGAGATCTACAAGCCTTGTAGCTCAAAGTCTAGCCAACGAGCTGGCTCAGTCCCGTGCAGCCCAAGATACGCAAGCTATGCTAGCAGAACGAAGTGCTCGCCTTGAGGTCCAGAAGAAAGAGCACGACAAGAAAGAGAAGGCTAAACGTGCTGAAGAAGCCAAAGCTCGACGGGAGGCTGCTGAAAAAGCCGCTGCGCCAGGCTCGAAAGCCGGGACGGATGCCAAATATGCCCTGATGCAGAAGAAGCGACAGCAGGAGGCTCGTGATGAGAGGGCTAGGATTCTCAAGCGTGTTGAAGATGATAAAGCTGAGAGACGCGAGAAAGAGGCTGCTCGAAGAGCAGAGGCTAAGGCAAAAGCTGAAGAAGTCGTTCCACCAACTGGATCTAGCAGCATAGCACCCCCTTTCGCTAGCAAGTCAGCCGAGTGCGCGTTACAAATACGATTATTTGATGGATCTACCATTCGATCAAGATTTCCGTCCCAGGGTAGTCTTCGAAAGGACGTTAGACCATGGATCGACGAGAAGCAATCTGGTGATGTACCATACACATTCAAGCATGTCTTGTCACCTCTGCCTAATAAGAACATCGAAACGTCTGAGGAGGAGCGGACGCTTCAATCGCTTGGACTCACACCTAGTGCAACCTTGATCTTGTTGCCAGTCACAAATGCTACGAATGCCTACGAGGGTAACTCTGGCCTTGTTTCTCGGGGTGTCTCCGCCGGCTACGGGATTGTTTCTTCTGGTGTCGGCCTCGTCACTGGGGTTCTTGGAAGCTTGTTGGGAGCAGGACCAACTCAACCAGCAAATGATGCAGCACAAGTAGACTCCACAGACACACGACCCAGTGCAAATATTAGAACATTGAGAGACCAGAATGCTGGACCTGACGACCAACAGTTCTACAACGGCAACGCACTCAATTTCGAGCCTCGACATGATGACGAAGATAAGAAGGACGACTGAGCGGTTGGTGAAAGATGCTTGGCTGCATGAGCGGCGAAAGGCGCTGAACTTGGGAATAGCTTGGTGAACATACATTTCTCGATGCTTCTGCTGTACTTCTTTAGAACAGACTTCACTTGATGTTGGTATTACGAAGTCAATTTTTGATGCGGATTGAGAATTAGAGCCTTTTCCATTGGTACAAGATGACCCTTCTAATGTATCAGTTCCCCAAATTTACCACTTTATTCGCACTCCTTCTATTATGATGGTAGCAAGTCGCCACAGTTCCAAGAAAATAATCGAGATGGTATGATCCTTCACGATTTTAGTTGTGAAACTTGAAGTCAAATACGCCGTAGCTATCAAATTCACATGTCCAATATCGAAGTCAATCCTCGACAATTGAGATCGCAGCTGTTCATGTTCTCTCTCTGGCCACGAGATTTGGACGGAGATTCGTCCTATATTTCAGAATGCGCATCCTGCGCGATCTGTGCAAACGCGCGAGTTTCGCATATTGTGCGTTTTGCGCTCATCGCGCTTCCTAATTCTCATTGTGACATTATCACTGTTTCTGCTTTGTCCATGGACTGATATAAAGAATAGCAGACGTCTTCTGGAAATCCATGGCCAGAACGGCGAGCACACAGGGTGTCAGGACAGGATACAAAGCAGACGAGTGAAGACCGTCCTTCTAAATAGATACACAATCACAATGTTGTACAGCAGGACATCTGTCTGTCCTTTCCGGTCAACTATCTATGTCTTTCGGCTACGAACGACATCGAACACCTTACTCACAAGAGTCATCAGGTATTACCTCCGCGTACTCTCGCTTCCCCTTTCCCCCTTTTCCATCTCCCTCCACAACCCCTTTCTCTAGCGAACTATAAATGGCGCCCTGCTGGACGTCAGTCTTGGCAGTGGTTAAGCATAAATATAACAATAGCAGCAGAGTGCTTTTAAGGTTGACACCAAACATGCGGGAGACAGTTCCAGAAAAGTTTATTCGCAACTACCTCCACCCAGAGACCCGATTCTCGATATTAAGCTCTGCTTGTAAGCAAAGTTGGGTATGTGGTACCTGGAAGGAGTAGAGATCCTCCTTGCCACGTGGAAGGAGCATTCCTATGCAGACATGCAGACATTTGCATCGAAATCGGAGGTCCATTTAGCCTTTTCGACGCTGGTGCTTGGACATTTGTACACAGCCTCGTGGGGAAAGGAAGGGGAACGAACACACCATATCAGTGCTGTCAAGCTGCACGTTTGGACGTTCATGACTTCCAAGTAGGCGGGTTTGCCAGTGCCATGTGCTGTGCTTGAATATGAAGCCCATGTAGACGAAGTATAAGAGCAAATCACGTAGAGAAAAGCAATTTCAGAGTCAATTTGATTTGGGCCGTCTGAGCTGCATACTGTCTTAAAAAAGACTGCATAGGACTGTCCTGAATGACATCTGATGAGATACCAAGGAGATCAACTCGGCTGGGAAGTGAGAAGACCTCGAGAGCCCTTGGCATCTTCGTATCGTGGGAACATCTTGCGCAGAAAGTGAACAGCCATGATCTTGTGAAAGTCTGTCATTTTCAGGAGATAGTGTTCTGCTATGACTGCAATCCAAACATCAAGGAAGCAGTCATTCCGAGACGTGGTGTTGTCAAGGGTTCACTACCTACCATCAGTCATCAGCCCGATCAAGAACGAGATAACAAATCAGAATAAAGTGGATCTCAGATCTCGCACCTCACAATTGTGTTGTGACAGAAATTCCAACTGACACCTCGACGGTACGATTCGTAGTTGCACCATGCGTAGTGTCCAGCCTTAAGTGACCCATCCACACGGAACGATAGCCGTCAAATCAAGATGTGGAGGCTACTGCAGGCTAGAAGCGCTGGGAGAAAGAAACGAAACACTCTGGAACGCTGGAACGCGGCAACACCTCCTGAGTCTGCAGCTAGAAGCCGGATGATAGGCAGACGCAGGAGAAGAAGTCCGACCAAAGAAACAATATCATCTGGGTCCCCAAAGCTTGAGAAGTTTGGAGACAGAAGATGGATGGATAGATAAATGAATATTGGGAATCAACTTTCTAATCCGCCTGCTAACGTAACTGACATTCTATGCTCGTCTGCATTTACCTTACCTCACCTCACCTCACCTGGCCTGACCTGGCCTGGCCAGTCTGCTGTTGTCTCCTGAATGCCCATGGCGTATTGAGTGACTCCTGCCTCCGGTGCTTTTCTCTGTGCGACCACATCTTCTTGCTTTTTGCCCCCTCCTGCAGTACGCACATACTGTACTGTATGAGTACCAGGCTCAGTTATCGCTGTTCTAGAAACGAAACGGTTGGTTTATCGTCGTCTGCCGGGTCCTGCGTTGCTCAGGCCCCTGGCACTGTGCTGCTGCTCCTCCTTTTCCTTGCAAGCTCCTCTCCTCTTGCTTGATAAACGAACCACCTCCAACTTCTCCAAACCCCATCCCATCTTCCCAAACACTCCCTACCATTCGAGCGAGAGACCAAACAGCCGCCGAACACTCACCAAATCAGCGTTCTGCTCTGCTCACATCACACGCACGATTCCATCTGCGACGCCAAAACAAAGCGCCTACTGATCCTGCAGTTCTTCTCGAATCCCGGCCCTCTTCCCAAGCTGCGTCAGTCTGCCGTTTGTTACAAGTCTGTATCAGCTATCGCTTCGAACTCGAAAAACCCTTAGGCTCCTCTCGCATCCGCGCACCGCACCGCACCGCACCGCTGCATCTACACTGTCTCCATTCTCAATACTTTCCCACTCTGCCTACTATCTACCTACATACCCATCGCTGCACTTGCTCCCCTCGTTGCATCAATCCCATACCTAGCATCCAAGAGTCTCATTGCAGCTGTCAGATCGCCCTTCTTCAACGCTCTTCCGCCGGGCGATAAACGATCTCCTGCATAATCGGCGAAACTCGTCTCACTTCTCTGATCCTCACCCACTGGGTCGAACATCTTGAAAGGTACTGTCCCCTACCACCACTTCCGCCTGCCTTGCCTTGCCTTGCCTTGCTTTGCGTAGCGTTCACTTCACGAATCCACCCAGCAGGCGGGAGCACCAGCTTCCGTTGTGTCAAAAAGATCTGACCTTTATGCAGCACCGGCCTCGTCCATTAACAAACATCTTCGAGAAACCCAGCTTCCATCAACAACTACATCCTCTCATCAAACCTTTCCTCTCTTAAAGATGGCGGCTCCAGGAACCCAGTCCCTCAAGGTTAGACTTCCCGCGCCACCAAATCTGACATACATCGAGGTATACCGAGGCTGACTTCTCTCGTCCCTACAGTGTGTTGTTACCGGTGATGGTGCTGTTGGCAAGGTACATATAAACCATCTTCCCCAAAACGCGCCGAGCTATCATAACTAACGCGATCTAAAGACATGTCTTCTCATCTCCTACACCACGAATGCCTTCCCCGGCGAGTACATCCCCACTGTGTACGTCCATCTATACCCAGCTCTCTAGGCACGCGCTGACAAGACAAGCTTCGATAACTACTCTGCCAGTGTGATGGTTGATGGCAAGCCAATTAGCTTGGGTCTATGGGATACTGCTGGACAAGAGGATTACGATCGACTCCGACCACTCTCCTACCCCCAAACTGATGTCTTCCTCATCTGCTTCTCAATCGTCTCTCCGCCATCCTTCGACAATGTCCGCGCAAAGGTGCGTCAATACTTCAAATGCTATAATGAAAAAGAGTGCTGACTTCACTCTTCAGTGGTTTCCTGAGATCGATCACCATGCACCTTCCGTACCCATTATTCTCGTCGGCACGAAGCTTGATTTGAGAGAGGACCCAGCTACACTTGAGAGCTTGAGGGCCAAGCGTATGGAGCCAGTATCGTATGATCAGGCATTGATTGTGGCCAAGGAGATTCGTGCACACAAGTACTTGGAGTGCTCTGCACTGACACAACGAAACTTGAAGAGTGTCTTCGATGAGGCTATTAGGTATGTTTTTACGTTTAATTTACATTTAAGCTCGTTGTGTGATGATGTCGTGCGGCTTGAGCTTGCGAGGATTTACCCCCGTCTTCGAACTCTGCTAGCTATGCGATGATGCCTTGCGGCTTGAGTGCAGCTTGAACTTGCGAGGATCTGTCTCCGTTTTTTGGAGTCAATATCAACCGAAATGTGCCATCCGTAATGTTCACGATCCAGTCACCGAACAGAAGCTAACCCTCCTCTTTCAGAGCTGTCCTGAGCCCCAGACCCCAACCAACCAAGAAGAAGGGATCGAAATGTACCATTCTATAAAGAATTTGCTTGTACAGAACGTCAATCTATAGGTCTGCAACTAGCATGGTGGGCACATCGAATTATACATCGGTAGTGTTTTGAGATGAGATGAGTTTGAGATTGAAGCTGTTATTTCTCTTCATTACCTAGAGATACAAGCACAAACTCATATTGGGACTATCTGCGGACAGGAGATCACATTGTGGTGTTCATGGTCTGCGACATTTTCTCTTCTGGCAAAATATTCGGATGGTCAGCGCAGAGTATGGTCTTTTCTTCTCGATCACAGCTACTCGAGGAGAACCATCTTTGACTGCGAGAGCCTGTGATAGGATGTACTTGGGTTAGCAGGTGTTTCCTGTACATAATGGGTGCCATGGGCAGACTGAAATAGGGGTTAATGTTGACGAATGACCTTTGAGCAGTCTGCATAGCATTTTCCCGTTAGGCATACCCTTCGTTTGTTTTTGATAGAATAAATTCCAGTCTTCTCATTCACAACTCTCGATCACACCTCAGTAAAGCATCGGACGTGATGCAGACATTTGACGTGACTTCTCTATTCAATTCTATTGGCCGTTCCTTGGCTACACAAAAGTACTGCTAATACAAAGAAAAAACGTGATGAGTCAGGGGTATCATCAATTCATGGTCGGTACTCTTCCTCTCCTGCTAGGATGAATAGCACTCTCGTCGATAGCTGCAGCTCCATTCTTTCCACCTTCAGCCGCTTTGACAAGCTTGGCTTTCTCCTCTTCATGGATCTTACGAATTCGCTCTTCATTCAATTTGGCGTTCTTCGCTTCAATCTTCGTCTTCCGTTCTTTGGTGTTGCCTCCTCCACCAGCACTATGTAATGTTAGCTCTAAAGATTCTGGAATGGCAAATGACATTGGAAGCAAAATGACAAGGAACATACGTTAACTCGACATTAATCTTTCTGGGTGCGCTCTTTCCATCGTCGAATGTAGAGTGATGCATGAGCTTCAAACATGTCTTCATGTGATCATACCCAGCGAACTCGACAAATGCACAGCCCTTAGACTTGGTAGGATCTTCCTTCTTGGTCAAGTGTCTAACAGACTGGGGATGTACAGAGGCGAAGTGAGATGTTATTGACTCTGTAGTTGCTGTAAATGGGAGGTTCCCTATTCATTCTAGTTAGTCCGAAGTGCTCGGTGTAGCAATCTGAGCAAAGAGCTTCTTACCAACAAAAACAATAAACCTCGCAGGCTTCTTATCTTTCTCTTCTCCAGTAGCAGCAGCATCTCCATTCGTAACAACGCCCTTTCGCTTCTTCTCTCTGTTCCTGTTGTTCTTCTTGGATTTCTTATCCTCTGCAGTCTCAGGCTTCTCCTTCTTTACGCCATCGCTATTGGTTTCAACAACTGGTTCTACGGCATCGTCCTCCTTCTTTGTGCCATTGGCAGCCGTTTCCTTTGCTCTTCGTTCAGCCTTTCGCTCTTTCTTCGACTTCTTGGGCGCTTCCGATGCATCTGCCATTACAGCATCGACCTCGGTTGGTTGGGATACCTCCTCTTCGACAGCGGATTCTGTTTTCGAAGCCTTCTTCTCTTTCTTACTCTTCTTTTCCTTCTTAATCGACTTTTCGGCCTCGACGGGAACCTGAGCTGCTACTGCTCCAGCAACGTCCGCCTCTTCGTTGCGCTTTTTCTCCTTCTTCTCTTTTTTGGACTTCTTCGATTTCACCTCTCCGTCAGCAGCACCATTCATATCCTCCTCCTCGCCATCTCTTTTCCGCTTCTTGCTCTTGTCCTTCTGTTCCTTCGCGGGTTTACTCGAGACCTCGTCCACTTCTGGCGCATTGTCGTCTCCAGGTAGATCAGGGATCGCAGCTTCGAGGGCACGCTTCTTGGCTTTGCGCTCCGCACGAGTGGCGTCTGTTGGTTTGGCCATTATATGGTGAAAATTGGTAGGGTTTTGTGGTGGAAGAAGAGTTGATGGGATTTTTTGGGGCAATTGAACTTTTCGTGGCAGAATAAAGTTTAATCTTTGGGCGGTGAAGAGTGGGATGTTGTGATTGGCCTGCTTGAGGCGTAGTGGGGTTGTTGATGGCTATTATGGAAACTGCAATGTCGGTCACATCATATATGGATATCAATTACTTATAGACTTCCGTGTTGTCTTTCCCATAGGTGGGCCAGTGTCGACAAATGAACTTTGCTTCAAGACGAATTACCATAAGCCACACAGACCACGCTTTGAAACTTTATGTATACAACAGTTTCCCATATCTTTTGACATAGTCCCAGAATTAAGATCCTTTCAAAATCAACAGAGGCACGCAGTAAAGCACAATAGGAAAGCAGCATTAGGTTCATAAAAGAACGTCAACCTCAGAGAGCTCCACTGCTTCCAACTTATTGCAACTTTGAAGCAGACTTGATGTCCGGTCCGAAAAGTCCAAACAAGTAGGCAGTACGAACAGAGAATAAGCCCACCTTAAAACTCGATTAGCCAAAACTATAAATCTTCACCTTAACGAACTTACTGTGGCACCAATGTTTCCCCATGTCAAGGGATTCCAGTTCATGATGTCAATGAGTTTATCATAGTCCATGACCCAACATGTAACCGCTACGTGACCAATATCCGCAAGCCATAAGGCAATAACGTAGTTACGGACTACTCTTGGCTCGGTAGTTGTGTAAAGGACTGCAATGCCTACCATTGCTAGCAGCAGATAGATGTTACCAAGTCTAATAATTGTCAATAAAATTCGAGTCACTAAGAGTGAATCCAAGGGCGATGATATGCAACTCTATAGCTAAATCTCAGACTGGAGGAAGACTGTTCTGGATCACATACTGATACGCCACCATCGCTGTCTGAGTTGTGATAGGCTGAGTTGGGTTTCCGGGAATCTGCTCAGCAACGAACCACTCTGGACTGATGAAAGGAGCGACAGCACCAGCAATGCTATGGATGGCTTAATATAAACGTCTTCCTCAGTGATCAGGGGAAGCTTCAGACTTACAGCGAAATAGGCTCAAAGACAGTCATCACAAATCGGGGAATTGGTGGAAGTATGGAAGTCATTTTGACCTAAAGGTGACTTGAGAGAAGTTTGAATATGTTATGGATCAGTGGAAAGGACTTCAATCCATATTAATGAAGAATTTCCGATAAAGAATGAGAATCGTTGCAGCTCCTGATGTTAATGCACGTTGCGGGGAAGGCTCGTGTCAGCCTTGCCGGCCCCGGCTTCTAAATGTCTGGTTTGCGAACGAGATTGCAGAACAACTAAATTCAACAGCACACATCGGATGAGATCAGCATACATTGTGCTCGCGCCAACTTTCGCCATGTTGGAACATTCTTCATACTATGAACAATACGATTGAGCCGCGCCTGATCGCCCTGCTCAACGAGGCCCCGGCCGAGCTATATACATCTCCGTCATTGGAGCTTCCTCCTCTCCACGACCCCAACATCTTGAAAGCATCTGGACGCCCGCTGTTACTGGAGCCAGATGCGAGCAAGCGAAATGGAAAGCCGAACTCCAATCCACAATTAGCTCCAAAGCACAACTCCCTACTGAATCCGATCGATGATGACGAGAAGAGACACAAGGAGAAGAGATCTGGAGATGGAGGCGAAAGAGCGTTAGGAGTCTCGTCGCCGCAGTCTCTGCGTAAAATATTGGATGACGATACAGATGCTTCCGTGTCAGCATCCACGAAGAAAAGGCCTGTCGTAGAGCCTGCCAAGGATGAGTTTGTTCAGCTCCCCCAACCGCCAAAGAAACAAAAGACGGCAAAACAAGTAGTTCCTCCGATCATTATTGGACTTTTCGAACCTCCACCGCAGGCCACTCTGTTTCCACCTATTGCCTCCAGCTCGTTTCATGACAGCCATGGAAGGAATAGTCTCAATACCGTGCCGCCAAAAATCAAGGTAGCGAAGGAAAGTACGAGACCAGACTCGAACAAGCACCCTGAGAAGGATGAGCCTCAAGAGAAGAGCTTCAAGAGGAGGAAGAGTGCTCCGGGCAGGAATAAATGGACAGACGAAGAGACCAGCACGCTTTTACTAGGCGTAGCGAAGCATGGAATTGGAAACTGGACAGATATCATCAAAGATCCAAGCTTCTCCTTCAACCAAAGATCAGCGCTTGACTTGAAGGATCGCTTTCGAACTTGCTGTCCGGATGAGTTACGAGGTAAGAAGGGCACTGCTACGAATTCAAAGACAGACAGAACAAAGGCGAAGTCAAGTCTCATGTCGCAGAACATTCTCATTGGTGAGGAGGATCAGGCTCAAGGCTCAAATGATGGTGATCTTGCTTCTAGTAGGCACCAAAAGACTCGAGCTCATCGGAAGAAGTTGGAAGACTTAGCTCAGCTGGGAATCAAAAGTGAGGTTCCCTTCAAGCCATCTGACAGACGGGAGCGAAGACCATACACCGAGGAAGAAGATCGTGCGATACTTGAAGGATACAAGAAGTATGGATTTGTTTGGTCTCAAATACAGCGCGATCCACAATTCAACTTGCAAAGCAGGCAGCCTACGGACATCAGAGACAGATTCCGTAACAAATATCCCGAAAAGTTCAAGAAGGAGGCCGAAGCAAAGAAGAAGATTTCAGTGCCTGATCGACTGACATCTAGTTCTCAACAACCCAACAACGGAGCCACAGGCAAAGAAGAGTCTGTATCTGGAGTCCCGCTCCAAGGGCAGGAAAATGAGAGCCGTTTGTTCGATATCCCGGGAAAAGAGAAGATCCCTACAGCAACGCAACAAACCTCACTTCAAAGTTGTTCTAACAGAGAAGGTTTGCGGATCCAGGAAATTATCTCATCAGAGATGGAACTTTCCAAGGCCATGCCTCTCCAACAGTCAAATACACTCTTTGGGTTCAAAGATAACTTTGTCTCATTTGGAGACCAGCCATCGATGGATGCGTCGGACTCATTGCCTTATTCTCAGTCATTTGATTGGAATTCGAGTATTGCTGCCCCATTCTATAATAATTCTGGAGAAATGGACATTTCTCGGTTACTCCTGGATGAGACGTGGCCTGACATCCCAAGCTCCAGTGGCAAAGAGAAACAGAGCTTCACCGATCTGAACAGCATTATGAACACGTCTTCTGCGGAGCCTGTGCATAACGGACCATCATTCTTCAACTTGTTGAATGACCCTGATCAGATCGAAGATATCAACGATAGTTCTTTTGGTTGAGGCATGGAAAAGTGCTAAACTACCAGGGCCAATGATATGCAGACTTGAGACTTGCGACTTCGGCAAGGGACAGAGACCAGACTGGGTGAGATTCCCCTCCGAATAGCTACGTCAAGTTTCTTTAGCTTTAAAGATGAGGTCAAGAGCTGGTTGTCTTCGAGGACTAGGATTATGATTGCTTGAACTTTGGAGGAGCATGCGTAATACCATGGTCATTGCGAGTGGTAGGTGTATCACTAGTTTCCACGATGTCTATCTGTGAATGTACTGTGCTTAAGAACACATTCAGCAAAGTATTTGAAAACATTTTTCATGATATTCGTTGTCTAGACTTTCCATTGAACTCCTCGCTCGTCAATTGTCTCGGGTCTGCAACCACCACCCTTACTAGTCAAAAGCCAGTGGAATTTCACCTCTCTACCGTCCTCTGTATCGCTAATGACCTCTCCTTCTAGTACTTTGAAACCAGCTCTTTTGATCATTTCCGTGTTACCCTTCTCATCCCAAGCGCTCCAAAACATCTTCTTTCCACTGCCCAACCAATCACCATTTGACATTTCCTCTGAATCTCCTACAGAGAGATTAACTAACAAAAGTCCTCCATCTTTCAACCACTCCCAGATCCTCTTCAAAAGCACACCTTGCTCCTCTCTTGGCAGATGGATAAGCGAGTAAAAGCCCACCACAGCATCAAGGCTTGCTGCCTCGAACCTCAAATCCATCATATCGCTCTTAACAAGTTTCGCTCCTGGGACTTGTTTTTGAGCTAGTTCAAGCTGAGCAGCAGATATATCGACGCCCGTGACAGAACCAGTTGAGCAATGCTCAAGAATAAGTTGTGTGCCAGGCACACCTGCTCCACAGCCGAGTTCGAGGACGCTGGCATTTGCGGGGATTCGCGAGAGGACCTTTTGAAGTCATGAGACTCGGGGTGAGGGTGTGGATATTGTCCAGTCTAGATACTGTTGTGCAATAGAATCGTAGCTTTGCTCTACTGTAGCTTTGGAGGGATGTGATTCCAGTTCCTTGGTGTTTGATGTACCATTGAGCCTGCTAGTTTGCGTCATTATAAAGTAGTGTCAGATGTTCTTTATTTTTGAGGACATTCTCAGGTCTTTCAGTGAGGATATATACGATATCGGATGTATACACCACTCTCCACGTGAGTCACGCCGAATTTCATCATCCTCATGTGACTTTTCCCCCTCGTTCCACAAGAGCGTTTTGACAACGAGGCACTTGCTCACAGACATTTACCCAAGAAAGATGAAGTAGAATTTGCAAAAATTGATCGTTGAATCTTGATAGAAACAATGCCCCAGTATTTCTAGGCTTCCCACGAGCGCCAAATTGCGCCGTCAGAGAGCCAATGCTTGCGCCATGCTTGATACCTTGCAATTTAAGTGCCCGAAGTCTCAACCTCCCATATGTACATTTCCAATCCGGAGTCTTCTAAAATTCATTTCCACCATTTGTGCCATCCATCCTACGACTTTGAAGAGGGCTGGCTATTCCTCGGGAACATAAGCCCTCAAAGTACGTAAGCTCCTGCGTGCAGGCCTATCCTGATCTCTGTAGAAATCCGGATCGATGTTCAATTTCTGATCTACCCTCAATCCCATACCTGGCTCTGCCTCATCGTCCTCAGCACCATCGTTCCAACTATGGACTGTACAGGTTCCCGTCGACATTCCGTACCCGTTCCAGGCGGAAGCGACAATCATAGGTGCATTAGGATGCCAGCTCGCATCTCTGACGCAAGTTCGCCATCTAGCATTCATGACATCGTCATCGTCGTCGTTCCAGCCCATCATTTCGAAATGACGGGAACGTGGACGCGAAGCTTTGGTAGCTTCACAAACATCGACCACTCCAGCAAGCGTAGCGTCCATATTATAGATGAACACTTTGCCATCTTCACTTCCAGAGTAGACATATCTGGAATTAGTGCTAGCTGGAGGAGAAAAGTGGCAACGAATTAAAGTCCTCAAGACTCGATGACCGCGGAATGTGACGAGTGAGTTGTCATGTGGATCAGCGTACCAATCGTCTTCGTCGTATTCGCCCCAGCGGTAGTCGAACCTGTTTTCACGAGTCGCTCGACGGCGATGCCTAATGCTTTCGAAGTCTCCTGTAGGCATTACCATTCTCAGGTCCCAAAGCTTCATGCTCTGGTCCTTGCCGTTGCTAATTAGGTATCCTTGCTTTGTTAGCACTCATTCAATGGCCGAGGTAATTTACTCACGGCCGTCTCCTTTGCTGTCAATGTATGTCAACCCCTCGATATGACCAACAAAAGCTCCTGCTGCGCGACTATCACCCATACTTCTGGTATCCCAGACTTTCAGAATGGTATCATCAGAGCCAGAATAGAGGACATGAGGAGAGGACTTGTCGGCGAAGCACACAGCATTGACATCCTCGTCGTGGCCAAATATTCTGTGCAGCGGTGTCCGAGATTCAATATCGTAGACGACAACTGAACCACCAGTTGTTCCAGCAACCAGGTGGCGTCCATCACCAGAATAACGAATAGACCAAATACCAAAGGACCCGCCAAATCTTTGCCTATAGCCACGCGCAGTTCCAGTATCCGCTGCCAAATCTAGGATGTATGGATCACCCGTATCATTAGGATCTGTCGGAGCAAGACATACTTGACTTCGAATGGATGTGTAGGCCAAATATTTGTTGTCTGGACTCAGAGAAGCATCGGTAAGTGTCCACTGGCCACCAGGATAATCCACCGTTTTGTAGTATCGCCACTTGTATGGATTCGAGGTGTCGTACATTCGTACTCGATAGTCCTTATTGACCGAGAAGAAGAAGTTCCCATCATCAGAGAACTGTCCAGAATAGACTGGTTGATTATAATGGATGATCATATCCGCATTAGAAGCAGGAATCATGCCTTGGGCCATAGATAATCTGTTGATCTTCTGCTTCGCTGGACTACCAATTGCCAATTCCCTATCCAATATTCTCATGGCTAATTTCTTCTTCTTCCCGATATTGTATTGTTCGTTCGACGTTACAGTTTGCGCTTCGTTGTATCCAAAATCGCCGGAATTCATCAACTCTGCACCCTTCTCACTTGGGACTTTCGGGAATCGATTAGGATCAGGTCGATTCCTGCGCCTGCGCCGCCATCTAGGGTTGATATCGTCGTCATCATCATCGTCATCTGCGAATCTGAAAAGTCTCCCAAGCTCCGAATGTCGTAATAATCTCAAGAGACTTTGCTGTCGAGCTCCTATAAGACGGACTATTAGTAAATGCGGCCTGATATAAGTATGGGTGATATATAGCTTACTCTGGGCTTGATCTGCTTCTTCCTGACCCTCTTCTGTTGCATCACCAGCATCATGTTCCACTTCGATTTCAATGTATTCCGTTGCGCCATCTGGATGAGGGGTAGCTTATCAGCTTGGGAGTGAACGATAGAAGAGTAGAATTATATACCATCGTCGTCGCGGTCATCTTCTTCCTCCGTCCAGGCACCCGGCATCAACCTTGCAATCAATTCCTCAGCTCCCTCATCGTTGCCATCAGTTTCGTCTTCGGTAGAGGCAGGCTCATAATCATGGTCGCTTTCCGAGGTGCCCATGGGGACTTCATCGGATTCCACCATATTGGATGCCATCATGCTGATATTTGCAGGTGAAAAGTCTGTGCCTTCATGCAACGCGGAGTTCAGATGCTGTGTGATGTGTTACATGCTGCGCTCCGTTGTCCCGATGAGACAACGACTTTGAAGCAGGTACCCAGATATGTATGTGGTAACGGATATAAGTCTTTATCGGCGTTATCAGTAAGCCATTTCCAAGCCCCACCTTTGCCCCCCCGCAAATCATCCTTGACCTGGAAAGTCTCTGGAAAGTCGTTTGGCGTCTTCACCTTTCGTCACTTTTTGAATACTCAGTCTCAGTATAGTATCCCCAAAACTTTGTTCGTTTGCCACAGATGTAGAATTCAATCCAAAAGTTGATACATTTTGTCGAGAGGATCTGATTCGCGCTCAGATCCCTGGAGATTGACAGCGCTGGACAGAGTTACTGGTCTCATATTTATTTGGCATTGCAATGACAGTCTCACGCAGCTAAAGATATCAATCCGAGCGTGCTTGTACTTTCTAAAGAGGTCGCATGCTCTTCCTTGTCTATTCGCCCTGCCTTGATCTTATTTTTCTCTGTATGGCACGCGATTATATCTCCAATGAGCATTGTTCGGGTACTATTACATGCCAGCTAGAATGTTGTACCCTGAGAGCTAAGATATCAGATATCATTGTTTTATTCTGCGGGAGAATACAAGTGGGCCAAGTATCGAGTGAACAAGATCCAAGGGGTCAAATAATGGCGTACGATGCGACCTAAACCTCCCTTACTCTCATCTTGAACCGTTTTATTCTCTCGGGGATTTCAATTGAGAATGACCGTGAACTTTTAAGATCATATATCCTATTCAAAATTTGTCGATACAATAATTCAAGACTATGATCAGATATGAGTAGCCCAGCATTTGGCTTTGGTCTTTTCTGGTCATGAATCGGAGAGTAGACTCGAGTGCTTTCTCCAATGCACATTGAGCCTGTTCAATCACAGAGCCGTGCATGTCTCAAGCTCCACACTAGCTTATCATTATCAAGTATTTACTTCTCTTGCCTTACACGAGTGGACCAATAAGCGTCCTAGGTAAAGTGTTTTATTTTGTCTAAGCTCTGGTATGGGTTTGAGAGCACTAAGCTAGGCTTTCTTACGTGAGAATTGATGCATTGGGCTTCGCCTCGTATTCGTGCCGAGCCAACATCAAGCAAATGTAAGCTCTACGGTAGCTGGTATTCTCCCCTTTTCCGCGGTCCCGGTTTGGCTTATGTTGGGTGGGGCGTGGGCTTGAGTCCACCATAGATGAGGCTAGGAGCCACTCAGATGATAAACTTAGAGAGGGCTACATTTATTCTGTTAGCAGCCTAAGATCGAACAAAGTTTGTTCCTTTTTCATAAATATACTCTGCGATAAGGCTGTACACAATTGAGATACCTTCAGCTACGCCGTAACGACAATTCGATTCGAAATATGGGAGATTCTACGAATGGGGCCAGTGTCGCCGAAGACACCAAAACCCTGCAAGATTTCCTTTCTAACAATCGTCGCATCGAGTACCTTCGCTTTCAATATCTCGATTATGCTGGTGTCCTTAATGTTAGAGTAGCAACGATACCCTTTGCACTCTCTTTGATCAAAGAACGACGTGCGATCACCACACCTGCCCCTATTCTCACCGCTCTCATTATGGATTGCAGCCTCCTCATAGATGATGTGCAATTTGGTGGCGATTGTTTGTGGCCAGATTGGACAACTTTGAAAGTCTGTCACTACCATGCCAATCATGCACAAGTCATGTGCTTCGTCGATGAAAGCCAACATATGCATGAGGAAGTAGAGGGATTTAGAAGATGTCCACGCTCTCGACTTCGAGAGCTTACCGACGATATCAAGGCCACCCATGGCCTCGACCTCCTCGTCGGGACGGAGATCGAATTCATCATCATGGAGGATGGCTTTCAGCAAGTGAAGATGATACCAAATGCCTATTCCGCAGCATCTCTCAACAACAAATACCTTCCCGTAGTTGAAGAGATTGTCCAGTGCATCACCAAAGCTGGGATCAAGGTTCGACAATTCCACAGCGAGGGTGGTCCTGGCGTGTTCGAGATGTCAACCGAGCCTCTCAGTCCTTTGCAGGCAGCTGACGCATTGGTCTATTGCCACGAAACGATCAAAGTAGTCTGTCGAAAGCATGGACTGCATGGAACTGTGTTCCCAAAGCCATTCGAGAAATTGACCGGCATTGGGCAGCATCACCACTTATCAATTTCGCCGAGTGAGAAAGAAGACTCTTTCCTGGCAGGCTTGCTAGACCATTGGAAAGCTCTAGCCGCGTTGTACATGCCCAACTATGACAGCTATTTCCGCCTTCAACCGGGACAGCAGGTCACTTGGGGTACAGCAAACAGGAGTACTGCGATCCGCAAAATTAACACTGGACACTGGGAACTGCGAGCGATTGATGGCACTGCCAATCCCCACCTCACTATGTTGGCCATCCTCACTGCTGGAATGCTAGGTCTGGAGGCCGGGCAAGAATTAAAAATGAAGGACTGCCAGGAAATGATATTTCTCAAACATCTTGATGAGAAGCAAGCTGAGGGACACGGTGTAACGGAGACGATGTCGACGAGCCTGAAGGAATCTCTGAATGCGTTGAGAAATGATAAGGCATTGGTTGATAAACTGGGGCCTGAAATTATCGACAAGTACTTGAAGATGAAGGAGAAAGAGAACGAGAATTTCAGCCAATTGACATTACAGGAAAGGAAGGATATTTCGATGCGGATCTTTTGATGAGTTATAACGACTCCACAAGGAGAAGTTGGACGCGAATTTAGATGTATAGCTACTTGAAGACAGTTCTTTAGCCTGCTAGTTATGTAGCATTCAATTGTATCTCTCAACTTTCATTAGCCCAAAATCATAGGACATGGGAAAAGGCCAAGAAGTATCACATGCATGAAGAGGTCGTCCTGACCCAACTTCGAGAGATTTAAAAAATAAGAATTCGCTTGAAGACTTTTTGTTCTCAAAGCGACCTACTTTCATCTTGACATCTGGCCATCTGGAAGACTTCACCACAACAAGAACAACTCTTTCTCTCGAGACATATCTGGCGGGTTCGCTACTGTAACTGCGATAGCCTATCGATACCCCTGAGCGGGCTCTCCGTGCCGAGCCGAGGAATAAATCCTATCATCCTTCTGCTCCTTCGAAATTTAAAACTCAAATACTACTTAATCCGATATCATGTCTCGAATTTCTTCGTTGATGTTCAATCCAATCTGTGTAACTGTCTGCCAAAAAGGATCAGTCCCGTCTTCAATCCGCAACTGAATCCTTGCCCCGAGTCTCGATAGATAAATCCAACACTCCTCCATCATGTCCAATCTCTCGTTCTTCGGAGTCCCCATGTACTGGACTTTATGCATGATCCCGCATGGCTACGCAATAAACATCATGAAAAAAGCCAACAACGGTCGATGGAACAACACCAGCCCACGTTCTTCCAACTGGGACGCCTCATTACGCAAATCAACACCGGCTGACATCTACAGTCGCTACGAACGAGCCGAGGCCGCTCACAAAAACGGCTTTGAGAATCTCCCACTGTTCGTTGGTGCCGTATTGGCAGGAAATATTGCCAAACTCGACACGAAAACTCTCAACACCTTCGTGGCCTCTTATCTGGCATCGCGAGTTCTCTATACGCTCATTTACATCAACGTTTCCAAGAACAGCCTCAGTTATTTTCGGACTGTGGTGTGGCTGACAGGTGCTGTGATGTGTTTGGGGATCTTTGTAAAAAGTGGCATGGCCATGGCCTAGATGAATGAGAGGCGGCGCCATTCACATGCTGATTCTAATGAGTGTTGTCGTGTTCATAAGGCTGAAGAATGTCGCGAAGATTGGGTTACTGCCGATGTCTCAGCCCAAGAAGAATTATCATGGTGGGAGCCACCCTGGACAAAGCATTGATCCGAAGGCTTGCATGTTTCTCTCTAGCGAATCTGATTCTACGTTTCATCTCAGTGCATGTACCTTTCTCATTTAATCAATCAATCAATTGACAAGGCTGCTGGGATTGCATTTACGTTATGGCTGTCAAGGTGTCAGCAAACGCCTTGTAAGCACAAGGATCTCAAGATGATCATCTTTCAGCTTCTCCGATGCTACGCCTCTCTGCTGCCCAATTGACCTCTGAAAAGAAAGTGCGTTCATCCTCCCTTTCACATGCTAAATTGCAAGTCTTCAGCCATGGTTTTCCTTTTCCTGTGGCTGGCTCACATATTTCCGAAAGGAGAAGGAATGTTGTCAGCCTTAGCGAAAGCCGGAGAACTGCATCCTATTTTAACAACCCACACACCCAAGCACTGTTGGACTTTACAACGATCTTGGAGAATCCACAGAAACATCAACGATGAACGGGGCAACAGCAAGCAAAGTCGGCAGTGGCCACGTTATCGAGAAACTCACTTCATTGCGTGCCAGATCATTTCCTACGACGAATGGGACTTTGGAGCCTCGTGCGGGCAGCGGACGAATCAACTTGAATCAATCCTTCGGCCAGAACCCGTTCGTTACTATTCCTCAAGATGTCGACGAAAATCCTTGGAGATTGGTCTGGGTACGTCAAATTCTGCCCATCTTTTGTGTTCATCCTAGGAGCAGAGGATTTTGGGATCTTCTGCGGGAGCTACTCAGCAAAGAAGATTTGTTTCAACTCTTCGAATAGTCTCTTTGGTTCCTGGATATTTCTCAAGAGCGTAGACTGATCTTTGACTAGGATGATGTCAAATCTATATTTACGCTCAGTAAACTTCTTCCCCTGATCTGTTATCCTCTGGCACCTTTCAATTCTGGACCCTTGGACGAGTTATACCCCTCTTGGTCTAACATGTTTGCTTTGATGCTCCATATGGTCCTTCTTACTACACAGTTATTGATGATCATCACGTTGCCAATCATGGCTGTTCTTTTCTGGTTCCTTCCTGGACTTGTCAACCTGCTCTATTTCGTGGCTTTCATCGCAGTCACCTATGTGTTCATGAGGCTTCTCAATGGCGCACCAACAACCGAGGCATTGGTTGGGCTCCCAGATGGTACTGATCCTGTAAATGATGAGCATGAATTGTGGTTCTTCATCAACGGAGTGGCAACTGGGCAAGTAATTTGATCTTAGCAAGGCTACAATACTAACGTCTGCCTAGAAAAGGCTGGCTCCAGTCCAACCTAGATCTCCTTGCCCGAACTTTTCAACGAGAAGTCGTTGGAATCCACAACATCACGTCCGTAACCTCTCCACGAATTTACACTGCAGAACTAACAACAAACTCAGAGCGGGCTTCATATTCGACCTCCTCGAATGCCTCATCCAACGAGACCTCGACTACAAAACCAAAGACATCCGCATCGGCCGGGCCCAACTCCGCTCTGCTCTCGCCGCTCCAGCTACCAAGAAAGTCGTCTTGATCACCCATTCCCAAGGCGGCATCGAAGGCTCCTCAATCCTCGACTGGCTCCTAACCGACCTCTCCACCGAAGCCGTCTCCAAGCTCGAAATCTACAATTTCGGTAACGCTGCTCGCCACTTCAGCAACCCTCTCATCAAATCGCCCTCTCCTGGCGGCGTCGGAGAAGGCAAAGGAGGCAGAGGAGAGAGGGTCATTAAGTATATTGAACACTATGCCAACTCGCACGATTTCGTGGCCAATATCGGGGTCTTGAATTTCACAAGTCCACAGGCGCAGCCGTATGCGGATGGGAATCCGTTTTACGGACCTGTGTTTATTAGGGAGGGATCGGGGCATTTGTTGAATATGCATTATTTGGATACGATGTTTACGATGAAAGATGGGAGGGTGCATGATGAGGGAAATGAGTTTATGAATACGATACTTCAGGATAGGTGAGTTTCACTAAGGGAGTGCTGAAGTTTGAGGGTGCTAATTTGTGGTAGGAGGGATAGGGGCGAGATGGTGAATGGCAATGGGGTGAAGAGGATCAAGGATGTTTCGCGGTTGTGGCAGTATAGGAATGGTGGGGGACCAAAGGATGAATGAATGACGGGGAAGAAAGGTGTTTTAGCTAATCTCTGCTGTGGAGGAGGATGTGTGATGTTTTTGATTCCAGATAAAGCTAAGCACTATCGATACCGAGAACCAACGATGTTGCAAGGAGAGATGGATTGCCCGGTAGTCACTCTTCGCTATTGCTGCGCTGAGGATGATTGCCCCTCCTCTTCCGCCCAAGTGATATTTCCATCCGCGTCGCTATGGAAATAACGGTTGTACGTGGCATCCAATTTCCAATATGACTCGTTTCGAGGCGCGGTCTCAAAATAATCACGGGAGAGATTGCTAAAGCCCTCCCCCACCGGACCCCTCGTAATCAGGCCAAGAATTGAATGGTTCGAATCTGATGCCCCGCAGCCGCACTCAGCCCCGTAGGGCGTAGCTTGCTGCTAACCAACCCCGCTACTGTCGATAACCGTGTCGCAGAATACATCAAATAAATGGTGAGTCATTTATATATATAGCGTACGTTATATCGGGCGGTTCCGAGCAAAACGCTATATATATATATATATAAAAGGCCCTTTCTCGCCACGGAGATCTCGTTCAATTCTCACCCAACTTCCGATCCAACAACTCCCACCAGCCAGCCAGCCAGCCCACTTCGACAGAATGGCAACCTTTTCAAGTGATTCGGAAGATGATCGAGAATCGTCCACGAGTGAGAATGGATGGTCCAGTCGTTCTTGGTCGCATATCAGATGTTCATAGTGCTGGGTCATTTGCTACAATCGGCTGCTTCGGAAACTTCGTCCTTCCTGGTATCGTTGTTGATAAAGTGGGCGAGATCTCGCTTCCGCTGTCGCCGCATGATGCCCAAGCTCTCATTCAGGCGAGTCATCAGGCACCATTTGGGAAGGGAAACCAGACCTTGGTTGATGAAGCAGTGAGAAAGACATGGGAAATCGATGGACGCAAGGTGTCCTTCTCCAACAAGGCATGGCACGGTTGGCTGGACGGTGTTGTCGGAACGGTAGCGGAAGAGCTTGGAGTAGCTGGCGGCCGGAACAGTGTCCGAGCGGAGCTCTACAAGATGCTACTCTACGAGAAGGGCGCCATGTTCAAGCCTCACAAAGAGTATGTTAAATATACGTCATTTCATTTGTAATGCATCGCACGGCGCTAATTCCTAGAAGCACAGAAAAGACGTCGAACATGTTTGGAACGCTTGTTATCTGCCTTCCTTTCCGAACATGTCGGTGGTGTAGTCCGCCTAACACACGGCCAGAAGGAAAAGATCTTTTCTACCGCCGAGTTCTCTGCTTTCAACATGACCTATATTGCTTGGTGAGTGTGTTAGCTAGCCTGGAATGAAAGTCCACTCACATCCAGTAGGTATGCAGATGTTACCCATGAAGTAAGTAATCTTGGTAAAAAATTCAACGGTAATAGCTTACGCCTGAGGAAAGGTTGAACCTGTCGAATCCGGTAATCGATGGATCCTCATATACAACCTCGTCAATACCTCATCCGGCTTTCCCCAATCTGCTACTCGACTTGAGGCTCAGAGAGCCCGCTTCTGTCAAACTCTTGCAGAATGGCGTAACCTTGACGAAGAATGCGAGTGCCTTTGCTATGTTTTAGGTCACCAATACACGAATGCGGGGCTCAAACTGGTGAATTTAAAGGGCGACGATTATTGCCGCACTCGTTATGTCGCTGACAGTTGCGCAGAAGCTGGCGACTTTTGCGTCTTTCTCGCTAGCCTGCAGAAGGTGGTGACATTTATGAACGATGAGGGAGGCAAGGAAGATGCGGAGTCTGAACTTCGACTTAATCGCATTGTTGACCTAGAAGGGTTTCTGCTTCGGGAGTCTCTTCTTATTCCCGATGACTATATCTTGCAGGACGGGCTCTACGATTCTAGGGATCCCGACGAGCAAACTGGAGGAGAATATATGGGAAATCAACACGCCGAGTTCGACCAATTTTACAATGACACGGTACGTAGTCCAATAAATACAGAACTCGTATTTTTCTCACTTTTATTAGGCAATGCTCATAATTCCTAAATCTCTGGCAACAGACTTTCTTCTTGGGAACGGCCATAACCTGGGCGACTTTCAAGGCCTTCTTCAGCGCCTTCAAAAATGTTTCAAGATGCAAAATAACGATCCGCGTATCCGCGAGTTGATCGTTCAGACTTGCCAGAACCATTTAACAACAGTTTATCCGGATAGCGGGACGAAAGACTTGTTTTTAGGTCCGATAGCCATTGCGGGGATGGTCATTGCCGACCAAGGCCTTTTCCGTAATGCTGTCCATTTGGTCACAGATGGTTTCGACGAAAATACTTTCTTTATTCTCGGTGAACTCATCTGTTTCCAAGCGCCGGCGGTTCTGGAGGATAAGTAAGCCTTGTTTTTTTTATATTCACGACTGGGCTTGTCGAATACTGACGACGATTTTGCGTTAGTCTCATTGAAGCATTTTCCAGGATGCCGAAATTGTACAGAATCCGTAGATGCCTCCATGCGTTTCGGAACGGTTTCTCTAGAAGTAACGCCAACCGCACCGACGAACACCAAGCACAGCATCTGAAAAGCTGGGTCGGGGACAGGATGTCTGAGGCTCTGAAGTCCCTACCGGAAGCCTATCCGCAAGACGCCGCGGCGCTGCTCGAGACAGCAAACGAGTACGATGACAAGATGTTTGAAGAATGGTAATTTGCAATTTCAACTTCGGTCTTGACGCTATGTTCAACTCTTGCACGATAACAATACCACCCATATTGATCTGATGACTAACTTGGTTGCATAGTCTGAAGCCATTCATTGCCCGGTTTGTCGGCGGTTCGAATTTCTCGAATGCACTGGCAGTTGAGATACTAAGCTTTTCACAAACCTCGAGTCACGAGAAATATTTGGCAACACGTCTCTTTCCACTCGTTCTAGACGCGGCAGCCACGCAATTTGAGCTCCAAAAATATTCTTCGGCATCTAAGGGCTCACGTTCCCGCGGTGACTACCCTTATTCCTCATGGCCCGATTGCTATAAAGACGAGGAGAGGGGCCGACGTGACGCGGGTATCATTGCTGATTTGTATCAGCAACTCCTCCAGTCTGATCGGAAGAAAGCTTCTGATCTACTGGATAAACTTCAATCGCAGACTGAAAGCCTTCCTCATACCGAACTAGGCAGGCTTGTTATCCCGCTTCTAGAGCGGATGATATATGTCGTGGACCGTCGCTCGCCGGATGCTTGCCGGTTTTACCAATCGATGATGGCGATATACATAACACAAGTCGTCCAGAAGGAACCAGAGAAGCCGAAGGATTGGTCTCGGCCGAGTGAGAGGCAAAAGTGCTACCGGGAGAATTGTTCTGGTTGTCAATTGCTCCACGACTTTTTGATGGACCCACGCGAGGAGAGCCACAGATTTGTCTTGGCTAAGGACGACTTCTGGCACCTAAGGCATTCGGTCCCAGCCCATTGCAAAATATCATCAGACGAGTTGCAAAACCCGCCGGTGCTCATTGTCAACAAAACCTTGAAGGGATGGGAAGAGAACCATACGAAGTGGCAAAATCGTGCTTCTGAAGCGCAAAAGACCTTCAAGCGGTTCCCCCAAGCAGAGTTAAAGCAGTGCCTCGCCGAAAAATATGACGCGACCATGGACCTTCGCATAGTCAAACATCAAGAAGGCTCTATCGCCCAGACCAACGACACCCCATACCAGTCCACTGTACCGCAGAAACGAACCCGAAGCAATTCATCGTTTGGTGCATAGGCAAGATAATTTAGGCGAAGACAAATTGTAAAAACCGTTTCCACAAGCCCACACCTCGTGACAATTACATCTCTTACCACCATTCGGGATTCACTCAACTGAGCTTTCCCGCCTGGCACCATCTTGAGCAGAGGTCTACCCGCTAACATAGACCACACTCCAAACTCCATCGACACTATCCAAAATCACACTCCCCTCTTGATCAAGGTTCAAGAGTCACAGTAAGGTCCAATGGAGTGGGTCGATTGCCTTCACCAGCACTTTCAGCGCTACAAACTATGGATACAGAGACGCTATTTGACTATAGCAACCTGAGCAGATCATCTAATGACTTCTTGCCGACGCTGACTGAGGTTACCTTCCGTCCATACTCCCAACACTGCTGTTCTTTTATAGTAGTGGTCCAAGAGGGTTGTGACGGGCAAGGAGTCTCTTTCAGACAGGTTGCCAAACTCATCGAGACAATCGGCTATGTTGGGAAGATTGACGACTTCACGATCAAGCCGTTACAGCGACATTCGTTCCTCATGACTAGCTTTAGCTAGCATACCTCATCCCGGCTCTCGTCAAGTGGAACGATTTTGCCGACTGCTGCAAAGGCAGACCCTATCCTCGATGACGCATCTTCAACCATACTCCAGCATGGCAGAGACGTCGATACTAGGACTGTTACACAGCGAGGGAGCGAGCCAGCAAGCAGCGATGATGACAGTGGTTTAAGCAACGATGACGGTTGTTCTAGTGAAGATGAGCAGAAGCGTTCAAACACGAGGATGAATATCGCATGGGAAGCTGTAGACGAGCAGCGCTTGCTAGCATACAAGAAAGAGGACAAGTCTTGGGAGTAGATCTTCAAGAAGTTCCTAGGCAGGACCCCGGCCCCATTACGCACGCGCTGGACTATGGTACAGCGCAAAGTCAAATGAGCTTCCTCCCACAGGTGGGCGGGCAGCAGCTCGCCTACTTGTCCTTCGGCATCTGGTGGGACAAATATCTGAAAGAGACCTTATCCTTCTGTCGACCAATTCCAATTATCATTCTCCTCCTTCACAAATCTCGGAGACGAGGTTTGTAATCCAGTAGCTTCATGGGGAAAAATGAGCTGTAGCGGCTCGACTGGAATGGCTGATCACAGCACATTTTGTGTTCACGATTTGTAGTGGATTTTGTGACAGATTACGACTCGTCACTGCACGGTTCATTGCTGATTGGCGATCTTAACGCCGTCGAACCCTTCGATACCGCCTTTCCCTCAACCTACAATTTGTCCGACGCGTACCTTGCTCTGGGAGTTGAAGAGGGCATGGAGAAGGGTTTTACATGGAGATATCAGTCTCCAACGTGGCTGCGAGACAAGTATGGCTGCAGTCGGATGGACAAGGTGCTTTCCTGCGGAGAGGTTGAGGTGCAGGGTTTGGAATAGATCAGTGGGGGGCATAAGGATAGGTGATGATTTGTGGGTTACGGATCACTATGGGCTTCATGCTCGAGTGGAAGTTATTGGGGGATGGGGGATTTTGATGTGGATTCGCGATGGGGACTCGTGATGTAGAAACTGAATGTTTCATTCCTCTTGTTCCACATTTCAGTACGGAGCTACGTAACGTGAAACAAGTGTTGTACAATAGCGCAGCGGAATCATCAGCTCAAGTCAAATACTTTGTTCGTCGTGCGTTCATTGGCATCCCTGGTATCATTGTATCGCACAGTTCTCCCCAGATTCTTTGTAGCGAGAAAAAAGGAAGAAACTCCCAACAATATGCCGCACAATCCTAACGCCTATTCTTCGCCTCGCGATCACATCCATGGCCATTCAAGCTGTTAGTAGAATGAAATAGGTATGTATTGAATCAAAAAGAAACAAACTTTCAATTCATGAGATTTGCGTGGACGTGACTATAAGAAATTTATCATCTCGGTCACTAACTAGACATGTCTACTGGACGGTACACCAACGAATATCCCTAGCTACTTCAATCGACCTCGTCTTCAATCGGGATGACCATCCGAGGCCGCTCTGGATCTTCTGCGAGTAGCTTCCACATGTATTCTTCGGTCTTGTCGGAGCAGTTTGCTACTTGCTTGCTACTCTGTCTGCCTTTCTTGAACACCGACGTCGCGTCTTGAACGAAATCCTCATGGAAACCTCTTGCGGTAGTGTTCGCTTTGCGATTGATTTTCGATGGGCGGATACTCCAAGTGGCGAATGGATGTATTCAGGGGGGACTCCGTGCCATATAATGACCATGTGACAAGATCAGCTTGAGACAGCCTTTGCATATATATATAGCTTATAGTTCTTAATATTGAAAAGAAAAAACGATACACTTCTGATAGCATTAATTTATTCCTTTATATTATACTTTCTTTACATTAATAGATAATAAGATCAACACAAACAACAGTATTTGGAACGTAATCTGATCAGAGAGTGCATACCATCAATTGGGTATATCTATATTTAAACGCCAAACCAAATGAAAGACATTATCACCATTCTATCCCCAACTAACACTACAAGTCCAAACAATCAAACATGTAATCCATGCAACCATGGTTCTATCCAAGTATCATCTCCTTCCCAACACTTCTCACCATCAAAGCAACCATCGTGCTCGAAAGGCTCCTCCACATTCCAGGTCTTATCCAATATCCAGACAGTCGCATACCCCTCCGACACTAGCATACCATCCGCCGTATAAAAAGGGAGAACACTGTTCACACGAACAATTGCACGATGCCCCTCCGCAAAGTTTGCCTCGAGGGTCGGATGCAAGTCTGGACAGACCCAACCGCCGAGGTCTCTCATCGAATACTGCCAAGTGTGTCCAAGAAAAGATGATCCGAATCGCGGTACGAAGAGGATTTCGTATACTTCGAGCCTACGTGAAAAGGGATGCTATTCCCATACCCGAAGTGATCACGAAAAAAGCATGCTTGAACTTAGTAATGGCCGTTTCCTAGATGGGACTTGAACATGTGAAAAGAAAAATCATACTGCAAACTCGCACACCTTCGACCACAGTCAAGATTGTGGGCCAAGCGAAACGAGCCCGACGTTGACAGCGCCTGTTGCTGCGCTTGTCATCTTGAAAGGCAAAGGATCTTCCAAGCCGATATAACCACATATTTGGGTTATTCACAAACGAAACGTGCTCGCGCGTGAGTGGTAGAAGAACCTCGGTCGGTGAGGCGCACCTAATCGTCATGTTTTCCTGTGGTGGGGGCAACGAGGAGGAGTAGCAGGGGATTGGAGCCATTGATTCCGCGGCACTGCAGACCGGCTGAGGGTATGGAATATCATTAGGAAAGTGTGCATCCATTTCGATAGATAGATATATATTGATTTGGAAAAGACAAAAGTCAAGGTAAGGAAGAAACGACGACTGTAGTTGAAGTGAGGTTGGTTGTCGAAGAAGAGGTGGAAACATGAGATGGATAGATGGATGGATGGAAAGAAACCGATCATACAACTGGACTAGTCTGCCATTCATTAAATGGTTGAACGGACGCACCAGGGCCAATCTCACCCAAAATTCAAAGTCCTCAGATATCATTTATTGGTTTTTATGGGCTGGGCCTTCCACGGGCCTCGAATGAATGCGGCGTATCTTCTAGGTAACGTGAGGCATATCGGCTATGCGATGCGATGCCGGATCTCGTCGTCCCATTCCTCCTGCAAAGCTACCTAACCTAAGTTGTTGCACGGACCAAAATTCGATAGGCGACGTGTCGTAACCTTATCTCCGGGACGAGTTCTGGGCCGGCCCCAAGTCCGAGCGAGTCGCGGCGCTTATTAATTAGATAGATGACAAGAGTCGAATATCGAATGCATAATGCTGGATGGAGAATGCGGCACGGGTCGCAGCGATGGGATCGAGGCTGTTGGTAACTTGACGAGTAATAAACATAATTATATGGTGGCTTGTGGCTTGTGGCTTGTCGCGGTGACTCTGTACAGTCTCTTTGTGATTTACAGTAAGACATCAGGATGCAAGATGCATACTCAAGCTACTAGGATGCAGAGATATTGGCGGCTTGTAGCTTATCGCAGTAAATCTGTATAGTCTTCTTGTGACTTAAGTCATCAGGATGCAAGATGCAAGATGCAAACATACTCAAGCCACCAGGATGCATAAGTATCGGTGGCTTGTCGCGGTGCGATTTTGCGATCGGCGATCTGCGATCTGTGATCTGCGGAGTGCTAGCTAGCTACTTAGTTTGTAGTTGAAATGCATGCATGCATGCATGACATCTCGCGGTGAGACTGTTCCCTGCCCTGTGCAGAGTGCAGAGCTAGTCATCTGGCAATGCAATGATGATGATCCATCGAGCATTCGCACTGACCGCCGGAACCTTCCTTCAAACCGGGAACGTTCCGTTCCGTTCCGAAGATTAATGATCCAGCCGTTCTGGTTATTGTGCCTACCTACCTGGTAGGTACTTGTAACCATTTGGTGAGCAGCAGCAGCCTTAGGCAATCAATAACTATTCAGAAAAACGTGATCGGTGATCTGCCATCTGCCATTCTCGAGCTTCAAATCTCGACTGCTGAAGACCCCAGTGAAAGGCGGCTGAGCTGTATATTCATTAGACATTTAATTGAGTGTCTGCGCCTCGAAATTTCAGAGTAAAGGACCATCTAGCTAGCAGCGAGTCGGTACATACATATTTTAAGAGAACGTTCAAGGATATAATCGTGGCATCTGATGCGGGTAAGATATCGAACTTGACTGTATTTGCAAAGACAACCTTACTTTTTCTACCTTGAGGACTCTACTAGTACACGTCTCCTTTTTTCCTTGGTTAGTAAACTATTCAAAGCAGGAGATACAGGGGTTGATTTCCAAAGCAAAGTGTGATTTAAACATCAAGGCACATTCATTCAACATCGGGAGCAGTTCTTCGATGTAAATAAAGTTCCACCGGTGCCGACGCTTTAAATGCGGAAGTGCGGCTGTACTTTACTAGTCTTAGCCGTCCCCCTCACCCCATTAATCATTCCCAACGTCACGGGTGCCATCGCAACAACTTTACTTCAATGTAGCAGTCTTCGCCAAAGCGCTAGGAAATAAATACACGATCGAGTGATGGAATGGCCGGATTTCCCCAACTTCCTGTCATCCAACATTCACCCTTCGCAAAGCCGACGTCCAATCCTGCTACCAGTAGCCATGGACCAAATCAGCTCATCATGTATTCCATTTATCCATGTGATGGAGGGGCTGAAGTATAAGACGCCTACTTGTTGGGAATACCTCAGCATTCCTTCCTTCGAGAGCGCTGCCGACCATATGTGGCAAACGTGGGCTGTACTCCTAGCGTACGCTCAGGTATGCTATACTTCCACGTCTGGAACGCTCAAATTGATTTAATATATGAGGGAGATTCGTCTTTGGACAGGTATATGCTCATGTCACTGTTTCATGCCATAACTGATTTTGCGCTGACTGGGGGGAGAACTGAAAAGTATGATCATCCGATGGTTTTTGACATAATCTTTTACTGACTTTCATCTAGAGGAATCTCTGGCTAAGGATTACTTACGATGTCTTCTGCAGACAGCAAATGCAACGTTGGCCCGCGAATTCGACCACCTCTGGTCAGAATACAAGCAAGGCGAATCACAAGTTGCGAAACGTGTTCGCGATGCATGCGCATGTGCATATGCGGTCCAGGACGGAAGTCCGAATGGTACAATCAGGACAGGCGAAGAGTTATCCCAGCTGCGGAAGTCTGTACTTTCACTAGACTTAGAGAACTTTATGGATCTTCTATTGGACGAAATAAAGGCGCCCGATCAGACCGAATCTGCCACGTTAATGAAAGCTATGACAGTGGGACAAGCCTATTGGAATACCCCTTCAGAAAGCTTCGAACTTGTGTCCGAGGCTATGGAGACCATTCCCTCGACGTCACCTTTGACATTTCTTCGACTGACTCAACGTCTGGCAAAGATTGGCCGTGCCGGCTGGGTGAGACGTGGGATCAGCTCGACCAAGGTTGAGAAGGTCTCAGGCCACTCCTGGCGAATGGCAATTCTTGGCTGGCTGTTAGTACCTCAGGTGAGCCTCACAGAGTTTCGAATGATGTCTTCACTGATCATTTTCTAGCAAGGCGAAATCAATCGGATGGAGTGCATCAATATGAATTGCGCTCATGATATGGGAGAAGCTATAGTCGCAGATGTCACTCCTCATGATGGTATCTTGAGAGGCGAGCGATTCAAAGAACGCAAGGAACGCTGCTAATGCCTTCTAGATGATAAGCAAACCCATGAGCGTCACGGCCAAAAGCTCTTAGTATACACACTTAAGGTCCCAAATCCGTTCGCTGCCACGTTTCTGCGTAGACTCTTTAAAACATTTGAGGAAGGCAATGAGCTGGGAGCTAAAGTGTGTCACGATATCGACTCAGCAGAGCGCCGCGCACAAGCTGTAGAGCTTGCACGACGCTATAAGAACACCAAGATAAGTGGAGAGATCAAGACCATTGAAGAGACCATAGAAAACGATTTTTTGGAACCAGAGCTAAAGATGAATTCGTCAGAAGTTCAGAAATTTGCGGAGTTGTTATCACAGGAGTTGGCCACGTCTTTGAGTCGGCACAGAGATATCTGCATTGTCTTTGTTTTAGGTATTGTTATTCTCTGCTCTACCTTCCATATACTGATATGTCTTTAGGTGGCCCTGCTGTCGGCAAAGGCACCCAATGTAAGCAGCTAGCCCGCAAGCATGGTTTCCACCATATCTCTGTGGGAGAGCTACTCAACAACCCGTCTCCGTTTGCAGACTTTATACTCGAAAGCAAGCGGGAGTACGTTATCATCCCAGCTCAACTAACAGTGTCCCTGCTTCACGATGAGATGTCAAGAGGTTTATCGGATGGAAAGAGATTCTTTCTAATAGACGGGTTTCCAAGAAGCATTGATTAGGCATCCTACTTCGATGAAGTAGTGAGTTCTCGCTCCATCGTGGCCAATGTTGCATTAACATCATTAGATTTCCGAACACTATTTCACAATTTTGCTTGACTGCTCAGAGTTGGTGATGACAGAACGATCGATTGCCAGAGCTGAGGTAGCGAAGAAGGCAGGAAGAGAGAGAGTTGATGACAATCCGAAAACGGTAGCAAGCCGTGTAAAGGGCTGGCGCAAGAAGAACGAACTTGTGGAGATCCATGTGAAGAAACATGGGCCATTCCAGGAGGTGAGTTATATACATCAAGGACACTTGAACGTCGCTGATGATATACTAGATTCCATCAGATGGTTCGCAAGATGAAGTCTGGTCTTCATTCGAACTAGCGGTACTGGAGAAGATCAGCAGAAAAGCCTAACCAGCCACAAGCAACGTTTTTTTAAGTATAGCATTTTGTAAGAGCTTAAATGACGTGAACATGCGTTCAAACTGATTATTCTGATCATGCACGTATTTTAATTGAGCCACAATTACTACTTGGTGTCGAGTTGGTGTGAGAAAAACAGCCACCTCCAAGCACTAAGGTTAAGTCGCCAAGAAGTCTGCAAAGCAAGATCGTATCAAGCAATTCCAGTCAGCGTGTTACCATTATAATCTCACACGACAATTGAGCCCACCAAAGTCCATTTCTGTCTTTGGACCTTAGCAGTCGCTGCTCTAACCTGAGCTGAGCTCTGATATCACTAAAATGTCCTAACATGTATGATTCAAGGAAAAATCCAAATTCAAACTCAAAAGATAATGTAACTCCTTCCTCATCCTCACTAAGAATCGCTTCTTCTCCTAATGTCCACTAAAAGATGCCGCCCATGAACGCCCAGAGCCGAACTAACGTGATGGATGAGCAGGCTGTCAGTGAAAAGGGGAAAAGATATACCAAGGTCTTGCAGTACTTCCTCCGTATTGAAATATTTTAGGCCAGCATCTTCATCCAGCTAAGTAATGTATCCATGAAGTTACCCCTTGTCATCTCCCTGTTGTCCATGTCGGCTTTATGAGCCTTCGCCTTCTCGAAATCTTCTTCGTACTGGGTCAACTGGGTCAACTTTTGCGTGACGAATGTTTCCATCCCTTCTGTCTCGTAGAATTCTTCCTTCTGCTGTTGCCACTTCTCAATACCTATGTGATTTCGTAGTTGCGTAAAAGGGAGCCTATCGGCGTCGTTAAAGCCGCACGAGAGGACCATATGGAGCCACATAGAACCTGAGACCTCTGACCGCTGCACGAGGTTCGAGAGCTCTTTCTCTTGGTTGCCTGGCATTTTTCTTCTTCTTCTTCTTCCAGGACACGTTTGAAAATCTCTAGGTATTTGAAGAACCGGGCGACGATCTCAGGCGACTCCTTGTCCAAAGAGGTATCCCAGTTAGTTAATCGATCTTGAAGAAGCCACCACGGCGCCGAGCCAAACAGCTGGGCTGGCCCGATATACGACCATTCAAGGTCTACCATTCCAATGATCGTGAGGTCTTCCTTACTTTTGACAATCATATTTGCCAAGCCAAGATCGTCGCAAATAAGTTTAAAAGGGCCACGATCATACTCCATATCAATGTAATCCGGTATCAAGGATTTTAGGACGCTAAACGACGCATACTTGGCTCTGGCGTCCCATTCACCAGCTATCGAGTTCGGCTGGTGAAGAAGTTGTTCCCAGTCTTGCCCAACGACGTACTGGAAGTAGTCGGTCGCCGTCGAAAACCCCTTGCTTCGGTCACCTAGAGATCGTTTGGTTAAGAGACGTTAGAAAAGGGGGGAAGCTTCGGGCCGTACCAAAAGTGTTGACTCCTCCAGTCTGCATGATGTCATGAGCCTTGAATGTCATCGGGCGTATCGATACAGGGAATTTAGTTTTTGGCGATGGTAGACTACCAATCCGATCAAAATCGAGCTTGAAAAGCTGCAGTAAAAAATTGGCAAATTGCCTGTAAATGAACTCGATATCATTATCGCTAATATCCTCTTTCATGAGTCTTGTATCGAGTTCAGCATCAGGGTCTTTAAGAAGACTATTGAGGCTTACCCCCTCGATGAAGTCCATTATAATAAACGGACCCAGATCAAGGGGGTTACTAGCAGCAAGACCCCAGCCCTTAATTTGCGGGACTGGAATAGTGGTCTTCTCGCGGATGAGACTCAACGCCTCAACTTCCATAGCGACCTTCTCGTCACCGTATTCATCACAGACGTTCCCAACACGAGGGAAGCGGACTAGCCAGGCCGTGCCGTCACTGAAGACCACTTTCTGACCGACATTGTATGAACCATGGAGAAAGCCGCCCTCGATTTGACAGTGGAGTCGCTCTGGATGGAAGGTCGATACCAATAAGGCGAAATGTGGGGTAGCCGCTGCGGGGATGTGTAGATCTAGATCTGGGTGCAACTTCTAAATCTCGGTCAAGGATTATTAACAATAGCTATCGCGAATCTCCGAAGTAAGACGGGGACATTGTAGTGGTGAAAATCCCCAGACTTCAGATGCACATTCAAGAAGATAGATTTGAGAAAACGATTCATCAAGATTTTGTTTGGTTTGAAAACTTTCTCAGAGTCGGACATGGCCCTTTCAAGGATGTCCTGGGATTCTTGGGATACGATGCTGAAATGCTTTGCCACAACAACCCCGCTTCTGTATGTACAGTAACTGCAGGCTCCTTCGCGGCATGGCGTCAGAGTGCATAGTGATCTTCAGGGGCTCGCTCGCATGCCTGTCAGTACCCCACCAACATTCGCCTCACTCACAAGAGGGGTCTCACAAGAACACTTAACATCACGACCACACATCAGCAAAAAAGCATGAAGTATATAAACAAAACGCATTCATTTCACCTCATCCTCACTACACTTTCTCTCCCCTCCCCTCCCCTCCCCTCCCCTCCCCTCCCCTCATTTTCCCTCCCCCAACAACAAATGCAGCGCAAGCAAAAAGAGAGAAAATAATCTCAAAACGCTATGAGCCAAGCCGTATGAACACCAAGCTGACATACAATCATGTACTCATAGACAAGATCCAAATATTCTCATATCCTGAATTTGACCAGTTCATATCGATAGACGTCAGATGAGGAGATCTGGACCAGAGGAGGGCGTGAAGCTAACCAAGGAAATGCGTGACGGCGTCGTTGCGGGAGGGTGGCGATTCCTTGCAGGTGGTGTATGATCGGGATGAAGGGGGTGCGGCTATGTTGGGAGCTTGGTGATTGGGAGTAGGAGAGTGTCTGGCGCCTTTTGGAACTTTTTGGCTTGATTGGGCACGAGTAGTATGTGTTGAGCCGTTGGGGGAAGGTGTGCTGCCATAAAGGAGAAAGAGCAATGCGTAAAGCGAGAACCGAGAAAGAGATGGCGATGACTGTTGGCAATATAATCGAGTAGTTGGTTTCGGAATGCGGCCAAGGTACTCGATTGAAGAGTCGAAGCCATGAAGCGAGGAGGAAAACTTGATGGGGTTGGCGACCATAAATGATAGTGGAGCAGCCACGGAGGATGAAGAGTGCCAAGCACTGGGCTTCACATCGGGTTGTTGATGAGGAGACTGTCCAAGATCTGAAGAGGTTGGTGAATGTGAACGTTGCAGATACGACTCGCAGTCAAGAAGAGACTATATAAAGTGGGGCGAGATCGTATCTTGATGACGATGGGATGAAAGTACCGTGAGAGATGAACCGAGATTGTGATATTCAGGAAGTGCAGGAAGGCCATGGACAATGAGACAGCAGCTTGGAAAGCCAGTGTTGGACATCGTCGAGGCTAATTCTGGCGGCGAGCATGACGGTGTCTGCGAGCCTGTTTGTGTGCTTGCAACTCTTCCTCCGTACTGAAACCATAAAAGTCACCTTCGAGGCGAGCGCGCTCGCAAGTAGCGACAGGGCAACAGTGGCGTCCATGGTACTTTCTCATGTGGCCTTTGCGGTGATCGGTGCGGTTTAATCGTCGTTTGGTGTGAGTACAGAACGGCAGTTGACAGGTCTTCGCAGGCTCGTGCATGTCTTGAACGTGTCTAACCTTGTCTTGGCTGTTCACTGAATTAGCTTTGGAAAGAGCCGATGAATGATCAGGTTGCTTTAAGAGCTTAGACTGTTCTTAAGAGCTTCTGAGTGGACGGCGTGCATTTGCACTCATCTTCAGCTCCTGATATAGGTCTTGGCTTCGGGAGTATACAAGGAATGTAATCAAGTATAGGAACAGACTTACCGAGTACCAAGTGCTTTCCCAGTAGGACCATACTCACAATCGGCGTGATCACAGTGAACACTCTTCTTGTGGACAGCAAAGATATGGTAAATGCACTGCCTCGCCGTCAAATAGGTCACACCGTTGTTGCATTTCTCAACGACGCCGTTCTTGGTTTCTTCCCAGAAGCATGGACGTGCCGTCCATAGTTCGACGTTGGGATGAACAGTCCAACCATGTAGCAACCACTCGTTCCAATTGTAGTAGAGAACGTGCTGGCCATTAGCGTCTGGCTTGCAGAAGTAGCAGATAGTGGGCCAGAGCGAGTCGGTGTTGGTCGAGGCCTGAGGATTGGCAACATTGGCAGCAGGGACATTGGTAGCAGTATGGACATTGGCACCACCATTGGCATGGACGTGATTGGCGACGGCGGCGTGCTGATGAGCTGGGACGGGTGCGGCAGATGGTCCTGGCGAGCTTGGGACAGATGCTGGAGCAGCGGCTGGAGAGGTTTCTGGCTCAGGAGACAATCTTTCCGTCTGACCATAGTGCGAGGTCATATCCATCGGAGAAGCTTGGCCAAGAGAGGATTGAGCATGGGAATTCTGGGCGGCGGTGGTGGTAGCATCCATCTGATCATAGCCGTCGAAGTTCAGGTAGTTTTCGAACATGACATCTGGATTGCCCTCTGCTACGAGCTTGCTGTACGATTCTGGTGACAATGGTGGTAGCATGTATTGAGTTGGGGCCGAGGTCACAAGAGGTCCAAGATTGGGAGAAGCTGAATGTTCAACCGGAAGAGAAGTATTGGAGTAATGTCCAGGCAAGAGTCCATTGTTCGAAGCCAGCATTGTCGGGGCGAGGTGTGGGGAGTTGACAAGAAGGTTGCGTTGTGGGACCTGCTCGTCATTCTCCCCTCCCTCTGTCGTGAGAAAGTCGGGAATCATGAAAATAACTCCGAAAGTACAATTGTTTGTGGAAGTTGTAGAAGTTGCGCAGAGCAAACGAGGGAACTGAAGAGAGGATGTTGTATTGCACGAGGTGCAGGTGTAGACGTGGGAGGAATGGATGTGGTTCACGCTGCGAGAGCTTGAATCGCCGTGACAGACGAGATGATCGTAAAGGAATTCTGTTGTAGGAGCAAGTGTTAGAACTCAAGAAAAGCGACCGTAGCTGGCAGTTTGCGGATAGAGTCAGGTCCCATACCTTAGATCAATGTGTTGCAGTGCAGAACCAGAGGTTGTGGTGGAGGAGGAGCAAGAGAAGGAGGAGAGGTTGAAGACGTGGGAAGAACTGTGGATTATGAAATTATGACGGCGCGGCAGGAGGCCGGCTGCTGGCAGAAGTGCAAAAAAGTCGAGACCCCGGAGGAAGATGAGTGGAAGGTAGGTAGGAGGGGTCTTGGGCAGGCAGGGAAATAAACAAGGGCGTTGTGGTCCGAGGTGGTGTAAGTGCTGCTCTCCAGTCCCAGCGGCAGCAGGACATGCATGGGCACGGTGCAGCGTGTCTGACGGTCTTGACTGGCCTCCGAAGCTGTCGAATGTCCGCTGCTGGGTGAGCTACCAGAATGTCGGAAGGCCCTGTTCAACAAGAAAATAAATTATTTGGGTGTGTCTTGGGAGTCAGGGCCGGCAGCGTATATGGTGGGTGGGTTGGTGGTACAGGGGGATGGCCTCTGATGACGCCAGGTGGGAGCTTCACCTCACGCCCACCGCGGTTTACTGCATGCCGGCAAGGGGAATCTCGGGTCCAATTGACCTGGGGACTGGAGTCGAGAGAGAGGGACCGAAGGACAGAAGTGCAATTCGCATCGCAGGCACAAGGCTGAGGATGTTTGTCAGTTGATGGACCACGACCCATTGCCCGCCGCCTCAGTACCCTCCACAGCAAACATTCCCATCTTCCATTATTTTTCTGGGTCAATTGACGGCAGAGGCGGTGCACATATCAACGATAGGCGCACGCCGGAAGATGGTGGAAGCCATGGTGAGCGTTTGAGCGTTTGAGTGTTTGCGCGGACGATGGGTGGTGGTTGACGCCTCAGGGGGGGAGAAGTGCAAAAATGCCCCGTTTTCTCGCCTCGCTCCATGTGACTTATGCTGCTCCCATTGGAAATCCGTGATAGGCGGGTTCTCACGTCCAGTCCTGGATGTCCTCGATTGCGCGGAACGGGGTGTTGCATGGTGGAGGCTGCGCTGCAATGGGCAGCGGGCAGTGGGCAGTGGGCAGTGGGCAGTGGGCAGTGGGCAGTGGGCAGAACCCTTGGCAGATTTCCTGGAGCCTCGTGGTGTGCTGGTCGCCGTTGTTGTTGTCGTCGCAAAAGTGCAAATCCAAACTGCAAAGTGCAAAGTGCAACGAGCGAGCAAGAACAAGAACAAGAATAGAAGGGAATCAATCGCTCAAGCGAGAGAGGAGAACACCGCTCTTAAGGCCAATTCGGATCCTGTCTTCCACGCGCCGCACGCACCGACTGATCGGAGTGAAGCACTCTTGGGAGCCACTCCTGTGACGCTGAAGCAGCCATGTTGATGCTGGAGCCAGGAGCTGAAGCGGATCGCGGATCTCGGATCTGCCATTGGTTCCTCGAGCGAAGGCGTGCAGCAGCATGTTCGTGACGGGAAAACAAACCTCACTCACTGACTGACATGACGCGTGAAAGTCCGGCAGCAACAGGGACAACGAAAGAACTGAATAGCAGAGGAATTCAGAAGTGCAAGAAGAGAAAGCTGAAGTGGAAGGAAGTGTATATATGCCAGACTTCTCGTCGTGAGGCTATCGATCCTCAACGTCAAAAGACCCAATCCACAGTGCCGTTGGGACGGACACGCTTGTGCCGAGGGTGCGTAAACCGCCCTGGTGAGGATTTCCGCCCTCCTTCAAGCCTCATCCTCATCACTCATGAAGGCCTCGAGATACAAAACTCCTTCAAATCGTACTTGTATGGCTTCACACGTACGACACCAACTTCTGGTAGACACTTTGGCCTTATATATCGCCTTATATATCGAGAATGTTCGTGATGATGAAATTACTTTGTTGGCAGTACGACACATATCTCCACGGCCCCACATACCTTGGATAATGAGTGGTCCTTCTCCATGTGAAATAGAGACCGCGTCGGCAGTTCTTCCTCTCCAAGCACTCGAGTAATTGACTTTTCATATACTTTATAGAATGACTGTATGAATAATCGCTCCTGTTGTGTCATTTTAGGACAGAGTAGCTGCATGTTCGTCGCGATTATCAACTTTCTCCAAACTCCGCCAGCTAACCTTACGAACAGCACTATCCTAATTAATCTACCTAGTACAGATGCATGTATATATATATATATATATATATATAAATCTATTCCCCAGAAGATACCTTCCAACGTATGCAAGATCACTTGAGATACCGTAGCTTGGTGCACGACGTACAATCCGAGAATTCGAATTGTCCCACAAGGTTTTGATCTCTCAGAACACGACCTTCAGCCCTCTTCGCGATGTCCCTGATCTTCAGCACCGATTCCCAGCTTATATCATGATGCAGCTGCAGATGGGCCATGAAGCTCTCTTCCGAAAACTGGGATTTGCTATTGTAGCAAGACTTCAAAGCACATTCGTACTCACCGTGCATCTTCCCGATATGTTTAGCAGTACTCTCGCAGTTGTCTGGCGAAGAGAACATAGAGTCCACGCAATGCTGGTACGGACATGGATCCGTGTCGTGCTTCTTTCGTAGGTGGTTCATCAGCTTGTCTTTTCGACTGAAGGGCTTTTCGTCTGAGGATTGACAGGTGCGGTATGGACATCGAATCTTTGGGGTGTTGCCGTGCACTGAATCAATATGCCGTTGGAGATCTGCTTTCCCTCGAAAGGGCGTCTTGTGTCCGCATCCATCTCGCGTGCAGAGTAAAGGGTTGATGTGTATATTGTTGATATGGTCCTCGAACAACTTGGCAGTCTTTAGTCGGGACTGTGAGGAGCAGTTATGCCAGGTGCATTTGCTGAAGGGTTGCCAGCAGTGCCGGACATCACGGGCGTGGGTTTTGGTGTGGACTTTCCGCTCCTCGGCAGTATTGAACTCTATATGTGAGCATTGGGGCCAGTCGCAGCGAGAAGTTTTTGACGTCGTTGATGTTTCTGACGACAGGTAGCTGCTGGTGTCTGAAGCAACCGATGGGCAGTCCCAGATTGGTTGGTTGCACATCAATTCCAGATCGTGGTCAAGTATGGCGGGAGGGTAATCCTGAGCCGTGTTGTCCGAGACAATCCAGGATTCGATGGAGTCATCTGCATTGCGAGACGTGGTTCCCTGTACGAGGGATTTGTTGTCTTCTTGCCGCCGGTACGAATATGAATTGTCATTCGGAAACAAAGAATAGGAGTGATGTGTAGACGTGTAAGTGGTGGTGAAACTCGAGTCGTACCTGATTGGCCATGCCCTCTTCGTTAGCGTAATGCCTCAAACATTTCCCATCTTTCCTCGACTCACGACTCACCACGGCTCAATCTCCTCGAGATTAAGGAAACCCGGATAGACTGCCGGCGAATCAAAGGGGCTTCCGAAAAAGAGGGCATTTGCGTCGTGTGATAATTCCAATTTCGTGGCGTTTGTATCCATGTCGATGATGCGCGATCGGACGTGAAGTTGCTGGGCTGGATGCCTTGTTGACGGCGAGGATGCGGCTCTGCGAGGAATTTTGCGCACCATTTCGAGGGCAGAAAGCAGTGGGAAAGGACTCTTCTTTTATATTTCATGACAAAACCAACGTCTGGTGAAACCGGACTTCAATCTCCTGTCGTCGTCTGTTCATGGGCTCCCACTTTGCCCTTAGCCTCCTGCTCTTGGTCAAACTTTCCGAGCCTGTCCTCTTGCATCTTCTAACCTGGCCACTTTCCTTCTGCACACCTTTGTCTCTTCTTGTCTTCGAACTCGAGCCCCTTTTTTCAACGATTCGTTCTCAACATGTCGACCCTGACTGATGATCTTCAGCTTCTCTTCAGCTGAAGCCTGATACTCAGTCCTCAACAGTGTTCAGAAAATCTCGCGTCTCTATGCCCTTCTCGATGATACAGAACCCGAGAAACTTGAGACATCAAGGTCTGGTCGACTCCTGGTCTGCCAACAAGGTCATGGCCAAGTACGGCTGAGACCAGGGCGGCATGAAGCATCCAACAAGTGCGTGGAGGGCTCATCATGGCTGAGGTGCATTTGGCAGATATAAAAGGGTACCAAAAGTCTCAACTATTTCTCTGTCCCAAGTCCACAAGCTCATAACCGTGGAACTCTTCACACCAGGATCCCAAGCATCGTTGGCCACAGATCATCACTATCTCGCTTGATTACCCCGCTGTTCATACCCCACATCACAATGTAAGATTACATCCCCGCATCCTCGTCCACCTACGATGTGACGGACATTGTGCTGTGGGGAATGTGGACGCAATAATGTGTTTTCTACACTCGCAAAGTACCGTCTGTTCAACCCGTATCAACGTCGATTCTTGCTTCTGAAATGTTGCACTAAGCAGAAGGCTTCCCAGTGAACCTAGTGCTAATCAGCGAGCGGATGGTGCCAACTCTAATTTTCGTATAATCTCTTTGTTTCTCCGTCTCGAAGCATTTCTCTAGGTCAATCTTTTGTGAAGTCCTTCCTCTCTTCGCTTGGACAAAATGCTCTTTTTCCATTTGATCTATGCTTTTGTGGTGGCGAGAGCAGCAGCTCTGCCTGGAAATTCCATCAACGATTTCGATGGGTGTCAAAATACACGTGAAATCGTAGTTGATGCTGCACACGTTGTAGGGAAATTCAAGAATCTGCAGGGTGATCATTCTCAGGCGGAACAATCACTACTGTCAATGCTAATCTGATACCAGGAACCAACAATGCAAACACAGGTGGGTGATCAAGTCCACGTCATATCGAAATCTAAGTATTGACAAATTTGAACAGCATTGGTCGACGATCCGAACGACATCATTGATGACATGAAGCCAGCGATTGCGAATCTGTGGCCAGAATATGGGATCAAGCATGTTCTCATCTGTATGTCCGAAAAAGACACTTTTTGTGATTGTGTGCTGAATTATCGACTTCAATTCCAGACACTTTCCCATCTGTATTCTTGGGTTTCGGCAAGAATGGAACAGCAGGAGATGCGACGAACAATGACAATTACAACTGGACTGTGGTACGTTCGTGCCAGATGCTCATGTGTTGATGGCAGCTGATCATGGTCTAGACTGACCAGTATATCAAATTCGTGACTTCCCGTGGTGCAGTGGTAAGTGTTTTTCCCTTCTCAACTCAAATACCTCCGCTGATAGAAGTCGTGTACAGGCGTCCATCCAATTCAACGTAAGTTTCCTGGACAATCAGTGCCCACTACTCTTCTCACAAGTCAATAGGAGGCAGACGGAACCAATAGCTCTATTTCCTCGCCAGAGATCCTGGGTCAAATAGGGTATATGATCACAGATCGTTATGTGTAAATCATCCCCGCCTTTTCCAAGTCTACCTCTGATTACCTCAATCTATCAACGGTGCTCATAATTCTGGTTTCAAAGATGCCATAGAACTCTATGATTTCTATGCTGAGTCCGATCTGGTAATTACACCTCCCTTCCCAATGAGTAACTGAATGATCTGACAAAGCCAAGACGAACACGCCAACCATCGAAGAGGCCTATGAAAATTCGTTCAAGTATTTTGCTGCTTTTGCTAGAGGAGTTGCGAATGCGAGGTAGGACTCCTGAAATGTAATATGTGTGATAGTGCTGACCAACTTTACAGTACGAAAGCTGGCGTGTAAGTGTGCCCTATGCGGCTTGAGGAAAATGATGCTAAGAAAAGAAGTGTTGCATGGGGTTCGAACAGAATTGTGCCCACACATGCTAACTATAGCGTTTGTTGCCTAGCCTCATGAAGCTTCATACACTTACTAAAGAATACAGGTGTACGACCCTTACATATCCCGCTTCTATGCCGACTGTGCTGCTCAGAATGTCCCAATCAAGGCAGCAACATATCATTTCACGAACGTCCAGTTCTCATTTGATCGTGGGTCTGCTCATCTTTCCTTTATCACGTTTGAAAATTACTAACAGCAAATAGCATATGCGGTGAAGACGCTCACAGACAGATTCCGAGAGGAGATTCTCGTTCCTGCTGGACTACCCGACCTCGAAGTTTGGGTGACGGAGTACGAGCCTAATCCTAGCGGTGCCTTGCCAACGTATGATCGTCCCTTTTCTATTTCAAATACATGAAAGTCCTGACTTGGGCAGATCTGCATCTGCCTTAGCATCATACAACGACCCCGCGTGGTTTGCCGGCTTCTTACTCGGAACGGTATTTTCTCGCCTCTGCCTTCTCGCACGGTATAACTAACACCTCGCGCAGAGTATGTACGCACAAGACACCTCACTCACACAAGCATTATCCTGGACTGGCTTTGGCTATGGTGGATATGGAGCAGGCCATGCATATTTTCAGCCATGGTTCAGCCTTACGTCCAACAACAAGACAGTCCCACTCAACGCAGCAGCAGCGTGGAAATTGCAAGCAAGTCTCGTGACGAATACTTCTCAGAGATTGGATCTCCAAGGATCCAGTCCTGATGGATTCGCTGCTCTCGCGGGGGAGTCGGAGAGTGGGGAGATTGTCCAGGTCATGCTGAATAATTATCAGCTGGATTATGACATTGTGTGAGAGATTGCTGCTGTAGAGGTAAGCATCCTAAAAAGAAACTTGTCCAAGAAAATGAAATTCGATTGTCGGGCCAGGAAGGAGAACTCGGCCTTTGATTATCAGATATTGGATGCTGGACAATCTCAAAAATATTTACCAGAGATTCGATTGTCCATCAGGACTGAGAAATTTCGGCGTCTAATTACTAAGATCTGAATTCCGGACATTCAAAGCTGATAGCTTGCAGTCACCATATTTCAATACATCCACAACAGCATATCCCCTCATCCAAGATAATGGACGTAAGTGTTCCTTCAGACCTTGGAGCAATAGAAGCACTGACACAGCTCCTGGTAAAAGTGTTCAACGGAGAACAAGCCTGCTAATACACCGGTAATGCTCTGTTTGAAATACCGAGTAAGCAATGTCCTCAACCAAAGCCGAACATCCCCGCTGAGAACAGACACAGTCTGCCAGATATACGTTCAAGCCACCATCCGCGACAACCACAGCGATTCATACAGACTTTTGCTGAACAATCTTCCATGGAATAGTACTGATGCGTATACCTTGACAATCCAACGCGTTGGTGGCGGTCAACTTCATCAGGTTTACAAGACTTCGCACGGTGTTGGGAATTGCGTTGGTAAGAATTTATTAAGTATGTTTCTTGGATCGCTATTGACTAGTAACAGATATCACGGTTCCGTTTCCTGCAAATGCGCAGGATCTGGTGACGATTTAAAAGACGTGATTGTCTAACGACACGGAGGAGATAGATCGAAGGCCAATCACCAGCCTCGTGGGGCACTTTGAAGAGACTACATACAACATTGTTAGTATACAATGCACTAGAAGCTCTTGAACTTTTTCTCGACAATATACTGATTATTAATTTGACATCCCCTTGTGACTACTCAGCGATCCAAGGATGTACGATGTCCAACCATATCTGGAGGAAGCAGTGTTCAATTTGCGTTCCCTGTTCTACCTAATCGTCAATAGCGTGTTCTTATTTCATTATTTCCTTCTCATCAAAAACATACGCAAAACCCTCTATTGATTTTCTCACATGCTGATGGGGATTTCAAGTTCGTCTTTTGATCGGAATACTGTTCTGTTTCACGTGAGGCAATTCAGACCTCTAAGCGGAGGGACATCCAGGGGCTCGGCTAAGTCACAGATTGACGACCACCAAACCGACATCAGCCGCCATCGGTTCCCTCGGTATAGTCATCAGACGTTCAATATGGGTAAAAACACAATATTTCTCGTGTGACGGTCGATCGCAATCATACCCTACTTTCAGCAGGCACATATAGATCCGAAACTATAATCTCCCATTTTCATTTTGTGATCATTTTCGTCTTCATCTTTGAGCTGCTCTCTCTCTTCCTCCCTCTCTTTCCCACCCAACAAAATGCATTCCCTCCTCCCCCTCATCTCCCTCTGCGGCCTAACAACATCCCTCTCCCTCCCCCGCTCCCCAGCATCCCGCACCATGATCCCCTCCACCAGCTTCGACACGCAATCCGACTTCGACGCCTCCTGGGCTGACCTGTACCCGTGGGGCAGCGACCACAACGGCGGTGCGCGGATGGAATCCTCGAAAATCGCCATCTCCTCGGGCGTCCTCACATTGACCGCCTCTCCCGCCAGCGGCGAGAAGCCCGCTTCCTCGGGCGGGAAATCGATTCCCATCCATTATCTATCGGGGACCGTACATGCGAAACAGCATTTCAACGTCTCGAGAACGGGAGGGTACGATTTCTCCGCCGAGTTCAAAGCTACGACGACGAAAGGGACGTGGCCTGCATTCTGGCTGACGGCGGTCGATGGGTGGCCGCCGGAAGTCGATATGGCGGAGTGGAAAGGCAGCGGGAAGGTGAGCTTTAACACGTTTAATACGAGCAAAGAGGTTGAGGCGAAGGATGTGACGTACGAGGATGCGGGGTCGTGGCATAGTTTTAAGACGGAGGTGAGGGATGAGAATGGGCGGGATTTGGCGATTACGATTTATATGGATGGGAAGGAGGTCACGAGGCAGGTGGGGAAGGATTTCTTGGGGAAGCCGATGTATTTGATTATTGATTTGCAGATGGAGGGGTCGTCTGGATCGCCTGGTCCGAAGGATGGTAAGTTCCTTTTCCAATCTCGAATGGCTGTGAGGTGATGTTCTGACCCAGCTATTCTAGACACGTTGTTTCAGGTCCGGAATCTGGAAGTTCTGAGCTACAATCCTTGAGAAAAAAAATAGAAACATGATTTGTCAATGAAAGTTCAAGGCCACGAGTAAACAAATACCTTGTACTCGGAACGGCGTGGCATAGTGCCGTAATGCCTAAAACGAAGGACATTGAGGATAAATCTAAGCGAGACTTCCCCTAATTAAGCGAGCCACAGCTCAGGACCAACCCCGCATCGCGGCTCGACCTGAGTCTGATTCCGAGATCATGTACCTGCAGACAATCAATCTAAACTTTGAGATATGGTCTTGGACTATAAAGACCTAAAAATGCCTACCAATCGAGCGAATTGTCCGTCAACTGACATTTACAACGAAAACGGCCAGCCATTATGGCCAAGTTCAGCATCAAGACTTTGCTGTTCGCCTCATGGATAGCTCTCTCTTCAGCCCACCGAAAAGACTCATCACCAATAAAATGCCCCATAACCCTCTGGGGCGGCGTCCCCTCAAACGCGACTCTCTCCCTCTTCGACACGAACGCCTCCCCATTCAGCCCCAACTACACCAAAGGCATGAACCTAACCTGGTCCTCGATCCTCCGCTTCCCCTCCGTCAAGCCCTCCCGCTTCGATCTCCCCTCCGACAAAGCTATCGAAGTAACCATCAACGACAGCTCGATCTTTCTTCCCGGGGGCGGAAAACCGCAAATCGGGTTCCGCCGCGCGGGGCTGTTGATGGGGAATGGTTCCGACGCGAGCAATGTGGGTGTGAAGACGTTCCACTGGAGCGTAAGGCAGGATAAGGAGATGAAGATGAATTTGACACATGAGTATATGAATGTGTGGCACGAAAGGAACGATTATGCGGGGAATCAGTTTTCGATTAATGCGGGGGTCATGTTGGTGCAGGATAAGCCGACGGATAGTAATGTGTCGACGACAGGGCTGGATAGGAGGTTGTGGAAGATTTTGGATCGGGATAACGATGTGGTTTGGACGACGGAGATTGATTGGGATGGTTGGCAGAATTTTGCTGTGACGTTGGATTATGGGAATAAGTGAGTTCTTGAAAAAAAGGAGAGAATCGTGAGATACAGACTGATTTCGCATGAAGTACTCTCCAGGTATACTATTCCTCGGGACAGGAGTCGCTGAAGGCAGTCACAGATCCATTGCCAAATGATAACAGTGGTGGTGGACAGTACCAGATTGGTATGGCAAAGAAGCCGACCGAGACGTTAGGTGTTGTATATGATGGCTTCCAAGAAAGTAACATTCATGAAGGGCAGATCTACGGCGGCATATTTGTTGAAGATAGTAGCGGTGGCTGTATATCGAAGTAACTACGCCGGACAAACTGAAGTAAGACACGAAAAATCAAAGTTGAAGTAGGACCCAGTTTGAAAACATTGCATTATTTGATTGTCTGGCTACTGAAACCCGACCCGGAGTTGTGTAAGTCGGGAAGGGGGGCTTGAGCATCAGTACGACATGCAACAAAATTGGATGATGGCACTCTTCAAGTAAACTTTTTATGCCCAGAAATGCGATCATATCCAAGATAAACCATCGCGTTCGTGTAATGCAGACCCTATTTTCCTGCTAAAAACTTCATCTCCTCCACCTGGATGTTTCCGGAGCTATCCACGAGCACAATTCTGTTCTTCTCGATCAAGGTCCATTCTTTGTCCTTGTATGTTGTTGGCTCGCTCGCAACAATGACATGTTTCCCATGATCTCCAGATTCTTTCCTCGCATGGGGATTGTGACCCTCCATATGCTTGCCTTCCTTCTTGTTTGGTCCATTAGGCCCAGCAGGTCCCGAGGGATGGTCAGGAAATTGTCGATTGAGGGTCGCACCTGCAGTGGTAGAGTAGTAGAGTGACGGGGGCTGTTCAGTAGGATGATTCCTGACTCTGCAAGCAACGAAAGATCGACCGTCCGTAACGGCGATATTGAGATCATTTGGCTCCGCTGCTTGACCAAAGTTTTCTTGCTGGATCTTGATAATCGTAGAGATTGTCCTTTCCAATGCAGACTGGATCTCAGTCGGTGTATGATAGAGTCCCCAAGCCTTTGGTATCTTCTCATCGTCCGCGGTTGGTTGGGCCTGCTTCAAGTCGGGCTCATCTGGACAGAGATATGACATTAACAGCGCAGCGATATGCTCGGTGTCTGTACCACCTTCAATATGCTCGTAAGCTTCCTGGGTCATCTCTTGACACATCTTCCTCTTGATTTTGGAGAAGGATGAGATGTACCCATTATGCATGATTGTGTGAATTCCAAAGGTAAAAGGGTGATTGTTGGTGGGTGTAATGGCAGTCGAGGTTGCAGCCCGAATGTGTGCAAAAAGAACATTGCTGTAAGTGTTTGCGGCGAGGCTGCGGAAATTGCTGTCGTGGAGGGGAGGTTGAATGCTTTTATAGCAAGCAGGATATAGGGTAACATTTCCTAAGCCGTGGGAGAATTTTGAGTGTGCATCGCTGTAATAGGCCATTCCAAAGCCGTCTACGTTGAATAATCTGTTCCGTTCGGTGATTTCGGCTTCGGTGGTAGGTTCTGCATGGACAGCTGGGTCATGGGAGAGGAGCTTCGGTAGGTAATGTTCGTGAATTTGTTTGCTCAGGGAATGGTTAGGAGCTGCGAATCGGTCAGAAGAAGCCCAACAGTTGGAAAAGGGAGAACCCACTGACGAGCACATCTTCAATGAGACATGGCTCCGTGGCTGAGATGTATGCAAACCAACGACACATATTTGCAGACTTAGGTAGCTGGAAGTTTCAAGGCGGATTGTATTTCACGGTGTCCTTGGGAATTGGAAAACAATGGAGGTGAATGAAAGTAGGGAAAGAGAAAAAGAAAACGAAGATGTCCTTACCCTTTGTTCCGCCTTCATCCACCTGCAGGACATCAGGACATCACGAACCAGCAGCTCTTGCCAGACTGCAGTTGGCCCCGTTCTGCGCAGAGAGCACACTCCGGCCTCCGTAACCTTAGCTACCCCGCGCAATTTTGGAGGCCAGACTGGAAAGTCGCCTGCGCATCACAGCTATCGCACCTCTCTATCGAAAAAAAAAATATATATATATATCACTGTGAAATGGACACCCAACCTCTTCGAGTTGTTATCCGCGTCTGCGTTGCAGACATTCCAGGAAATCGACTTGCGCGTTCTCATCGTCTTGGACGAGACTTCTGCTCGGAGGTGCTTGGTCGGGAGTTAAAAGAGCGGTAGGCAGAAGGCTTTGACTATGTACACATTCTCCCGAACTTTGACTCGACAAATCCTGTGAAGGCTTGGTTTCTCTTTGACTTCAATGCTACAAAGCAAGTCGATAAATCACAATTAAGTGCTACAATTCCTCATAAAGTTTACCACGCTACGAGGCTAAATGATTCTTGGTCAGCCCCAAAGTAGGATGCTTGGTCTATTGTTGATGTATAGAAGGATATTTACTCCACGAGATCACTGGATCGAAGCCGCAAGGAAGTACTGCTTGATGTACACCTGGGGAGGGAAGAAACCTTTAGGTACTGTTGGCAGTTGAGACGTTATAGTTAGATGCAGGCAAGGGTGAAAGGAGTGAACATCAAATAAGGTTAAGTTGTTGACCTTGGGCACAAATGTACTCTCTGTGAGCTCAGGGGGTCTGTAGTGGTGTTTCCCCAAGATTGTCCAACTGCGCTTGCCAGTCTTAGTGCGAAGATAGATATATATCAACGGGTGGCAACATGTAGCCCACTTGTTGATGGGGTCTTGCGCAAAATATTAAGTATGTCCTTAGCTGTTGTCCTCTTTCAGCATTAACACTTTCGAAGATACCACTTCATTCGTCCATACTTCAAATCCATATCCCTTCATGTCGAATTCAAAGCTTCTTACTCCAAACCTTGACTCATACGCAACCAACAGCATCGCGAAATCAGTCTCCATGAGCAGAGGATTTCATACTGGCTCAGGTGCAACATCTCTCTGGAAAACTCTGTCCACAACAGCAGCATCTGGAGCGGTTCCCAGGCCGAGAACAAACCATTCAGAAGATGCTATGCTGTCATTGGTACTTCTGTGTTCCCTCGCAAGCTCTGAGGTTCCTCTGGATCTCATCTCCCGTGGAGCTAGCCCTCGACGACGTTGGAACGCACACGGTGGGATTGAAGAGAAAGATGCCCTTTATATCGCCCTTTCTTCTGCATTGGTTGACTTGCTCTCAAGTATTGCCAAACTGGATAACGCTTTGTGCGAACTTGTGTCACTGTCGGCCATTTCAAAGAGTTCCGACGAGACTTATATGGTGAATCGAGCCGTTCAAGCTCGCGTTTCTGACAGCCTACCCCCCGAGCTACACTCTTTTTGGAGACTGCAGGCTCTAGTCGTTGCGTATCGTTCAATTCCATGGAAGTATCTCGAGCTTGGGTAAGTATTAAGCTCCTGCTGTTGTCACAGGTGCTGATCTGTTCTAGGCCCTTTGGTGTGAGAGAGTTGTTTATTCCGCATCTTCGGCACACTCTGCAGGGGGTTCGAAATCATGACCATTTGATCGCACAAGCTACAGCAATGACATTGTGCGGATTCATAATCATATTAATTTTACTTGAACCTTAATATCTTGCTCCGTTATGTGACCACGGTATTCTGAGTTCGAAGGAGAACACACCTACCTAGATGCAGACTGCTGCTACAAGTACTGTTGTTTTAATATACTTACTCAGTTACTCAATCGACAGAACTACGAGAGTCTTCTAAGTATTTCCTAACGCGGCCTAGCTCTATGCACGGACGCTCGCTTGCCATCCACCCCCATCTCATTCTCGGTGAACAACACAACACAGCCTTCAATCTCTCCTCACTCATATTTGGAGTATATTCTCCACGGTAGCTCCGCAAAGCCGTGGAAAGCCCCGGAAAGGAGAAGCATCAATAGTCACTAATGTCATCTTATCTAGGCGGCTTGGAGGTCAGCAGTCTCCACCTCACGGGATCGTCCGCAACCCCTCCTCAAAACTCGCCGAATCTCAAGATTCTGGTCTTTCGGAGACCCTTTCCGCGCTCGAAACGTTGATTGTATCTCTAGCCCCTCGATCTTCATTTTGTATGGACGCCTCGGGTTACTTGAGCTTACTAGCAACCTGCTGTTTATGGTCTCTTCCGTGTTTTCTTGCAGAAGTCCGCCTAGGACCATCATCGGCCCATGGATCATGGAGAATATGGCTCTGGAGAAGCTCTAGAATCTGGTCCTCCTCTCGCGACCTCTCGACCCGTGTCTCAGGAAGACAGTCTCGATGGTCCTGTGATCTGAACGGGATCATATCTGGACTCTCAGTACGCTCGAGACTTGTGTCATTTGCACCGACGAGTGAACCATCGTCTCTCCTTCATCGAGTCTCTGCCAGTTCGGCGGATCTACGTTCACGAATGTTTCTCTATGAAGAGCACCAAAATGGAAATATTCATGTTGATCCCAGAGAACGTTACAGTCGTCCGAATAGCCTAGCCCCATAATTACACGAGAACACGGCCGTACTAGCTTGGTTGACGGTGCTACATGTGTCAACTGTCTGCGGTAGCTTGCAAATCGTCCTATCTTCGGTCCAGTTGAGCCACGGGTGGCCTTGACCCTGTTGGCGATCATTTTTCGTGCACCGGAGGGACTTTACTTCCGAGACGCACTCTTCCGAGACCTGATTGGCCTCGAATCCCGGAGATTGACAGGGGCATACATAGAATTGAGCCAAGGGGCACATCATGTTTCTGTCGTGTACAGCTCCGTGCATACAGATGAGCCAAGAAACTAATTGAGTTTCTCTCGTCTGGAGTCCAAAGTAAGCACGGTGTTTTTGGACTTGACGTAAAAGATTACATTAATGCTCCAATTGGCAAGGCAGCACATTTTTCCAGACATCATTGGTTACCGAGAGGCTGTTCTCGGTTCTAGCGCCCCCCACCAGACCCTGATCAACCCGGCCTCAGGAGTAGCGTGGCTCGTTAGCCTTCTTGGCGGGGCTCAGCAAGTCGCTAGAGTCGCAACGGTCAGCACAATATTTGCAGCCCAGTTGTTTCGGACTCCGACGGCAGAGAGAACTTGCTGCTTTCCGCGGAACTTAGATTACGAGACAGGAAAATTGAAATAAGAGCTATGTTCCCACACCTACTTCTTCCTTACTGTCGCTTGCAAGTATCATTTTCTTCATCACACCTCTACATTACCAGGGATATTGCCAAAGACAACATCCAAGATGACCTCTCTTTTCACCGCTCTTCCCCATGATGCTGACACAGCTGCCCTCATCATTCCTTCACCCCAGTTTTCTGCTACTCTGTCCCATGGAGACTTGTCCCGACTTTCACTCAAGTTTCAACAAAAGCTTGCCAATACCGGCATCTCCCCAAGACACACCGTCGCGCTCGCATTACCCAACAGCGTTGAATTCGCAGTTGTATTCTTAGCAACCACCTTCCAACGAGCTAGTTCAGCACCTCTCAATCCTGCTTATACTCAGGATGAATTCGAATTTTGCCTCCAAAGCTCCAACGTCCCTTTGATCCTACTTCCAAAGGGCGCTGTAGCAGAGAATGGCGAAGCAGTTCGTGCAGCAACCAGATGTGGAACAGCTATGGGAGAGGTTTACTATGATGGCTCAGAGGTGAACTTGGCGATCATGGATTTCGGAAAGACAAAGAAGAGAGTCGGTGTCGAGGTTGAGACGCCTTCGGAGAGTGATGTAGCAGTCATTCTCCACACACGAGAAAGCACCGGACAACTGGAAGCTGTTCGTTTCCTTTCTTCCTATTACAGAATGTCTCAGAACTAATCAATAATCACAGATCCCATTGACACACCAGGTCATTTGCTCGACCATCACCCAAGAGATCGCAACTTACAACCTCGCGCCCACCGACCGATGTCTCGCCATAATGCCCCTGTACCACATTCACGGTCTCCTCGCCTGTTTTCTGGCTCCGCTCTGTGCATCCTCATCTCTAATCCTGCCTTCTCGCTTCTCTGCCCAAGACTTCTGGTCCAATTTCACCACATATTCGGCAACATGGTACACAGCAATTCCGCCTATTCACCAAGCAATCCTCCGATCTCTGCCGAACAAGCTGCCCAAGATTCGCTTCGTGCGAAGCTGCTCAAGCTCACTCCAACCGAATGTTTTGAAGCGAATGGAGCTTGTGCTTAATGCTCCTATCTTGGAAGGAAATGCAATGAGCGACCTAAGTCACGATGCTGCTTCTGCACCAACTACATCACCTATCTCGCCAACGCAGAAGCCAGGCTGTGTAGGAAAAGCTCAAGGTCTCGAAATGCAAATCTTGGATTCCAATGATCGTCCACTACCTCGAGGACAAACTGGACAAGTGTGTGTTCTGGGAGCTAGCATCGTACCCGGGTATACAGCCATCAGCAATCTTCCTGGCGTTACGAAATCGGGCTATTTCAAGACTGGAGATACTGGGTATATCGATGAAGAAGGCTATCTCTTCCTTGTTTCTACGAATAAGAAGAGGATGAGCGTGGTTGCTAATGAGAAGACGTATGCGCTTCAATTGACGACTGAAGAAGTTCGGGAGGAGGAGGAGGAGGTCGGAGTGAAACATGAGCAAGGGTATTCAAGTGATGAGTCTGATTCTTCAGAAAATGAGAAAGATATCAAGATTGTAAAGAGGAGGAAATCCGGTTTGCCTAGATTGTTAACTTCTTGTTTTCGTTGAGCTCTGAAAAAGTTTGGGACATTGAGATGGAGTTTGGTGTTTTACATATACCCAAGTTGTATTGTATTATCATATAGATCCAAGTTGTAATAACATACTTTCTTCCACGTCAACCAAGCTTCCAAGTCATCCAATCATCTCCCCCAAGATTACAGATCCTGAGACGGTTTTCACATGACTTAGTCATGAATCATATCTAAGCTTTCTTTTCCAGAACCCTCTTCAAAGTTTCCTCCAAATCCTCCTTTGGCAAGCCCAACCTATCATTCAACAAACCCTTCTTAGAAAAGTTATTCACGTTCCCATTACCATAAAGCGCAGCCGTGATCTCTTCACTGCCGAACCAACCGCCTTTCAATCCCAACCCTTCCCACTTAAGCCGAACCAGTTCCTCGACCTTTGCATGCTCAACCTCAAACTTCTCTCCCGTAGCCTTCTCCAAAGCATTCAAGACCTGTGTCTGCGACACCGTAAACGAGTTCACGTACACATACTTATTTTCCGTCTCCTCCAAATGCCCAGGAAGGAGCACAGCGGCAACAGCCCGTCCAATCTGCTCGATATTAGTAGCTTCATACTCATAGATCCCTCCATCAAAAATCAAGGCTTTCCTCTCAGGTAGATTCCAGCCCTGAACACGCGGTAATGCAAATGTCCAATCAAAGAACGAGCCAACGCAAATAGCCGTCCAGCTCAACCCCTCCTTCTCTTTGGTTCTCAGATGCGCGATTGTGTCTCGTTTCCCTTTTGTAAGAGGAACGAGAGTTTCGACTTCGGGAATGGAAGTGTCGATTCCATATTCGGAGGGGATGAAACGTTTGACACCCGCGGTGACTGCGGCGTCGACGATGCTGGATTGGAGAGAGGTTGACATGGTTGCTATTGCTGAGATGATGGCATCCTGGCCTTGGAATGCTTTGATGAGTGAGGTGGGAGAGTAATCTGTGCAATGGACGGTGATGTCTGATGGGAAAGTTGAAGAAGAGGATTCGCGAGTTAGGACTGAGACGGCGAAGTTGTTTGCCAGAAGAGAAGAGATGACAGCGGGGCCAATGCTGCCTGATGCGCCGATGATCATTACGTTCTTGATGGGAGAAGACATGATGCAAGTAGGTATGAGTGCTTTATAAGAAGAAGACGTATGGAAATTGCAGATAGATATACTTTCACAGTGGAATGGGAAATTGCAAGCAGGACAACTCGAGAATACTTATACTACTTATTTCAAAACTGGGGATCCATAACACAGCCTAGACTTCCAGAAGTTGACACATCTTACGGACGTACAAGCTGCCCTGCACTCTGAAGATATATTGTTTAGTGATAGTGTAGTTATCCGAGAGACAGCGGAAACGCGGGGGAGAGGTGGAGGCAGGCGGAAACTAAAGAAAATGAGGCTTAGTGAGGGCACAGTTGCTGATCATCCCGTCCCAAATAGTATTAGTCTCCACTCGGCTATGACTCTCGTCGGCTCCCAATCCTTGGCTGCATGATATTCCATAAGCAGTATCTCTCGTCGTCGAGATCCTCATCTCTTCACTCCCCTTCCGTCTACAACATCTCAGCGTTTGTTCCTGCTCATGATGGAATCTGGTCAAGTTACTTTAACAAAGGCATGCATTTCATGCATCAAAGCGAAAAGGAAGTGCTCTCGGACTCTACCTTGCCAACGATGCACCTTGAAGCAGTTGAAATGCAGGTACAAGAACCCGCCTGCCTCAGCGAGTGGAAACTTGTCTATATCTGGTAATTTCCAACCCGTCTCCGCTAATACATCACGACGACTCCGTCCACTCAACAATGTTCCCGAAAACCACAGCGCTTTCGACTTCTCTGCTCCATTGTCACTTGATCACCTACACCTCGAATTCCCCAAAGTGATCCTCCCAATGGATAGATGCACCGTCTCCTTTCTCCGAAACCACCTCCTCCGCTTTCCCGGGACCTATGTTCGAAGTGGTGGAACCGTATTCATGCATCCCCGCTTGTACCAAGAGCAAAGCCTCCCACACGCTCCACTCTTCACCACCTACACTCTCTGCGCTATCTACACCCAACTCACATCCCAAAACGTCCACATCGTCCACCAAGCCATTTCCACAACCACAGCCGCTGTCCTAGACGCCATATCCAGCGCCCACACCTTCACATCCCACCTCGCAGCCCTCCAATCCCTCATCCTGCTCCAGATCCTAACCCTCTTCTCGCATACTACCACCATACCTCCGCATGTTAGGAAACAAGCAGAGGCTCGGAACCCTTTACTTCGAGCCATGATCCACAAATTATACAACCTGGCACCGACCTCGCTCCCTTCATCCATGTCCCCCTACCAAGCCTGGATCGTGGGCGAGTCACTCCGTCGAACATTACATATCGCGCACATGATCCTGGGCGTCCATTCCGTTTTGAACTCTGGGACATTCACACTCACGCTATTCGTGGAAGCTTTGCCGTTAGACAAGAATGGAAGGATGTGGGATGATGTATGGACGCCCACTCGGAGTCATGGATGGATTGGTGGCGGTCAAGAGCGGGGACCAACGACGAGTGATCTGATAAGTTACAGAGAGCTTGTCGATGGTTGGGACGGGGGGGAGATCAAGAAACCGACGTTGTTTGAAGAGATGTTGCTCGTTGCTTGTAAAGGGATAGACGCTTTGAAACTTGCTTGAAGTTGGTACGGCATACCCTCTTGATTATTTACTTAATGCAATGGCCTGTCTCATGTGCACTGGCACAATCGTCGGCTTATGATGCAGACATGATAATATATACGTGCTGGCTCAAATGATTCTTGTGTCTTGCTATTCTGTTGTGCTTTCTAGCTTGGTTGCGCCTTCCTGAGGTCGTCGAATGAATTACTCGACGTCATTTCAAAGCTCTTCTGGCTCAAAAGCCCACCAGCAAGAGAAACAATTAAATCAAAAAGTTTTGGAGATCTCTCGGGATTTGATGCCTCATGGAATCTCTCAACAGTACCTCTGTATCGACAATGAGTGGGAAACTCACAAGACACTAAATTCAATGACCGCGAGGAAAATTAATTCATGGAAATTCATTCTGCATCATGTTACCACGGCAAAAGCAAAGCCGATTTTCTGTCTCTCAAAATCATTTCCATGCAACGCTATGCTCGCTATCAAATCCATATGCCCCATTTTCTCCACGCTCAACGCCTGCAAATGCTCTCACGCATGGTCGACCACCCTGATCAACTCCTGCAACGCATACGACCCGAACCCAATAGAAGAAACAAGTCGACAAACGAATAGAGAGAATGCAGTGCCAGCCGGAAGTCCCAGGGCTGGTTCGGCAACGGAACAACTAAGAGTCCAAGGCGCGAGCCAATTTCTCGAAAGCGGATTCTTCGATGGCAAGGTCGATAATTTCTTCCTCATCATCTACAGCCTTGTCACTAGGTACCGACTCTGAAAGCTCCTCCAGCGGAGAATCATGCAGGTCGATATTGACATCTTCCTCCTGGACTTCTGGAAAATCCATCAAATCTGCCAATTCCTCCAAGGGCTTCTTCAGATCGGCAACCTCTTCCCGATGGAGTTGGGCACCAAGCTCGAAGTTGTCAAGACTTCTATCTTTGCGACCAACAGCAACATCGGAGCCAGTCAAGAAATCAGGAGATTCTTTGACAAAGTGCCAATCGTTGAGAGGAGAATTGCTGCCTGCCTGAAACTCATCAGCAACTTGAGCAGCATGGTGGGGATCAATCAAGCCCTCGAGCTCGGTTCTGGGCACGACATCCTCCACACCTGTACCGCCGGATAGATAATCGGGAGTAGGATTAGACATGTCAAATTCTGTTGCCAGGACTGCCTCTCCCGATCGACCCATAAACAGTAAGTGATCATCTTCGAAGATGTGCGCCTCATCAATGCCGCCTTCGTCGTCGGAGTCATGGCCTTTTCGGAACAAGTCAAGCTCCTCGCCTCGGTGAACAATGACACCATCTTCTTGTGTGATGAAGTCGTCCATATCGAGGAGGGTGCCTCCATGTCTTCTCTTGGACGGTCCTGGGATCGACACAGTTGCCATTCCCAGGTCCTCCAACTCATCAGAGGCGTCAATGCCGGTAGCAATACGACCCAGCTCCTTCTCAAAGAGCCATGGGAATGTGATCAAGGGCATGTACTTCGGCTCCATCTTGCGTTTCGGAACCTGCTGACCACTCACTAATTTCGTATCACGGCATTCAGCCAACGCAATGTCCAATTCTTCCTTCGTGACCTTGTACATGGCAGCTACAAATGGTCCAAGAACGTCGAAATCATCGCCACCCGCCTTGTGCCTACAGACAGCTCTGAACTGGTCCTTCAGCCCCTCGGATAGTCTGGCAATCTCCTCCTGTAGCTTATAACCACTACCTACACGAGGTTTGGATAAGACAAACGTGGACCAGATCTCGAACTCAGTTCTGACATCTTGCTGCGCCATCAAACGCTTCATAGCAGTATCGTACTGAGTTTTTACTTGGCGAGCTGACTTCAAGGTGGCATCGTTCAAACTGTAGGCCTGTAGAATGCGCTTGTCGAAGGGTTCTTGCCATTGGGGTATGAAATTGACGGTCTCTACCTTATCGTAAAGCTGACCCAAGATCTTGTTGGAGTGGTAAGTTTGACTTTCGGACTTGAACTTCTTCTCCATGAAGTGGGGCCATTTTCCGGGTCTCAGTCGCTTAGGCATCTGAGCGGGATCCCCTGTCTTGACATAGTCCACGGCTTTCGAGTGCAATGCGGCGAGTTCCAAGCCTATGTTCTGTTAGCTCCATCAGTCTGAATTGTAAATCATGCTTACACTTCGTATCCTTGACGCTCATATGCTGAAAGTCTGCATGGGCCAAATGTGCATGTGCAATGGTAGGAAGAGAGTCGTTCTTCATGAAGCGGACGAAGAACTTCATTAGATCCGTGATCTCAACTGGCTTACTAAGCTCCTTTGGCTTGGGGGCAGTGTAATTCATAGGATCACAGTTCCACTCAGGAGGTCTTAAGTTTTCATCCCAGATAACGAAGAAGTCATCTCCGTCCAAGTCTCCACCAGAACACATGCTCGGAATATCTCGATCTCCGCCGAGGGGGAATACAACGACGTCTCTAAGATGATGTAACGCAGGAATATTGACAGCTTGGACAACTCTTAGATCTCCTGGGTGCAACGAAGGATTTCGTCCAACCAAACAAACACCTTCAATCACGTTGTATTGGCTTCGATCGACCTTATCGGGAACTTGGATGAAGATCTGAGGCAGATCTTCCTCGGCAAATTCTTCGCCATGGGCAATCTTGGGTTTCGTGTAGCCTCGGAGTGTTCCAGTCTCGTCAACGCAACCAAGGACGAACGCACCATTATCGACGGTAATTCTAGCTTTCTCCTTCAGCAGCTTGTTAGACCATGATCTCCATAGATGAAGCAGAGACATGACGAATGGATCTCTCTTTGCCATGAAACCATTACGGATCATGGTAGCGATGTTGATTGTCATCTGATTATCGTCAATCTCTCTCAACAGCAAGTCTACTGCCTCGTCGTCGTTGTGCATAGCGCTTTGGTACTTCGCAAGCTGTTTAGTAAGCATGTCTACGAAGACTTCATCCGCAACTCCAAGTGAGGACAAGATAGTGATTGTCTGCCGATTGAGCGTAGCAGAAGAAAACTGAGCGCAGCGAATGATCTCTAGACCGTTGTAGACTGCCGTAAATTTCTGCTGGCTCTTCCTAATATGTACCTCCTTATCCTTTGCCTCGGGCCAGACAGCGAGAATGCCTTTACAGCCTCCAAGACGGAATTGAAAAGCGGAGGGCGCGGTCGGAGCACGGACCTTCAGTTCTGCAGCGATAATCTTAGCAAGAAATGGTGATATCTTGCCAACTCCGTCTGTGAAGCAGTACTCGCCTCTTTCAACGTCGGCAATCTTGATAATGTCGGGAGCTGAAAGACCTGGGATTGCTCTCGTAGTCGAAAAGCATTGCCCCAGTCTTGCTGCGTATTTTGCGACTACAGGGATGTGGGAGAAATTTCCCATCCACTGACGAATGTCGTTGCAGGATAGATGCTCTGTTGGGCAGAAGAAGTATGCGCCATTTTCACGAAATTGAGAATTACCAAATGCCAAGAACTCATAGTGGCGGTCTCCGATCTGGATACCATTGTACAAAGTTCTGTACACACGCGTGAAGAGTTCGTCGTTCCTCTGCTTCTCGGCACATGCGTTGATACGGCCCTACTACAGTCAGATAATGATTTTGCAAATATCAAGAAACCAACCTCAGACAACTCATCAGTAAATTGTACTCTGAGGAATCTACCGTCCAGATTCTCACGAGCATAACGTCTCAGTACTCTATTTGTGGTTTCAACGGTCGGAGAGTTGAAATAGATGGTGCTGGGAGTGATAGTAGCTTTCCGAACGTAGGCGCAGTAGTGAGGAATATCAGTCTTTGCCGAGAACGCTAATGCATCGGGATCATCGAAGATCGACATAGGGTTGTAGACGCGCTTGTCCTGGCCTGCGACGTATTCCATAATATTTCTTGCCTGTGCAGGATCTTGGGCCGCAAGATCTGCGAGCTTTTTCACGAATGGAGCAGAGATATTGTACTCGTTGATATACTCGTGTGAAATACATACCTCCAGTTGATACCTAACTTCGAAGGGCAACGCCATAGCGCCAGCTAAGGACGACAGCTCAACAGAAGCTTGCTCTGACTTTGGTGGATCAATCAACCCCCATAGCTCGGCAGGGCGCGCAGGAATCTTTTTTGGAGGTGAAATCTGGACGATGCCAATGTTGTAGTCTTGAAGTGCTTGTTTAATCGTCTCAAACAAAGCTGTCTCATCTCTGCGTTCACTGAATTCGAAGAGATACGTCGTCCAACGGCCTACATTATTAGTGAGTACATGTCAAACAGGGTTCATTGATGCAAGGGTAGGACTTACCAATATCGATGACTGGTTGCTCCTTGTGGAGAGTCACCTTGGCAGTCTGGAGCAGGTATGGATTATAAACAAGATCAGTTTGACGGTACCACGTGTCGTATTCGTTCCATTGGACCTGCTCATCAGAGTGACAAGATCTCTCATCCTGGCGCTTTCGATAATATTGAGGAGGGTGATCCAGTGTGATGAGCAAACCAAAGATGCCCTTGCCCTTGTTGATCTCTAGTCGATGAATAGTCTTCAATTGGGTGAAGGGAATTTCGATTCGGTATTTGTTGACACGGTGGAAAGCGTTGTACTGATAATCACTAGTAGTTTGTGGAGATCCTGGATCGTTGAATTCCACGTTGAAAGTGGCAACGATGCGACTCTTGCGGAGGTCGACACAGAAACACAGATCATTTGATTCCGTGGGAGTAAGCTGATGATGAGGCATCATAGATTGTTTGTCGATCATGATTCCAAAGTGTAGTGCTCCAGCATACATCTTCATAGAAGGCTCGTAAGAGACCTGGGGCTTAAGTGGGCTCCGAATCCGAAGTCCACCTTCCCGTCTTTGCACGAGAGAAACGTGGACAGAGTAATATTCGTCTCCTTTAGAGGACACGACAAGATACCAGCCTCCCTTCTCGGTCCAGAAAGGCTTTCGCGGAGGCGGAGAGAACCTGACCTTCGCAGTGCCGCTCTTATTGCCATCTCTATCGGTGATATCAATCCAAGATATCTCACCTTGCGTGCTAAAGTTTCGCCACAAGTTGTATGTTGTTTCATCATGTCGAAGGTCTCTGATGATGACGGTCAACTCATCCCAGTTGCTCCATTCGAAGGTAGGCTTGAGAGCTACTATTGGACCTGCGAGAACGCTGCCACGAGGGCGAGACGCAGGAGCGATTTTGTTATGATTTTTATAACCATGATTGGTCTGATACATGGCTGCGGCTACTCATTGTTAGCTGGCCTGTCAGATCTTGGAACGGTGAATAGATCACCTTCTGTAAGATAACCTCGGGAAGAAGTAGGTAGATCCAACATCAGAGCCTGGCAGATGTCAATGAAGTTGAGGAGACTTGGTTATTGATCAAGCTAGTACTGCAGACATCTCCGAGATGTGGAAAGGTTTTGTACTCCAAGCAGATCACTAAAGTAGGGTAGAAGAGTTGGGAGTGTGCGAAGTCAATCAAGAGGTATGCTTGGCGATCGGGGTAGTTGCAGATACCGACTGATGGCCTGATCGATTTGTCAATTGTCAGTGGTAAGATCGGATTTGATTGTGTAGGAGGAAGGGATTGGTAGGAAGTGGGCAGCTGTTGATGTGGTTGAAATAGGATGAAGAAGTTAAAGTAGCCAAGACTAAGTAAGACTTGGTTGGAGGTGACAAAGTGAATGGGCTTGAGAGATTGAAGACGAGCTCAAGGGTTAGGAGGGAACAGGTGAAAGATTGTAAACAGTGTTCTGCAGCTTTCTGGCAAGCTGCAAGCTGTAAGGGTAGTGATGTGTTTGACCTGCCTTGTGCGACTGTCGGTTCACAAGTGCGGAATAATCACAAGTAGAAACAAATCACCTCTGTCCTGGTGCGAAGGTGTACTGCGGAAAGACTTGTTGAAGAAACAAAAGAGAGGAGGCAGAATAAAGGTGGCCTCTCCATCGGGGTAAATAGCGGCCGAAATTGGCACGGGCGCAAGTTTCAACTGATCTTTGGAACTATCAATAAAAAGCTGAGAAACATCAAATTGTTTCTAAATGAAAAACTTCTTCAGATATTTTTGTAGGATTCCTGAAGACAGAATTTCTTTTCAAAAGTTAAACGTCGAGAAACAATTAATTTGGACTTTGATGTTCTCGCGAGCCAAAAAAAAGGCCGCTTTTTACCCCGATGGAGAGCGATTGGTGCCAAATGAGGAAGGCGGTGAGTACTTAGTCAAAGTATTTAATCTTAACACCGACGTAGCTCTTAATCCTGAAATGGAAGCCTTGTGTTCTTTGGCACTGTTTCTCAATCATCTTACAGTATGGAGTTTTGCAAACGGACGGAAGTCTCATGCACTTGATTTATACTGCAATTCAAGTACCCCAAAATTTGAAGTCTTGCACGACCACCGCTAGCTATTGTTCGAAATTGACAACAAATGCTTGAGAAACCTGAAAATCAGTCAAGTACATACCTTCGAGGCAAGAACCGAACAAGAGAACAGCACATCCGAAATTGCTTGGACTTTAGTCATAGAACAACAAGATGCAGTATTATCAATCTTCACGGATTCCGACAAGTTGTGTGTACCATTAAGTTGGAAGTTCAGTGTTGAGCTTGGGATCTCTGACAATGATTTGGGGACTTCCTCGGATTCAGCAGACCTGCTTCTGGATCACTCGAGCGCTACTCGAACGGATCCAGATTGAAGTCGTTCTGATGCTATATCGCGAGTTTGAGAATGCTACTCAACGACGAATCATGCCCTGGAACCAATGTGGACAGATTGATGGCTACCTAGGCCTTATTATGTTGGTCGTGTTGTCCTCTTGCTGAGTCCAACTATTCAATGTCTCATACTACTTAATCATACAGATCTGCAAGGATTCTCTGACTATCACAAGCTTAAGGAATCCACGCTTGTCGACGACTTCAAATGGTCATCATGCATCTTGACTTTCTCAGACCGGCAAAGCCGACAGCCGATAATTGTAGTGCAATCGTTTCCGGCAGGATTGAGACGGCTGCATCCAGAACGGGCAGGTTGTTCGTTACTCTCGGCTTGATTCCGAGTGCCTCGATCCTTCGATCCTTCGCCGCTCCGTTTGAGCCTGGGCCTGGACCACCAATGGCTACCCGAAAGCTGAAATTTGCATACAATCCGGCAAGGAGAACAAAGATGTGGGGTACAATCTCTATTTATCAATGTCAAAGAAGAAGCTTGTCATCTATCAAGATATCGATAGGTAAAGCAGGACGAGATCCAAGTAGATGCTCTGCGTGGGGGTTCTTCACCGGGATCCTCGACATACCATGCTCGTCGCCAAGATAGAGAGATTCGCACGAAAGAACAGGTTTGCCGAGCTCAATTGAAGACGACGACGACGACGATCTCGAAAAAGCAATCAATTCCCCCGGCACTTCCCCCCTCACCGTTAGACGCCACGTCTACGCCTTGGAAATTCCAGTACCACGTTGCACCTTTCTTGTCATACCGACTTTTCGTCGGCGCTCTTAGTTCGAGCAAGTGCATATCTTGCGCTAAATCAAATCCTCTGCGAACCGAAGGATACATTTGATTCGAGGCAGCTATTAGGAGCTGTACCAAATGGCCTTTGAGAGACACTACATCTGCGGTTGAAACGTGGTGCCTCTGTATCAAAGCAGGATGGGTTCAACAGACGGCCTCGCATTTGGCGTCACTGAGTGGCAATAGTAGGCGATGGTGAATATTCTTTTGCGAAGGGGGTTTGTGAATGATACCGAGGAAGGATTACCACACCCGGCAGCGCTATCAGTGGACAAACTTGAACGTACATACGTTGTTATATTGCATTTAACGGCCAAGGTATTATTAGTTTACAGAGGGGCAGTGATGGCTGTAGTCGGGCACAGCACATCATGGGCCTACAACCATTGTTGTCAGACAAACATCAAAGAACTTCGCATCATCGCCAGATATCCATTTCTGTTTCATATCCTTTAGCCCTGCAGGCTGCACAATAATCATCAGGATCCATCCACCTTTGATCAAGAGTTGCCCTTTTTAGCCACTCTGCACAACGGGATTCTAGGCGTTGGTAATGTTCCTCTGAAGTTTTTGATGCAGTTTCCAGACCCGCAACACCAATGATCACCTCCACATGTTCCTTAACTTTGGAAAACTTGGTTAATGCAGCTTGCCCCGTCCAGCCAGCTTGGATCACATTCGTCAGAATCTCAGCACCAGCTCCAACAGTACCACAGCCCTCAAGCAATTGAGTCTCAATTTGCCGAACTTCCTGCACAGAGTACACGTTGGCGAAGGGGTCAACTCCAGTGAGGATATAATGAAGACATGTAGCTAAACCAAAGTGGTCTCTTTTCACGTCCGCTGCGTAATCATAATGGTGTTGTGTCGTAGCAGAGCCAAAGTCGAATAGTTTGAGATGGTTGGATGAGTCGACGGCAAGATTGCGGACGGCCATATCGCCTTGGGTGAAACCAAGCTCCTCCAACCAGCATATACCATCGAGAAGCTCTCTGACCCAGCGATGACATATCTTCTCATCCGCATTAACCCACGTTTGCTCCAAAGGTTGTAAGCGTTCCAGAAACAGACAGTCTGATGAGTCTACCTTTAACCTTCGAGCAATATTGGGGTGTCGTCGATTAGCCGCCGCATCGTACCTTGCCAATTCTCTCTCCATTGCAACGAAGCTTCGAACTCCATGATTTATATAGAATATTGCGTCGTCATCTAGATCGTCTGGAATAATGTATTGAAAAGGCAGCTTGATTACGATATCGCTATCTAGGGCATAGACAAGACCCTGAGAGGGAGCTTGCCCGATACTGAGACAATGGCCTAGTTCGTCGAGGAACGGAGTAATGAACTTTAAATTGGCCATATTCGAAGAGCCGAAGATTTCGATTCAATGGAAGAGGGAGTCGTATATATATAGTATACCGGCGGGATAGAGAAATAATGATGTAAAATGGAGTGAAGAATAGCCCCTTTTGACGTTTCAGATTCAGCGTGTGCCGTACACGTGATAATTCAGCAACGTATGCACCTTCCCTCATTCATTGCATGTTTTTCGTGACTTAATCATATCCATGAATGCATTCACCTCGATTACTCCGCTTTCTGACAAACGCCTATGCTTGATGTTGGTTAAATTGATTACTCCTCGATACTCTCGACTACTTGAACACTCCAAACTCTAGCACAACCAACATAACGCTAAAAAGCCAGCTGACCGTTCAGAGGTTGAAAAGCCAGTTTAGTGTGTAGCGCATGCAGGGTCGACTCCCGACTCGTCATAAACCCCCGTCAATGCTGACACTTAAGGGCACTGTGCTGCAGGTTGCAGGTGAGAAGACGGCAGGCACCCTTGGCTTTGTTTGCTTTTCTCCTTGGAGTGCTGGTTTTTGAATACCGCCTTCTGCTGCACCTCAATGTCCCTGATCGGCATGCTTGAGGCTCCACGTCCAGTCCTTTCCCTCGTGTCACACCCTTATTTCTACCTAACGTGACACCTGAATCCAAGAACGTAGATAGTTTCCCTTGAAAAAGAAGAACGATATTGTGGAGAGAAGTTAGCTGAAAAACGGGTCATCATTCACAGCTGAACAAAAAACATAGCTTGAGGAAGAGAAATCGTGTCTCATAAAAATGCTAGCATGAACTTGGCCTCCCATAATGCATCGCCCCGTGAGGAGGATGAGTCTAGCAACCACCATCCGAGGAACCAGAACCCCGGTCCGAAGAAAAAAAACTGGTGCCCAAGCAAGGCCCGAAGTGAAAGTATGTAGCCTCCCATCCCATGTTGTTCATTTACACAATGTTCTTTCGAACCAAACAGCCTCCCCGAAATTGTGGCTAGATCGGTACATCCATGATCTTGCCAGGATTCATGATCCAGTGTGGATCGAGGGCCTGTTTGATGCTCTTCATCACACCTAGTGTATCAATTCCAACCTCCATCAGCAAAGCTTCTTTTTTGCCTATGCCAATACCGTGTTCGCCCTGTGTCAAAATGTTAGTGAAGTTTCAAGGGGTTGAATGGAACAAGCGTACCGTGCAAGTCCCCTCCATTTCCAGTGCTCTGGCAACCATATTTTTCACGCACTGTTCTACCTTCTCTCTTTCTCCTGGCACAGTCTTGTCGTATAGGATGCTCTCGTGGAAATTCCCATCTCCAATATGGCCTAGAACACTGGCGAACAGGCCCAAGTCGTCCATTTCTTTCTTGCTGATCTCAATGATATCTGCCAATCGGGAGAATGGTACTGCCACATCTGTAGACCATACCTCGCTGCCTTCTTTTCTCATTGCGAGCATAGACCACAAGCTTTCTTTTCTCGCAGACCAAAGAAGCTTCTGCTCCTTTGCGTCTTTAGCGAACTCGAACTCGCCTCCTCGATGAGCTTTCGCAATAGCTGAAACCATCGCAATATTCTCCTTGACCCCGGCCTTAGTCCCGCTGAACTTGAAGAATAGTGTTGGAAGCTCTTTCCATTTCCGAGGCGCAGTTGATCCGGATAAGTTGACAACTTTCATCTGCACCTCATCCATGATTTCCATAGCGGCCACTTGAACTCCAGCCCTCATGACACTTGCAGCAGCTGCAGCAGCATCTCGAATCGAAGGGAACGTGACAACAGCCACAGAGAACTCTTGTGGAACAACAGCCAGCTTGAGAGTGATTTCCGTCACCAACCCCAGCGTTCCTTCTGAGCCAACAAACAGAGAGTTGAGGTTGTATCCCGCAGACGTTTTTCTGGGCCTCCGCTTCGTCTTGATGACCGTTCCATCTGCGAGTACGACTGTCAGATTGATAACCCAATCCTTCATAGTTCCATATCGCACTGCATTCGTGCCCGAACAGTTCGTACCGACCATTCCTCCAATCTTCGCACTTGGTCCGGGATCTACAGGGAAGAACAATCCAGTCTGTCTTTTCGCCAGCTCATCATTCAGCTCCATCCAGCTGACACTTGGCTGAACCACGATATCCATATCTTCTTGATGCAGCTGCAGGATCTGATCCATGAACGCAAAGTCGACGCTGACACCTCCGAATGGAGCCGAGAAGTTCCCTTCTAAAGATGAACCTCCAGAGAATGGAATGATAGGAACGCGGTACTTGTAACAAATCTTGGCGATTTGGGATACCTCAGCAGTGGTCTTCGGGTAAGCGACTGCCACAGGTAGGCCATCGATATTGGTGGATGACCATTCTGAGTAACCATGTCTGTGCAGGTCCTCAGAGTCGGTAGAGATGGTATCTTCGTCGCCAGTTGCTTGACGGATTTCTTGTATGGCCTATACATGGTCAATTCTCAAGAGATTCATACTGAAACCTGTCTTGCGAAAGTTGGACAAGGATTGAGTTTATTCTGGCGAGATTTCGTCCACTGGAGATTCAAGCTCTCCCCTAATTCGTGAGCCGAATGCGGCAATCATTCTCGCTTGACAACTTGCACCCCACTCTTGAATCTGGCTCGCGCAAACTTAAAATTGTATGAAATGGGAGGAAAAATGCAAGAAACATGTAACTTACGGCTTCCATATCTCTGATGCTCGCATACTTCGGTTGGACGAACTTCTGCGGATTCGAATAATCCCTCAACTTCCCACTCTTCTCCTTACCCTGCCACCTCGCAACCGCCCCTGCAGCCACAGCAGAAGCACCCATCAAAGCCAACACACTGAAACCCGTCCATCCTCTCTTGCTGTTCCCACCACTTTCCGCCTTTCCTCCAGCTCTGCCACTATTCCATCTAATCTTCGTCGCCGGGCCCGAACTCGAAACTCGAGATCTGGACGGCGGGGTGATGGAAGTTAATGTTCTCGTCGAAGCGAAGGGGCGCCTCGGCACAGCGAGAGCCGACCTCATGCAGACAGACATGTTCGAGACAAGGATTTGGGCAGATGCAGATCAGATCTTGCAAGCCCATGTGCGCATAAGAAAAATTGTTCAACTAGGGCAGTGATCGATGTTCGAACAACCCACAACCCAAGCACAAAGATCCGATGGCACCACTAAGCTAATCGCCGGAAGATTTTAAAGATGAAAAAATGGAGAAAGGAAGGTCATATAAAAGTATGTTTCTTGGGGAAGACGTCAGTTCTAGTTGTATGCTGGAAGCGGGGCAGTTGGTAGTTACTTAAAAGGCACTAGGTGAGGGGTGTCGTCTTCGTCTCTTGTCGCGCTTAGCTGGGGATCGGGAAGTAGTGTGAAGATATAGTGGAAGAAGTGCTTAGTTGAATGTCACTGCCAGTAAAGGAAGATATCGCGGACCAAGTGGAGCAGAGGAGGCCAGTATGGGTAGGTTTTAAGTCGTGGTGTCTCCGGCTCTCGCTCCGGAGGCCCTATGTTCGATCTGGTCCTGGCTTTATCTGGCACTTGGCACCTATTGATGATGGGTGGCAGTGTAGCGTGGACGTTTCTTCTGCTTTTGCCATGGATGATATAATGACGGGATTGGCAAAGCAAAGCCGAGGACAGGCAGGGCCGGGCGAGGGAAGGGTTGATGATGATGTGACAGCAGAGCTACCGTAGTCAAAGGATCCTCAAAGCTGTCAGTCAGGTCTGATCAGGTCAGGTCAGGTCAGGTCAGTCCAGAAAGGAGGACAGCAGTTTCAGGCTCGAATTGGACCTGGACACCCTTTTAGATTCCGTGCCCATGTGGTGTTCTAAAGCAGGTCGACTCAAAGCGGCTCCATGCGAACCAGTACATATTGGGGAACAGCAAAGCAGACCGCATCGTCAAATTGGTTTTCATCCTCTTTTGCGGTATTATTACTGTCCTATGCAGTGTCTCTCAAGGCGTCCGAGTAGGCACGCCATCCATGTCATCCTCTTACTCGTCCTGCATCTTGTGCCAGATGTCCAGGCCTGCATCGTGAGCTCATCCCACTCTTTTATCGTTACCGTATCATAAATCACTATCTCTATGGTCGCTGTGGGACAGCAAAAATAGTAATGCGAGAATCAGCAATGACTGGACATATTGGCTACCCAGGCCAATAGTTCCATACCAAGCATGTATAGAACTTACTCGAACAATTGCAGTACCGGTGTTCCTTCTCCGAGTATTGAGCCGGGCAAGCATCGAGTACCAGCTTCGTCAACGTGCAACAACAAAAACAACCCCCCCACGCCACATCACAATGAATCCGAGGGGACACGTGCTGATACATATCCTGTAAGCCTCCAGAACGCCGCAAAAAATAATAGATGACGCAGAGGCCTGTCTTTCCTTTCTCACCACCGCAGAAGCCACCTCAAGTCCGTCAGGTTACGATCCTCCCCCTTTTTTCACACCGACCATCGTAGCACAGAACATTTCTCTCCAAGCCTTACAGAGTCTCACAAACCCAACAAACCCCAGGTTTCAACAACTCACGAGACACTTTTCCCCTCTCGCGTCCCCTCTGTCCTACCATCAAAACACCTGCAAGCCCCTCATCTCTTACCTCACAAAAACCACCCTCACACTCTCAATTCTGCAAACGTCCAGATTCCCTTGAACCCCTCAAATCACGGGCCCTGGAACCATCCCGAAAACCTAAGAGATGATCTGACTGATCGACACCGCCTATCAAAAGCCCTCTGCAAATGACCCTGTCAAATAATTCCACCTAGTCCCTGATCCCGGAAACCGACTCGCATCACCACTCACATCAGCAAGCTAGACTCGTGATCAGAAAGAAAAAGGAATATGCAGGAGATGTTGGGTGTCGGTGGACTGCAGGCACAATAATGGCGTTCGATTACGAGGCGAGCTGGTCACGATCGCAATAACAGGGATAGGCGTGGGGTCAGACTGAGTGAGCGGAAGGATGGAATTCTTTTTGGGGTTCTGGCCTGCTGGCATGCTTGTCTTGCTGGAGTGTGCGCGGGGAGCCCATCCTTTCTGGACGTGGCTGCATGATTTATCACCGAGTACGCAATACAAAGGGGAATTCCCTTCAGAAGACCCGGATCTCGGGACGCAGATTGGGAGGGATTGCTTTTACATTCGTTGGTATTGGTCTCAACTAGCGGTGTTGCGGCTGCTATGCTACTACCTGCATCTCAAAGCGCAAATTTTTCCCAAAGCACGGAAAAAGCCCAAGTACTCCAGACCATGAACCATATCAACCCTCCATAGCCAAAGCAACCGAGAAACACATTTACTGGCCGGCAATGGCGTGTGCACGTCTGCGGTCTCTCTCCTCTGCGATGGTAAGCTTGACACCCTTGCCCTTGGGCAAAGAGATCCATGGCTTCTCTGTACCAATGACGAAGACGTTGCCCTCACGGGTGGCGAAGGAGTTGTCTATGGCATCCTTGATGTGGACGATGTTGAAGCCTCCATCGTGACGTTCTCGGTGAGTGATGATACCAACACGACCCATGTTACGACCACCAGTGACCATGGCAATGACACCGGTATCGAACTTGATGTAGTCTTGGATCTTGCCGGTAGCAAGTTCGATTTTGACGGTGTCGTTGACCTTGATGGCTGGGTCAGGGTAACGGATACTGTACACAAAACTTCGTCAGCATTTCTGGGGGAATTTGTATAGCAACCGTTGATCTAGCTCCAATGGTTCGTATTGTATCGACCAAAGCTTGGACCAACGGCTGAATGATGTCTGACAGAACTTACGTTCTAGCATCGTGCGTGACCAAGAATGGGATTCCGCCTTTGCCTAATTGCACACGCTTGACCTTCCCGAGCTTGTATTCGGCCTCCTCATCTTGAATTCGGTGGACGGTGAAGCGACCCTTGGTATCGTAGACGAGACGGAAGTGCTCCTTGGTCTTCTCGATGCTGATAACATCCATGAAGCCGGCTGGGTATGTGGCGTCGGTTCGGACCTTGCCATCGACCTTGATCAGGCGTTGCATGACAATAGCCTTGGTCTCGCGCGAGTTGAGGGCATACTTTAGACGATTTCGGATGAAGACGATGAGGGGCATGCAGTCGCGGAGCTTGTGAGGACCGGGAGATGGGCGAGGAGCATAGGCACCAGACAATTTGTCCAGAAGCCAATGCGATGGCGCGCTGAGACGCTTTTGATGCTTCTTACTGCAGAAAAGAGTATGGTCAGCCTTGATGAAAAAGAGGATTGAGCGCAGAATTGATTTGAAAAACGGCAGTTCAACAAGTCCTGAAGAAATGCTTGTAGGTTGTTCGCAGAGATCAGACACAGTCGAAGCTGGAATGGTGGCAGGTTCTCCAAAAGAGAATCTTGAAGCTCAAGTTCCACCGCTCAAAGTCATGCTATTCCGTGCTCTTGAACTCGCAAATCTGCAGTAAACAATTGGAAGGAGTACACTCACGGTCCCTTTCCCATTTTGTCGATTAATGTGTATCGAAATGGGGTGTTGTCGGTCGAAGTTGTCGCTGGAGGTTGAAGTCGCGAAAAAGTTTGTGGAAATCAGAGTTGTGTGGATTTCGCTTAGCCTAACTAGATCGAGACAAGCTTAGATGCTGCATTCACGTGATGACTGTCTACTTTGAGACATTGTAGTATTAAAGATTTCTCCCGCGATCTCTAGCGGTTCGGAAGAAGATGCAGACTGATGTTTATTCTCATTGAGAGGTACATTGGTGGAAAAGCTAGTGTTGGTAGGTCACGGTGTCACTACATCTTGCCATGAACAGCACACCAAAAAAGTATGAAGCATCTGGCATATCTTGAAAGCTACTACATGCCGGTATTTTGAGTGGTCTAAGGAGAATCAAACAATAGGTCTGGTGCTGAAACAATCAATCTGACATCCCAGAAAATAGATGATCCATAAAATCCTCACAGCTTCTTCCCCACTGCCATAACAAGCTTTAGTTCGGACTTTACCTTACCATCCTTATCAGCAATCTTCTCCATTTCCTTTCGAAATCCTTCTCTCGATTTGTCGATCAGATCAGGCTTCACCAACTCCGCATACCATTGTGCAGTCCACTTCCCTTTGCCCAGCATCCCTTCAAAGGTTTCATCTGCCTTCTTGACATCCAGCTCCTCCATCGATCCCTCATACGCCTCGGTCACGAAAGTCCCAGAAGCATCCAACCCAGCATCGGTCAATAGTTTGCGAACCTTGTCCGTGCTATCTGTCAGAGAATGATTGAAGAGGGGGACTTTCAAATCCTGTGCGACTCGATCAAGGAGGACGTTCTTGATCAATGTGCCTCCACTCGGAACGTCGAATATCAATGTCCCACCCTTCTTGAGCAATTTTGCCCAACCTTTCACAGCTTCTGCAGTATGCTCCAAGACCGGAACAGCAGAGGCACAAGTAACAATATCGAACTTTCTTTCTTCGATGCCGTCTGCTTCGAGTCCTTCGACGTTCTCTATATCGTGTTCTACAAAGTTGATCTTCAGACCCTCTTTCAAGGCTTTCTCCCGAGCGATTTTGAGAGAGACTGGACTGATGTCAACTCCAATGACAGTTCCTGATGGACCGGCGTCTCTGGCAGCAGGGATCGTGACCGCTCCTGTGCCGCAAGCAAGATCTAGGACTTTGAAGCCAGGTTGGACTGACATCCATTTGATGTAGTCGGCGGCTTGCTTTGGATGGAAACCAGTCTCTTGGTCGTAGGTAGGTGCTCGTTGATCATATCTATCACGAATGGCAGCAAGTCGAGACATAGCGGTGAGTGTGGAAATATGATTGTCGAGTCTGAGAGTTTACAGACAGAAGCAAACGCTGAGATTGAATGTTGGAAGGAGCTTCTCTGAGGATGACAATTAACTCCTTTATCTTATTTCAATATTGGAAGGAACTTCTCTGAGGATGAGAGTTGACTTTTTGTGGTTATGGTACGGGGGGACTTTAAGCTGTATTGTGCCTCAAATTGATATTTTTACCACCCCAGCGTACCAAAAGTGTCTGTGAGGAGACAAACTCCGTTAAGAGCGAACATCGTCAATTTATGAGGAAATACGTGACAGAACTGCGACTGGAGTATGCAGTAGGTGAACTCATCCTTGATTATATCTCGCACTCCTTTCCTAAAGAGGTGCATCTCTTAGTTTTAGATACAGATATGCTGCTGTGACACTACTCCGGAGTTTGCTTGGCGTCTTCATGTGGCGAATGGAGGGGCATTTGAACCGACCCCACTTCAGCCCATCAAACCAAATCCCCTAGAAGCCCGAAAAAGTTCAGACGCCGATCTCGCGACTGGGCATGACTCTTCACTAAACAATTTAAACAGCTCACATTCAACATTTACCTGCACAGATACTCAATTGCTTCTCTCGAAATGGCTCCCAATTTTCCTACCAAGAAGTGCGGTAAGTAATTGATTGAGAGATGATCTCCGCTTCAATTCTTTCCCCTCAATTGACCCCGCCATCCTCTTCAAGAAGTATTCTGACCAAGAGATGCAGGTGTGCTAGGCTGTACAGGTTCAGTAGGGCAACGATTCATCCTCCTTCTTGCTCAGCACCCTCACTTCGTCCTCCATGCCGTCGGCGCTTCCTCCCGATCCGTAGGCAAGAAATACAAAGATGCCGTGAAATGGAAGCAAGCTTCACCCATGGGCAAACATGTCGAGGAATTGGTTGTCAAGGAATGCAAAGCCAGCGAGTTCGCAGACTGTGATATCGTTTTCTCCGGTCTGGACGCGGATGTGGCTGGAGATATTGGTGGGCAGCTTATACTTCTATATTTGCTGGAGAAATGCTGATTGGAACTTGCAGAGATGGAGTTCCTAAAGGCTGAACTGGCTGTCTTCTCAAACGCCAAGAATTACAGAAGAGATCCCCTGGTCCCATTGGTCGTCCCTACAGTCAACCTTCCACATTTCGATGTCATTCCCCACCAACGAAAACATTATGGTCTTAAGAAGGGCTTCTTGGTTTGCAATTCGAATTGTGCCGTTATTGGCATAGTCATACCATTTGCTGCTATTCAGAAAGAATTTGGAGAAGTGGACCAAGTCAGCGTTGTTACCATGCAAGCTGTTTCTGGTGCTGGATACCCTGGTGTGAGTAGTATGGATATACTGGACAACGTGGTACCTTGGATACCCGAGGAGGAAAACAAGCTCGAGACAGAAGCACAAAAGATCTTGGGGAAGGTCAATGCTGAGGTTACGGGATTTAACAACCAATCTGATCTGAAGGTCTCGGCGGCTTGCAACAGAGTCGCAGTCTTGGATGGGCATATGGCTTGTGTTTCGTTAAGGTTTAAGAACAGAAATGGACCGAAACCTTCGGCTGAAGCTGTCAAGAAAGCATTGAGTGGATATATCAGCGAGGCACAGACTCTGGGTTGCCCATCAGCACCCCAACCTTCTATTCAGGTAATGGAGGAAGCAGATCGACCACAGCCAAGACTGGACAGAAATACCCAAAATGGCTATGCAGTCAGTGTTGGTAGAGTAAGAGAGGACGATAGTGGTATATTTGATCTCAAATTTGTTGCGTTGAGCCACAACAGTAAGTCTACATTTGTCCTTTGAAATGGCATTTCTAACATAATTAGCTGTCATTGGCGCAGCGGGTGGGTCGGTATTGAATGCGGAGGCTGCAGTGTTGAAAGGATACATCTGAAGAGGGGGCTTTGAAATCCGGGCGTCAATTTCCCATCTTGTCTCATCCTAGGTTGGCAATTTCAAGCGGTGCATTAGACGGCAGTCAAAAGTTGTTGCTGATATGGAATGTAAACCTCAAAACATGCCTGGTAATACTGCGTCATTTTTGATAAGTTTATCCCATTGTAACTTCTACTTATCGCACGACTTGTTGATAACGCGGTCATTGCATACTCAGTCATCAAGCTACTATGAGGGTGATCCTGTTCCCTTGTACATCAGTAATATCCGAGCTAGGAAGCTCAGAGATGAGCTGCTCTAGAGAAATATTAGCCTGTGCTTCAATTGGCATGATAAATGCAAATCAATTTTTAGAAGCAGGAGACTGAGATATAAATTTCATGAAGAACCGCGCGATTGAGAGCGTGCTCTTGAAATAATCTACAGGATATTGAGAAAACGCGTCAAAAAAAAGAGCGTTTCAAAAGCCTTGACGGATAATCAATCACTCGTAACTCCCAGCATGATATGAGTTATCTTCCCCAATATTCCTATTCTCACGTCACTTGTCTCCTGGATCTGAAATCGCTAAGCGAAGTAAACAACAACCATCCCTTAAGCAAAGCAAAACCAAAAAACAACTGCAAAAACATATTCACAATCAAGCTAACCCTCACTTCAGAGAGTAGAGGAACTCACTCTTCAAACACCACCAAGCACCACCAGTTGTGTTGACCGCGTCCTGCAGAGAGTTGTCCAAACGCCTTCCGCATTCCGCAACGCAAACGCGTCATCCCCAACTTTTTTAACCTATAGCTGTAAACAAACACCACTTTTGGAGGAAGGATTTTGGGAGAGCAAAGAACCTTGTGAACCACTGGTGATGTTAGTTAGTGTTCGCGAAGGAAAGTGAGAATGATTAGTGAGGGTTAGCTTGATTGTGGTTGTGGCGAGTTTTTGCTTATTTGGCACTATATGGGCTGAGAGCTTGAAGGCGAGGCTGGAGCCGAGGGGCTAGAGAGGCGCGAATGTCTGGTTTTGAGGTTGGGACATTGGTGGTGCCAAGTCAAAGGTTAAGTTGTGAAAGTGAGGCAGCACTTTCGGCTCTCCTGCGAAGTTGCAAGTGGAGGTCCGACATCCATGTGTGTTTGGAGGGACTATTCACTTAAAGTTGAGCGACCAGACAAAATCAAGACCTGATACCGATGAACAGCAATGAGCAATGAAAATTTGTTTCCATTGTAATGGGTTCCGAGAAAGAAGATAGCCGTAAGAGTGTAGCAGAGACATCTTGAGACAGTGGCAGGTACCGCAAGTGTTCCAAAGGAAAACAAACCTTAATGAACAGTAAAATCGGGCTAGAGATCCTGTTGGACAGGTAGCACGAGCAAGAGACTCAAAGCAGACGGTTGAAGGAAGAGTTTCTCGTGTTCAAGCTAGACGCCATTGGAAATGCCACAGGCTTTGCACCAGGATGTATACTTGTACTAGCTATCTGGCGCTTTACTTGTTTGAAGCTAAGGAGGTCAAGGAGGAATGCTAGAAGGCTACTGTATAGAGAGACGAAGACCTTTGTTAGTTACGATATTCATAAAACTAGAAATGGGGTCACCTTTTCATTATTTTAGATGCTAGCTAAGTGAAAACAGCAATTGGAGTTGAACTGGACTTGAAAAGCAGATGGTGTACGTTGGTAAGTGACAGCGAGAATCAAGTTCCGAAAGGCGAGGGAGGGCATCCGCGACAGTTGCCAGCTAAGCCCAACACAGGCAGCAAAAGAAAGTATATCAAGCTCCATGGCTGTCATACTTACACTCCCAATCTATGACCCCTCATTGCTGATCATTCTTGTAAAGTGATAGAGTAGATTCACCTCCGGCACACACGACCTATCTGCTACGTCAGGACCCAGAGTCGTTAGTCTTTGCTGTCCTCCCAACGCCAAGTAATATAAAGCATCTACGAAATAGTCAGGGTAGCCCGGTTGTTCTTGCAGAAGTGTGCCTCGGACTAAGGCAACTAAGGATCTGCCGGTTCGGGAGTGATTTATTCTAAGGTGACGCAGGTGCATGAGCGTATAGAAGCAACCAGGGATTGGGGCACAATAAGCGCTTTCAAACACTGGGAGGTCAGATATTCCACATGGGCTAAGCATTTTCATAAGACTTTGAAGCTCCATAATGTACTCCATCTTTTCAATAATTAGCAAGCCCGCGCATAACGCAAAATAGAATTATGATTCAGAGACTTACTAGGACGCATAGCAAGTAAGGTCGGACCTTGCTATTCATACTGCCGGCTATACACTTGTGACGGAATGAAGCTTGGATGGGTCTCATGTACTACAGTGGCTCGAAAGGTATTGACTATCGAAGAAAGAACTTGAGGTGGACGAGCAGAAGACGAGCATAGCTATGGTTGGAAGAGACTACCGCCAACCATAGTTTCATGGACATTCATTCCTCCAAATGCTGGTCATTAACTTGCACTCGTAGAAACGTGGCTGGGTTTAAAAATCCATGCTACTTGATTGGAAGTTCTGAGATCTTGTGCAAGAGCGGTGTTGCTTCTCTGGAATCAAATTATTTTACAAGTTTTGTTCGCCACCCAATGCAATCATTTAACGCTCGTTTAGGTATTCGTGGCCCATCCTAGTATTGGCTAGCAGCGTTTTGGCAAGCTTTCTGTAGAGGACACAATCATCAGCCTTCCATCCAAGCCCAAGAATAGCCAATTGAACACTTACCAGTTGCTCCAAATACCAACTGCAGATCTGCATGTTGCCCTGGTTATCATCCATGCACTTGGTGAACTGCTTTGCGTCCGCGTCACAGCTTCGTGCTCCCCAGTTGTTATTCTGGGCCTGGTTTCCTTGCGCTGCAACACTGTTGTCTTGGGGTGCCTGCTCAGCAGGAGCTGAAGATCCACCACCGAAGAAGCCACCGATGGCATGACCGATTGAAGAACCTACGGCAACACCACTACCGTCCATCAGTTTTGTGTTCCGGAACTCTAGGGAAAGGGGCAAGGGACGTACGCAGCGGTACTGGCCATCTGTCCGAAGAGACCCGGGCCAGCTGAACCTTGCTGTTGTTGAGCTGGTGCAGCTGGAGGATGAGGGGCTTGTTTTGCTGGAGGGTACGCAGCGGTCGTTGCTGGTCGGGTTTGCTGGGGAGCAGGTCTCGCAGGGGCAACAGGGCGAGATGGAGCTCTGCTTCCACCACCGGATCTTGATGAGCGAGGCATGTTGATGTGTTCGGGGTTCCGTAGATATCTGGGATGACTTTGGTTGACAGAAGTTCGTGAAATGTGATGAATAGGAATGGATATTCACCGAAGGTTGAAGTCGAGAACGGTCCTCGCTCAAGCTTATAAATTTTAGCTCGTGAGGATTTGATTGGTACAGAGCAGGGGAGTGTCGGGGCAATAAGGTTACCCGGAGTTAAGCAAGAGAGCGACTTTTGTCATGTTCTACATTTTATGGGGATTCAAAGAAAGGGTACAATTGAGTCAAATTGTAGACGGTCCTTTGCTATTCGTAATTTATGTCAATAGCATTGATTCACTTCCCAAGAACTCGAGGTGTTAATGCAAATAGCTAAAGGAAGGGGTTTGTAAATCATGAATGTTCGTGCCTTGATTGTCTATCGCAGATGCCCCTCAGTGCATCATGTGCCTTTAAGTGACTTTTCCAAACGCCTAAATAAACCGCTGATGCAAAGGGTATTTTCCATAGAAACGCCGTGCAATGCGAAAGCAAACCAGTTGTATGCTGCGAGCTCCTAGACCATCTTCTCATGATTGACTCTTCTTCTGCTTCTTGGCCTTGGACTTCGCCTTTTTCTTCTCAATCTTAGCTTTACTGAATGCCTTCTTCTCTGCTTTAGATCTGGGAGCCTTTTCCACGCTGCCAGAGGAAGATGAATTGCCAGAATTGTCTCCTTTGACTTTCTTCCTTGGCGGTGCAATAGGTGCATGCTCCTCTGCTTCAGCGGACGACTTGGAGCCGGAATCGGAGTCGGAAGAATCAGGCTCCTCCTCTGGCTTCTCCTCAGACTCCCCCTTGGCTGTGTGCTTTGCAAGTTCCTCAAACCTGATATGTGCCCTCGCTCGCTCTTTTGCTTCTCGTTCAGCTTTTTCAAGATCATACTTATCATTGCCGGACTAGAACATGATTGTGTGAGCAAATTGGTAGGTAGTAAGTAGGGACGGCGGGTAAATTATGCTTACCAACCCAGCTTTGATGAATCTTGCAGCTGCAGACTTGTCGAGGACCAAGTTCCTATCTTTTGCTGGAGCTTCTGCTGCCTTAATCTTGTCGAAGTACTGCTTCACCCGGGTAAGCTCAATGAAGACAGGATGGTCTCGCGCATTAACACCATTGAGTCGCAGATACGCTGATTTGAGTATTAGCTAGGAGATTGGGACTTTAGATGCAGGACTTACAAAACAGCATAGACTCAATGGCGTAGGTCACCAGAGTGAAAGTCTTTGCTTTCTGGAGGAGGGGAAGCTTTGCAGCCGTTTCCGACAATGCTGTCTTGAGAAGAGGAGAGAGTGACTCTTCAAGATCATCCATCTCATCATCAAGCTGCTCAAGCAGAGACATGACCTTTGTGGAGTCCATCTTGCAATGGTGGATGTTTCTTGATGTTTGTTGAAGTTCAGCAATCAGAGTTGCGATTCTCCCGACAAACAATTCATAAATTTGGCAGGGATGCGAGTTTTCGATTTCGGTATCTCGCTAATGCGCATGTACAGGGATTGTCTGACGTGCAAGGATCATAGAAAGAAATCTTTTGGACTTTGTTTCTCTGCCCGCGAGCCGCAAATCGAACTCAAATTCTCTTGACGTCTTTAATCTCCCTCTTGCCTCTGTACATTGTCCTCTTTCCTTCAAATCGCCCGAGCCGCAATTACGACGAGTACGATTTACTTTTGGAACGACTCTTCTTCGCCTTTTGATTCTTGTATTATCTTTGAATCCATCCTCTACTGCGCATGTCGGAATAGGAGCTCCATCGGCGGCAAAGATAGCCACCAGCGCGCGTGCTGGTCGAGTCACAGATCTGCCATGAGTTGAAACTTCTTACTGCGAGAATCGTTCATCCTGTCTCTACCAATTTGCGGCCGTCCGCTGTCGTGGGTGTATCGAAGGATACCCCCTAAAGGAGAATGCCTCTACGATAACCTTTATGCGGGCCGGGTGGCCAGGCGCTGTGTTTCGACAGTCCAAGAAAGTCGATGGCCGAGGGGGAAGCGACATAGGGATGCACAGCATACAATAAGCTCGAGGGGAAAATGGACGGCATTCAGAGCTTACGGAACTCAGGCCAGAGAGACAACAGCGCAAGATGTCGCGAGGGAGACTTCGATGACACAAGGTCGTCCGCCACCTTCGACCTCAAATCCCACATCAGCTGCGGCCGCTGGTAAGCTTCGTAATGATCAGAATGATGCCGGTTCTCTGAACTATCTGCCGAAGGAAGACTGGTCAAATCGTGGTAGAGGGAAGTCTTGGTTTTCAGCATGGCGTGCGGTTGAAGAAGAGGAGACGGACATTTCACGAGTACCACTAAACAGTCCCCACGGTATCGAGAATGACACAAAGGAACACATGCTATCAAGGTCCCTTGAACGAATGGGATTGGATCTTTCACATGAACAGGAAAAAACCGAGGCCATGCGGGTTTCTCTCTCCTTCAAGAAAGATCTAGCGAGTCTAGATGCTGGCCTGATCCACAACCCAGCGAACGGGACGGTCAATATTGAGCAAGTAGTTAAGGCTCAGCTGACGGGCCTCGAGTCTCAATCGCATACCTTGGGTGCGACGTCTGCGACGTCTGCGATGACCAAGTCGGCCGTCACCAATACCACAGCGGCTCTCCAGGATACAACAAAGGAAGAAACACCAAGCTCGGACCCTGAAGCTCTAGTCGAGACTACTTTCCAAAAATATCAGCGGAAGTTCCAAGGTCTTCTTTTCCAACCATGGCGTCCATACACGAGCATAAATCTAGACCTGGATCCTGAAGGAGAATACGTCGATCCTGACATGGGACACTTTGTCCCCATTGGGCCCGAGTCTGACCTCGACGAAGAAGAGCAAGTCAGTGTTGTCCCGGGGCCGCAGCTCGAAAACAAAACCATCCACATTCTAGGCCTTGGAAATGTTGGGAAATACATTGCCCATACATTGGCCAGCCTTCCACACGGCCCCCCAATAACGCTCTTGATGCATCGTCCTTTGGTGATGCAGCGTTGGCATGACGAGGGAGCAGCCGTAAGATTAGTGAAGCATGGCGAGCTTCATGTTCAGTCTGACTTCAATATTGAGTCTGCTGCAGCATTTCGGAGAGAACACCCTGATCAAGTCTTTCCGCATTTCGGCAAGAACCTTGAGCACTCCGCTGAGCCACCCAACACAGTTATTGATACTTTGATTGTTACAACAGATTCCTGGGCCACTCTCCCTGCGTTGGAAGCAATCAAGCATCGATTACGCCAGACATCTACCATTTGCTTCATACAAGATGGCCTTGGCATTGCTGAGAAAGTCAACGCTGGGATTTTTACGGATCCTGACAGACGGCCAACCTATGTCCTCGGTCGAATTTCTCATCATATTGTCTCGACGGAGCGGCATTTCACGATTATTGAGAAAGAGCCCGGAACGCTTCTTTGCTCGAAATTGCCGCAGCGCTCGTTGGATGTTACTGGAGAAGTGCCAATTTCCAGAACAGACTTCAGTTGGTCTCCACAGGCTAAGCACCTGGTAGGCTCTCTGTCTCGTGCTCCAGATCTCAACACAAAGCCTCTGGGCCATAAAAGTTACTACAAAGTTCAGCTTCAGAACCTCGCTATTGGATGTATCATTGGTCCCTTGTCAGTGATGTACGATTGCTCAAACGACCAACTTCTGTTCAATTACAACGCATCTCTCACGATGAAGCAGATACTGGAGGAGATTTCGCGTGTGGTCTGCTCACTTCCCGAATTGAAGTCTCTGAGCGGAGTTTATGAGAATTTTAATCTCCAAAAGTTGCAAGCGATAGTCGTCTCAGCTATCGCCAAAACGGGTAGAATAGAGTCACGCATGCTCCAAACTGTTCGCGCTGGCAAGAGGACAAATGTTGACTACTACAACGGCTATATCATACGGCGTGGTGCTGAATTAGGCATACCGTGCCCCAAGAATGAGATGATCATAAGCTTGGTGAAAGGCAGGGTCTCAGTGAAGAGTAAGGAGATAAATGGGTATATCCCGTTGTTAGGGAGTAACTAGGGAGTCGTTGGCATTGTCAGCTGGCGTGTTGTACGATTTGTGCAGTATAAATAGAATAGGAAGTCCGGCGTTTCGCTGTACATTGCAAAATGGAACCTACTCATGACATAATAGACACGAAACTTGCTTCACGCCTACATGTAGTAAGTTAGGAAGTCCGTCTTTTCGCCGTGCATTGCAAAGTGATATTTTAATCTTGGCCCTTGTTTTGTACATGTAGTAATGAGGAAGTCCGGCGTTTCGTTGGACATTCCAGACTTGATACTTACCATGAATTGGAACATGAGACGATATCGCTCAAGAGCTTGTAGGACAACAGAAATGGGAAAGGTAAGATTTTCGAGATTCGAGATAGAGAGGAATGCACCTCGTAGTTATCACATTTTATCCTTCAAATCTTGCTTTACTTTTGAGACTTAGGCCCCCTATATCATCCCACAAACTCTGGAACAATATCACCTTATATCTCACCATTATGGTACGATGAGACCCATGAAAACTGCATGTGGGATCATTGAGGCTTGCGCTTCGACCGGTATCGTGACGATGCTTCAGAAACGAGGAGGAAAAAGGGGCTGGGCTGCGAGGTAGGAACCAATGTTCGTCTCCGTCTGCAAGCACTCTGAGAATCTCATACGTGCTGGAATCGGCTTTCGTATTTTCTCTTGAGATTTACTCTACTGGTTCGATGGTTGGCAGGATTTGGTCTGCTACTTTCCCGCGTTGGTGCAAATCACATTCCTCATCAACTATTCTTCCGGATGCAGCGACAACACCGCACCTAAATCAGTGACATCGCGCATTTGACTTACACAATACCGATGGGTGCAAAGCCGTTGCTTGCGGCATAGCGATGGTTGTGAGTATGGCTTCTCACCGGCTGTTTCCTCCCAAAGTTGTGGCGTGGGAGTAATAGTCGCATTCAACGCTTTCCTTTGTCGCTCTTACTCGCACAATGAATTGTTCAGAAACAATGTGCAACCCGAGGCTGCTGAGAACGGCCTTTCCGTTTCGAGCCTGCTCAACTCGAGCATTTAATTCATAACATCCCACGATGTCCCATGGACCCAAAGTAAACGATACCCAATCCTACTGCACTTGGAAATCAAACTTTCCTGTCATCCGCCTGCCAAAATGGCCTCCTCCACCAGCTCTCAAGCTCAAACCTCGGGGGACCTTGCAGAGGGACTCTTCGGTCCACGCCCTGCTAATGCCGAACAAGCAAGATTTCTTAAAGAAGAGACGAGATATGAAGCACCTTACATGCAAAGTTACTCTGGCATGAGCAAAGGTGGGAAAATATCTTTGCTTAGCACATCTGAACGATGTCTGTACTAATGCTAAGCAGTGAACATTGCTTCACCGCAACCCAAAAAACAAAAGACCGATGTCACTCCTACGCCGGCAAAGAAATCAAGCCTTCTGGCAAACATTATATTTTCAGCCATTTTGATAGCTGCGGTCTATTTTGCATCGCCATACCTTGGCCCAACGACAGCCGAAATGATCGATAGAGTCGGCGAAGCATTCAACTACGCAGTGACATCCTATAGTCCGGAACCAAGTGTGACAATACTCCCAATCGAGGAACCAACACTTACAATACTCCCAATCACAACATCAGAGACTCCTCTAGTGCCAGTTTGGGACAATGGGGATAATTCTGTGGAAAACGACCCTATTGACTCCGAAACCGAGTCTTTTTTAGGGTTGGTCTCAGGGACTAGACTTCCTCTCAAGGAAGACGACACTAGTTATCCTACGGAAGAGGCAACAACAACAGTCATTACCGCGAACCAAGTTACTACGCAAACAGAAGCAACAGCATCCATGATCAAAGGATTTAGGTATCGTGAAAGAGTCCATACCTACCCTAACAGCTTCGATCGTCTTTTAACAGTGTGTGGAGACCTGTCCGACATCTTGTCAGAACACCAGATTTGGGATATCGCGGAGCATGCTTTCGAGGCCCACGAAGACCTCTCAGATGCACTAAAGATAATCCGACTCTCTCAGACCGATACAGTACTTGTTGAGCGTAACGAGGAGCTTAGTCGAAGCATATTAAGATTTGTACAGGAAGTCCTCATCTCCTGCTTGCAGATCAAGAAAGAGAATTTCGTTTTCGGAGCAGAGCTCGAATATATATTGACCACATCTAAGCTTCAACCACCAGATAAAAGAGCGCTCGGAGAATCTATACTCGCATTACAAGCGTCAGCACCAGGCTACAAAGAAATGCTGCAGGAGAAAGTTTCCATGCTCGAAGCATTCGAGCTAGAGATCGATAATACCGCCAGGGACACCATGAAAGACAACCTGGATCTGTTTGAGAAGATCAGGAAGGAAGATCTGATGAGAGATCTTAATGCAAACTCATTCAATTTCCCGTGGACCAAGGGTAGAGGGGAAGACAAGATACGCAATGAAAAGCTGATCTCGACTCTTCGGAGGACGATATTCCTAGATCAATTTGTCAAGAACATTCAAAAGCTCCGAGCTCAGATTCATGATGGAATCTCATTACTTGATGGGATAGTGAAGGATAAAGAAGCAGATGGCAAGCTAGCAAAAAGGGGTGTGAAGGTGGATGCGAAGAGGCATGTTCCTGTACTTGAAGACGCTTACAGAGAGGCAGTCGCTCGGAGAAAAAACTTGGAAAAGCATCTGATCAGACTTGAGTCAAGTGTTTCAGAGCGGGAGGGAGGTAAAGGACGGTAGGGCTGGAGCAAGGCAAATGTGTTGAGTATTGTACTTTGAGTTTTTATGCATGACAGGGTGTTTCGATTCATTGCGCACGTATTCCAATAGCGAGTTGAGCATATTCGGGATTATACAAGCTCCATGAGCTGATATACTGGCTGCATGAGAGTCTCTCCAAACCAGATGTCCACTTGGACCATGCTTGAAAGTTTTCTCGTGAATGAATGTTCGTCCTGGGCTGAGGCGACAAACAAGGCTGAATTCGTGACGATTGCGGGGCATCATTTCTTCCGCAAGCAGCCACAACTCACGAACCCAACCACATAACAAAATGGACGACGACGATTTAGCACAGGTAAAGCAACTCTTTATCACTCTCTTGCCGCATGCGACTAACATCCCCTCAAGATCAGAAAAGCTCGACTTGAGCAACTAAAGTCGCAAGCCGGCAGCTCAGGCGGAGGAGGCAGTTCCCTTGGCGGGGGATCCCAGGACGACAAGCAGTGCGTCTTCCCAAACCCTCCTTCTAACTCCCTTGCACATAGCTAAGCTTTGAATCTACAGAGCACAAGAATCTGAAGCCCGCCAAAGCATCCTAAATCAGATCCTCGAGCCCGAAGCCGCCGACCGACTTGGACGCATCCGTCTCGTCAAGGAGTCTCGCGCGCAAGATGTCGAGAACAGACTCATTATGCTAGCTCGGAGCGGACAACTTAGACAGAAAGTCACTGAAGAACAGTTGAAGGAGTTATTGGGTGCGGTGGCGGAGAAGAAAGAAGAAGAGAAGATTGTGATCAGTAGGAGGAAGGGCGGGTGGGATGATGAGGACGACGATTTGTTTGCGGATCTGTGAGGGGATAGCAAATGAGAGATTGGTGGGCTCGATGAATGCATAATGCTGGCGTTAGGTCAAGGATTTGAAGGATAGTGACATGATACCGTCGAGGAAAAGCATTGAGCTTGCTTGGGAAGGGAGAATATACACTTCTAGTCTTGCCAATTATCGTACCACACTACCCCTACTATATGGTACACTCCTAGTTGATACCCAAACTATCTCCAGCCCTCTGCTTGGCTTCCTTCTCTGCCTTCCTCCTCGCCCTATCCTTCGCTCTAATTTCTCTGAGGTTGACTGGTTGTTCAATGCCCAATTCTTTCCTCAATCCCCTCACATCCCTCTCTAACTCTTCCTCCCAGTAGACATTGATGACCTCCTTGGCCCCAACACCATTCTTGATAGCCCACGGCAGAAAGATAGTCCAGAACCTTTTTCTCTCCTCCGGCTTGAGAGTGGTCATTGCAAACATGCTCAGGCCCGTCATCGGCAGCAATGTATTTGCAAACTCAAAAGCTTTCAAAGCAACCTCTCCTTCTCGAACAATGGGCAGACCTGTCAAGGCATGGTAGAAATCGTGAGATTCACGATACCGTTGCATTACATAGGCGCACTCTTCGTCGTCTATGTACTGTACCTCACTCCTGGTATCTGGACTCACGCCCTCTCTGTCCGACCACTCCGCATATGTACGGCCCACCGTGTGTTCTGGCAGTCCGCGGAGGTACTCCATAGACATCGTCTTCGAATTTATTCGTGGACGATCTTTGAGTATGCGTCTGCCAGTAGGGGAGGAGAGCATAGCATCGCGGAGCCGGTAGATGAAGTATGGAGTAGCTGTTGCTTCGCCAAGGGCAGCGATCAAGTCTTTTGTCCTTTAGCATCTTATTAGATAGTATAGAGATAGAACGTATACCTCCACGATGAGGATCACGTAGAGACATGATCGCGGACCCTATTGCCAGCCCAGCTTTCTCAATCCTCGTAAGAGGAATGTGCCCAGGATAATTCGGTGGCGGGCGACTGAGAACGCTGAAATTCCTGCATTGCAATGAAATTGTACATGCTGCAATCAGTTCTCTTTGCAGGCCAGTCCTGATGGCATTTGGACGAAATGCCATTGCTGCTGGTAAAGAGCTGCAAACGGAGCGTTGTTGAGAATGGTTCGAGAAATCGTGAACCTTGGGAATTTCGGGTCTCGGATCCGAGCTCGAATTCGGAAGAGACTCGGACCGTTCCGGTTGCAGCAGAGGAATGACTAACTTTTCTACTCCATAGCTTCACTGAAAATGAATATCTCAAGAAAATGTTTGCTTCATGACCAATTGAAAATCAATCAAATATGGAGGACCATGAAAAGTTCAGAGAATGGGTAACAGAGAGAGGAGTGAAGATCGATGGCATTACTGCTCACAAGTTCGAAGGCAGGGGTGTTGGTATTATTGCAGAGAAGAGACTTAAGGTAAGAGTTGCGCTTCTTACGTTGTCTCCATGTTCAATTGCCAAATATGTCTCCAGATCAATTGCAATGGCTCCCGTTTTCCCCTGTTCTTCGGTTTTCTCATTTTGACCGCTCAATACGTCGTTCCAAGTCCTTCCAACCTCTACCACTCTAAGTGCTTGGTGGAAGCGATACGAGTTGAACTTGAGCTCACATTTACTGTTATTCACTCTCAAAGCTATCACTATATGTCTTTGAAATATTTGGCCCTATAATGAATGCCCAATGGTCGAAATTGTTAGGGATACTCTGTTTATATTTAGTTCTGCGAATTACCTACTCCTACATGTTGGACTTGTCCTTAGCATCTCTATCTCATATCTCATCATAAGCAAGAGAAACAGTGCTGAAAGAATACTCTAGGCAGATAGCACAATCCTCACAGTACCAATCTCCGCTCTCCGAACGGCTCACACCCTCCCCAAAGCCCTCCAACCACTTCTCAAATCCGCACCAACCATCCACGGAATCCTCGCACTGATGCTAGCCCTCGATACCTCTCCAACATACCAACTCTGGTGTGCCGTACTTCCCACCGCCTCCGACTTTGAATCAACAATGCCACTACACTACCCTTCATCCCTCCAAGACCTCTTACCATCAGCATCAAAAGCCCTCCTCGCGCACCAAAAGTCCAAACTAAAAGCAGACTGGGCCTTTGCTTCGTCCCACTACCCAAAACTCACCTACGATGACTACCTCTACGCATGGCTTTTGGTCAACACCCGAACATTCTACTTCCTACCCCCTGGCACTAAGACACCAAAGAATCACGATGATTGTATGGCCTTGAATCCGTTCGCTGATTACTTCAATCACACGTCTCGAGGATGTCACGTTTCTTTCACAGCCGAAGGATATAAAGTCATGACCAACAAAGTCTATGAGAAGGGCGAGGAAGTATTCATCAGTTATGGAAATCACAGCAACGATTTCTTGTTGGCTGAATATGGTTTCATCTTGCCCAGTTCAGAGGAACCAGGTGGTAACGAGTGGGATGTAGTATCGCTTGATGATTACATCTTGCCTTTACTAAGTGCCGAGAAGAAAGAATTGTTGAAGGAATCTGGATTTCTGGGAAACTATGTCTTGGACAATGCAGAGGTTTGCTATCGAACACAGGTTGCATTGAGGGCTCAGTGCTTGTCAACGAGGAAGTGGCAGAGATTCATGGATGGCAGCGATGATGGAGCTGATGACCAAGAGGCTGTGAATGAGGTGTTGCTGAAAGCCTTGAAGAGGTATCATAAGGACACCGAGAAGTATTTCAAGCAGGTTAGTGCGACCAAGGAAGGAGAGGAAAGTCACCGAGACATGTTGAGCAGACGATGGAAGCAGATTAGCAATCTTCTTCAACGAGAGATCGACAGGATACAGAATTGAAGGTCTACCATTTGCATACTAAACGCGAAAACAATGAAAGTAGTACAGAGACATGGTCCTTGTTCCCTAAAACGATCGAAAGCTATACTAACCAAGTGAGCAGCAGTCTTGTGAGGAGTTGAGTTCTGCATCTCATTATGACTCAGTCGATGTTTAGACATCAATCCCAAGTTATTCCCAATAGTGATATTCGTGTAATTTATACCGCATCATCCTCTTTAAGACTCGTAACCCATATTCACTTTAGAACCATAAGCTAGTGCTTCTAATAGCAGAAACGCTTTCCTCATCGTGTTGCATAGACTTGCGCTGACTTGGCAGCAGAGCACGATCATCATGAAAGCTTTGTTCTCTTTCGTGAGCACTCTTCTCACGCGCATTTTCGAGACGGACGAAGTCTGTTGGTCCCATGGTGCGAGGCATCGTTGATGATATATACTTGGGAGTACGTTCCTCTTTATCGTCATCCAAGAGCTCCATGGGGAACCCATTATAGGTCTTCTCTGCCTCTTCCTTTATGGGAACCAAGCTGTGGTGCACGTGGGATACTTCCGGTGAAGCACGAGTGATTGGAACTGGGAAAGCATCGTATAGACAGGTTACGTCTTCCTCTCCATCCTGCTCATTGTCCGAAGAGTTCAAGGACAAGGTATCGCCGCTTTTCTCTGGGACGTGTTGATTGGTGGTACGCTCGAAAAATTCTTCCATCGATTCATCGACATCATAACCAGACGCATTTGGGTTGAAGCCGCGTCGTCCGTAGTACATGCCTGATCCTGCGGCTGTTGATGGTTCTGGCATGACGAGTTCTGCGGGATCCTTGCCGACGCCGCTTTGCTTTTCAAAACTCGAAGCAGTATCTTTTGAAAAGGAAGTGAGTCGACGCAGTGTCGGTAACTTTGGAGCGGCACTGACATGACGAAATGTCTGTTTCAGTTCATCTGATAACGACCTGGAATGATGCTTGTGAGATGGGAGACTTCTCATTGTGTTCGATTCGTAAGAGCATTTCGGATGGTTTGATGAAGCTGCAGATGCTAACTCGGCGATATCCTCAGCAGTTAACATATTGCCACGATCGACAGAATGACTGGACTCGCCAGCATGAAAACCGCCATTACTGTTCTGTGTATATGAGCTCCCAATACAGTCACTACGTGTTTTCTTGACCTGGAGTTCGTTGCTACGAGCTTCACTGCTGTTCTCATAAGCTCCGTCCATCGCACATGGACCAGATTGACGAGTGTTAAAGACTCTTCCCGTACTGTCAATAGCGCACGCGGTCTCCTCGTTGGTAACTTTGCGCTTTCTCAGTGTATTCTTGGCTACCTCAAATGGCCCCTTCGATGCGTGGGAGACCTGTTTTACTTGGCATTGGGGGCTCGATTGAGAATGGGCAAGTGCATCCATATCAACAGGAAAGTCTCCGGCTTTTCTAGTCTTGGTTGGTGGTGTAGCAGTATTTCGTTCGAAGAAGTCTTTTTCATCTCGGCTTGTCTTTTGAAGAATCGTGTCAATAATGTCTTCAAAAGTGACGATACCAATTGGCTTGGGCGACATAATTCCAGGGCTGTCGAGTTTCTCGTCCACTCCTTTTTCGATAGCTGCCCTAGCAGCGACAAGGTAGTCCATGCTCCACTGGTGATTCTTGTAGGCTTCCTCTAAGTTCAGAGCAGTTTGTTCGTTGATCCTTTCTGTCACTGTCCAGACTGCACCAGCGCTACATGTCAGAGTGTCACTTGGCACCACAAGAGCCATTCTAGTTTCGTTAATTGTTATAATATTTCTTGACAGTAACCTTACTTACCTTGACATCCCTGATTGAAACAGGTTGAGAAGTTCATATACTGACATATCTTCTCTGACAATCGGCAATGGGTACAGATCCAGGTCCTTGACCAACAAAGGAGTCTCAGGATTCTCTGGGAACTTGATGTCAATCCCAATTAGACTCTGTGAAGTGTTAACGAAGGAGTATTTAGACAGCCTAGGTCCGTCTATACCTTTATATGCAGGAATCCATGAATTCGAGTATTCTCTGTCCACTCCATTGTATCCGCCTGCTCGTGCTCACGCTCTTTACCTGCAGTTCCAATGACTGGGATTCTGCTATATGACCAGCCCCGAATCTTCTTGACAAAGGCTTCATCGACACGCTCATCGATCCGAATGGCCTTTACAGCAGACCACTTGACAATCATCCCATCGACAACTACAAGATCTGCTTTCTCCAGATCTTTCTCGTCATTGGCGGGCTCAGGAACAGCAGCAATTTCTCCACCGACCTCACGGGAATCAAGTTTCAAGGCGCCGAGCATGATCCGGCTGGTGTCTTGACCGAGGTCACCACCGTGCTTTTCGGATTTCTCGTGGTGTCTGATTATTCCCCCAAGCTCTTCATTGGTGAAAATCTCCGTCTGATCCTTTTGTCCAGCAATGGTGTCGAGCAACCAAGCGAGTGGGAAACTGATTATGGCTGTGATAAACATACAGGCCCAGATTGTAAACCTGCAATAGTATCCCCATGCAACTGCTCGTCGTGGAATGATATACTGAGGAAGGATCTCGCCGACGATTGCAATACAGAGGGTTGACACCAAGATGGAAACCCACATTTTACCACCAGGATATATAGCCTGGACCAGAAATGGAAACGACTCGCCCAGACCAACGGAGACAATAATCAGGGAGCCTGTCTATATTAGCAGCGAATATGCCATAAAGCGAGAAGTACCTACAAAGCATCCAAGTTTCGTGTTTCTTCAGCTTGATTACCGCACGAGCATGCTTTCTTTGTAAGTTTTTTAGCATGTTACACAATTCTTGGCAGGCTTTCGGAATGACTACCTCTCTTTAGGCGTGCCCGTTGATGCTCGAAGTTGTAGAAGTGTCATGTTGAGACCGCAAAGCCCAAGGATCAAGCCACTTATTAGGGCAGCCGTAGTCAAGATGTTCGATGCAAGGAATTGCATGGCGAAATTTGCTGTGCCATGATAGACCGTGAATGTATAATTCTTCGACTCGGTGCTCCATCTGAGATTGTTTCCGGTGGGAGTCGGCGTGGCAGTGGCAATGCTTGTAGAACTTTGAAAGTCGTCGCGGCGGCCAAGATCGTTGTCAGTCCAGAGAGGTTGCCCAAAGTAGTTATTCATAGCGTCGACGCTGGAAGAATGAATGCTATTGAAATGATGCCACGAATGATCCGAAGAAACCCAGAAATTGTTGTCGTGTGGCGAGGTTTTGTGAGAGAGCGAAGAAGAATACCATAAGAGAAGGAGAGATTGACTTCACTGAATAAAAATCAAAAAGGAAAGAGCATGATGACCTGCTCTTGCCGTTCATATACAATCCTCATGAAACCTAAACCAGAATAGAAGGAGCGGACTAGGGAAAATGAACCTATCATAACACATGCAAGAAAGCTTTTCGGAGTAAACGCCATCTATTGTACAACCTCGACCAATTCTACACGCAAGTTGGAAGTATTGTTCATAATCTCGTAGATGAGAGGGAGACAACTCCCGAGATAACCCAACGCCAAATTCAACCGCCGATGGATGCATGATACCCTAACCCGTAGAAATTTTGCTCTAAAAACAGAATCTTGAAATTTCAGATTATGCGAAGAGCTGTCGAATATCGAATATGTCAGTTATTCTGGTCGCGGTCGTTTAGCACCGTGAGGGTTTTGCCAGTCGCCACCAGCAGCTTGGTTGCCTTGAAAGAACGCTGGGTTGAAGTGTGGTTGCATGCCGTTGAAGCCACCAGCGCCTGTTCGATGTGTTAGCTGTGACGTACTCTCCAACATGAAGGTCAAAGCGCTCTTCTTAATGACTGCCACTTTTTCAAGAGAGACCATAGGATAGCAGAGCGGGGATCTCTTACCTGGCATACCACCTGCCATTTGGCCCATATTCATGGGCATCCCACCCATAGCTCCAGGCATCCCGCCCATTGGCATACCTCCCATTGGCATACCGGCCATCATACCGTTCATGCCTCCTCTGCCACCCCTCATTCCACCTCCTCTCATACCACCACCCATCATACCGCCTCTATTGTTGAAGCCGCCTCCAAATTGATTGCCCATAGGACCTGACGGAAAGCCACCCATGCCTGAATTGAATCCACCACCCATATTGCCCATTGCCGGCCCAGAGAAATTCCGATTAAAGTTGTTCATGTTGTTGTTCATGCCTCCTCGAGCATTATAACCAGGTGTACGTCCTCGGAAATTACCACCGAAGTTTCCATTCGTGTTACCTCTATCATTATTGTAGCCACCACGACTTGGATTACTCTGTCCGTCCTTGCCAGCTCGTAGAGGTGCGTCTTTCGGGAGGGTTTTGAACGGGTTGACATTAGGGTTCGAGTAGACAACCGTGTGTTTCTTAACATATTGCTGTCCTTCACCAAATGCATCGATCTTATGCTTGGCAGCGGTAGCAGCTTGTTGCGAAGAGAACTCGACATAGGCTTGTCTATTGCATGAGGCGTTAGCACCAGAGATGGGGCAGTGAAAACAACTTGGGACTCACCCTTTACTCTTGCCATTGACCTTATGCTCAGAGAAGGTGATCTCTTTGAGCTCGTCTTCAACTTGTGCCTGATTGACCCATCCGCGGATATCATCATCAGTGTTCCACCAGTGCAATTCAGAGATCAGTAACGCTGTAGTCGCTCCTGGATCGATCGGTCGATCATCGGATCCCTCCTTTCTCTTCACACCTTGTATTTGTGGGGCTTGCTTAGGAATATTGAGAACATCTCCGCCAGGTTCGTCAGTACTCTTGATCTTTTGCTGTGGCTGCATCTTGCTACTCTGATCGTTGAAGCTAGTTTTGATGTCAACGAAGTCATCATCTTGCTCCTCTTCGTGATCTATGCTATTGGGCTCAGTTGCATGGCCGTTCGTGGGCTCGAGATCATCGATCTTCATGTCGCCTTCCTCGTCTTCGTCTTTCTTAGCTGAGAGATCCACTTCTTGTTCTGGATTGGTATCTCCATAAATATCGATGTCGAATTCGTCGTCAGCCATGGTGGTGGGTGTTAGGATTGTGCCTAAAGCACAATGAGAGTGAATGAAGGTTTGCCCTAAAAGTGAATAAAATTCTGTATTTGTCTTTATTGCACAATGTGGTTGTCTGCAAAATAATGACGGGGGTATCAGCGCTTGAAAACATTAAGCAAACTCCACGATGGCATTGACGCTCGAAAACGTCAAGCAAAACCTGAAATACATGGGATATACAAATACGTACACTCCTAAAGCCAACTAGAACTGAGCTCAAATCTGATAGCCTTCTTTGGCAGATGCAGAAACAATGGAGATGGAAGATGAAGCTCTGTGCTTGCAATCTTGAATGATGCGTTCCGTACAGGAAACTCTTTTGATGTGGATTGTCTGCGTGAGTATCCCCCAGGCGCGTACAATAGCCAAGATCAAATTGGAAAGCAACAACACATCCGTCTTGAAAAGTGAAAGGTTGGCTTTAAAGGAGACCACTTCCAAATTTCCCCCTTCTTTCAGCCTGACAGAGCCTTGTCCTCAACACCGAGACTCCAACCCAAATCCTCGATGTTTGTCGGTCAGTATCCGATTTCTGCGGCAAGAGACTTGCGTGTTTGCCGTCGAAAGGTTGTCGGAATGTCGAAAGTAGAATGTTGTTGGTCGTCTGTTTCGAGGATGTGTCGTGTCGTGTCGAAGGATGAGCTGTGAGCTGCAGCAGCTTCTTCGGGAGGAAGAACTTTGTTCCCTAGCGGCGGCCGAGCTTGCTCAATCTGGCCTGAACTCCTGTCGACCAAATTTCGAGCCTCCGAAAGACCACATCTCTACCCGGACACTGCGCGCGCTCCTTTATTAAGATCAAGCAAAGGCACACGACATTCCCAGTTTCAAACCACCTCCAAAAAAATCGAACCCTTTTCAATTCTCGAAAATCAACCGCCACCATGTCTGACCAGATCCAAGAGCTTATGGACGTTCCGCGCGACTTCATCCACGACGGCACACAATTCATCAACAGATGCACAAAGCGTATGGAAACCTCACTTTCTGATCGCATAGGCTGACCTTTCCTAGCTGATAGACGGGAGTTCATTAAAATCTCGCAAGCTGTCGGCGTTGGATTCCTCGTTATGGGCGCAGTTGGTTACTTGGTCAAGCTGAGTGCGTTCGCCTCTCTGAAAGACCATCAATAGAGACTGACTCTTGCCCTAGTACATATTCCAGTCAACAACATTCTGGTAGGAGGAGCATAGAGGCAGCCCGAGGAGTTGGGGAGATGGCGTACTGAAGCGGAACGAGCGAATACCAAACCGAACATACTTGGAGATCAAAGTTGAGGCACTCGATCTTTGACTTTAATGCCACGAATGGCATGTATTATACTGGATGGGCTTTGCGTAGCATAGCACGGATTACGGCCGGGAATGGAAAAATATTCGTTTCGACTCGCAGTTCTTGATTGTTCGTATTTATGCTACATACTGTGATGTGCCAACCAGGTGTCGGAATGACTGGGTCAAAGGAGTTGGGGACAATTTCGAACTGGCGACAGCTATGGCTCTGCTATTCAAGTGAAAGTTGCGTCGAGCATGGCTCAGTATCAGTATGGCGACCACCGCTTAGATCTTTGCAGTTGCCCATACATGCAGTGCATGAAGTTGGAGAGTTCCAAATGTCAGAGCTATCGTGCACGTTTATGGGGATGTTCTTGCTACCAAACTGTGAGAGATATGTTGTGATCAACGAAGTCTTCATTAAATGTGTTCCCATTTGGCTACTGGCAGCGGATTCACTTCTCCGAGTACAAGTTGTTGAAGTTGACGAACTGGAAGCTTCTTCTACAAACAGTAGGCCTTCAAGATGACGGCTATAAATCGAACTTGCCACAATGCTGTTCGATTTCTGATGATGCTCATTGTAGCAGTTACATTGACCTATCTTCTGTTGTTTCTATTGTACATTGATACAAGAGTGCGACAAACTCATGATCGAGCATTGGTATGCCACAACTTGTGTTGTGAATAACGAAGTTGGGAATAGGGCCACACTAGAGGATCTATTCTGAATTGCCTCCATATCCATGTGTGAGGGAAATGAGGCAAATTGAATTACTCTTTTCATATCTTCGTTTAGGTTTTTAACGTAATGTTTCATTCTTCTTGAATAAAAGTGTTGTCGTATACACAATTCTGACTTCGACGTCCAACATGGAACCAGAACGGTTTTAAGTTAAGGGATAAGCCTGAGGAGTATGGGATAATGGTTGCCTTCAAAACTCGCAGGTCTGAACTTCTGTTATATTGATACCTTTATTCCTGTCATCATATCCTTCATGGTTTTGTCTACAAGTGAAACTTTGCTGATTTAGTCGAGCTCGATGTCTGGCAAATTGTGAAAGTGCATAGGAAGCACAATGTCTGGTCGAGATACGAATGATTGAATGTCCGGTAGCTACGTCCCTTGAAGCACACGTACTAAAAGTTCCTCTATGTTCTGAAGCTGAGGAGGTTACATTGCGTGTCCGCGCAACGGCCTTTCGGCCTTAGATTTTGGGCATCAGAGTTGAAAGTCTGGAATGTAGAACCGTCATGAGCCTTTTCTTCGTAAAGCAGACCAATAACTTTCAACAGGAGACAGCTCTGAGAAGCCTCACCTTTTCCTTTTTCAACATTCCTGTCATGAGATCTCCATAACAAAAAGGTGACTCTTCATCTATCCAGCCACTTACGAAAGTGTCTCTCTGCACATGCCATATGCAGATCTCCTCATTCCTACAGCTCACATATCATATATCACATTTCTCCACCACTCCATCGGGAAAATTCCTTTTCTTCAAAAACTGTCTCAAAAATTCATGCATGTCTCAACTCCCAGAATTCCGGATTTTTTGATCCGCTCTAAAAAGCCACACCAAGAATTGAAATTCCAAATAGCCGGCCCAGAACAACGCCACAAAGTTAAGCCCTGAAATCTGGCTCAATGGAGACCAATGAGCTTCCCTTCTCTGGCCTCGAGTTCTTCTCGCGATAACAGTTCTTTTGTTTCGAGATCCCGGGGTTGGATTGGTTCTTGAGCGACGTCGTCGTAGTCATAATCGTCTTCGATGTAGGGAACGTCGAAGAAGGGATCTTCGGTCGATTTACGGACCGGATTGTCTACGAATGGAATGGTTGGTCGGCCGGCTTCGGGAGTAGAGCCGTACGTATAGGGCCTTATTTTTGAGAGTTTGAGTTCGGCTTTTCTCGGCCAGGAGTTTTGGGATGTGAGGCCGAGGAACAGGATGATGCTGAGGTACTATTAGAGAAATAGATTGACTTCTTGTAACATGAGACTTACACGAAGATAACTGCGATGCTAAGACACCTTTGAGCTCTTTTGGCAGACCATGTTGGCTTTTGCTCATGATCTTTCAACAACATGGTGGTATATAAACGACCAACGCTACAATATCTCAATTTCCGGCAATCTCAAGGCTTCATGTGAAATGAATAGTATGGTCTGCTATTGGACTTTCAAAGAGCGAAATAAAGGAGCGTCAAGAAGTGAGAGATAAATGAGCGACACAACCAGCAGACTTTCCAGAAGTCCTGAAGAGCCTCCTCCACGGGACGGGCGACCCTTTCATACTTTAAGAATCTCCCGATACCAAGGATTCAGTATCAAATCTCTCATCCAATATTTCCCTTTATCTGGTTCACGCACACCTCGATCCGGGATCTACACCAGGCCTACCCAGGCCCGAAACACGCATCGTAATGACCACGCGGAAAGCAAAGCTTGATTGCGACTTGAAACGTATCAAGTGGGTGTGCTACAAGGACGAAGTAGATAGCGAGAGGACGCATGGTTCACTACTTGGCCTAATGCTTGTGAGATGGCGACAAGATGAGATGAGTGCTGTGGAGTAAGTAATTTAGACGAAGCGTGGGGGAGTAGAAGATTTATTCTTGGCACCACTTGAACTTCTTGGGATGACAGGTGTTTGGTGATGAGATTCTCCGTCCGCTGGGAAGTCGAGATTGTTGTTTGAAGATCTGTAACAGACCGGCACAGTACATTCGGATGGCGGACGGGATGAACTTTGTGGCGGTATCAGAGAAGAACAGTGACATCTTCTCCGGCTGCTATAGACTCAACTGTCAAAGAGCTTCGACTAGATGTTTGATCGATGTTCTATTCTCGTACTGTCATTGTATCTGATCACATCAGCTTCGGGTAATATGAAAGGTACAACTGAGTAATTTGGACTCGGCATAGGCGTCAGTTCTGCATGCAAAGTGCTCGCAATCGAATCACCATCATTCATCCGTACAACATACCACAAACATACCATAATTTCTCCTCTATCATTCAATTGTGATCGCTTGAACGGTAGAGCATGTCACAGAAAAGATGCCTCGGGCCAAAGGACCCCTTTTCCGGTCTCCCCAGTCCAGTCCAGCTAAAAAGAGCTTCCCCATATTCCTTCGTAATCGATAAGGGTTTCGGCAAACAGCAGCAGGGCAGGATGCACAGAGGACTCGAAATAATCACCGCGCCGCTGCCAAAATCTCACTCTGGCCCAATCCTCAACTCCCGATCCCATTAATGCCTTCTTGAACGCCTCCTCCGCTGGCATAATCGCCAGCAACAATGTCTGCGGATTCGCAGCAGACGCAGGCGGTGGCCCAAGAAGAAGAGGAAGATGCGACGACCCCGCCATCCTCGTCCTCACTGCCCCTCTGCATGCGCACGAATACCGCAGAGATAGACAGCACGATCACGCACCCTGGATCCGTTAAGATCAATGTGAAGGGTGCTTTTATCGTGGATCAGGAGAATGGGAGCCCGAATGGGAATGCGCCTATTACTGCTTCTGTGAATGGAGGGAGTCACGATACCAAAGATATCAGGTTGCCGAATCATACTGCCGTAGTCAGTCATATTGCTGTCGATGTAAGCTTTCCTCTCCTGCTATTTGGTTTGGACATAAAGGCTGTTTGACTTTGGAGCAACAATTGCTGATTTACATGTCAGATTGGAGGTTCGTTGGCGAAATTAGTTTTCTTCTCAAGAGAACCCCACTCGAGGGAACCTGGCGGACGCTTAAATTTCATGAATTTTGAGACGGATAGGATAGATGATTGTGTGGAGTTCATGAAGCAATTGAAGGTTAAGCAGCAGAAGCTCAATGGCTCCAGACCGGGAGAATTGTGCATCATGGCTACTGGAGGAGGGGCATACAAATACTACGACAAAATACGGGATGCCCTAGGAGTCGATGTTCTCCGAGAAGACGAAATGGAGTGTTTGATAATAGGTCCGTCTTCCTCCTCTTCATAAGTTCTCAAACCAAGACTGACATTCAAAACACCAGGCCTCGATTTCTTCATTACCGAGATACCCCGCGAAGTATTCACCTACAGCGAAACAGACCCAATGCATTTCGAGCTTCCTCACTCGGACATCTATCCCTACCTCCTCGTCAATATCGGCTCCGGCGTGTCTATGATCAAAGTTTCCGGCCCACGAGCCTACCAACGAGTAGGCGGCACCTCTCTGGGCGGCGGAACACTCTGGGGTCTCCTCTCCCTCTTGACCGGCTCTCGCACCTTCGACGAAATGCTAGGCATGGCCGAAGCAGGTGACAACGCCAAAGTCGACATGCTAGTCGGCGACATCTACGGCACGGACTACGGCAAGATCGGTTTGAAGAGTAGCACGATCGCGAGCAGTTTCGGGAAGGTATTTAAGATGAAACGGGAAGCGGAACGGGAGGCAGAGGATTCGGGTGGGTTGACGAACGGCGATGCTGGACATCATGATACCCGGGACCAAGATCCTCCTTTCTCTGCGTCTGACATCTCGCGTTCGCTGCTTTACGCTATTTCGAATAATATCGGTCAGATTGCTTACCTACAATCCGAGAAACACTCGTTGTCAACGATCTATTTTGGAGGCTCTTTCATCAGAGGACATAGACAAACGATGAATACGCTGAGTTACGCAATCAAGTTCTGGAGTAATGGGGAAAAGAAAGCTTATTTTCTGAGACATGAAGGGTATCTTGGTGCCGTAGGCGCGTTCTTAAAGAGACAGCCGAGGAATTGGGGAAGGAGAGGAAGTTTTGAAGATGGTGTGGGTGGGAGACCACTGGGCACTGAAGCGAGGGAGAGTGTTAGGATGACGATGGATTATCCTACTGCGTGATCTAGCTCTAGTGGAAGAGGATCTTCGTATTTGGCGTTGAGGCTGACAAGGACTACAAGTCCATTGATCTTCTGGACATTCGCTTTGGACCTAGAGAAGGTCATTTGATGCAGCCTTGAATCTAAGATGATCAGTCAAAAGTGGTTGGACATATTGGGCTTATCAATCATAGAGGCGTAGGATATCAACATTGAATTGAACCGCAAAATTGGTTTGAACAGACTTGTTTCATGGATGATTACCACAATAATGAGAGCTCCTAGAAGAGCCTCTCATATATACATATATCTCGACCTGATCAAGATGATATCACAATGATCCAGGAGAGACCCGAACAATGAAATGGGGTACAAGCAAGGAAATCCATCTCCAAGCCCATGGCCAACCTTGACTGCAGGCAAACCAGAATGCTGCCCATTACGCTCTAAGCTGATAGTATCTATAACCAATTGGAAATGTAAACCATGATTGAAAAAACACACTTACTCCCTACAACTTCGCGTATTCGCCTCGCATCTGAAGCTCCCAGAATCTTTGTCCTGGCCTGAGCTCCCTACCCAAACGCCATCCTTATCATCACGTTTGATCCTCTCTGAAAATCCCAACATTAGCCAACTATCCCATCAGGAAAATCCCGTCCCGAAACATGGCTTTGGCTTCCTCGGTCAAATATTCTCCTTCATCATCTTCGACATCGAATCCAGCCGTAATCTGGAGCTTGACTCTCGAACTGGTGTCATAGATCTTGAGTCTCTTCCTTCTTGCTTCATCAAGTTTGACATTGTTAAATCCATGGTCTGGAGCAATAGATATACCCACGAGATCCCTGGAGTGCCATACGCAGCATGTGTGAGATGGAGTCTTGAGCGAGTTGGCTAGAAGACAGTCGCCTCCCGTAGCGGGATAAGGTCCTAGCCTTGTGACACAATGTTCGTGAGTAGGAGGTCGGGGTTCGGGATCTGAGTCTGGGAAGCTGTAATCCCACATAACAGTCGGTACACGAGTTCGGCACTTCTCCGGAGGCGGGTGGAAGTGTTTTGATGTAGATATCGTGATGTATGGGCAATTCGGAACCTTTGCGTCGCAGAGGTTGTCTAGTAAATGATTGTGTCGAGACAGGTTGTCCTTATGCCACTTGCTGATATCAGGTGTGGCATTCATCATCGTCTTCGAATTGGTGAGAGAAATAACTGGCTTATCTCCGTAACTATGCAGGAAGGGTGCGCCTCATACCGCATCAACATCAAATATCTCAGCGTCTTTGCTGGACAACTGCTCGTCTTCGACAGCAGCTAGCGAAGGCGTGAAGCTTCTTGTGTCGGAGAGCGATATCAAATCCTCACTCGAATCGTCGTCTACGCTATCAACGACGTCCACTGGAATTGCTGAGGTTCTGTCAATCTGATGTTGAGGTCTATGTGTATGGATTGTACTGTTTCTCAGAACATAAGGTGCTCTTGTCCTCTTTTGCCCTTGAATGGCGTAGGCGAGAATTCTTTGCCATACAGGCAGATTAATCGATGTCGAAACAGACGTCGGGCTTGAAGCTATCTTTAGTGTCTCTTCGAGTGCTTTCTGAGCATGCTGGACATCTGGAGAGGCTGGCGGACTTGGCGGCATGCCAGAGCCACCTGTATCGATATTTTCAAAGCCATCAAGCATACAACGATATCGTCGCTCAAACAGGGCCTGCGACTCTTGTAGCGTAAGTAACGACCGGTCCGCCATTGCAACATCTTTCGTGGGAATCACAACATTCTTAATCATTGATTGTGAGCCATCCAAGTGCTGGCAAATCACCAAAGACCAAGTAGAGAGTTTAGTACGACCTCCGAGCCGTAGGTGTCGGGCGACTCCTCCCAGCGTCCACAATTCCCCATCAGGCCCGCGAATCTTGGGATACCAGCATACCTGATCTATCCGGACGACTCCGCTTTGGTACGTATGTAGATTGATGACAGGTACGGTGTCTTCGCAACGGTAGGTGGCATCTATAGCGATCCAGAATCTGTGTCCAACTTTGTACTGGAAGTCGTCGTGAGAAGTGCTTTGGAACAGGGCAACACCGTGAGCGTTGACGGAGAAAGTTGCTCTACTGACTTGCGACTTTTCATAGATGTCTGTTGAATCTTTCTCGATGTCTGTCTTCGGGATGAGGCAAACCTCGTTCTGCTCTAGTCCATTGAAGCGTTTAACCAAAACTTCTGAGACATTGTTGGACAATTCAAGCATAGGCGACTGGACCACAACTCGGTCGCCCCTCCGGTGCCATCTTGACGGTTGTTTAATTAGGACATACCTTCGGACGGAAACTTTACAGTCCATGGTGTCATAAGGTGAGGAATCAGTCCTCCAAGCAAGTGGAAAAAATAAGAATTGGATCAAGTCGTAGTATTTGCAGGTGGAAAATGTTTCCTCCCTTGCAGAATGCATCGACGAAATCAATCGAAAAAAGCCTTCGAGCCCTTGCCAGCACGCTGCACTGTTCAAGCACAAAACCGGGGCGCATGGATACTTCCCACTACTTTTGCGAATTGACTGAGACCGTGCCGCTAGGTTCATTGGAAAAGTGTGGACGCCCAAATCGATGCCTTCTCCAAGATGCCAGGATCTGTCAGCCACTCATGCACGAAAAACTGTTTTGGGAAGACGGCCAGAATGCTCAAGACCTTGGAAGATTCTTGACTCGAACAACAAGGGTTTGTGGCACCTGAATGCGAATCTGATGGAGTTTTGATTGTTTGTAGGATCGTCCTCAAATATCCATCCACGCTGCCTTGGTGGCACTGGAACCTGTAGTCTTTGGAGGAGAATCCCGAGAAGGGGACTGGCCTTTGAGGGAGACATCGTTCCCACGCTCCAGGATCATGATTCCTTTTCTTGGTCATTATCCTCCTTGTCCTTTATCCCCTTCTCCGCGCGAAGCGCCTTGAATTCTTTCCTGGCAAGCACTGTAGCGAACCACTCCTCAATTTCCTGTTCGGCATCTTCGTCCGTTCTAATAGGATCTACACCTAGATTCGTCCGGACCTTTTTCCTCATGTCGTCCAACGACGAGATGTCGAAAGCCCAAAGTAGTCCTCCAGTAGCCATCATCCCAACACTTATCACGTTTATTGTGGCAAGGTTCAACGCTTCCAGAGCCTCCATCGCACCATTGACTTCGTAGTTCAATCTGTTGCTTGGCTGGAAGAATTTGGGGATCGATTGCTTGTACCGGCGCACCAGGCTTCTACGAGTAATGACTGAAGCAATCGCAAAGAAGCCCGCACCTGCAGCGAACAGACCTAATTGCCGCCGTGCCCGCTGAGAGAAGAATGCAGATTGTACATCGGATGCTGAGGATGTTTGTGAGGTGCGGGTGCGCTCGGGTTGGGGTTCGGCCATTGTGGGATGCTGCGCGAAGGCCATCGAGGGTAGGCTTATAATGAGGGTGAATTGTCCATCCGCATGAGATTAAGATGCAGAGTATGCCGAGAGGACACGAGTAGAACCGGTGGCAGACAGATGAAAGGTAGCGTTGGTAATCTCACCTTGCGTCGAAAACACGAAGCTCAAGCTCTCAATTGAACATTTTTTTAGCGCGATCGCTTGCCTGCACGAGAAGACAGGGGTCGCATGATGAGCACATCAATTACATTCACCTCTCTCAATCGAACCCTTTTCTCAAATTATTGATGAGTACGAGCTGTGTTAGACTACGTGCTATGCTGGCAAGTATGTACCATTTTGTCTCTTTAGTTGCCATCTGTACTGACAATGAGTTCAGCCCAAGTAGGCCTCACCGCTGAAGAACTTCTTGATGTTTGGTCTGCTCTGCACAGCGTCTACCAGCTGTACCAGTCTGGGATACCCTCGAAGGTCTTTTCTTCCGTCTTGAATGAGATTCTCGTCATGCAATAATTGGAAGAGCACCAGATCCGCATAGGTGATCTCATTCCCAATGATGTATTGTCCCCGGCGTGAGAGATCAGAGCCCTTCAAATGTGTCTCGATAGCTTTGAGATACTTGGCTCGGTCTCCTTGTTGATGCTTGGGATAGTCCTCCTTCTGATTGTCAGAGAAGAAAGCTGAAATAAATAGCGTTCTCCCTAAGCTGGGTCAGTAACAATGAGATGCTCCAGACGAAATTGAGCTTACAGTCAATGACAATGTCACAGATTGCATCAGCCCAGTACTTCTCATCTTCTGTCTTGCCATCATATGCCCCCAATTGTCTTCCCCAATGTCGAAGGATGGCATAGCTTTGAGTAAGAATCTTCCCGCCTGGCATTTCAATAATTGGGATGTTTCCTGTTGGGTTCATCTCTGCGACGGGAACACTACGCTTGTGTTTCGGCCATTCTTCGAAGGTATATCGGATATCCTTATACACAGCGCCTGCATCCTGCAAACAAAGTCAACATTGTTTTACCACTTCTGGTAGATTTACGACATACAATAAGCAGAAGGCGAACGACTTGACCACGGCCGCGAGACTGGAAGTCAAAATAGTGGATAACAGGAACTCCTCCAATGGCTTTGTTCGCCGCGCTCTCGGTACCGTATGTCAATTCGTGAGGCATCTTGAGTTGATGTGATTCAAGGTATGGAGAGCAATGTCACCGAGGAGTATTTCATCTATCAAGTGATGCGGGGTAACCCGAGTTGCCCCAAATCATATCTCCGACCTCTCATGACGTTCGTTCTTGCTCAACTCGTGTTTGAACGGTCTCTTTTCCTCGGTCCAGAGGAATATTCCACTGAGCTACGAGCCGGACCGGAGCGGCCAGGCGACATCGCACCGTTTAAGAGAGAACACGTTTATTGAAGTTAGACTAGAAGTATTACAAGATCTGGAACCATTTAAGCATACCTAGGTACCTAGGTATGGTCAAATTTTCATGTGTTCCTCAAGAGCTGAAACACGTGAGTTTTGTGATGGCCCTTAAAGCATGAAATTTTTTCGCTTCTTTTCAAGTTTGGACAGATGACCAGGCTTGACCATGTTTTTTATATCTCAGCCACATCTGGTGCCATTCCGTCGAGCGATTAGGTTACATATTGCGTGAATATAATGCGCAAGAAGATGCGGAGGCCGTATCCATTGGCTCTGGACCCCGTCAATTTGCCATTTTCTGGGACTTTCTGTCGGTCGTACGAGCAGCATGCAGACTTTCTCCGTGCTGTTTCTCGTCGAAGCGGTGTGCTTGAATTTATGATGCAAATTGCTAATGCTGGTTGAGTTCTCTGTACCTCGCGGCTTTGCAATGCTATTCGTTGATATTTGACTTCCAGATTGGATAGTCGGTGAAGCCCTCGAACACCTCGGGTTGCACAATCTAGATGCTTATACCATGACGGCAGAAAGTTATCTCCAGAAATCTCAATGGGCCAATGGCATTGAGGACGTCTCTGAGTCACCAACGATTTCACTCCTCGATCAGATAGTCCTGCAGACAAAAAGCAAGACTTTGCATAATTCTTACTATCGTGAGGGTACACAGCGTTTGCCGGCACGGAACGAAGCGTCGGCCTTTGTGGCGATAGAGGGCGAGGCTCTTGTGTCATGCTTGTGTGACAAGGTCGAGCTGGGCTGCCTTTTGGTAGTCTTCGGGAAATGAAGACTAGTGGTGTCTAATGGCGTCCAGATAGATGTGCATGGAAAGGTTATTCGAAATTCACATGAGCCTCTACGAAATCTGATTGGCGCAGCATAGACTGTAGAGCGTTTACCTGCTAGTCTAGTCGTATTTCAATGCAATCCACACATGAATGCATATGATAAAAATTCCCTTTGTCCCCTCAACACCTCTTCACATGATTATGAGATGGTAGCCAATACTTGCTTGTTCCTCGAATGAGTTTACCTCCCATCACCATCACGGACCCAGTTTCTATACTTCCATGAAGTTTTGTTTTGAACGGTATCGCCAGGAGCTGCATACGAGCTGGAGCAGGCGGCTTTAAATGTTTTAGCTGTGCAGATCGGTATGCCTCTAGCTCCAACAATTTGGTGCAGAAATGAGATCTAAGATTGGTCTACCATCTAGAATCTTCAACGTCAATCGCGAGCTTCCTCCAATAACAACTTCAATATCTGCATTGCTCGGCTTTAGACAAACTCCAGCAATCAATCTTATTGCTTCCAGACGACTGTATTTGTCTCATTGCAAAGCATTAGGCCATGGTCCTACGCCGATCTGTTCATGTTCCTCGATCTGAGGATGTAATTGGGATTCACGCATCTCTCCGACAGCTCACTCACCAGCACAGCCAATTCAAACTCATATTTTCCACTTGATTTTTGTCTCAGCCTCAGAGACCGAATCTCGGTACACAACAGAATATTACATGGCGTTCACTTCATGCGACCACTACGTGACACTGCCTGCAAGCTCGACGTCCTTAGCAGCAACTCACGGCTTATTAATCGGCTCTTGCCGAAATACGCCTGCATCCATTTGAGTTGATTAGTGACCTTTCAGATAGGCGAATCAAGGGTCTGGTATGTTTCACACCAAATCCTTGTCTAAGAAACATCGGATCGATCACAAAAAGAAAAGATTACGCCCGTGTCTCAGCCAGGGTAGCACAAAACTTCAGCCCAACAACCAATCCTCTCACCGGCGCATGCCAGACGGGATACGTTGCCACGGACCCCACTTTTTGCGACTTCCTTTTCTACTCCACATTGACATTGCTGGATTCGAGCGCCGACATACAGTATGATCCTGGAGCCGGGGAAAGGAGTTGCATTCTTCCGAAGGAATTTGTCCAACGATGGCGTCCGAAGGAGACGGCTGAGACCAGGTGTCTTCCAGATTTGCACGTCGGCAAGTAGACAAGTGAGTGTTGTTGATCAGCCACTGCAAGTGATTTTCCATCACTTGAATCCTCCAACCCGGTTACGAAGTCAAAGCGCCAAAAGTTTCTTCAAGTTCTGGTACCCCTTTCCTCATTTCCTGTGACATTCCAAAGTGCTGCCCATACCTGAAGAGCATCATTTGACATCTTTCTTCCTCTACCCCGGGATTTGGTACTTGGCGATCCGCATCGTCAACTCTACTAGCTCATAGCCATAGTGATAATTCTCCAAAACAACTCAGATTGCTCGTCACTGGATGAGTACATATTTGACGTCTTCGACCACGCGAAGGGCAAGAGAATTTAGGCTCATTCGTTCATCTGCTGCTGGTCTGATTTATGTAACACTACTGTTTTCGAGCTTTTATCCACCACGATCACCTTGAGGTAAGTAGAATCGTCGTGGAGATACCAGACAACGCTAACGATAAAAAGAATGTCGTCCCTCACGAATGTCATTAGCCAAATCAGTAACCTTGTTTACCCATCAGATGAGATAAATCGTCCCCTCGAGTGGTCCAAAGGGGAACTCTCAGAGCATCTCCAGAAATGCCCAACATCCCGTTCAACACTTGACTGGCACGGCTCGGTCACAGCACAGCTTTCTGGAGGCAGTTACAGCCCTGTCTTGGGACGATTGCGTAACGACGTATTCACTTCTCTCATTCAAGCAACCAAGCATTTAGAAAAGCTCCGGCTGTATAACGCTGGAGATACCTTCATTCACGAAGAATTTCGGACAGATCGTCACATCGTGATATCTTCTCTGCAATACATCACAGCTGCTTTCAAACTTTTCTCCGTTGTCAGAACGGATAAGAGCCTTGAAACCCCGCAGAACAGAGAAGTGGTGCTGAAATATCTCAAGAAGACTTACGCCTTCATGATTGCTATCAGCTGGTTACTTTATCCTTCTGGCAGCACGAATAGCTGGCTGACCGAAGAGGCAAATTACTTGCTAGAGACAAAGCTTCGGGACTTCCATTTCGATCGCTGGAGTGATTACCCGAAGGCGCTCGACCCAACCCTCAGTGGAGTAATCGATGGTTTCCGAGCAGTTCCTGAGACTTGCCTACCCAAGTACCCGCAAGCGCCAGTACTGTGCCGGAATCCTGAGAGGTATGGGAGCACAATCCTGAGGAATCTCTGGACGCCCAGTCAGTATTCTAGATTCTGGACACTATTGATGTTACTAACCTCAGCGACTAGATAATTTCCCTCAAACACAGGCAGGATCTGGTCCCGATAGCTCTTTCGGCCCGGATGAAGTGCCGGACATGCCCTCATGGTGCACCATACCTGGTCCCGATAGCTCTTTCGGCTTAGACGAAGTGCCGGACATGCCCTCATGGAGCACCATTCCTGGTCCCGATAGCTCTTTCGGCTTATACGAAGTGCCGGACATGTCCTCATGGAGCACCACTCAACTTGGGTGGACGCCACCTTACGAATAGCCTGAATGAACCTAGTTTTCCTTGTCTCACCGACGTTCATTCATTTTCCATACGGCGCTCTTTCCCCTTACCATTCTGTCGACAATCTGCTTTCATTCCATTGGTACTTATATTACACTACTTCCTAGTTTGTTCATCATTCTACACGCAAGCATCATGTTCTTCACAAGAAAGAACTGATCTCGACAGTTTTCATCAACCTAGCACCATGCTGTCATTCCAACGAATCGGAGACACCCGACAACATCATCAGAAAGACGTCTTCGATACCTTATACACCTACTCAGATGCAAAATTGCATCACAACTGTGAAGCAATACGGACCAAGAACAACACTCATCAGAATTATCAGAACATCTAGCACTCAAACGACTCTATTGTGCCTCCAACAAAACACCTCATCCACCTAGTCAGGCGGATTGTGGGGTCAGGCAAACCCATTTACCACTACAACGGATTTGCTCCAACACCAACAAAGATCTCCAGAAATGCTGAAGCGTGGATTTCCCCCCCACCATCCCGTTCGAACCGAACACCTAAGAATTATCCGAGCCAGATGATGGCAAGAAGGATACTTACAGATAGAGTTGCTATAACTCAACTTTAAATCTGCAGCCAGACCCTGGGGCTTTCACTTACGCTAGGCCCTCTCCACTATTTCTTCCATCACCAGATTGAACAATGCCAATTCCTAGCCACAAGCTAGCTGTGGACGCACTTATTATAACACTAACAACGAAGTACACAGACTCGAAGAACGAGCAAGGATGAAGTAAACTAACAAGACCTTTGTGCGCGTGTTGCGGACTTAAAATCTTTTTGACTCTGTGGACGCACTTATTATACTCGGTGGCCTTCCACCGAGTACAGTCATAACACGGAGTGCAGTCATAACAATATCCAGCGAGCTCCACATTGTACCTTATCATCTCAGCCTCTCAAAATGGCAGTGCTCAGCAGTTTCAACACCGACCAGAACTGTGTCTACTTGCTGACTTCATACAATGAAATGACCCAAACGGCTTCCGCAGTTCTGGATGACTTGCTTGTGGATTGATGTTGGACATGTGTGGGAGTACCTGGAGGGGACGAAGAGAACATCACAGCTCTCTGATAGCGGACAGGGAATTAGCAGAATGCTTTGTGTTTGTACAGCTATGGGTACTCAAGCATCGCCTGATCTTCCACGCATTCTCGAGATTGGAAAAGGTAAGTTTGAAGGAAGTATGCTGTATGGAGCAGAGCTGACAATGTAACAGCAGCATTCAGACCAACTGCCCTTTGCTTCGACGAAGAATTTTTGTCGAAGAGGACTCTCACTCTTTTTCGTCGATGCCTGTCCCAATTCAGGAAGTGGAGGAAATTGTATTCCATTTGTCAGATATCAATGTACAAACTACTGAATGTGTAGTCACTCACTCTGCAAACCTGGACTTTTCTCTCTTCACACATAAGTCTGTCCTGATGATCCACTTTTCTCCATCCGTGACTGCCCTTCCTTCATGCTATGCGGTAATCAGTCTCTATAAAATTGTTACGAATAGCTGTGGAATCTTACCAGCATACAATCATTCCCATGCTTATGTAGCAATACCATCCCGGTCTCCAGTCCTACCACGATCTCCTTCTCAACCACAGTCTTCCTTCCAGGGATTTGAAGATCACCGGGATAGAAGACTGTCTCACCGCCTTGACATCCTGTTGCTGGAGATGTAAGATACAGGAGTAGGGTCCATGTTGTCCTTACTGGAGTAGGAGAAGGTTTGGTGTTGAGTGTGAGGACATTGGACTCATCATCTGCTTGTACATGAGTCTCATGTGACATGAGAAGGGACTGCAAGACACTCACAGTGTTGATCAAAGAACTGCCCTTTGCTATATCGATATACCCTGATGGAAGGGTTCAAGCCTACCACTTCGCCACCCCTACTATTATCAGCTCGTAGGACCATATCTCTCAAGCATAGCAAACTCACCACAACTCTCTCCTCTCGTTGTCGGACATTCTCTCTTCATCACCCTCATTTTCATCGCCACTCCCACAGACAAGTTCTCTCAATCCACTTTCTTCCCAAAGTCTATTCGCAAACCTCTCATCAATAACCTGAAACCGATCATTGAACCTCAGCGCATCACCTTTCTTCGGCTTCACCGGCGTCGTCGTCAACGGCAACGTCTTCAAAAAATTGACGTAATTCTTGCACAGAGTCGAAGTCCAGAAATATGGGATGGTGATAATCTGTGATGGGACTAAGGTTTGAAGAGAGAGGTCGGAGACTGGAAGGAGGGGCTTGAATATTGGCCAATTCGTTGGTGGGGTCGGCGGGGTTGAGGATTTTGAAGGGGGTTTGGTTGTGGAATGTGGTTTTTTGGGACCCATGGTCAGAGTCACGTTGAGGGGAATGGTTGGCGAGTTTCAAGATGTCTGAAAGGAGGAAAGAATTCGATACTCTTATGGATGTTGTTCGTGTTTATTGTTGAAGTCTAGAGTAGGCAGAAGAAGCATTTCATCTGGTACGGTGGCCGAAAATGGATGCCTTGTGCATGTTGTCGGGAGGATGTCTGTTCTCAAATCGAACAGCTTTCTTCTCATCAACTTCGACGACACAAGTGGCACAATGAGGTAGCTTCGAGTGAAACGCAAGCCTCCGCGTGAATGGGGCCAGCCTCTCTTCGAGAAGTCCTCAGAGTGGCACGGGGGCTGAGGGGTGTGCCAGCAACCTCCGCATTCCTCAGCCCAGCATGCAACGCGAGCAAATCCCATACCGGCCACAACCACCCTGTTTTGTGTTATGATAGATCTATGATATATACTTCAGCATCAGGGATGCTGCCATTCTTTGATATTCGCTCATTGTCAGTCTATCAGCATCAGCAACAGCAGCAATAACAACATCCCCCACACTCACTTTACAGCAAGCATCATTATGATCTCTTATACACTCCTTTCGTTTTCCTTACTCGTCTCGACGCTGGCCGTCCAAACAGATGCAGCTTGGTTTCGTCATGCAAAATTTCATATCGGCCAGGGACGCAACATCGGAGCCGAACAAGAGCAGGAATCGTGGTATCCAGCTGGTCTTACTTCCTCAATCGCTTCCACAACTGCATCAGAATCATACACATTCTCTGTCCCAAATGCAAGCATAATAGCGCCTACTTTGACATCTCAAGGAATGGCTGTCACATCCATTGTGCCCATCTACGAAGTCTGCAATACACCAGGCTCGAATACTACTTCTTGCTCGACGGTTTTCGAGACTATCACAACTACAACATGCTCAACTGTGCTCACTTATGCATTTTCTCAAACGACGATCACTGATTGCGCAGCGAATGTCACCTTCTCAACACAGAGTAGCTTTGCTCTTGCCACAACGACTTTACCTCCATCTGTCACTCCCGCCCAAAAGCGTCAACAGATTCCCCCCACTATCTCTTCAAGTCCGTCTTCGCTTCCTTCACCTACACCTACAACCATAGCATATGTGCAAAGCGTTGTTTCATATTGGTATGCCCCCTGGCAATCACTTGCGGCAAACAATCCTCAAGATATTACTCTTCTGGTTTGCAAAATCGACTATTTTGGAGCAGAGAATTGCACATCCGTTCAAGAAGTATGGATTGTGCACACCGAGTACGTGCTTGTGAGTACCACAAGTACGCTAACGATCTCAACATCTCTATCATCTGTAAGTTCTCACCCTCTCTATCCTTTCTAGTAAGATCGCTGCTAATAAATCCAGGATGCTGTATTCCTACTCGCACCTTCTCAAGGTGTTACAGCAACAGCAGGAAACTTTACTTTGTCGACACAGATTTTGTATTCTTCCATGGTCGTCAATGCCACAACAATCGTCTCTACTTTGACAAGTAGCAATACAAGCTCGCAAATCCCAACATCTGAAACTCCAACCTCAACTACAATGTCAACCACCACAATAACAATAACGGGACCACCGTCAACGGTCACTATGACGTTGAATGTCTCTCCGATAGGGTCACAGCCGTGAGTAAACTCCTCAGACGATGAAAGGGTAGCAAGCTAACATAATGCTGCAGGACAACGACATATCAATCAACAACAGTACTCACATCGACAGTAACCGTCCTACCGAAAATGCAAAAGCGGTTCCGAGAACGAGCTGAGATGCGAGAGGAAGGTTTGGCTGAAGCACTACTCTTAGATTGAGCACGACGAGCCCTCGCTGGCGAGGCGGACACTCATTGAACGAATTATGAAGACTTTCTGTTTTTGACAAGCGTGGGACCGGGGAGCAAGTAAGTATCAATAGATCGAGTATTCTAACTCAAATCAAATATGTTTAAATCTGCGTCTCTCAAGATCTAGTAGCATGCTTGTAGACACTTTGTTGCATGTCGTACAATGATGAAAACATAGCTTCATTTGAAAAATGACGATGTATCTCAGACTTCTGTTGCACGTCTTCAGTGACGATACACATAAGCGAGCTTGGATCAAGGGGCTTGTCAGACTGTCACCACCTTATTACTAAAAGGCACAGTTCAATCCACTTACATATCGCATGAGCTTTCGTTGCACATCGCATATGACGAACCGTCAGGGAGCTTAGAAGCCGATAGTTGCCATTGGAGAAAAGGGTTCCTTGTTGCATGTCGTTCAGTGACGCAAGCGAGGTTCGTCTGATCGTACATGCCATCGCCTCGAGAGGGAAAAGTACGGTCATGCGAACCTCAGAAGGACAGTTGCATGTCGCAATTATATTGAGAGGTCAAAGCAAGAGTCGAGAGGGATGGGTGGGGTCAGGCACTAGGTCGGGCATTAGGTCGAAGATTCTTTTGATGATTGCCCCGCGATTGTGAGGGTAATGGATGGAGGGGTACAGTGGTTTGCAGGAGAACAGACATTGGGCATTTATCCCTTTAGCATTGGAGAATCAAGAAATTCACATTTGGAAACTGGGAGGAGTATTTGTACATTCGCTTGATAACTCCTCAGCAAGCAAAGAAAATGAAAATTGGTATCCAGTACACGCATAAGAACATTGAAGGAACCCTAAAACACCATCCTGACTTCAGCGCTTGCGCTTTCGTCCTCAATCCCAAAACACATTGCCAATCGTGAAATCATCGCCAACATAGATATATTACAAAAGTAGGAAAGTCCTAATATTCCTTCCCATTCCTTCTTCAGTTTCAATGCTCTGTGCGAGTGCATAGGATTTTCCCACTATCTAATCTCAACGATCTCGACGTCGTCTCTTCGGATGATTTTCCCCTGCCCTTCACTTCTGATGATGGGAGAGTCGTCTACACTTCGGATGATGGTGTCGTCCTTACTTCTGATAACATTCGACTCATCCAGACTGCGAATGATGGTGTCGTCTTCACTTCTGATGATATTTGAGTCGTCCAGGCTACGAATGATGGTGTCGTCCTCACTTCTGATGACATTCGACTCGTCCAGACTGCGAATCCCAATGGATTTGCCCCCACTTCGGATGATGGTTGGTTCATCTGTATCACGGATGATAGTCGAGTCATCGAGGTTGCGTCCGATGTTGGACGAGGCAGGAGGAGAAAGCATCCATGCTGGGATCACTCGTGCTGAGATGGTGCTTGCGGAGAGGAGAGCGAGCAAGATTGTTGGACGCATGTTGAATATTGTTTGCGGGGATATATGCAAGACAAACAGACTTAATGAGGTAATGAATTGATCTCGAGAGGTGAAAGTATGTTTGAAAATTTGTGTGAAGCTTGGAGAATGAGCTTCGTGACAGTTGGGAGTTCACTTGATATAAACTTCTCAGCTCGTGCCTTCTCATTCATCAAAGTGAAGGACCCCTCCATATGTGTCAAACATCTTAAGCTTCTTGTTCCACGGGGCGGAGTAGTTTAACCAGGTGCCTGCTTGTAAACGACGTCCATGCGACGATCTGATAATCATCAGACCGCGATTGACAGATGCACTTGCATGCAAGAAGGAACGATAAGCAGTGAAAAGAGACCTTTCTGAAACAGAACATGTATCAGGGGCTTAAAGATGAGAATAACCGAGAAGGGGTCCAAACGGGAGGAAGGCTTGGCGTTCAGGAAACCGAACGTGAAGAAGGGGGAGATGATTTGAGTTTAGCAAGAATACATGTTCATTGGTCGAAGGGGTAAAATAGCCTTGGATAATTATGTCGGGTTTCGTTGCCGAGAACTTCGTTCATGATCGCGATCACGAGAATTTTACCAGCAACAATACCCACCGTCCACGACCTTGAACATGTCAGTTGCTGAAGAGGAAGAATGGAATCTGGCTTTAGCATGAAGACATGTCTGAAACTTACAATATCGCTGCCGTGGAGATAAGAACTTGCGTCCGATGCCATCCATACGATCGTGCCTTGCAGTTCGCTTGGATGCGCAAGACGACCCATGGGGACGTCTTTGACCCAACCTTCTTCGATATGCTTTCCTTCTTTCTCCAGAAGATCGATGATCAAATCAGTCTTCATGTATCCAGGGCAGAGATTGTTCACTCGAATGCCTTTTGGACCCCACTGCAATGCTCAGCGGCTGAGCTTGTTTGATAGACGTAGATCAGGGCTTACCTCTGTTGCAAGACTTCTTCCAAGTAATGAAACAGCGCCTTTCGACTATATCGAGTTAGCAAATGTGATCACCGTATGCATGTTACACGCAGTGCCCATCATTTGAGATCACGGAAGATCTACGACTTACGGCATTATAGGCCGCTTGCTTCTGTGGCCGGACACAGATGCTGGCGCTCATGCTGGAGACTAGTATCAGGTTGCCCTTAATACTCTGTTCTATCCAGTGCCTTCCAGCTTCTTTTGCAAAGAGAAAGCTCCCGTTCAGATTGATATCCATCATTTTCTTCCAACGATCGTAGGCATAGTTCTCAGCCTCAAAGTTCTCCACGATGCCGGCAGCTGTGACCACAACATCTACCCTACCAAAGTCTTGTACAACTGCCTTCCACGTATCTTGCACCTGTTGCTCGGAGGTTACATCGCAGGCATAGGCTCGTAGTTCGGGTTTGTAGTCTCGAGTTGTGGGTTGGGATGAGATGTGCTCAGTGATGTGCTCGATGGAAGCCTTTCCTCCTTCTAGAGAAAGGTCTATGCAAGCTCCGCGAGCACCACTCTTCGCAAAAGCTGTGAGGACTCTTTACCAAGTCCCCGAGCGGCTCCAGTCACAACGCAGGTCTTGCCTTCTAACGAGAATGCGGGGAGTGTCTGTTTGATAGATCAGTACGCGTTTTGCCAGAGCATCGAAGAGTACTAGACAGGATGACGGTCGAAGAGTGTCCCAAGAAGTCGGCTCCAAGTTGTCCTTGACACTAAGGGAGATTTCGACTTACCATAAGGGTTCGACCTCCGTGCGCATTTACTGCAGATCTGCGAACAGCATTGCGAGCAAGGCTACGGCGAGCGAGTGGTAGCAGAGCCTTCGACATGATTGACAAGGCTGTCGGAGAGGGCGACGAAGAGCGAGAGGACCGTGGCTATATATATCTGATTAATTGCTGGGCGTTAGTTTTCAGTAATAGAGCAAGCAGTATCGCCTCGCTGCACCTTCCCCACGTCACCAGTGACACTCGTCAAGTGAGGGGGAAAAGGGGACAATCATCGTGAGATTGGTCGGGATTTGAGTCTTGCGTGAGACAAAAGAGCAGCAGCGGGACAGGGGACGGAATTGACGGAGACGGAAATAATAGTTTTGTCTTGCAAAGCTAAGTCTATCGTATAATTGTCTGCGACGGCCGGAGCTTTTAAGCCGTTTGTGCGAAGCCGTCTATTATCAGACCTATTTGAAGCTGTGTTTTGTGGAAGAGAAGTGAGGAATTCGTAATCTCAACCATATCTAGCTACGTATTTCAAGCCTTGCAGATTTAGCTTATCACGTGGTATATGGATTTTTGAGAGGAAAGTGTGGCGCAAAGACATGGGATATAAGCACTCATGTGTTGATCTCTTGTCTTGTAATAGCTACGTTAAGGCCAGAAATAGATGCGCTTTTTTGGCTGGAGATATTGCCCTTCGTATCGTGAACACACTGTAGCTTGACAATCACCTGACCGTTGTAGACCAATGAAAGTGCTCTGGGTGTTTCTGAGCCCTCGAGACGAGGCACAAGCTACGTCGTCTCGAGCGCAGTCTCGCTGCTCTTTATTCCATTTCAGTCTGGCTGTCCGCTTTCTATTTCACAGCTCCGGCATACATCTGAGTCGGGGAATTGAGGTACAAGAGTTCAAATGTAGCCCCATTTGCAGTAGAAAGTACCACTAAAGCTCATCTATTGTGCGCTTATGGCCAGGACGGCGTAGAGAACGAGACAACATAAGCAGCAAAGTCTACCATATGTAGCAAAGGTCCCGAGTCGGTAACTTTTTGGAGGATATCAATGTCCAAGGTGGTCTCCCCGAACTACTGGTCCGTGGCCTCTTTCTCCTGGTCTCGCTGCTCGGAGGATTGGCCCATGAGGACCTTGAGGTGGCCCGCTTTGGTCTTGATCGATTCTCTTACCGACAGCACCATCCCGGTTGGCCCTCCATGCACCCCCGTCCTCGCCACCGAACTCCTCTTTCTTCCATACCTCAACTTTCTCTTTGCATTCTTCTAAAGCTTCTTCCCCCGCCCTCCAAGCAGCCTGGCGATGAGGTGATGATATGGTGATCAGAATGCTTTCCTCTCCTATGGGAACCACACCAAGGCGATGAATCATTGCAATTGATGTCAGAGAATGTTTTTCTCGTACACTCTTGCAAATCGTAAGCATAGTCTGGAGAGCTCGAGGCTCATACGAGGTATATTGGAGTTCTTTGACTGGCTTTCCAGCAAAGTTATCCCGTGTAGTGCCTAAAGCAAGTTAGCAAGGTGGCTTTCTAGACAGAAGCAGTTATATCTTGCCAGCAAAGAGCACGATAGCACCAGCTTTAGGACTCCGGACACGATCCATCATCGATTTTGCATCGAGGTAGTCATGGGTCAACGCAACATAACAGTTGTTTTCCTGTAGCTCATTCACCATGATGGATGAATTTGATTATGTACAGCTTTTGGAGCAAATTATGAGCAGACCTGCAATCAAAGAGAAGAGGGGCACGTGAAATATCGGCGCTAAGTTGTGCCGACCCGAAAGCTTCACCTTACCATTTTGGGGACACTGCTCCAAGGGCAAACTCCCTCCGTCACATTCCTGGCATACGACATCCAAAGTCTCAACACACCTACTTTGCAAAGACTCTTTGTCGTAAAGCAAGATGAACCACAATCGACCAGTACGGCCTTCTTCAGGCAACGATTCTACCATGTACGACGAGCCGCGCACAGAAGACTATTACCGTGGCGCTTCATCCTCCCAAGGCTACCATAATTCGAGGCAGGGTAAACGATAGAATGGAGATGGAATCTACCCTGAATTATGCTGATATTCGATGTCTCAAGATTATCCAAGATCACCACCACGGGCACCAGCAGGCGAGAGGCAAGCGTATGGAGAGCGACAGAGCCATTATGATCGGAAGCGCTCGCGATCCCCGCGAAGAGAAGGCAGAGGTCGCTATACCGATCGAGATAGAGAAGACTATCAGTCACCAACGCGGGACCGAAGTCGCAGCCGTTCCCCATACTTTGGTGGTCCTCCAAATCGCAATGTTATACTCGAGGGAATACCTGTTGAATGGACACAGGAAGACGTTGGCCGCCCCATTTCCCCTTCTTACGGATCTTCCACCATCCCAACCTGCTTCTACCCTATGTGTTTGTTAAGCAAAACTTTGAACTCTGGCTAAGCAAGAGTTGGCCATTGTGGCCGGTCTCTCGGATTTACAGATTCTCCAAGAACTTCAGCATGGTCTTCGACTCGAGGGCTTGGAAGAGATCAGATTGATCAAGGATAAACGCACTGGTAAGACTGTACGCTTACCTCTTTCAAGCATCTGGCTTATTGATCTGCTAGGACAATCCCGCGGGTTTGCTTTTGCACAATTTATCGGCATCAGCGAAGCCAGACGATTCCTCGATCGATTCTATCCTACCGTCCAACTTTATGGGCCTGCCCATAGTGACTTGGCAGCAACAAATGATCCTAGCAAGGTTAGGATCGCCTATAGTCGAGATAGAGATGATCGAGATAAAGCCGGCAAAGGGGAAGACGATTGGAAGTGTGAAGTTGTAGGTTACAGTTTTCTCCTCATGCTACCAATGCTTACAGATACAGTGCTACCTTCCTAATTTCTCTCACCGAACATTGTGTTTCCGATGTAACGCTCCAAGAACTCGTACGCTTCACCTCGAACATACTATTAAGTAGCACTAACGAGTGTAGGAGCAACTGCACACGGCATCCTTGTTGCGCAAACTATGTCGGCATTTTCTGGCTTCGCTACTACAGGCGACAGTGACGTCTCTCCTGATGGCACTGCATCCCAATTCCTCCTGTTGCGTGGTCTTGAGCCTGGTGTGACGGAAGAACTGCTGGCGAAAGGTGTTGCCAAGCTGTGCAAAACTAAAGCCAGCACTCCTCCATCTGATATTCAAGGTTCCAAAAAGAGGCAGATTGCATCGACTACAACCGATGTTAGTCTTGGTGCTAAAGATGGCTCTCTACGACGAGTCTTACTAGTTCGCGACAGAAAGACGAACGATAGCTGGCGGTATGGCTTCGCGGAGTTTACCACGGTCGAAGACGCACAAGCCGCGATGGCTAAATACAAATCTTCTGACAAGTTTACCATATCTTCGAAGCCGGTCATGTTATCATACATCCATGCCGGGGTCTTCGTGCCGGTCCTCCATCCATTGAGCGAGGAGGATGCTCAATTCACCTTCAGTCCGTTGTCAAACACAGCGATTAAATTGATGTATTGGGATGAAGCAGCTTACACAAGTGAGCTTGTGGCTGCGTCCGCTGACGCTCCTTCAACCATCAAGACCAAAGAATCCGAGCATGCAAAACTTGCAGCAGCTGCTGCTAATGAGGGCCTCATAGGAAGTGGGAAAGACCGAGAACCGCGATTGAAGAAGAGAAAAGTGGACAAAGATCCAAAGATTGTCGCACCCCACCTGCAATTTTGGACTAATCGACACGCCGAGCTTCATGATGTAGCAAAAAAGGAGTCAGAGAAGGATAGGCTGGAACCCGACCTTGGCCTCTCTCATCAGAAAGTGCCTACGACTGCAGACGCGACGCCCAGTCAGACCTTCGCTGACTTAGATCGCAAATGCTGTCTCCTCTGTTCAAGACAGTTCAAGACTGAGGCCGAAGTAAATAAACACGAACGAATAAGTCAACTTCATCGCGACAATATGAAGAATGAAGATCTCGTCTCCAAGGCTTTGGCGAAGCTCAACAAATCAAAGGGGCCCGCCACTGAAAATTCTGCTTACCGGGACAGAGCCAAGGAACGTCGGCAGGCTTTTAATCAACCAAAGCAACCTGCTGCGCAGCACAATAGGGCCTCAAAGGATTCGAATGGCGGGTCATCACCTAAGAGACAAGATGAGGAGAACGCGCCACCAACTCAATCAAAGGGTGCAGCTCTACTGGGGAAGATGGGCTGGACGGCTGGGGAAGGGCTAGGAGCACAGGGAACAGGGAGGATTGATGCAATTGTCACCGAGTTGTACACCCAAGGGGTCGGTTTGGGAGCTCAGGGCGGAAAGGTGGGAGATGCAGCAGAAGAAGCTCATCGTCAGACCAGAGGAAGCTATGCCGATTTTGTCAGCAAGGCAAAAGACAAGGCAAAAGAGAGGTTTGAGAGTCTTGCTTAGCTAGATTGTGATAAGATATTCGATTGGTTCCTTCTCCCAGCCACCGGTTGCTCGTGTGATGTTCCCGTGAGCACGGGTTCAGGAAGATCGACGAGAACTGTGCAAAGATCACTGGTGGACCGGAACATCCGCGTTTCGGGCGGCACTCCATTACAGGAGAATGCTTGGTCAACAGCAAAACTTGTGGCACCCTCTCCAACATTTTCAGCAGGCAAACATCAAAAGCAACTTCTCCTAGCCTGAGGAAAAAAGCGCCATTCGTGTGTTTCTTGAGACGACTGGACCGCGCTTCCGCCACTTCTGCAGGAGCCTTTGGAACGAGGAAACAAACGGCTTCCAGCTGTTGGAAAAACATCAATTTTTGTTACTGATATGAAGCCAAAAGCTTGATTTGATGCAAAATCCGGAATCAATTATCGATAATACTGTCCATGGCAGTGCTTCGGTAAATATTGTCACAGGAAGATATTCTCTTTTCCTCCATGGCTTTCTCTAGCGTTGCGGCTCCCTTGTCACTTATCACATAATGTGCTTGAAGTGTCTTACCCCGGATGCCTGCCTGCCACTATCTTGTCTCACCTTTTTTTCACCCCGCTCTGCTTTCGCTGCCTAACATTTGCGGACCGCACCGAACCACGCCGGAGCCTCATCTGTTTTGTTTGCTTCCATTCCGTCTTCCATTCTTTTCCTCTCTTCGCGAATCTGTACCACTACGACACACGTTCAATGCATACAGCCATGGAGCCAGACAAGACGATGTTGATAACAGCTCTCTTTGAGTATGTCAAATTGTGATTTCGCTTCAAAGTACCAGAGCTCTCGAGACAATGTTTCGGGAGACATCAGCTCCTTCAATTCGATCTTCTAGTGAGACTCTTGCTAACTAGTCAACAGAATTCTTGGGTACCACCCGGGGCCACGTAAAGAGGACTTAGAGAAAGACCTCCAAAAATTCCTCCTGAACTACCAGGCCTCAGGCAATCCAATTCCTTGGACTCAAGACCTATCGACTGAAGCCGTGGATTGTGCCTCGTCATTCCTACATGAAGGACAACGCGCCGAGAAGTATTGGCCGGCAACTTTCAGAAATGTTGTTTCTTGGCCAACTGATCGCAAGTGGTGAGTTGTAAAACCCGAATCGTGGATGATTCCTTTGGGAAAGACATGTTCGGAACTTGTGTCAATCCACTCATCGCACCATACCGACTGAAATATTAGCATCATCAATGCAGTTGCTCACACTTTTCGTCGTAAGGCTCGCAGCGCCTCAGTCGGGGAATATATGCGGAAGGTAAGGGCGCAAGGATCTCGCTTGCTCCCAAAGGAAGATCAGACGAAGTCCAAACGGAAGAGGAGCAGGAAAACTAACGACAACAAGGCAAGTGTGAATCTCCTCCGGCTATCGAACACTCACATATGTCTAACAAGGTTAAGGTATCGAGAAGCGAGAATTTGATGAAGGAAGTTCTGGAAGAGACAACTTTTAAACCTTGGCTGGAACTCCCCAACGAACCGAATGCGAAGGCATGCAAGGAATACATCGCAAGTATTGATCAAATCCACGACGAAGAGTTACGAGGTTTCACAAGACAGTGGTTGGCCAAGGTAAGATTCTATGTTCCATCAATACAGCTAAGATCAAGGCTTACTCCTCAGGCTGATGCTGCTTGGCCCACGTGCGCTAACACCTGTCTCGAGCGATTCATGCACACAAACAACGTCTACATCTCCTCTGTTGATCAAGGAACATATGAAACTCCTGGAACTATCGCATTTGCCACCCAACTTCGACTAGGAACGGAAATACAGACAATAGACCAGCAAGATGTTGCCGTTTACTCCAGAAGGTTTTTCGAACAAGTCAAGGCGCTGTCCTTTAGCTTGGTCGGAGGACCACACTTCCTTCTCCATTTCGACCGACATCAAGGTATACTACGGAAGACAGATAAATTCGAGCGTATGTGGGAAAGGAGGTATGAGTATTGGAGTATCGGCCCTCCGACGGAAGAATTTGACGACGAGGATTTGGAACCGTCTAAAAAGCGCCGCAGGTCGAAACCACTTCAGTCCGATACTTGCATCCGTGGAGACCCGGAGAATGTGGAACGGATTCAGCAGTCAGATCTCGCGCGCAAAGCCGCATGTGCTCTGGCGCTCGAAGGGACCTTGCCAGACCTTCCTGAATGTACAATTCCTCCAGCAATAGAACACGGAAAGGTAAATATATGGGCTCTTATTCTGAATGGGCTTGCTGACCTTCATCTGCAGAGCGGATTGCCGATGTATAACAACGAAGATGTAACAATGGTCGACCGGCCAAGTTTATCATCAACGTCTTATTGTGATCACAACTCAAGCGTCTCATTCGATCTGGAAGCAGGGGGAAGCTCTTGTGGTGCGTCAGCTACATCACCGACACCTCAGCCATCAGAATCGAGAAGAAAGAATACACTTGGCAGGACACGACCTGACATGGACGGATCAAGTATGAGGTAAGCGGCATTTCCCCTTCCGAAGCTATGTCTGTGAAACGTCGAGATAATTTCAGCAATCTTGTTGTTGTCAAATATCTGAGCATATGCTTATGCTCTACAATCTAAGCAGTTCCAATACAAGAAAACAGTCTCTCATCTTGAAACTCGGAGCTTGCGCCCGCACCCCTTTAACCACCACGTCACTAACGAGTCCGAATCATCGATCTCCTCGCGTCAAAACCGAATCTCCAGGAGGACATATCTCCGGTCCACCATATCGATTGCAGGGAGGGAGCAAGGAAACACTGATTGTGTTGGGAGACGAAGAAGAATCAGAAACCTTGCATACCCTAGATTCTCGCATAGGCGACGATTCAGGAGACCAGGATATGGACCAAGGCAATGGTGAACAAGCGAGGGCTGCAAAAATTGTGAAAGAGATGGTTCGAAAGTGGAATGAGGACCGTGATCGCCATCGTGCTAAGTCCCTCTCTCGCATCGCCACGCCTGAGGTCAATATCGAGAATGACGGTTCTACGAATGGTACTGTCCCGCCCAGACAATCGAAAATCGTGACATCTACTCCTTCAAATACTTCTGCACCTCCTGCTCAATTAGAGATGCCGCACATTGCTTCCACTCGTTCAACAGCGTCGGCTCCGGTATCGATCCCGTCCCTGGGCAGCAAGAAAGTTATTGGAAACCCTGGCCCAGGCACGATACATACCAGTAATATCGAATCGACATCCAAAGAACCTGTTGGCAAGACTGTCGAGAGAGGCTCTGATAAACACACTGAAGAGCATCTATCCCGACGCCCTTCTTCGCCGCATGATTCCGTGAAAAGAGTCAGGGAGCAAGTTTTAGGAATCTTCGCTGCAGATTCGGATGGCTTGCCATCCGTCAAAAGCACCCAGACACTAGATACAATACTGCAGAACGGGCCGAATGTACTTGGAGAGACGACTGCGTCAACAGCATCCCCAACTTATGGTCAGACCTCTAGACCACGAACGCTGGGCAATTTTGACGTCTCGGTGTCTAGTGGAATTGGTCAGAAGAGTTTTCAGACTGATCCCGACCCAGCTTGTGCCAAATCGCCGCAAACGGAAAAGATGAAACATCGACCAGATGATATTGCAAGCAATGTTGTGCAGGCTAAAGTTGAGACTGAAGGACAGCCAAAGTCTTACCAAGAAAAACTTCTTGAATTGAAGCAAAAGCTATCTTCGGCTCCCTCTAGTCCCACATTCCACACTCCATCTTCACCGGACAGAGCCATCCAGGCTCCTAATACAGAGCAAACGCCACAGGCGTCTGTGTCTTCACCGCCGCCTCCATTGCGCTCAGGGTCCTTCATCTGGATAAGAAAAACGATGCCAGATCCACCATTTGCGAAAGAGCCTGTTAAGAGTGAAACTCCACCAGGCTCTGCGCTCAAAGAACCTTACCATGATACCTCTTCTCCTTCTATCAATTCAGGAGTCTCGACATCTTTGGTTGCACAGCCAGATACAGCACCTCCGCCGCTAGGATCAAAATCAAATATTCCACTAGTAGAGGCCGTCTTGAAGTCCCATTCTCCGTCGACCAGTGTTGCAGTCAATACAAGTGTGGAGACACGAACACGCAACACTCCGGCGCTTCCTCCACAGGCCCAAACTCCTCAGCCGAAGATCGAACCCCCTACTTTATGGCCCAAACTCCCAGCAACGGTGTCTGCCGCGGATGATACAGCAATGCCCAAGGTATACAAGAGTCCCTACGCTATCGTCCCAACTCCAACACCGTCCTCAACGAAGCCCTCCCCCTCCGACCAACCTACAATCCCCGACACGAAGCCCAATCTTGAACGAAGTCCGTTCAATCCAATCACACTCCGTGACCCCAATTTCAAAACGTTGGAACTGGTCATTGCGCTTGAGGATGGATCTATCAACTTTGATAATGCCTTCCCGTTTCAGCATGCCGAGAACCACAAATTGGAAGAGTTCTTCGACTTCTGTTCGACTGTCTCACAGGTACCCATTTTCAGGCTGAAAAGTCTGACCTTGACTTTGGCTTTTGGGAAGCGACAGAATTTTTCTGTGCAGAGGACTGGGGATCTTGTTAAAGATGAGCAATTGTGGAAGAAGACGAAGAATATTATTTTGGTGCTGTTCAAGAATGCACAAAAGGTGGAAAAGGACCAGGATGAGTTTCAAGTTTTGGTGGAGGTGGAGATGGAGATGGAGATGGAGGAATAGGTATATTATGCGGGTATGCGAAATATGACTAACGATTATGAATGATGATATTATGAGAATCAGTTGTTCATGCCACAATGTGCAGACTTCGAACGAAGCTCAGAAAGAGATGGTGCCGTCAGTGAAAGTATATGTTGGTATTGTATCCTGCAAAGACATGATCCCGTCTAGAATCACGACCGTGATGCAGCATCGGCATACACAGCGTATCTTTTCGGTTTGGAAGGTCGAGAGTCTCGTTCAGAGAAGCGAGAACTCCGGATTCGTAGTCTAGCAGTATTCGTTTGGCAAAATTAGAACGTATTACTTAAATTAGACTTGTCTAAGCCCAGCCAAGCCCTCTCCCTCAGCCACTGATATCGGAACCTTCGCCAGCTATTAGTGGAGAACTCCATCCTCTTGAATTCATCGCATACCGTTACTTGAAACAAGTAGGAGCAGGCAATGTGACTATTGATAGAGTTGGTTCTATTCAATAAGCATCCGTTTATTGGTAGCGCACTGTTCTCGGTATTGAGCAAGGGGGTTCTGCAAAGCTTCCTCGGCCGTCATTCGATCTTCCGGTTTCCATTCGAGCATGGCTTTACAACAGACCAGTATAGGTTGAACGGGCTTCTCGCCGAGCCACTTATGAATCTTGTCGAATTCCTTCTCATCTACTTGCCTGCTGGGCATGTTGGGCAGTTTATATCCGAGGATTTCCAGGCCAAACAAGGCACAAGCCCAGTAGTCAACGTAGCGTCCATGATATTCCCTGTCTCGCTGCTCAGGCGCTAAATAAGGTATCGTTCCCGGCCGATCGTATAGAATCGTCTTTTTGGCTGTTGCAGATCCGAAATCAATGATTTGGGCCAGAGAAGGGTCGTATGATCAATACACTGCCAGGCACCGACGCATCTCGAAACCCGTGTATTGCCTGGCTTCGTTCTCGCAAAACTTGTGAAATGAATCCAAAAATCGGTGGGCCTGAATCCACGAACGAGCAACGATGAACGATGTTTCCCGCAAACCACTTACCGATATTTCGCCCTCTCATCACTATTTTTCCTTAACACTCCTACATCAACAAGCGATGCGAACTTCCTTGCCTCAATGCGCCACCACTATCCACTATCCCCTGCGAAACTTTGTGTCAACTGATCCATAGCCCTGGCTCTTCTCTCTCGCCGCTGACTGACTTTCTCCGGGGTTCCTTTCTCTGCAATCTGGATCTCACCACTTAACAAACCAGCCCGAAGAATACCACAATTCGTATCTGAGAGGGGCAGTGGAATAGTCCAACCATTAAAAGCCTTGTTTCTTGAATTGTTGCCTTGATTACAAAGATCACACCAGGTGTTAATCGCTCGTTCTTGCGCAGGTGTTTGGCAGGTGGTCTTGTAATGATCCATCTATGCCGGTAAGAAACGGTGTCGTAGAAAATAGGGCTAGTAATCGGGATTTGAGGGAAATAACCAATTAAAGCGTTATTGACTTGCAGAATCGTCACAGTGGCGTGTTTTACCTATGCAGAAGCACTTTGCTTGTAGATGTGTTCTAGTCCATACGTGAACACCTGCTGTTTATGAACTGACCCCCCGCCATTCATGAATGGCGGGGTGTTTATGTATGGCACCCCCTGTTTGTCAACTAGCCCTGCCATTCATGAATGGCGGGGGCCCCGTTCATAAACAGCAATTGTTGGCGTATGGACTAGAACAGATGTTTTGTCGCAGCCTTACCCACTCCCAAGCACCTCGTTGGTGAAGGAATACTGATGATTGGCCCAGCCATCAAGCGCCTGTAGAAGAACATGCTTTGTCTTGAGTGAAGATAAAAGAAGGCAGGGCATAAGCATTTTTATATATTGTCCGGTCCTGAAGCCAGTTTCCAGCATATTTTTATTCATTCCAAATTATTTAAGTTCTCGATACTATCCAAGCCATGGTTATCCAATACATTATAAACAAATTCAGCACCGTTCTGCGTCTCCGATTACAGGTTCACAAACGTCTGCAGGAACTATCAATAGCTCAAAAGATGTGGTTTGCCAATAAAAGAAGAGCATATACGGAACATCGATCTAAACGCCCTTTCGAGCGGCTTTACGAACTTTTGAGAAAAGTGCAGGCGGTTCACAACGGGCATGAGAAGCTCAAAAAAAAGCGATCCATTGCATTTTCGAAAGAACCGACCGAGAATTCGATCGAGTTAGACAGAAAAGGGAAGATTGGGGTTCTGGCAGCGAAAACTTGAAGCAACTCAAGCTACTTGCTGAATGGCAAAAGATTGAGGCAGAAATTGAGTTAAGTGGCGCGAAGCTTCGCGCCACCCACCAATCAATAAATAAATCGGGGAGAGTCCGGGGTAATATGGATGCCAAGTTTTCAAGGCGGTGTACAAAAAGATCTCGTGCGCTCTCGCTTATAGTGCAGAAAAATATAGTATATTAAATTATCTTTTGTAGTTTTAAATAACAATAAATAACAACGCAACGACGCAAAGATAATAACGACGCAATAACCAACCATGTTGTCGTCGCAAGAGAAGCAAACAAAGTCTCCACGAGCTAGAGCCGAAGCTGAAGCCGAAGTCGAAGCCGATAATTTAAGCTCCGGTTCCGAGCCTAAATTCCTTGGAAGCAACAACTTGGTCGAGCACTTTGGAAATAACAACCAATTTGAGCACCACGCAAGTAAGATTGATTTGCGATCCGTCTATTACAACTATTAATTTTTAGTTTTAGCTCGTCTCCCACCAAATAATTCTTTCACCGACCCCACTAACGACAACACCGAAGACGAAATGCGCGCAAACGAAGCGATGAAGTTTCTCCAAGAAGAGTTAAAGCAAGGACGTAAAGAGCGAGAGCAAGAGCGTGAAGACGAACTACGAGCAGACGAAGTGATGAAGGTTCTCCAAGAAGAGCTAAAGCAAGGACGTAAAGAGCGAGAGCGAGAGCGAGAGCAAGGACGTGAAGAGCGAGAGCGAGAGCAAAAGCAAGGACGTGAAGAGCGAGAGCGAGAGCGAAGCCGATTCTTCTTCATCACTACGCTGGGCTTTCTTCTTCTGCTCTTACTTCTGGGCTGGGAGAGATATATTGGATACCGTTATTAAACTTGTCAATTACGCGCCTATTCACGTTCTCAATTTCGAAAGTAATATTAACAAGTCTATCCAGGGTCACTTTATCTTCCGATACAACGCTGCCGGTCCTTCGACGGTAGTATTAAAGATAATATCGGGTGGTAGAGGCAAGGCAAAGCATGGTATGGCGTTTTGAATTGGTGACTAGCTGGGTGAATGGATAGATAAATGCGGCATGTGCAGTCAGTCGTCAATTTAGTCTCAATTCAATCAATCAATCACTCAACCCTTGACCCACCACCTGATTCGTGCCGTCATTTCATCTCGGTTCCTTCCGGTCGATCGGTTCCCGTCGATTCCGTCGATCCCGTCGATCCCCTTGCATGCATGCATATGTACATGCATGGCGTGATGTCGGTCGTCGAGCGCAGCCGCAACCGCACTCCCGATTTATTTATTGATTGGTGGGCTGGCAGGTGGCAGAAAAAATGAGAAAGCTTTAGCGGTGAAAGGACTTTGCAGATTTTTGAATAGAAATAGATCCACCGATGCTCTGGGGCAATATGGAACGCAAGTTTTCAGGCGGTGTACAAAAAGATCACGTGCGCTCGCTTATAATGCCAAAAAATATAGTATCTATTAAATATCTTTTGTAGTTTTAAATAACAATAAATAACAACGCAACGACGCACGCAATAACCAACAACCAACCATATTGTCGTCGCAAGGCAAGCAAACAAAGTCTTCACGTGCTAGAGCCGAAGCTGAAGCCGAAGCGGAAGCCGATAATAATCCAAGCTTTGGTTCCGAGGAGCCCGAATTCCTTGAAACCAACAACCACGAACTCGAGCACTTTGGAAATAACAACCAATTTGAGCATCACACAAGTAAGATTGATTTGCGATCTATCTACTACAACTATTAACTTTTAGTCTTAGCTTGTGTTTTACCAAACAATTCTTTCACCGACTTCGCTTTCGACGATAACGCCGAAGACGAAATAAACGCAAAACAAGTGATGGACGCTTTCATGGAGCGAGAGCGAGAGCAAGAGCGAGAGCAAGAGCGATGGTTCTTTCGCATCGTTGCGCTATTCTTCTTCATCTTCTTGCTGTTCTTTTTCATCGTCTTGCTTGTACTCTTCCTTCTGGGCTGGGGATATGTTGGATACCGTTATTAAACCTGTCAAGTACGCGCCCATTCACGTTCTCAATTTCGAAAGCAGTCAGTATTAACAAGTCTATCCAGGTTCGTGACTTCGTCCCTCGATACAACGTTGCCGGTCCTTTCGACGGTGGTATTAAAGATCATATCGGGTAGAGGCAAGGTAAAACAAGACAAGACAAAGCATGGTATGGCGTTTGGAATTCTGAGCATCGATTGCATTGGTGGCTAGCTGGGTGAATGGATAGATAGATGCGGCATGTGCAGTCAGTCAATGAATTTAGTCAATGCAATCAATTCAGCCAATTCGCTATTTTCTCATCGTCTCCTTCTTTTTAGGGCAGTCTGGTTCCAAGTTATCGCGAGCTTGCAGCAACCCAAAACGACTTCACCAACTGCATAAGACGGTACCAAAATCTCGATCAACTGGCGTACGAAATGGAAGCAATCACACAACCTCTCAGATACTCAGGAAGGGTGGAAGGCTCGGGCGGCTCAGATGACGGACTTCCAACTAAGAGGGGGCATGGAAGTTCACATGCTGTAGGACCATCGTTAATGCCGCACTCAGAAGCAGGCACATCCCAAGGCCTAGTGGATAGGAGATGTACGTAAATACTAGTAAGGCTGGACCACATTAGTAGCAGTATTACTACATGGCGAAGTTCTCAATATGATTTGTGCTGCTAGGGTATTCATACAAAGGGAGAGAATCCCAGATGGTGCAAGGGCGCAGACCCGCCCACTAAGCCTACCCTCGCTTTCCATCAAAGTGAGGGGTAATTGAACCTCAGTACAATCACTTCTTCAATGCAATCTCGCCGCTGCATGAACTTAGCCAGCAGGCACCAGTCATTCAGGCCCACTCCCACGTCACCCTGCCGCTAAGGTGATTCTGCCTTGAAGTCCTGTGGGGACGGGGACGGACCCTCTCAGTTACCCGGCATACTAGCTGCAAACATTGGCCACTAATGTACCCCTGGCCATCCGCAAGAGGGCATATTGAGACGGACAATTATGTTGGCGATCGGCTTATTTCCCCATTAAGCATGACGGTATGCTTAAACGGGAAGATATCTCGAAGGATGGCTATAATGTTTAGCTTTTACTTTATTCTTTATAAATCTCCGCTAGCTATTAAGCTTAGGCTTTGGCCTGCAAGTTTCTATATTTCTTTTTATTAAAGATCTGAGGGATATAAAAAGCGATAAATGTGACAGCACGGTTGGACTCAAGTACGTAGACGAGGAATCGATTAGGCTATCTCTTAGAATCTAAAGGTAAAGAGGAAAGAAAGGAAGGAAGCGCCGGAAGGCAGGGCATATATACAGGCGAGCGGGCACGTGAGCATTTCGTAGCGGGCACGTGACTCCATAACCGTGACAATAAATAAGCAATATTTAAAAAATATTATTTATTGTTTTTAATTTATATTAAACTTTAATTATAAATTATTTTAAATTTTATAAAAATTAAAAAACGTAAAAATTACTACGATCTTGTTTTTTTATTTTTTATTTCTTTGTTCGCTGCCTTTTTATACTATAATTAAAGATTACGTAGGAAGCTAAGCTTTATTAAGCTTAAAATTAAAGAGCGCTACTTTCCCGGGCTAATAACTAACCGCGTTCTAGTTACGTGCTAGCCGTAGCTAGTCTTAAAAGAAAAGAAAAAAAAAAACTCGGACTATTGCTTTCGAATATATTTTAGTAGCTCGTTTTTCGACTTTTTTCTTTTTTTGTCTTTTTTTTTATTTACGACGCGTGGCTTTAAATTTAATAAATTATTTTTTCTTATATCTTCTTTAAAGTAAGTCGTAATATAAAGAAAAACTAACTTTTATTTCGCTAAAAAGCTTTATATTTGTAGTTTTCACTTTTTTCGACCTACTTTCGCAATTCGAAGAACGCGACGAATTTATTAAATCGACCTGCTTTTGCAACTCAATCCCCTGCCTCAATTAATACTACTATTGACTATAGTCCCAGAGAAAGCTAGAAAACCCTCGATTCGACTTGCTTTTGCAACTCGAATTTTCATCCGTCCTTTCGATCGGTCCCTTTGATCGGTCCCTTCGATCGGTCCCTTCGATCGGTCCCTTCGATCGGTCCTTTCGATCGGTCCCTTTGATCCGCCCTCACCATACACACACCGATTCCTGAATACAGCCTGCTCCACGACGCAGCTCAAGAACTTCCCAACCGCCGTTAAAACTCGGCTTCAAAGCAACTATTGCCATAGTTGCCACTATTTTTTTCCCCGAAAATATAATTAAAGAAAAAAAGCTATTAAACGACTCCGATTTAAGCGACGACCATTTCTTTGATATTTCTCTTATTTTCCTTTTCAATAATTTCGACGTTTTTTTACTCTTTGTCGAACAGCTAGTTGTTTCCGCACCGCTAAAAGTAATCGTTAATATATTTAGCGATAATAACACCGCGCTCGTTAAAGCACCCCGATTTTTCATTTAAAACGACGTAAAAAAGCTTATCGTAAAAGTACTTGCTAAAGCTATAATTATTATTAATAATACTAGAATTAAACTTTTTTTTACTTTTCGCGCTACGTCGACTATTTTTTCTTTATTTTTTCGCGCGCAATTTCGAGCTTTTATGTGACGGGTTGAACCCGATATTTGGCTGCACTACTACGTAGTGCAGCCTGCACGTGACTACGCGGGCCTGCACATAACTGCGCGACGCTAAAGCGCGCGGGCCATTCTACGAACCAGCGAGAGCTCCTTTTAAAAGAGCTCCTCGTACAAAATAGAACTCTTCTCTCTTTAATTAATTCTTTTTGTAATACAATTAAGTTCTTGCTTTGACTCATTGCATTCAACTCGTAACATTTTATTACCGACTTTTAATTTATAATTAAATATTATTTTTTAATTATTTAATTTAATATTAATATAATAAATTTTTTTAAAATTAAATATTTTCGTATTTTATTTAATAATTATAAAAAT